GAGCTGCTTTGTATACTATCCAAACGCAAGCTGTTTGTACAAAATGTTGTGTTTCCTTTTCACTTTTTGACAGCTACAACTACCACTACTTTCAACAGCATGATTTTCCGTGTGTTGGGATAAAAACAGATCAGCAGCACTCTTGACACGGCAAATACTGTTTCACACAAGTCGCCTTGTTTCCCATTCATACCTTGCTACTATTGTTACCCTTCTTTTCAACTATATAAGGACCAAAGACGATTTGCAATCGATGCCTTTCAGAAACACTATCGATACTAGTTCCAACTTTATCACTCTTACTACTTACATATCGTTTTAGACATATTTCACTCTCGGTAAAACCAGTAATTCATAAAAACAAAGGCGTTTTTCGAAAACGGACGAGTAACTACAGTCGCCATTGTCACAACTTTTTACCCAGGTGAACACAACCAAGATTTTCAACAGTTTCCTTTTGCTTGCTTTATTTCATGGTTCCCAACAAGGTGAGTATACTTTGAACTGAAAACTTTTCCCTTGCTTTCAAAATACAAGTTTATTCAGCTTTCGTTATCTAAAGCCCCACATCCATAATATTTCAAAAGACATATTCGAATCAATAGAGAATTGATCTAAAAGCACAACAATACAAACAATCATTGAAAATAAGCAATGATGGACTCGAGACTTTCCTATGCTATCCTGAGAAATGCCTGTTGCAGAGTTACAGACCGATTACTACATCTTGAAAAGAGTCATATAGAAGACAAAAAACTAACATACAAAAAGTTAATCTGTGAACTGACCAAAACACTCAACTGAGAGTTTGACTGGTTTCTTGTTCTTGTAGAATATCTTTGAAATAATAGCCCCAAGCCTGATTCTCAGAATCTCAACAACAGACTACAGGACTTTCAACTGCTAATACATACGCAAAAATGCTCTGAAACAATTATCGATAGAAATAAACAAACTTGTGAGACAACTAGTTGATTAATGTACCAACACTCAACGACAGCTTGAATTCCTTTGTCTTTGCTCTCTTCTCGACAACGCTAATCTCAAATTTCCATACAAGACCAGAAGTGAAATAAAAACAAGTGTTGCATAAAGTATATAAACTCCAAAGAGATAATAAAATTTGTACATACTAAAAAGAAACTACAGTCTACTTGGAACTCAGAGCTCAGGACTCGATGGATTGTTCTCAAAGAAACATTTGCAGGGCTTAAAAGAGAAACGTAGATAATAGAAATTCACTTGTCCAACTATATCAAACGACGAATTCGTTTTAGAAATTAAAGTCTGAGAAGTTTCACTAGCAAACTTGAATCAGGTCCACAGCGTTGACAACACTCACTGAGCCTTCCCTTTTATCCAATAATCAAACCATTGTGCTACTTTCTAATTGGATTGTTATGAGAAGGATCGCTTTGTATTGTCTCCTTTCACTGGAGATATATTATTTTGAGTGACTAGTGAGTTTTATGAAAGAAACTATTCCACTTGGAGATATGTAAAAAGTTTCTGGAACAATAAGTGTGCTAGATACAATCAATCTCACATCTCAGTATTGTTGTGAAACGAGAAGAACAGTGTCGTATCAAAGGTCCTCTCAACTCCCTAGCGACACTGTAGCCTTTTAACAGAGTTGAGTTTGATCAATCTTGTCTCTGCAAGGTAAATTTCAAACTACTTGTGACCCTATTTTGATAACAAATCAAGAACGGTTTTGCTACAACTAGTTTTTGACTCGTTCTCGATCTGAGAACCTTTCTTTGTTGGTCACTCAAAATTTAGGAAAACTCCTTAAAGGTGTAAAGTGGTCATTTTCTAATTTCAATGACATTAACTCTGTTTGGCTTGCGTTGTGAGAACTATAATCTTCCCTTCTATGCAAATTCGTTCAAGGAACAATCTTTGTTCGATTACGAGTTATAAAGAAGACGAAATCGTATATTCAACTGTAGAATTGGAAAGTATACAGAGGACAGGACGATAGTAAAAAACTGACCGAAGGTTGGGAATACTTTTGTCTATACACAAATTCGTACATAAACTACGTACGTCAAGGAGGATCGAGCCTCCAAAGTTACAAGGGTCTTGGTTTGTTCTCTTCATAAACAACTTCTAGAGAGTTTTTACTGGATATGACGAGTAAAAGTGGTGATGCTTTTGCTTCTCCTTGCACTTATGTTTCAAGATTCACCTTTCTTTTTTACTTTGCAAAGAGGAGGATGAAAGATTCTTATTTTTCCATAATTTCTACGTTTATATTCTTTTCTTTTCACTAGGAGACGAAATTTATCCAGTATATTTAAGAGAGTAAGACCTTTACCAGTTTGGATCAATCACAATTAATTCAATTTGACTCTTCTTATTTTTCTTCTGCTGAATAATACAAAGTTGAAAGAGACATTTTTTTTCTTTTTTGTGGAATTTGGCTATATCTTTATCTTTTCTTCTTTATGTTTGACTTGTCCCTAATGGAAATGAACGTTTTTTGTATTTATAGACAGTTTGTTTATACAAAACTTTGAGTTGTCTTTGATTCTTGTTATAAATATCTAAGGAGAAGCCTCCACTATTGTATCCATCTGTTTATATTTGGCGAGAGTCTTCTGCCTAGTGTCTAACGCGAATGACTTTTGTATTATGACTCACTTATTCAAGGAGCTGATGTTTGAGAGAGTGGGAAAAGAGTAGGAGACAAGTGGAGCTGAACAAATCTTTCCTTGAATTTGCAGAGCTTTTAAAAGTTTTGTTTTCTTCGTACTGGAAGAAATTAGAGTCCTCTTGGAGTTATTCATGCCCTAATGGAGTCTTTGTGTTTTATATCAGCTTTGTTTTTTTATAGTTTGTTTTCTATTTGTGGTTTTTACAAATGTTGTTTGTTGATGGTTCAAGAGAAGGCAGTGAAAACCTTTAAACCTAAATAGTCATGTTTACCTTCGAAAATACCTCAACTATATAGTGGGCTACTTGGAAGAGACAATTCAACTATGATTTAAATGCTATGATGAAAAACGAGAAGAGATTCGATAGGATTGACTCGATTGGACTGAATTGAACTTTTTTGAAAATAAGTTTTCTCTTAGCAGAATCCACAGTATCAAATGTCAGTATTGTCTGCAAGTATTTTCAGAGGAGAAAGAAAGAGGAGTTGTTGACTCTTATAGAAATTGGATATTGATGATATGCACTTGTGTGCAGGAGAATGATTTGGTTAATACACTAGTGCAATCTTTCAAATATTTCGGAGATACCTTTTAACACTGTTTCAAAACTAAAAGCTTTTCATTTGAAGGCTATTTTTGGTGTCAATTTTGCGATATTGCAGAGTTGTAGCAATGATTCAAAATGAATAGACTATACATACATACATGTTGAATACAACTAGAATGAAAAATATCCTTTCTTGTCCAAGTACTTAGTAAAGTGGTTACCGAAAGAATATCTCAAAACATTCTTCAAGTGTCTGCTATGTTGTCTTTCTAGTCTGTTGAAAAAAGACTAGTAACTCCTTTTACTATAATTTTCAAAGACTGAGACAGAAAAAGGTTGTTTGTAGATTTCACTTGGACTGTCCTTCCTGTCTTTTGTTAACTGAATAGAAGAGAGTTTTCCTCGGTTTTAGACAGCAAACGAAGGGAGTGGCAGCAAAAACTTGAGGCTTTCTCTAACTTGAGAACCTGCACTGCGGTCTTAAAAAGAGTTTTAGCTTGTTGAAATTCGATAAAAGTTTAGATTCCTTTCGTTTTTATGTGTTTTTTTCAAACTGCATTTCTAGCCTTGGAATTCATATGAATGGCTTCTACAAATATGAAACTTGTTGGATCCAAGAGAAAATATAGTACAGGTAAGAACAGATACTAAAAAAAGTATTTTGGTTTGCAATTCAAACTCTATCTCAAAAGTATTCACGAGACTATATATTCAAACTCTGTTTTAGTGAATTAGACTGAAAACTCACCGATTCTTAGATAGGGAAAGTAACCCGGTTGCAAAGATGATGTTCGATCTAAAAAATTTCGTTTGACTATTTATAGTACAAGAGACATCTTCAATGATTCTATCCATTTGGACAGTGAGATAAGAACCTTTCTATTTCAGACAATTACTATTTACATAGGAGTTCTATTTATATTGCATTGCAAAGGTCAACTTTGAGAGTGGAACAGAATTGTTTCTAATTAGTCAAAGGAAACCATATCCAATCTTGAAGTATTGTCATTCCACAACAATCACTTGACCGATAACTTAGGAACTACAACGTCTTTCAGTCAAGAGTCATGTTGGGTAAAAGTTCTTCAATATGGAGTGGCTTTCAGTTGGAGAATTGCTGAAGCTTTCAATTTGGTACACTACTCGACCTTGACTCAAGTATAAAAGGCTTCTTCTTTAGTAAAATAATTTTTTGGCTCTGTCTTTTGCTCTTTTTTCAGCATCGATGTGTGGAAAATGAACGGTTATAGTTACTATATTTGAAGCCTTTATTGATGTTTTTATATACGACATATTCAGAACTTGGTAAAAGTCGAACAAAGGATAGACAACTTGTGTAGCTATTATATCAATAATGGCTTGTATTTAATGATAAGTCAGTATGACAGTCTACATAATACTCTTCTCCAAATTCATTTAGATATTTTTGTATTTATAAACTGTGCTACGACCGGTTGCACATTAACAGACTTCCTATTCATTGCAATTCTCTGTTTCGCACTGTATTTCGTGTGTAACTTACAAAAGGTTTGTATCTTATTAGACTTGTATATAGGAGTTTGCGTGTAAGATGGTGTGGAAGATAGTAGAAAAACTCTCTTACAGTATACAAGCCATAGAAATAGTACCCATCAATCTAATTCATCACAAAAACTCATAGAAACCTATTTCTTGTCTATTGTAAAAGAAAGTTTCTAGTTATGACAAGCAAGAAAATATTCCTGCTTTCTCTCTATTGTCATTGTGAGTCTGGAAGTGTCAAAGAGATCAGTTTTACCAATCACCAAATAAAGCAATCTCTCGAACAATAAAACATACACTCTCTTCCATCTCCTTTGAAAGCTTTTCGGTCATTGATCTATTCATTAGTTGTGAATTGATTTCGGATTGGCGGCGGCGTGTAAAATGAGTTTGAACGAACCTTTGATAGATAGAAAAGAAGATGTTTATTCTATTCTTCGAACTTATTACGACCAGTTTTCTTCAGCTGGGGGAAAATTAGATCTTTTACGTCCTGGAGCTTGCTTCTCCCCTCACATTTTTGGGGCGGGCAAAAGCTTTGTAGGTCAAAAATTTTTAGAGTTTTTAAAAAAATTCGCCGACGAAGAAGAAGAGCAGACGGAGACGGAGGTTTTCAACAAGAGCTCGTCGGGAAAAGTTGATGCGAAGATTTTTTCTTGGAAACACTTTGCGGAAAACACTTTGTCAGTTTGCTTTCAATTAGAAGAGAGCTTTTCTCGTGCTCCTTTTCCAAGGTTTCTAGAGGCTTTGATGTATAATATTATTTTGAACGCTTACCGACAAAATGGTAAAGATACGGACGCTCTTCAGATAGCTGAAAGGACGGTAAAGAATTTTGATATTGTAGGGGCTATTGATTATCTTCTCGAACAATTTCAGAAACGATATTTATTTTTGATGATAGACGAACTTAGCCACCTAAGTGACCTCACCGCATACTATAGTGAACTTACCACGAAACAGTTCGTCGAGTCTGACCCAAAATATGTACCTTTCCGGAATTTCTTCCGCATTCTACGTAGTTTTTTGATTACAGGGAAGGTAATTGTCTATTTGGCAGGTCGGACTGCCGAAATCTCAGCCCGCCTGTCTGATGCTCGCTCCAGTAGCGTGAGTCTCGATATGTTGCGGTTGAATCCTTTTAACCTCCATGATATTAATGAATATCTTGAGCTGGCAATTTATAGTGGAAAGACCTTGAAGGACTGGTTATTGCCCTCAGATGGCTTGCAACATCGATTCGCAGAATTATTAAAAAAGAAGACAGGAGGTATTCCGTTGATTGTAAAGAATACTTTAGTAGCCCTAGCAGAGAAAGCTGCAGACTTGTCGCAACCTGTTATCAACGATGACAATATGGAAAGTGTGTTAGATGATATTTTTCACTCTGTAGTACGAAAGACAACAACGTTTATTGTTCCGGAGATATTAGATTCTGCAACCCTTCTTCGATATCAATTTGTTCTTTTCAATTATCAGCTCGGGACAGTTTTTCCAATCAACTTTGCAATTACTCTATGTGGAACGACAACTTATTTGATGGATTTGGTTGCAACTTTTGGGTTTTACTCTGAAGTTTTGGGCGAGGAATTCAAGATTGGTTGTTGTGAATTTATATTGCGAGCTCATAGCAACTATAAATTTTTCCGTGAGGCTACTGAACTTTTTCCTTTATCTCCGTTTAGTTATATTCCCGACACTTCAACAGCAAAAGGAGTCTTCTTTGAATTTGTATTTATGAAGATCTTTCGTTTTCGCTTATTAACTTTTCTTCATTCTAATTCCTCGGCTATTGTACATTCTGCTATTCCAGGAATTTTCCAGGGTTCTTTTATTGAACAGGACAATGTTTCTTATTCTATGGAATCTACAAAATCTTATGATATACCCATCTTGAGAAATGTCTCTGGTTCATTTTCTGTTCATTATAGGGATTATTTACAACGTTGTGGTATTTTTGTTCCAAAGGATGGCAATTCTAGTGGTCCTGATGCATATGTTGTATTCCATAATGGACAAACACGTTATGTTGTTGGATTTTCATTCAAATTTTATCACAAAAGTGAATTTTCGAAAAGAAATATTGAGGAGGAAGCCAAAAATTTTTTTAAGGGAGTTGTTTCCGTTTTGAATGACGAATCTTTTTCATCTGTTCAACTTCGTTTTCAGTTTGTGGTAGTAGTTGTACTAGATATGATCAATCTGTAGGTTTCTCTACCGAAGAACATAATATTGTTGAAGATGCAAGTCGTTTTGTGACTCAACATTCTTCGGGATCAACTTTGAATGAAAGTAGTCGATCATGTCTGCAATTGGTAATTGTTTCTCAAAGGAACCTTGAAGTATATTTGGGAAGAGATAATGTCGAAACGTTGAGGAAAATTGGGGAAGCAAACCGAGGAGAGTTTTCTAAAAACTTTTCAGTATGGTGTGAAACTGTCTTTGAGTCGATGTCCAATGAATATGTTTCATCTTTGGAAGCTGAGCAATCAACTGTTACTTTAGGAGTGGCTCGAAATATAAGACCGAGAACCAATGATGAGAATAGGATGCAAATGGAAGGTTTTCAAAGTGCTATGCAAGTGGAAGAAGGTATAACAAGAAGCGAACAAGTGTCAAGTGATATTACACATTTTGACTGGAAAGAGTTTCTTTGCAAGTCTGCGTTATTACCGGAAGAATTTGCCTCTCGTCATGCTTCGAGATTTTTACGCATATTTGGAGATAATCCTCAAGTGATTCGAAGAAAGTCACTAGAGTTGATGGGTATACCAGAACAATATATTCAACAAATTCTAATTGCAACGATGTTACTGGAAGAAAACACAGAAATGAAAGAATAATTAGCTGCTTTCAAATTTGTGTTATTTACGGACATTCTTTTTAGAACAATAATGGAAAGTTGGCTAGTAAGTGGATAGAGAGAGTGCTTTATGCTTTCATTCTAATTGAAGCTTACAACAGCAGCAAAGCTTAACTCTGACTTGTGAGCTTTTCTCTTTGTTTTCAGGAAAATGAGGAATAAAACTATGTTTTTTGGGTTGAAGAAACTCTGGTTATTTTAACGAACTAAAACGAAAAAACTCAATCTTCGAAATCATTGTTGTTTCTTTGGTTGGCATTGTAAAGGCACAGCCTGTCAATAATGCATTTCTAATTGGATTGTTATGAGAAGGATCGCTATGTATTGTCTCCTTTCACTGGAGATATATTATTTTAAGTGACTAGTGAGTTTTATGAAAGAAAATATTCCACTTGGAGATATGTAAAAAGTTTCTGGAACAATATGTGTGCTAGATACAATCAATCTCACATCTCAGTATTGTTGTGAAACGAGAAGAACAGTGTCGTAACAAAGGTCCTCTCAACTCCCTAGCGACACTGTAGCCTTTTAACAGAGTTGAGTTTGATCAATCTTGTCTCTGCAAGGTAAATTTCAAACTACTTGTGACCCTATTTTGATAACAAATCAAGAACGGTTTTGCTACAACTAGTTTTTGACTCTTTCTCGATCTGAGAACCTTTCTTTGTTGGTCACTCAAAATTAAGGAAAACTCCTTAAAGGTGTAAAATGGTCATTTTCCAATTTCAATGACATATACTCTGTTTGGCTTGCATTGTGAGAGCTAGAACCTTTCCTTCTATGCAAATTACGCTCAAGGAGCAATCTTTGTTCGATTACGAGTTATAAAGAAGACGAAATCGTATATTCAACTCTAGAATTGGAAAGTATACAGAGGACAGGACGATAATAAAGAACTGACCAAAGGTCGGGAATACTTTTGTCTATACACAAATTCGTACATAAACTACTTACGACAAGGAGGATCGAACCTCAAACGATTCAAGGCTATTGGTTCGTTCTCCACCTAAAGAACTTTTTGAGACTTTTTGACTAGAATAACAACGGTAAAAGTGGTGATGCTTTCGCTTCTCCTTGCACATATATTTCAAGATTCACCTTCTTTGTTACTTTGCCAAGAGAGATGAAAGATTCTCATTTTTCCATTGTTTCTACGTTTATATTCTTTCTTTTCACTAGGAGACGAAATTGATCCAATATATTCAAAGAACAAGTTTGGATAACAACCAAAATATCATTTGAGATTTGACTCTGCAAAGGAATCAGATAAATTGTTTTATTTTATTCTGCTGAATATTGCTTGCGAGTTGACGACATTTTTATTCTTTGTAGAGCAACTTGGATAAAACAGCGTTTCTCTTCTTTTTCAAGTTTGAATTGTCCCTAGTAGAAATGAACATTCCTTCTATTCGATTCTCGTTACCAATATCCAAAAGGAAGCCTCTATTAGTGTACCCATCCGGTTATACTTCGCAAGAGTCTTCTTTCAAGTGCCTAACGCAAGGAACTTTTGTATAGTGACTCACTTATTCAACGAGCTGATGGTTGAGAATGGTAGAAGAGTAGGACTCAACTGCAGCTGAACAAATCGTTCTTTGAATTTGCAGAGCTTTTAAAAGTTTTACCTTTTTTTTATATTGGAAGAAATAATAGCCCTCTTGGAGTTATATCGTTTTAAAGCAGCTTTGTACTTTTTATAATTTGCTTTCTTGTATATCTTTAAAAGTTGTGGTTTTTACAAAGTTTATCGTACAAGAGGATGCAACAAAAGCCTTTAAACCTAAACAGTCATGTTTACCTTCAAAAACACCTCAAATGTATAGTCGACTATTGAGGAGAAAGAATTCAACTATGATTCAAACGTGAGAAACGAGAAAAGAATCGATAGAATAGACTCAATTCGATTGAATTGAATTTTTCTTGAAAAATATATTTTCTCCTCTTAACAGAATCCATAGTATCAAATGCCACTATTTTCAGAGGAGAAAGAAACAGGAGTTATTGACTCTTACAGAAATTGAGTATTGATGATACACTTGAGTCAATGTTGTTTCTGAGATTTGATAAAACCACGCGATATTTTGGATCCTTCTTAGCACGTTTGTTTTGGTTTTGTCTTTTGCTATCATCAACTTTTGTAGCTTTAGTGATAAGCTGCTACTTGTCATGATATTGTAAGAATGGAATTTGATGATTGCTGAGAATAAAGCAGTGCTGTGCTTGTGGGTTTCTGCATTTCTACTAAATAATAATATTTCAACTGGAGCTTTTGAATAGACTGTACAAGAGAATGACTTGGTTCATACTCTAGTTCCGTGTTTCGAAATGAAGCAAAAGTGACGTGAAAACTGTTCCATAAAATACAGAAAATCTGAGAGAGACGTCTATGGAACAAATTCTTCATGAACAATCTATATTGCTCGGAACTCTCATGACTATTCTCGAAAATTCTGAAAGAAACTTTCTTATCTATGTGAGAATGGGCCATGTTTAATAGCTTTATACTCTCAAAGAGCATAAAAAACTTGTGAAATAAACATTGGCTTCCTTCCAATCCTTCTTGTACCCTATGAGAGTTGTCATTATATTAGCATACGAGAATAAGAATATCGATAGTTGAAAAAGCCATATTGATCGTTTTTCCATAGTTCTAGTCATCTCAGTCCAAGCCATAAAGGGTTTGACATAGTCATCAGTTGATAAAGAGAAGAAGTTGGATTGGTATCCTTTACTGTTTTCCTTGTTGTTGTTGTGACCGACAAACAGTCAATCGTTCATTTATTTATATTTTGTACTCCGAAATAAACAGAAGGTTGTTTAATTTCTCTTTGGCGATGGCGAGTTTGGATGAAAAGTGGGAAGCTGTGGACAAGTTTGAGTCTTGTTGTAGATCGTGAAAGAGATGTTGTTCGAGTGACAAAAGAACTGTATTATCTTCATAGTGGCCGAGAGCAACTTAGGGGTGTAACAAGTAGTTGCAACTATCGCTTGACCATACCATTTGCCCCCCATCTCTTTGGCTCGGGCAAAACGACCTTTGCCCGAACCTATTTGGAGTTGGTGCAAAGGTTTGGTGAAACTTCCCTGTCGACGTTTGCTTCAGACCCTTTGAGGAGAACCTTTTTGGAGAAGCTGAAAAGGGCTTCATTGCTTTATGTGGATTTGAAGGAGTTGGAGCCCACAGTCCCGATAGAGTCGAAACCTTGAGTGGGCAGTCTACTATTTGTTGTTCCGGTCTGCTTGTTCTCAGGTTGGTGTGGCGTTTTTTCGGCCTGATGAAGCCTTCGGACTGGTTGCTCTGTATCCCTGCTTTCTAGTTCCAGTGTTACGGGATATTTTGGGGATTCCTTCCGATCAATATCTTTTGTTGGCATTTGACGAAGTTGGTGTGTTTGATACAAAGGGAACCTTTTTTGAACTGGAGAAGAATGACAAAGGTGTGGTTCGACCATACAACGACTTTTTCGGTATCATTAGTCAATTGTGCAAAGAACCCGACTTGTTTTTTATAGTTGTTGGGAAAAGCAAGGGTTTAAGTATTAAGAATTATGTCTCTTCTGTATCAAAAGTCATACTACATTTTATTTCTTTATCACCTTTGGACGCTTCCAGTATCGTTGAATTCCTTGAAAAGAGTCTTCTTGAGACACCTACTCAAGTTCCGGTTTGTAATGTCTTATGTAGTTCTTCATTTTCAGTAAATGAATTGGCAGATTCGTTATTGGAATGTACAGGTGGAGTTCCTGGTTTGTTGACTCGTGCAGTAAATATGCTTTTGAATTATATAATAGCAAGAAATCAGCCTTTCATATCGAAAGAAGAATGTTTGACTTGTATGAATGACTATGATTTCCGAATAATTTGTGCTGAACCATTTGTGGATCGAATATTGAATTTGGACGAGGATAGAAGAAGTGTTTTTGATTTACTTTTGATGATGGCACTTTATCGTATACCGTTTCAAGTAGATGATATATTGACCTCGGAGTCCTTTTTATATGATGCAGTCACTGAAATGGGATTATATCGATATCCTATTGACGAGAATACTTTTCAAGTCCTGATTCCGAAAGTATTTGTTGTAATCTTCAAGAGGGACCCTTCCATCTCTTCTTTGGAAAAGATACTTCTTGGATCACTTGATGTCGAACCAGTAGATTGTTTCTTTTATTCAAAGTGTCGTGTATTTGAAGGAATTGTTGCTTTACGACTAGTTTTGATGTTGTCTTCAAAGAATCGAAATGAGTTGAGGGAATTGTTGTGTCAATTGTCTCCGATATGGAAACAAATGAAACTTCCAGTCAGTACAATATCACCTATTCACTATATGAAGTCTGTTGTTAGTTCTAGAGAAACAAGAAGTGAATCGAACAAGAGTCGAAGAACTTTTGCCAATACTGAATGGAATAAGATTATTCGAGAGACACTTTGTTTAGAGACTATTTACATTCCTTTGGACGCTACTTCTCATAGTCCTGATATTATATTCCAATTACAATCTCCTGTGGAACCCAAAGTTCTTACTGTTGGAGTTGCTTGTGAGGGACGTTGGAAGTCAGAAGGAACTGGTTGACCAGATATTATAGATGAAGCCAAGAAATTTCTAGATTCTGTTTATGATCAAGTCTTATCCAGTGCAATGGATTATCATCATTGTATGCTTATTATCGTTAGTACAAAGTTATCATTGAATGTCTCTCCTATGAGTTGGGTAATCATAGTCGTTGTTACTCCAGTGGAATGTTTATTCGAAATGATTCATTCAAAGTGCCTGATAATTGTGAACTTGTTATTGTTTGTGAAAGAGATGTCCAACTGCTGATTGACAAAGAAATATTGCGTGGACTTGAAAAAGCATTTGGTGCTTCTGATAATCCTACTTTTTGGGATTTGGACTCCAACTGCTTCATAGAGTCCGTCACAATTTCTTGAATCGTCAATGAAGTCTGAATTCTCAACTTTGTTGTTAACTTGGTTACTTTTGTTTTCCAGCAAGTAAACTTGTTTGATACTTGCTATCATATAAAATACGACGTACAACAATGAATCTATTGTAAAGCTTCTTTTTCTCTAATCATCCTGTACACGACAAATTTTTCAAACAAGTACATGATTATACAGGTGGAGTTCCCTGCTATGTTGAATATGTTTTAGCAAAAATTGTACGAGACCTGTAAAAGTCCTTTGAGATAGAGTCATTTCCAACTGTTGTTGTTGCTCCTTTCAACACAACTTTTTATTCATTTTCCAACACTGTTGGCGAGAAGATCCTTTGCTCATTTGTAGCATATATAATTTGAGTACTATGTAAGTGTCAAAGCGTGTAACCATGAATGGTAATGGTATAAGACAATAATTAAATTTCAGCTAAATGTGCTTTGAAACACTATATAAATATGTCAAACTTTTTTATTCATGGTTTTCCCATAGCTCAGTCTGAAGCTGGGTGATGTACCGAGGACAAGGGAACAACACATTCATCAGAGAAGAAATATTCAATTATCTCTTCGGTGGGGAAACGACAAAATTGCTCGGCCAAAAGAGGAAACTTTGTGTCCATTCGGCTTGAGAAGTATCGTTTCGAATTCGATTCAGCGCATTCTTTCTCAGCCATTCATTCTTACTATAAATGGTATCCACTTCAATCCTTTCCTGAATGTAATAATATTATTTGCATCAACATGCAGAGCAACAAGTTAGTGTGTTTCATCCTATTGGTAGTGGTTGCAGCAACTGTAACCTATGCTTCTCCCCTGTCACACACTTCTCGCTCTTCATCCAATGATACTATTGCTGCAGAACTTGAAAAAATGAAAAACTTCACTACTCTTTTGACCTTGGCCAATATCGCCAACCTAACCAGCACTCTGGAAGATCCTTCCCTTGCAGTCACCTTGTTTGCTCCTACAAATGCTGGTATTTCTTCCACTCTTAAAGCAGTGAATATTTCTGAATCGGCTGTGGTGAAAAACAGCACCCTAGTGAAAATGATACTTGAGTACCACATCGTACCCCAGCCTCTGAAGACTTCCAACTTCTCAGCCTTGAACTCATTTAAGACACTAGAAGGATCCAATGTTACGGTGACTAAGAACAGCACTGGTACGTTGAAGAGACATTCCGCACTGTTTCTACTTCAAACAAGAATATTCTGAACTTTTTTTCTAGGAGTCTTCGTCAACGGATTTGAAATCATTAAGAAGAATATCAAGGCTGACAAGTCTATTATTCAAGTGATCGATGGTCTTTTGATTCCACCCGGCATCGTAGTTTAGATATTTTGTACGTTTCTGAAAATGGCATTGATAAAATATATTTTGTTTTTCTTTTCAAACTTCAAGTATCCCATTTTCCTTTTCACGAAGCTGTTCCATACTTCTCTTCAAACGTGGCTTTGAACATAATCCTGCATTTAATGCATCTTGAAGAACAGCGCATTGAATCACTTCAATGTCTGAAAAGCCTGTTTTAACTTGAGAACCTAAAGATGGGCAAACAAAGCGACGAAAACCTAATTTTTCTGCTTCGAAAACTCTTCTTTCCAAGTCCCAACAAGTACGAAGTTCTCCACATAATCCCACTTCACCTAAGAATACAGTATCTTTTCGAACACGAACTTCACAAAGACTGGAGACAAGACATAAAGCAGCAGCAAGGTCGGCAGAGGGTTCTTGAATGCGAAAACCTCCTACAACGTTCAAATAAACATCATGTGTTTGAAAAGGATAATTCAATCGTTTGGAGAGTACAGCAAGTAGGACATAAAGTCTACTTAGATCGAACCCATTTGCAGTTCTTCTGGGCTGTGAAAAAGCAGAACGAAATGCTAGCCCTTGAACTTCTACTAATATAGCTCTGGTTCCTTCCATAGTAGCCACAACTGCAGAACCTTCCAATCCAATATCCGCTGAATCATTCACTCCATTGCGATGTTGACTTAAGAACAATTGGGAAGGATTCAGCACTTGAGATAAACCATACTCGGTCATTTCAAGAACTGCAATTTCACTAGTGCTTCCAAAACGATTCTTCACACATCTCAAAATACGATGCCTAGAATATCGTTCTCCTTCCAAATATAATACAGTATCTACAATATGTTCTAGTACTTTTGGACCAGCAATATCACCACTATATAAAGAATGAATCATTATCAACAACATAAAAAGTAAAGTTGGATACCTTTTGGTTACATGACCTATAAGAAAGGTTGCAATATTGCTTTCTTTTGCTAGTTGAGTTAACTTGGCAGCACATTCACGAATTTGAGATACTGTTCCAGGTCCTGATGCTATTTCCTCCGTAGAACAGGTTTGTATAGAATCTATTATGAGAGCCACTGGAGAATGCGCTTTGACTATGTCGACAATTCTATCTACATCTGATTCCGAAAGAACGTTCAGTTCACCACTTTGAATTTTATTCAGCCTTTTTATTCTTCCAACAAGTTGAGGAATACTTTCTTCTCCACTCACATATATTACTTTGGATTGGCAGTGCTGTAATATTTCAGCTGCAATCTGAACTGCCAAAGTACTTTTGCCAACTCCAGGATCACCTCCTATAAGAACAACTGAACCTGCAATTATACCACCTCCAAACACTCTGGAGAGTTCTTCACTAGTTAATGCTAGTCTTTCTTCCAAACTTTTGGAATCTTGTTCCAATACTTGCGAAACTCCATCTACAGAAAATAAATCTGCGGTATCCTTTGAAGACTCGGCGCTTCTTCTCCATCCTTTAGGAATATCAACTCTCGTATATTTCTTTTGCAAAGAAGATGGTTGATATACATAGTCAAAGCTATCCCACTCTTGGCATCGAGGACACCTGCCTAACCATTTTAACGTTTGATATTCACAGTTTCGACAAGCATATTTGGAATCGTTAGTAGCTTTACATTGCCATTCTCTCAAACCAATATATCTCTTTTGTTTGCGACCCAAAACCCCAACGAGTCTCTTTTGAAAACAGGAAAACGGATCAAACGATATAAACATATCCACCTCATCCAATTACCACAAAGATTCCTCATCTCCAGTGCCTTTAAGAGAATTTTTCGTGTGTTCTGAATGGCTGCATATTTTAGTACAAAACCAACCACTTCACAAGAGACGTTGGGAAGAGGTTCAGACCGTAAACCCTTGGAACTTGTCTGATATATGTGAAACAGATGGAAAAGCTTGGAAACCTTACTCCTATTCTCCGGAATACAGCTCCTTGGCTTCTCAATGGGACAACAACGCAGAAGCTATGCAAGTGGACCATTCGGAATTGAATGACTCCACAGATAGTGTGAAGAGTGTTTCCACTTCACCGAAGCACAACAATTTAAAGGGTCATAATAACCAATTTTCCTACAAGGTGTCGACTAGAGAAACTTCTTCCAACCACCAACACAAGGCGGAAGTGGGTACGTTAGTAGCAACGACCGAAGATAGTAAAAATTCGCATCGAGAAGTAGAAAGAAAAAGGCGAATGACTATTTCAAGTAAGATTGAACAGTTGAGAGGCTTGCTACCTTCACTCCATCAGACGCGCAAAGTGGATGTCGTGTCTACTCTTTCTGCTACTGTCGATTATGTACAGTCTACTTTATCAGAAAATGAAAAATTGAAGGCAGAAGTTGCAAAATTGAGAGAAGAGATGAAACAACTACAAGAACAATTGAAAGAATCTCGTTCTCTTAAAGTAGAACGCACTTTGGAAACTGCTATTGCCGAAAAGGATTCAGACTCTTGTATTGCGTTGGAACAACAAAAGTTACGTTCCAGTTGTCCCTATCGTGGCCCTTTAAAGATTGATTATTCTTTTCCTTGGACTCGATATATTCCACCCACTGCATGTGACTTGAGACTTGCCAGTCCTGAAGATTTGCAGAGGTCTTGTCAAATATTGCAATTGTTATCGACTGTAAAGAATTGTTATTCGTTTATTTGTGATATACAAGGTCATCTTGTTTGGCTGAGTGATTCGGTAAAGGACGTATTGGGTTACAAACCTGAAGAGTTGTTAGGTTCTGATGTATGGTCGTTGTTGCATCCCGAAGATTTAGATGCAGTTTATCCCATTGTGCAGACCTGGCATGAGATAGGCTTTACTTCTTCTGTTCATTTACGTAGGAGGAGAGAAGATGGGTCTTTTGTGGAATTGAAGAGTTGTTTTACTAATTTACTAAGTAGTAGTGGTGAAGTGGAAGGTTGTGTCTGTATAGAAACAATGTTGGAAGGTTCTTCAGATCGCTGGTTAGAAGCTGTTTACAGGATGGATTTGGATGGCAGGTTTATTTATGCGAGTCCTTCAGTAGAACTTATGACTGGATATCGAGTCGAGGAAATGATTGGTAGCCCATATACTTTTAATGTACACTTTGATGAACAAGATTTGATTCGAAACAATTTGCAACGCATCATATCTTCTTTTGATAGACAAGACTTAGAAAGTCAAGTTGAAAATAAGGCGGAAGAAGAATCCGTTGCCAGTCGCTTAAAGAATAAGACAAGTCAAACGATACTTACATGGTTTAGAAGAATTGCCAAATCTGGAGATGATATTTGGTTGGTTTCGCTTACAGTTGCAGCTGTAGATAAGCAAACTGGTCAACCCAACGGATTCCTTTCCATCGAACACGATATTACTATGCATGTACAACGATGGGCTTCTGTTCTTCATGAAATGGCAGACAATCATAATAGAATTTAAGATGTTTTCATGTATTGGAAAAAGGAGAATATTTTTCCACTTTCGAGTAAATAACTTTTGCTTTTTTTATACAAAATTTGCTTCAGAAACAGGTTTGACAGTATATAATGTCACTTGTGAGAGCAAATCACTGTCGAATACACTACAGAATCTGTTGAAAACTTGGTTTAGTTTTCCAAGTTTGTTTGCGTTCCAATCTGTTGGTCGTTGGCAAGGCAACTTGATAGAACAAGCACCTCTTTTGGATTGGCAATACACTTTAAGGTGGCTTGTTCAGTTGACTCGTAATAGGTTACAACATACTTCTCAGAGCCAGTCAATACCTTTGATATTTATAGAATTGTCAAGTGATGAGGATTTGCAGAAGCAAATTGCAGCTTTTAATATTCGTGAACCAGTGATTAGGTTGAGTTCAACAAAAGATTGGGAAGACTTGGCAGATCAACTTGCATTGGACAAGGAGTGGAAGAGAGTGGGTTTGAAACTCTTACAAGAAAGTGGAGCTTCTTGGTTATTCAAAGGGGAACATAAAATATTTTATGGCGTTCACGAGTTTCGCCAGTCAGCATCTCATTCTATCCAATGTCCATCACAAGGTGCAGAGCATAGTCTTCAAGAACTAGTTTTACAAGTACATTTGCCAAAGATGAACTCTATTCATGTAATGAATGCAGAAAAAGTTGCTTCTAGTCTGCAATTCAATGCACTTGACTCGTGGTATGCCTTTCGAGAATTGGAATATCAGCAACGGTTGGCTTTTGCGGTGAGTCAAATATTGATTTCTGCTCATGAGAGACCATATCATTCTGACTTTGTTTTGACACAAGTAGGAAAGAGGTCCACGAGTATTGCTACAAGTTCCACAAACCATTTTTAGATTTCCGAGAGATGCTTTCATTCATCCCGATAAGAAATGGATATTGGTTTCGGATACTTTTCATCACCGCATTGTAGTTTTGGAAACCAATGGCAAGATATTAGGAACTATTGGCTGTGGAGTTGCTTGGTTTCGTGATGGTGACTTTAGTTCTTGTGCCTTTCATCAACCTTCTGGTATGGCATGGAATGGAGATGCGATATACATAGCAGATACAGAAAATGGATGTTTGCGAATGGCAGATTGGAAAGCTGGTCATGTTTCTACTCTATATCCTGAAGAATATCGATTTTCTTATGATAATCTTACAAAAGCATTGGATTTTTGTGATATTTGGAGGACGTCATGGACTGCCAAAGTGACTCCAAAACTTGAAATGAAATGGGATCATCAGTTGGATGGAGCATTTGGTCGACCACTTGCTGTTGAAATGGATGGAACAAGTATTTCTGTATTAACTATTGCACCTCTTGCAGTATGGAAATTGAGTCATCCTAAAGAACATCTAAAGCAAATATCTCTCCAAGTATTGGATAAGCAGTTTGGAATGGATGCCTGGTTAGGGTATCTTAAACAGTTTGCAAACAGTTCAATGAAGATTCCTATAGAGACAACTCAATTGCATCCACTTCATAAGATTCTGAAGCATTGCAATGTTTCGCAATTGGAGAATTTACCTCCTCCTTGGACATTACATAGCATAAGAGAACAAGTTGCAGATTATGATGCATTTCAATATATTTATCCATTTTTGAGAGGAAGAAAGATGGCTATGGAAGATTCTCTTTATTTGATACCTGGCATTGCTCGTCTTGTGATTGATGTAACTGCACCAAAAGGATATCGTTTTGCTGGCAAAACCTTGACACATGTAAATATGCAAGGACCTATTGTATCTACTACACCTCCCATAGGTATTGACGATAACAAGGTAAATATATATTCACTATCCTACAAGGATTGTTGTGAATTGCTTGCAACCAGATTCCTATAGGTGAAAAGAGTAGAAGGAGATTGGAAGGATTGGATGAGCCACAAGATTTGTTCCTTCCAGACCCTCCTATAGTGGATTCTGTTTCTGGACTTCCCATCGTTATCGATATGTATACGTTTCCTGGTAGTGGTTCTATTACAGTTGATTTGGTTGTGTATTTGACAAAAGAGAAAACTTGTAACGAGAATGAGAATGCAATCTTTTATGACACAGTAAGAGAATAATTTTTGTGTTAAAAAGTGTCTCAATGAGGTGTAGATACAACTGAAGACTCCAGTTCGCGTTACTAGTTATGGATTTGAAACGGAATATCTGTCTTTGAATAGCAGAGTAGAACCTCCTTTACCCAACTATGAAATAGTAGGCATAGATCGTTTAAGTTATACACAGAACAAAGTTTCTCCATCTCAATAGATTATTATTATTATGATGATAATCACATATTGACTACTTCACACATTCCGCATTTGCTGATCGGATTGTCTACGACGCCAATAAATAGGTCTTTTGAAAACTTTTTGAAAAAACGGTGAAGTTATTGACCCTTTGAATTCAATGGCAAGTAGAATACCTTGGAATAACTTTCGTATGCCTCCTGGTGGTGGCCCTGGTAAGTTTCTTTTATTTCTATATGTATATGTATAGTTGATGAAGCTTTGAAAGCTGCTCGTGCTGCAGGTTTGGCAGTTGCAGGTATAGCTACTGCTGCCATTGGCTATAAATATGGTTTATATAATGGTGAGTTTCTCTAGTGATAGTTAAACGAAGTGTTGATATTGTTGCTTATAGTGGACGGTGGTCATCGAGCGGTCATCTTTAACAAGTTTACTGGAGTGAGACCCAAAGTGTATGGAGAAGGAACTCACGTACGAATTCCTTTCTTTGATGTGCCTATTATTTATGACGTACGAGCTAAACCAAGAAGCGTACAGTCTCTAACCGGCAGTCGAGGTAAGGGAAAGATATTTATCTGGTTACTCGCTACTTTCATCTTGTAGACTTGCAAATGGTTCAAATCACACTTCGGGTACTCTCAAGACCTGATCCAGATAAAATTCCCGTCATTTATCAAACTTTGGGAACTGATTATGATGAGAGAGTTCTTCCCAGTATCGTGAACGAAGTGTTAAAGTCGGTCGTAGCTCAGTTCAACGCGTCGCAGTTAATTACGCAACGTGAACAAGTATCGCGTTTGATTTCAAGGAATCTAAGGGAGAGAGCAAAAGATTTCAATATTGTATTGGATGATGTATCGATAACACATTTAGCCTTTGGAAAAGAATACACAGCTGCAGTTGAAGCCAAACAAGTTGCTCAACAAGAAGCAGAAAGAGCCAGATTCTTTGTCGAAAAAGCCCAACAAGATAAGAAATCCATTATCATTCGAGCACAAGGCGAGGCACAATCTGCCAAATTGATAGGTAATCATTGGCAATTCCTACGAAGTCTAAAAACTTAATGTAGAAAATGATAGGAGAGGCTATGAAGAACAATCCAGGATTCATCAAGTTGAGAAAAATTGAAGCAGCAAGAGATATTGCAAATACAATTGCCAACTCTCAGAACCGCGTATTTCTTAATTCGGATTCCTTGCAACTCAATTTAGGAGATGTCGAAACGGAAAGTACTTCTAGCTTTCATGAAATGGAAGAAGAATTGAACAACGTCTCCAAACGAAAATAATCAATCACATAGCATAGCAACCATAGGGTTCATTATTAAGCTAGTTGAGCATTGGCACTTTGTGTGGTAATAAGTTGTCTTGGAGACAACATATCTGACTCGAGCAATAAAATAGTCATTGCAAAGGATATAGTTAAAAGAAGCTTTTCAAATAAAACATATATACAAGCAAGGTCAACCAAAATGATAATCTTTTGTTCCGTTCTCAACTTACGGTTCCTACACCTGCATACAACAACTCCAAAGTATTCAACATTTGCTTCCACCACAAATAAAAGGGAGTAGAGAATCCAGCAATGACACCCACCGAGAAACACAATCTTCCCCAGAATGCAGTCAAAGAACGATGGCTGGAGCGTTGTGCACCGAAAACCAATAAGATTCCATACAATACCAACACAAACGGCAAGAATACCAACAATGGAAGTGGACTAGGAGGTTGAGTATTCATACAAGCCAAATAAATACAATAAACTCCAAAAACGACAGCTGCAAGAATCACACCCAACACAAATACAAATAAAAGTGGAAATAGGAAAATATAAAAGAATACTGAAAACAAAACACTTCCAAGCAAGTAGTGAATCAATCTCCAAAGGGAAAAACTTGAACCATTTCCTTGTGTATTTACATATGCACTGGTATTTGCAGCTGAAGTCTCTTCTTTAACTGGATTCCAAGCAAAGTCTTGTCGGTTCGGAGTAAGTGTCGTTGTGGGAGAATAGAGTCGTCGCTTTCCTCCCAAAGTGTGTTGTGGTCGAGGAGGAGAACTTTCGCTCCATACTTTGGTAGATTGATAACTAGGTTTTTCTTCCTTTTCAGGAGAACTTTTTATCAAGTTGTCTTGTTCTTCCAAAGTTGACATTCTTCCAAGTGTTGTTCTTCAATCTACTCTTCCCTATTTCGCCCTTTTCTTATCATCATCCATATCTTATCAAAACAATTCTCAACGCCACGAAAAGAAGGAAAGTAGTTGATATCCACAATGCAATAATGTCTCTCCACTTCATCGAATATAATGTCTAAGCCATATAAACTCAATCCTAAAACATGCGAAACAATTGGAATCAAAGGTTCAATGAAATGACGTAGAGAGTCCAAAGTTTCTTCAGGAGGAGAATAGATGATTCCATTCGTTTCTGCAAAACTCACTTGACTATCAAAACAAAACCATCCTTGTCCTTTATAAACTTCTCGTTGAATATGAAACAAGGGAAGGTTAGGTTGACAAAATATATCCACGTTGTCTCCAATCACGTATACTTTCCAAATATACGAGCTAGGAACTAGTCGCTGAGCAATGACAACTTCATTTTTTGCAAAATAAGTATTCAATACTTCCTCCAAGGCTCGTTCATTCTTTACAATGTACATACGATGTGACTTGTTTACACCACATGCTGGTAAAGACTTTAGAATGATTGGAAAAGATACTGACTGAAAACAACTGGTTTCATTGGATATTTGTAACCATTCTAGTCTCTTCAAAGAATACGTGGAATGGCCAGTACAAGAATAATATTTCTGTGTTGCAGCAACAATTTCATCAATCTTTTGTAACAATCCTTTCCTACTAATCACTGACCATACAGCTGCCATATCGTCTATTATCAAAGTAGTGTTGTTGGACTGAAGAAAGTTCTGCAAGGACACCATACGAGAACTTGCAACGGTGTCTCCTTGAAACGCAGCGGCCATATCATCCGTTCTTTTATGAATAATGACGTCGCAATGTGGTAACGAATAGATATCTTCCAATTGAAGCTCAGTCAAAATATGTCCTTTTCTTGCTAAATAATCACCAAAAGGTTGAAAGAAGGATTGGCGCTTCTTCAAGTTGCACGAATAACCAATAACTAGTTTACCCTTTTGACTCATTTATACACAGTTGATTACGATATGATGGGTTGTGAGTGACTAGTAGTATTTATTTATCTTGTTAGATTTACGTTCCAACACTGCACTAAGAAAATTCCAAAAGCATCGATCCTGACCAACAATTGCTTGTTCCGTATGAAATGGGCCATAAAAGATGTTCTTGTCATGAGTAGGATTAGACTTGTGTAGTTTTAGTTTTCTTCGTTGGCTCCAAATATCCGACTTTTTCCCTATTACTGCTACTGGAAACTGTTGACTTAATTCATATAAATAATAAGTTTCCATTTTCTCTTTCCATTGCTGGTTAACATAAGGTAAAACAGAAGAAAGGATTTGAAGGAAAAGATATCTCAAAGTTTCTCCTGCCTTTTTCAAAGACCCACTCTCTCTCCAAAAGGAATAAGAGTTTCGATTGTCTCTTTCTATACCTCCTTCCACATCTCCAAAGCTATTTTGAACTTGAACTGCCCAATACTTCCATAAACTATCTCTTGTTGAAGAAATAGTCAAGTCATACACAAATACAATGCCATCGAAAGGAACACTACGGAAAGCACGTTGAAAAACACTCGTACTGGTTGGAAAACCACCCCATTCCCATAGTTCTACGATAGTTTTCCTTTCCATAGTCTCTCTTTCAACAGATAACGGCAATATAATACAAGAAATCGAAAACCCCTTTGTAGGTCTTCTATACAGTTGTTTCTTAGCTCTATTACACAACTCCAAAGACTGAAACATACAAACTTTCGTGCAAGCTTGTTTGCACAGAACCAGAATATGAACACAAGTCTTGAATAAGTGACTAGATACAAATAATAATAAGTTTTATCCAATAATGAATTACAAAAACTCTTTTCCATTCTTACACTTTTACCGACACCGGTATCTCCTAGGAATAAAATTCTAACAAGGCTTATCAAAACACAACACTCGGTTATCTAACAGTGTTTACTTTACCGTAACTTCATTATTAGGCTTTTTCAGGCAAATGTTCTTGTGAGGCTCTTTGTAGAAACTCTCTCCGACGTACAATGGAATAACTCAACGAACCCAACAAAACAATACAGATACTCGCAAGTCCAAGACCAGTTACTGGGTTTTGAAAGAGAAGCAATGCGATAGCAGTTTGGGCTGCAGCTTTGGCTGTGGCAGAAACATTATGAGTCAAAGGACTCGTATATTTGATTTGCGTGGCAGTAGCAAAGGAAATCAAAATGCCTAGTAGGCCACTCATAGACAACATGACTTGAAGAGAGTCAATAGAAGTGATAAGAAACTCTAAAGAACATTCACGTACTCCAGAAAGAAGGATTGGAAACATTTTCGGAGGACATCAAAGTATTCACTTCTCCACTGAAGTAAATAAAAGGAAGAAATAATAGACAAGCATTCACATTGTTATATAATGTAATCTTCCACGGATCATTGTCTACAAACGGATACATTTTCTTCACATAAATAGCATTCATAGCAACAAAAAAGCTGGAAGTAACTCCAGAAATAACACCGATAAGTGACCATCGTAACTCTTCTCGATTACCCAACCAGAAACCTGAAACTACCTATAGTTTATATTAACAAGTACTAGAGCAATAAATATATGTATACTCACAATCAGACAACAGAAAATAGCAGCAGGAGATGTTTGCTGTCCAAGAAGCATAAAGTCAAGCGCTACGTTAAAAATGATGGTTAGAGATCGAGCCACTTGATAAAAGGACACTTCGACATATTTCAGACATATATTATTGAACACTACCATAAGAGTAAAGATGAAAGAAAGGGGAAGTAACTGCACACAAGTTTTCCTAAGCAAAAATAGACAGCGTGTCAACAAAAGAGACTGACGTGTAAAAACCTACCAATGTACTTCAAACTGAGGCATCTTCGTCCATGAAAGTCCACCCAGTGCATAACAACAAAATACAGTTACTAGACACTGAGACCTTTATGCAAAGTAAGCTTTGTTGCAGTTCATATAACTCAACTGTAATAATACCAAGTAATAAATAACGGCGCATTCACTTGAAAAGACTTTCCACTGAAAAGTAACTTGTTAATGAAAACCAAGCTAATAGACACTATCCAATAAAAGACTACGGCAGTCAACACTTGAGAAGACTTTTTCATGGTCTCAAACATTTTGATTGTCTTCGAAAAACAATTTGAATGAAGAATAGTATGTTGAACAACTTGAGTGATCGTGCAAGGAATGTGTTAGGGAATATAGGAGACAATGCACGAGACTTTATAGATAACGTGAGCGAAAAGACACAGAATAGTTCACTATCAAGAATACTTTCAGACAAGTTGCAAGATAGAAAATCCCTCTTAACAACTTCTGGTGGAGACGAAGAAGCCGCAGAAACTAATGTAAACCCTTCTTCTACTTTTGGGAGTGATTGGGCTTCTGAACTAAGTTTGTCCCGAACTCAACGTCTGGTTGGGTTTGCTATGTGTTTTGTTGCTGGTGCTATGATGCTTTTTTTGTCCATTCTGATGCTGCCAACGTCAGCTCTTCGTCCAGCCAAGTTTGCTCTAAGCTTTACTTTGGGTAATATTCTTGTGCTTTGTAGGTAAGTATAAAAAGGGTTGGTTTTTGCAAAGAGTGTTATTGATGGGCGAGGTGTTAGTACTGCATTTTTAATAGGGCCTTATAGACAACTTCAATATATGTTTAGACCAGTTCGATTGTTGGCTACTTGTGTCTATCTGATTTCTTTATTTATGGCTATTTTCTTTTCAGTTGCCAAAGTTAAATTACGATATCCACTGGTTGTGTTATCCATTATCGTTGAAATAGGGGCTTTGTTATGGTACTGTGCTAGCTACATACCTTTTGGCCAAGCCACGATATCACGACTAGTGGGACGGCTAGTCGAATGGTGAATATTTCTGAGGAATGAATTATGTTTCAAGTAACGGAGAGGTTGAGTAGATTATGCAGGAGTGACCACAATAGCTTATTCTGGTCTTGTTAAGCTTTTTTCCAAAGCTTGTTGATCTCGAAAGCTGTTTTCGAGCATACTAGTGTAGTCCTCCAAAAGAGAAGCCGTACGCTCCAAAGCCACTGCCTCGTTATATAATAGTTGCAAACGTTCTTTGGTTGTTTGGAATCCATAATTTTCATGAAACAAATGTTCTGCCTTTGCCTGTAGTTTCTGTATGTTTTTAGAAACCTGTTCCATAAATAATCTCGTGGAAGTATTACTATCTTCGACTGAAGTCAACTGAGATAACCCCACTGAAGAATAACCAAGTCAAATAATCGAGATAAACGATACAGTTTCTTACCTTGTAAATGAAGTCGAGAAAATTTTTTCAGTTGTTCTGAGAACTCTGACAGCAATAGATTATCATTTCTTTGCTTTGGTACAGCCGTCTGCATAAGTTGTCAAAAGCAACGCTGACTGACACTCACAAATTCCAATGAAAATTGTTTTTAGATTCTGTTGAGAAGATGAGGAAGACTGCCATATTTTTGCCAAGATGTAATACGAGAGTCCGACACTTGGGAGTTTCTGAGGCTCACCGTAATGATATTTTAAAGTGTCTAGTAACCTCTCTTGTTCAAAACGAAAGGATTGTTACTACTTTGGCAAAGGCCAAAGAAATGCGGCGTTACGTGGAACGAACTATAACAGCAGCAAAGGTACGTTGTTATTGCTTTACAATTAGTTTTATTCACTTTTATTTCAGCGTGGAGATATTCCACAACAAGAATGGGCTCAATATCTGTCCAATCCAGGAGCTATTGAGAAGGTCAAAACTTTATTGGCAGAGAGATATCGCAATCGACCCGGAGGATATGTGAGAGTGTTAAAGAATGGTTTTCGGTATTTTTTGTTCTATCGAGATTATCATTTTGTTAACTTGTTTGACTAGGTTTGGTGATGGTGCACCGCGTGCTATCGTGGAGTTGGTAGATTCTCCCAATTCTATCTTTAGTCATCCACTCTACAGAAATATAAGCCCTGAAGAGAACAAGACATAGAGAGACAAGAGTCACTTGCAAATATATTTTGCTTATTTGTTTTGGAAACATTACTTGATATGCATTATGAAGGAAAAGTATAGAAACTTTCACTTTGCCTGAAAACATTATTGATTAGTCCCTTTCGATCTATTGAAAGAAAGCCATAATAAATATTGCCGATATTTCTTTTTGGTATTCATTTGTCTGTTGCTTGTTGTTTCTTTGAGCATGATGGCTCGTTATACTTATGAACGACATTCACTGCAGTGTTCATTTTCATCCATAGATCATAATAAAGCATTGTTGACCTAACAAACATCATTCTAAGGATGGAAGGATTGTAAGGTATCGTATGGCAACTAGAATTTCTTTTCTTATTGACTTTATGGAGAGTGCGTTATAAGAGTCATCAGACTATATCCTTTTTAATTGTTTTTTTTTTTGAATTATTTTTTTTGATTGGGTATACTATGAGAAACGAATGGTCAGTATCAGTCCCACTGAGAAGTTTCTGCCCTACAAGTCAGCATTGACTACCATTATACGCAGACTTGAACTTTGATTTCTGTATTATTCTTCTATGAAAAGGATAATTTTTGTGGAATGAAATGCAATATTCTGTTGGAATAGTTGTCTCAAATATCAACAACACTTAAACCATATTATAATGGAAAGCTGAAATTTTCCATTGCTTCTGGACCAAAGGTAAACTCCTCTCAACTGTGATCTACTGCAACCTTTTTTTTCTACTGTTGTACCGTCGTTATGAAGGTAAAGAATGAGTTATTCTTGAGTTTCTTAGCTCATAGTTTTCAAGGTTATGCAAGAAGGAGAAGTTCTTATGGCATTTCCACACTCAAGGAATAGGTTATTGAGATTTTATGAGTGGCTTCGTTTAACCTATTACCGTTACTGTTTGTGGACTGCAGTTTATGTTATGACAACGGGTGAGCAGATATTTGTGAATGGAATAGCTCTTGTTGTTGTTTCACTTGTGGCGTACAAATTATTAGCTTCTTGTTTGCGTCACTATGGCATTTATCAACTGTTGGATGACCTGGGACTGACTTGGAGAACATATTAGGAATACCAGCCAGTTCTGCTAAGGGAATTATTCGTAAGAGTAGGTGTCACTTCAGTATTTATTATCATTATGGGTTGGAACGAGTAATTAGGTCATCTTGGTTGGGAAGCAAGAGATGTTGTCACTAACAATAGTAATAATACTTGTATAAGCAAGTTTTTGGATAAAAGCAAATACTAAACAATCGTTTGCATTTGCCATCTTTTTGAACACGTATATTCCCATTTCCTTTATGTTGGGATGGCTTGAATGTTTTTATGGTGGTTGCTTTTGGGTGTCGCTATATTCTCCCTATTGTTTCTGTTATCCATTTTTGAAATAAGAAACTATAAAATGGCTACACTTTCTACACAGAAAATTTCAAAGTTAAACGCCAACTCACCGTTTTCTTGTTACGAGGCTTGTAAGAAACAACTTTTGAAGGCTGTGGATTGGGACGAAAAATCAGAATTGACAAAAGTAATACTGCTCAACTTTATTAGCCTCCAACTCTCAAGGTTAGTTATTTTTACTAGGCTCTGAAGGAATATGTCAGTGTGGCAGAAAGATTAAGAAGTCTCTTGAGAAATGGACAAGGTTCAATGACACGTGAGAAGTGGATAGACTTTCAAAACCAAGTTTCGAAAACTTTAGGCCTGGTTGATGAAAGAATTGATGCTCTTTCCAAGTCTACCAACTCGTCTTTGCCTGTGATTGTCGACAAAACAGCGAAGAAACACAATGTCACAGGCACACAGCTACGTTCTGGAAGGAACAAAACTGCGAATATGAAGGGAATACTTTCTCCTTCTGAGAAAAATGAGAATTTCGAAAAGATACTGGGACGAATTCAAAGCGAGATTGTTGTTTCTTCGCCAGGAATTAAGTGGGATCAGTTGGTTGGTCTTGACTCTGTGAAAAATGTTATTCATGAAACTATTGTTCTTCCTTCTAGAAGACCTGATATCTTTCGTGGGTTACGTGCTCCTTGTAGAGGTTTATTATTATTTGGACCTCCAGGAAACGGCAAAACTTTGATTGCAAAGGCAGCTGCAACAGAATGCGAGTCTTGCTTTTTTTCCATTTCGACTTCTTCTTTAACAAGCAAGTTTTTTGGAGAAAGCGAATCTTTGGTAAAAGGTCTTTTCTACCTTGCAAAGAGGCGACAACCAAGCTTTATCTTTATTGATGAGGTAGACAGTCTTTTGTCAGTAAGAAATGAAGGTGAACATGAAGCAAGTAGAAGACTCAAAACGGAATTCCTTATTCAATTTGATGGATTGAACACTACGGGCGAAGACCGTATTTTTGTCATGGCAGCAACCAATAGGTGCGTCGATCAACGTTATACTAATACTTGACAAATTTTGAGTGTTGTTTTAGACCATGGGATCTTGATGAAGCTGTGAGACGACGGTTTACCAAAAGAGTATATATTCCTATGCCAGATGGAACTTCACGAAAAGCTGCTATCCTTTCTTTGCTGTCGAAAGGAGGTATTAAGAGTTCCTTGAGTATTGCAGATGTTGAGCAAATCGTACATATGACAAAGAATTTTTCTTATTCTGATCTGGCAGCCTTGACAAGAGAAGCGGCACTCTGTCCTATACGAGAACTTGGTGAGATACATTGTACCATTGTGAATTTTGCTAGAGAGTTTGATGACCAATATTTGATTAGGTCCAAAGATTGTTAGGATTCAGGAAAACAGGATACGTCCCTTGCGAAAGGACGACTTTGTAGAAGCACTGAAGACTATTCGGCCTAGTGTTTGTGAGGAACAATTATCAAAATATATAGAATGGAATGAGAGCTTTGGAGTGACTGCGAAATAATGGGAGGATCTTTCGAATGAGGATAGAAACAAATTGTCTTAATTGGATAGTATGGGAGACGCTGGGATACTACTGCTGAAGTGAGCTTTCTTGTTGTTCATGACCATGAACCCTAAAGCGATACAGGCATGTATACGCACCACCATAGTTATCAACAATCTCCAGTCTGATTTTGTCAATATATGGCAAGTTCTGGAACCGCACAGGAAATAATTGTCTACTCCTTTTCTCAATGCAGTATTGATAAGTACCAACGAGCCAATCCAATCTTTGTCCATTTTCTGACTTATTGTCTTGTATCAAATAAACTCGAAACAATTTTGGTGCATTGAGAACATTTTTAGAGTCCAAGTTGATGATATGCTCCAATGAAAATGCAATTGGTTGAATAGTTTTGGAAAGTTGAATGGTAACCGTTGCTGTCTTTCCAGCAAATGCCCAACAGTTTCCAACAGATACATTATCCTTCATTCATTATAAATATATATGTACATATATATTATTATTGTGTTCATAGATAAATTTGAAAAAGACTTACCGATAATATAGTCTCTGGTCCTTTTGGATAACGAAGAACAGTAGTATTGATGGATGGATCTAAGAAGGAAGCCATTCGTGCCAACCAGTATCTACTCTGTTGTCGAAGCTTGGAAGGTGTTGAACATATAACTTTGGCTCCTTCGGATGAAAGGGCATAGTCTTGCTTAGTCAACTTATAATACAGTCGTAGCTTTGATTCTAAAAGTCTAGCAATGATATCATTTGAAGAGATATCATTCACTTCATGGAGATTGATAAAGTTGAAAAGTTGTCGATAAAGAGTTTCTCTCCATTCTCTCAACTCACGATAAGGAATGCCCTCTTTGAGAATGTTTTCAGTCTTTTCCATTATATCCTGAATACTGTGTAGAATTGCTTCTGGATGATTCTTTTTCTGCTCCAAGGATATTGCCAAATCAGTAATCTGTGTAATCATGAATGAAAGTGCCGTTTCAAAGCTATCTCTTTCGTTTTTCGGACGATAAAAGATCGCTCGAAACCATCCCAACATATTCCTGTAGGAAGTAAACTGTCTTCTCGACGATTCCAAAGTTGTATTTGTTCTGAGGGAGAAAACGATAAATGTCCCAATAAGGATGAAAGCAAGAAAGAGAATCAACAACAATTTAAATACATTTGCCTAAGGAATATATTAGATATAATAAAGCTTGAACAGATTATCTTCCTAACCTTTGAATGATTTCGTTTCTTGGAATCAATACTTGATTGCATGAAAGAACGATTCTTTCTTTCATTACTATTAGAATGTAATGATGAATTTTTAGGATCAAGAGAATTTGACGTCAAGGGGCTACTATCTTCTACGACTCGTTCTGAATTCGAGGTTTTGGAAAAATAAGGAGGCGAAGATAGCGTTGAATAGGATGTCGTTCCATCTTTCTATCACTGAAATGATTAAGAATACAAAAAATGAGATTACTAAACATACTTGAAAGGCATTTCCAAGATTTTGATCTATCTGGTAAGATTCCTTCGCTTTTCCTTGCCCCTTTTGACTGCTTAAACTGCTTTCCTCTCTAGATTTTGGACTTCTGTGAATAGAAATGTTTTCTTTGTCGTCTGATGAAAAAGAATACTTTGTGTTTTTTGACTTTCTTCCCGAGCGAGAAATCGTTTTTCGTCTGCTTAGACCTGCGCTATCGTCGGTGTTGTCAAACAAACTCCTTCGAGGAGACGTATAAAGCGGTTCAGTTAGGACAGATCTTGAAGGAGATTGTGCTAGAGCTAGCTCTCGAGCTTTCGCTCTAGTAAGTGGACTAGTCAAGTTCATTTCTAAAATCTTAGCCTTTGTTGAGGAGAAAAGATACAATCCAATTTGAATCGATCCAAGTTTGCCCGCGTAAGATGAAAATGGTGAAGCAAAATGATTATTGCAAAATGTGACATCTTTCTATCTGTATCCAATAGAATAGAAGCAATTAAATTTTCAGTATAAGCTCATGTATCTATAGAACTTATAGACTCCTCCATTGCATCGATGCCAAGACGCAAAGTCATAAAACCACATTATAAGATGAGCCTGCTCATGGCTTGTGTCATAAACGAGTATTTGGAAAAATGCTGTTGTTCAAACAAAAGCTAACCCATCTATCTTGATGATTGTTTGATATAACTTTAGACTCTTACAGCTTTCAAAACAGTATACTAAACAACAAGTCGTAATTTTATTGTCAATGGGATTTCAAGTTTCCATCGTATGATAGAAGTGTAAGCAACATGACTGTCTATAGTAGTAAATTTTGCAATACGGATGCAAATTTTGAACGTTACAGATCAGAATGAGAGCCCGCCAAAAATTGGGTTTCGAATGTCCCTGTTTTCTACTCAAAGAGAATTCTGGCTTTGAGAGTCAAGAGAAGACAACTCGACCACACTATTTGTGAGATTTGTAATTGAATGTCGACTCATTCCTAACTAGTTTACATTTCAAATAGATTCCATGCACTTCTAGTAACAATACGAGACTTGTTATTCATCAACAGAGAAGACAATAACGCCATATTCGAGTGGCGCGAGCAACAATTTTGAGGAATCCACCTTGTACAATGTCAGTTGATGAAAAATTGCGGTTTAAGCTAAGACCGCTCTATTCATCTTATTATAAAGCGGATTCCACACCAATTCTTCTCAACTCCAACTCGCAATACTCTATTTCTGTATCAAAGGGAACTAAACGAAAGAGAACAAGCGAATTGAATTCGGGCAACTTCAAACAAAGCTACTATCCTACCGTCTCCGACATACAAAAAGAATCGATATCCAACGGACAGCTTCAAACATTTGTAGATAACTCCAAAGAAAATTATGGCTGTAATAGCAGAAATCCTGTCTACGCTTCTCGGCAGAACACCGACCAAGCCGATTATAACTGTTTTACTTACAATGCTAGTGGTGTTGCTTGTTCAGAAATGAAAACCTGCATGAGTACTGTAACTCATACAGCTACATCTTCGTATGAAACAACGGACAGTGGTGCCAGAGAAGTCAAACGTGCAAAGAGGTTGAAGAAACGCGTTTGTTACTTTTAAATTAATGACAGATATGTTAAATAGGGTTGAAAGAAATAGACAATCTGCAGCGGCTTCGAGAGAAAGAAAGAAGCGATACCTTGAACAACTAGAAAGGCGAGTATCCATTCTGTCCGCAGATAATGTCCGCTTGCAAATGGAACTCTGGAAACATCTAGCAGTGAAACACGAAAATCAAGTGTTGGTAGAAGAAAATAATAAACTTCGTGAAGAGGTAAGTTACCAATTTCAGTCATGTCTATAACTTAGCGCTTTCATATGAAAACAGCTTCATTTTCATCAGACATTATTAGGCCTTAAAGAACGTGAAGGAATGATTTCAAACGCTCTTTCATTTGACTTCAATTAGATTCAAACAGCAATATTAATATTCTTTGAATTCTTCAACATGTCATTGAAGAACAGTTGAAAATGAAGATAAACAAGAGTTTATAAAATCTTGCTGGACTCGATAAGAACAACTTGCTTCACCAAAGCTCTCGGAATCTTGGTCATTTTACCAGCAGAATTCACTCGGATTGCATCAAGACTGTGTCCTGCTAGTCTACCCCCAAATTCTTTCTTCCCTTTGTGTTCCTCACTCGTAGTAACTCTGATTGGAAAGCCTTTAAAAACTGAAAAGTCCTTATCCGTATTGAGCACTCCTGACAGACCGGGTGTAGAAACTTCGAGCTGATACGAAAAAGGAATCACATCATCTTCGTCTAGTAGTCGACTGAGACTTCTACTTAAAGCTGAGCAGTCACCAAGGTTGGGAGATGTCTCTGAGTCTATGTGACTTATGTATACCTAAAACAAAAAAATTGAATAACAACAGCTTCATTTAACCGTTGAACTTACCACAAGTTTTCCACCACTCCAGTGCATATTTTCGATAGTTAAACTCAAATCGTGAGCAGCCTTTTCCGCAAGTTGCCTAGCTCTAGAAATAAATATTGGTTCACCACTACGCTTTGATTCTGAGGTATCCGACACTGATGACTCTGCTGTCTCATTTGGAGGTAAATTGGAACAACAACAGAACCGCTTGAAAGGCCAAGCAAAATCTTTCGATTTTTTTCCAGAAAGCTCTACAAATCTACAGTTTCCATAAAGCATATAGCAACTGATTGAACTACGTATTGTCAAACAACTCTGTACACGAAATGTACGGCTTACAAGTTTGCCGATACTGACTGTCACAAACATTTACCTTTTGGGATTTGGATCCCAAAAAAACTTTCATTTTCGATTTATTCCATTTGTATGGACGAGATATCCAAATGAAGAGTTTTCAGAAAGAGAGTAATAATCATGCGGTAGGTTTCTTCAAGTTAACTTATTGTTTGATGTTGAAAGATTACAACTAGACGACTTTGGTTCAACACCTGTTGAGTACTCATCGACGACTTCATGTTCTAGAGGGAGCAGAGTCCTCCAATGCAACTGCAGAAAAGGATGGTGTTGACGACTTAATAATGTTGCTTGCGTCCATAGCAGTAGCAGTGAAGTCAGTTGGTTCTGCGGTGAGAAGAAGAGATATAACACATGGAAGTGGCACCGAGTCGGAACCTTTAGAACGTCTGGCCAATGAGACTTGGATTGATTGTCTTCTATATAGTCAACGCTCTTGTATTCTTGTTTCAGAAGATTTGGAAAATCCAGTAGTAGTAGAAAGTAATATGCAGGGAAAGTTTGCGGTTGTTTTTGATCCACTCACGGGTCGTTCATATCCTCCCTGTCAGGAAATGGTAAAGTAGTTGTATTATAATGGCCCAAGTTCTTATAATATTTAAGGGTGCTATTTTTGGAGTATTTCGTCAGATGAGCGGTGGGTCACCAGTTATTGAAGACGTTATGCAACCTGGGAGACAAATGGTTGCAGCAGGTTATGCACTTTATGGTGCTTGCACAGTTCTATTTCTTAGTCTTGGTAGTGGAGTGCATGGCTTTACTCTTGATCCTGCTTTGAATGAGTTTATCTTAACTCATGAAAATGTTCGCATCCCATACTGTGGTCATATTTATTCCGTCAATGAGGGATATTGCAGTTTGTGGAAACCGGAAATTAGAGAACTGATAAGTCGTTTCAAGGTATTTGAGAGAAAATTGGTTTCGAGTACATCGCTCATAATAGGATGTTCACTAGACGGAAGTCTCTTTAAATGGAAAAGAGAGATCTCTGAGGTATATTGGTTCTATGGTTGCTGATGTTCATCGTACTCTTCTTTATGGTGGTATTTTTATGTACTTTGCTCATCAACAGTGGCCAAATGGAAAGCTAAAGTTACTTTATGAAGCCTCACCATTGGCATTTATTATAGAACAGGCAGGAGGAAAGGCTTCTACTGCTCTTGAAAGAATTCTTGATATTACTCCAGGAAGTGTACATGATCGTATTCAAGTTGTAATGGGTTCCTATGAAGATGTAGAGTTGGTTGAACAACTTTTCAAAGGTCCTTCAAGAAGTGACCCAATGTACCTTTTGCGCCGTTCGCATAGCATTGAAGAAATGAAGGATTCGAAAGAAGAGTCAACATCATTCAACAAAGATGAAGATGGACCTACTATATTATGTTCCACTTTGCCAAGGTTAGCACAATATAATGAGTAACTATTGGCTTCTTGTGAATTCTCAAACATCGTTTTATTATGTGCAGAAACCATATTATGATGGTCTTTAGAATAAATAAGTTTTCTACCAAAACAATTCAACTTTACTCATTTTTAGCAGATTGAAAATGTATCTTGGAACGATGACTTCCTCCTCTATATTTATACTCTTCCTGTAAACCACTAGGATCACTACTTCCTACATATGACATTATATTCGGTCTCGAAACAGATGAGGCATTTGCATCCTTTCTAGAACCAACACGCTTTGCTTCAGTTAAAAATGCTTCCAGACCTAAAGGATCCGCTTCTTGAGAAGATACTTTCCCACTAGGTCGAATACTAGTAAGTTCATCATGTTCGAATTCTACAGGTTTCGTTCGTTCCTTCCCTGAGACAGCATCTTGAGACTCGGTAGAATGAAAACCAATATCTGGATGAAACTGACGTTTGGAAGATGCATCACTCCCTAATTGATCGGTATAAGAAGAATCCACTGCAGTCCTGCTTGGACGAATAAGAGAAGCACCACTTCCACCAGAAAATAACGGCTTATCATATACATTATATGAATCTTCAGCACCAAAGCCTCTATCTAGACCTGACGATTGGTTGAAAAGTCGTTGGTCATATTGTACTTCCCCACGAACGTTATTTACAATAGGCTGATTAAGCGCGATCTTTTCTGAAATATCGCGGTCTTGATCTCTAGCCAATTTGCTCCTTTTGCCACTTCGTCCAAGTTCCTCTTCCTTCTCCCAAAGTCTCAACTGCCTTTGACGTTCTCTTCGACGTTCTTCTCGAATCTGCTGGCGTTTTCTGTATTCTCTTTGTTCTTCTTTGGTCATTTTAGTGTATTCCTTTTCGTCAAGTAACTCTTCATGACCACCAACTTCATCGGTCAAAGAGGAGTCTGAAATGTCCCTTTCCAACTCTTGAGTAGCTGAAGATTCCCTTATGGAAGAAGTGCTATTCCTTCTTCCTTCCTCCGTATACATGCCGACTCGTTCATTTCGAGCCCGAGTGGCCAACTCTCTCAACTCCATTTCTCTTTTCTCCTTCTCCTTTTCTGCAAGTTTCTTCTGTAACTGAGCACGCTTTTCAACTTCCTCTCTAGCATTTCTTTCGGCAATATACAGAGACTCTGTAAATTTGGCAAACTTATCGTTAATACGAACATCCTGGAGACCTCTTCCATCTGCCGCAACTCTCTTATCAAGAGGTATAGTATATCCCTTATTGTTCTTCCAGTTTGAAATACAAGGTGGTATCTTCCAGTTGGCAGCTTCTTCAGGATCCAGCTTTCTAGGAGGAGAATGAAGGATGGGTACTGGGGGACTTGGTGGTGCAGCTGGAGTCTTCTTATGTTGAAATCTGGGAGGTTCCAGAGGATCCACAGGAGCTTCCACTAGTTTGATGATTCGTTGTTTGGCGCCACTATTATGACCGTCGTCCGAATTGGCAGGAGTATATCTAATAAATGTAGGTTTTCCAACGTCACGTTCTCCTTCAAAGCTTTTGGGCTTGGACGCGTTAATTTTGGCTTGAACAATCTTCTCAAGTGCCTGTTGTGTTCTTTGCGTAGTTTCAAGTATTTGTTCTTCGTCAGGTTTCTGGACTTGAGTCTCAACTCTTGGCTTCTCTCTTAAGCTTTCATAGCCGGTATGAACTATTTTGGTTTTGTTCTCTCCTTGCTTTACTACAGCATCATAATCAACTTCTCCTTTAGCGTCTACAGTAGGGACCAAGGTTCTATGAGAAACACTTGATTTGTACTTGTGTTTAAGTCCCATGTTTGCTGGGTACTGAAACACATGAACTTCAGGATAAGCACCCCCATCTTCAAAGTCTTCTTCAGACCTTGGAATAAAACGGTTTTCAGTTCTATGTGGATATTCTGGAACAACTGTTTCTTTGTTTTTCTTTTGAGGAGTTTGGTCTACCTCTTGTATACGTGCATTGGAAACCAACAATGAAGTCATTTGGAAACTGCCAATATCCAATAAATTCTATAATCGAAAACATTCAATTTCTTATTCAGAGACATGGATAGGAATGACTTGGAACAACTGTTTAGTGAAAACTGTGAACCAGTCTCACTTGTCAACCATGTTTTAAAGGAATGTTCAGCTAGTCTTCCAGAAGACCTTGAAAAGTATTGCAGTGAATTGTCTTTCAAACTTGAAGTATGTGCTATTCTAGCTTGAGAACACCCAAATAAACTTCAAGTCTTCAAAATAGAGCATCGCACAGCAGGAGACTCAAAAAGTAAACTTGGAGTTGGGCGAATTCAAAAAGAATGTTTCCAACTTCATTCGTGGTAGTGGACAAGTGCAAGCGTTAGTTACTACTTTAGAAGAGGAACTGAAGCGTTTACAAGAACAGCTTTCTTATTCTTTCGAGGAGGAAAAGGTGCACGGTTTACAAACGCTTATTCAGGCAGACCGAATATTAAGCAAATTAGAAGAAACCTTGACTCTCTTACGTCACGCTAAAGAAGTTCAAGACATTACAGATCGTCTGGACTCGTGGCGAAAGTCAGTAGATTGGGAAGCACTAGGAAATGCAGTTCGCTTATTCAAATCTAGTTTGAGCCACTTAAAAGACGTACCACAATACAATGAATTGCAAGATCATTTGCAAGTCATGACAAACCGTTTCCAGGAGCTGATTAGACCTCAACTCTATGAATACTTGTCAAATAAGGATTCTGTCTCTCTTCGAAACGTTTGGGCATGTTGTGAGGAAACCAATCAAAAGAATATTTTTATAGATGTATGGGTTTCAGAGAGATCTTCGTTTATTCAAAAATTGTGGAGTAATTGTTGGAAAAGTGCACTTCCAGTATTCACTAACCAACAGGAGATGAAAGGAAACTATTTGAATCATTTGCAAGGTATGCAAGAATGAATAGTGTCATTAGCCTATTTATATGAATTGTTTTATTGGATTTAGTTTGTTTAGATGTACATGTTCCGGAGTCTTTTGATATACTCAAATCCTTTTATGAACAAGTTGTTACGGATATGTCACAACAAATTTCTTTCATCTCTCCTGTCATTTCCCAACCATTAGGTAACTTGATAACTGCAAGTGTGACGATGGCATTTTCTTCTTTGGAACCACCTTTGGCAGATTCATATCAGGTCAAACAAGATTTAGAGATAGATTGGTTGGCAGATTGGTCTTCAGTTTTTGAATTTTATCACAATGTCATGAAGGAATGTTTGTTGTTTACTCAAAAGATAGCATCTTTGGCATATTATCATCAAAGTTCACCTTTTGATGTTCAAGGTGCCATTTCGGCTGTTATGGATCCTGCCATAAAATACATAAAGGATTTTAGGTCTTTAATGGATTCTGTTTGGTGTGCTTGGTGTCGAGCTCTCCTTGAGAAACAAAATGTAAATTACTTGAAGCAGGCAAATGCAGTACAAGATGCTTATTCTCGTATTTCTTTGTTGTCTCGAAGTGTGGATCATGACTTGTTCGATTTTCATGTGATGGATTCTTTGATCAATTTATGCCGCCAATGGATTCTTGGAAGTCAATTGTCTAGTATTTCTATACTATATTTAAGGTTTGGAAGAATGGTTGGTGATTATATTTTGGAAAAGGTAAGCAAATGAGCCCTTTTTGGATTCCAAAAGTTCTTATTATCTTGTTGATACGGAACTAGATGTCTTTGGAAAAGAGTGGTTGTGTTGACTACTTTGCAAATATGGAGAATAATTGGAATCCCATTAGATATATATTTCGATTGGCAGTTTCAGTTTGTAGACTTCAGAACAGTTGTTGGAGACTGGTTTGTGAAGGTCTGAACTCATGTCTCATTGCAATACAACCTATTATGGATCGTTATTGCTCTTTATCGGATTCGAGTCATGCATCAAGTCTTCTGGAAATTTTAGTTTACGAATTTATCGAAACAAAGTCGATAGATATACATGAGTTCGTAATAAGTTGGTTGATCATAACAGACAAGAAAGCATTGGATTGCATTCAATTTGATTCTGCCAAGGGACCTTTGGGTTTAGCCATTCATGAATTTGTAAATGATCCCTTTGAAGAGACTTTATTTTCTTTGCGCAAGGTAAAGTGAAATATAGAATGATTTGCTTTCTATAACTTGTTACTTTTAGACTTTATTGGAAATGATATTTTACAGGATTCAATTAAATTTGGACAAATTATCCGAACTAGTCATGGATACGGAAGAACAAAGATTCTCCGAAGAAGAACTGGATTCAGCTTCCTCTACTGGTTTATTTGGATTGTCTCCCCAAACTTGTATCGTTCAAACTGGTGAGTTTCTTCTCGTAATACCTCAAATGTTAGAGGCTTTGGCACCTGAAGAAACTTTGGAGTTGGCCTTGTGTTTACCAAGAAGTTTTGAGAAGAATGACGTGGTCGACATCATGAAGAATGGACCTGATTGTCAAAGTCTTGATAGAAGTGAATTTGTGAGACAATGGCTTTCCGTCATTGGTCATTGGACTATGAGTTATGTGGTTGAAAGAATCATTACTGATACGAAGTCTAAATTGACTGAATATGAATGTAAACAATTAAGTACTGATATAGAATACTTGAAAAACATAATCGCTGCTTTGGGAATCCCAGTCTTGAAGCAACTTCAAGTTGTTTATGAACTACTACTATCATCGGAAACCCAACACAGTGACTTGGACGTTGATGAACAGAATGAAGTGGATTGTGTTTTTTCGATACAAAACAAATTTGACTTGGGTCGACCACTTCTTCGGAGGCTGCAAAGTGTGGACGAGATAAAGCAAGCTTTGGCAACCAAGAAACTATCACATGCTGAAATTTCTCATTCATGAGAAAAGGAGTCTTTTCCATAAAGAAACATAATGTTATTTATATTTTTATATTGAAACAAGAAATTTTTATTTTATTTCCTTGAAGACTTGATATTTGTTTTTTTGGTCATCCATCATGGATCGAATGCTCTCATTTGAAGTATTCCCCGTCTAGGAACGGTCTTGAAAACATGGTATACAAGTTTAGGACCAACGTTATAAAGATGATGGACAAAGGAATCTTCCGAAAAGCGAAATGGTGAGGAATTGTTGATGTTCTGTAGATAAGCTTGTAAATATCTGTAAAAGGTACGAAGTTGTAAAGAGGTATCCTCCATTGGCTCCTCCTGGAAATCGTGGTAAACCTCCTCGTATTGTCCTTGAAGAAGACAGTTTGTACAACGAACTGTACCAAAGAATTCCACAGTTACAGTATACTCCGCTTCGTGTCGGCGATTCACTTTATGGGAATAGGTCTGTGTTATCTACATAATATTGATAGGGTTGTAAACTCAAGGTTGCTCTCAGAAACGTATGTGATAAGTTTGTTTATTTCCAAAAATTGTATATGGATAGCAAAGGTATGACTAAAGAGGATGCTTTCAACACAGTACAAAAGGAACTTGACGGAGAACTAAAAGACGCAGTTCGCCAATCTTCCTCTTTGTACTGGAACGGGACCTTGGGACAATCTGAGGTTGCCACGGAGCTTATTCAGGAGACTTCCTATAATTATATGAAAATGGAAGAACGAAAGGCAAATCTCCTTGCAAAACAGTATTCATTCGCTTCCAAAAAAGTAGATAGTCAAATATCGGCATCTGCAGCTGAAAGCTCAGAAACAATGAAATTGGAAAATAATGACAGTAAAAAAGATATTGAATAACTTTTGATTCCCATAAATCAACTACGACTGTTTAGCTTGTATGTTCAAATTTTCCAATGCAGTTCTGGTCACATTCGAACGTTCATGTTCTTGATGTCCTACTTCCTTTGTCATAACCCTATCCATGTTGTCAAGAATGATCTCTTCCTCGCAATTACCACCTGCTTCGTCTTTATATACATTATAAATGTCACCTCTATCTTCTCTTCTACCAGAGTTACTGTCAAGCCACCCACTCTTCAACGCATTGTGAGCTTTGATTCGCTTCACAGGGTCCACCTCTAACATAGGCAAAAGAAATTCTGCAATTTGAAAAGCTTCTTCCTTTTCAAAATGATACTTTTCAATGAGCACATCTTGTAAAGGCCACATATGAAGGCGCTTAATATGTAGCAGTTCTCCCTTCCTATTGAAGTATCGGTCGGTATATTTTCCTTTTCGCAACATATGCTTTGGAATGGGACCAACAAGTTCCATAATCAACGCTAAATGGTCTAAATACCCTTATTAGTCTCTTAAACATATCATATTCGGATATTTTACCTTCATCTCTATTATAGCGTTTCCCTGATTGAGGATCAAACAGATAGTCTCCAGTTATCAACTCAAAGATAACACAAGCTGCACTCCAGATATCAGCAGAAGTATCATAACCATAACCAAGAAGAACTTCCGGACTTCGATATTGTCTAGTTTGAATATCTTCACTAAAGTGTTTCTCCAACCAACAAGCATTGCCAAAATCTGCCAGTTTCACGCATGCATATTGGAATATTTCATCTCTATCGGAACCTTTTGATCTTTCCGTAGAATTGCTACCTGTCCGTTTATCTGCCATATTCAATGTGATTTCTTGTCTTGCCTTGCGGATACGCATCTTTTGCTTGTGTTTATGTCGTTTCTTTTGATTCCTCGACAGAGCTTCTAGTTCCGATGGAGAGGGCTTCAAAGATGCCATTCTTTCCTTTTCCTTTGAAACCAAAGCAATAGCTTTTTCTCGAAGGCTTTGGTACTTTTCTTGAGGAGGAACAAAAAGAACATTTTCGGGCTTTACATCGGTATGAATGATGCCGCATTTATCGTGGATATATGCCAAGGCCTGCAAAAGTTGGAGAGATAGCTTCTTAACCAAAGGCAAAGGAGCTCCTTTGTGTTCATATCTTCTAATAAGTGATAATAAGCTGCGGTCTAACACTTCAAAAGCTAAACAAACGTGTCTCCCATTCGGGCCTTCAACTTCAAAGTGATCCAGGAGATGGAGGACAGGCTGTTCTTGGTTAGGGTCTCTCTCTGAAATACGAGACAGCAATTTTATCTCATCTTTCGCTGCAGCTGTATAGTGACTTTCACTTTTTTGTATCTTCACAGCAGCTATAATTTCCTTTCTTTGGTCGTAGCACAACCAAACAGTTGAGAAGTGTCCCCAGCCCAACTGTTTCACAACGACATAGCGTTGGTGACAAAGCAAGTCTCCTATTTGCACAGGATGATAACCGCCTCTTCGGTAATCTTCTGGGTCTTCATATTCAGAGAGTTCGCTACTGCTTTCTTCTGAAACAATGTTTTCACTTTGACTGCTCATCGTACAAAAATAGGCATCGGCAACACGTCGCTTCTTTTCTCATTTTTCATCAAATTGGATTTATGGCAAAACAAGGTAAGAAGATTCCTCGAGAGGAATAGCTTTCCAAGACGAACTAAAAGTGTAATAAGCCCCAAACTCTGGAAATGGAGGAACAACAGAGTCATATACGTGGACACAGACGCTTCAGGACGTTACAGTTGTAGTTCCAGTGCCGCAAGGAAATACTTCCAAAACGATTGTTTGTAACGTTGAACAGAAGCATTTGAAGATAAAAGTACAAATTCCTGAAGAAAAGGTCCTCGTGAATGACGACTTATTTGCTGCGGTATACGCCGAAGAAAGTTTCTGGCAGTTGGATTCCAAAGAATCTGTTGTAACCATATATTTAGACAAGGTTAACAAGATGGAGTGGTGGCCCAAGGTTACTCAGTCTGAGCCTGAGATAGATACATCAAAGGTGGAACCCGAAAATTCCAAGTTGAGTGATCTCGACCCAGAAACAAGGAGTATGGTTGAAAAGATGATGTTTGACCAACGGCAGAAGGCTGCAGGACTACCAACTAGTGACGAACTCAAAAAGCAGGAGCTCTTAGCAAAGTTTATGGAACAGCATCCGGAAATGGACTTTTCTCAAGCGAAATTCTCATAAAAAGGTTCGAGTTGAATGCAATGCCAAAGTAGAAAAATTTGAGCCAGCTCAGATTTGGCGCCATTTCCTAAACCTTTGACAGATAGGAGACTAATGATATGGCAAATAAAGGTTTACTGCTTTTAAGCGTTAGTTTTGACATGTTTATCATTGTATGTTACTTGTTAGTTCTTGATTTCTTGTCACTGATTGAGTTTGTCGTAGAGTCTGTCATTTTCGTATTTTGTTAGGGAATGTCGTACAATGTTTCGTTTGAATCGTCATTTCAATTCAGCTATGAATGTCGATGCTCCAGGTAGATTGAGTTTTTATGGCAATCCAAGTTTGGAAGACTATAGACGCTCTAAAAGACTCTTTCGGTTTGAATTGATGCAAATGCGTAAGGAAATGTCTTTCCAGTGCCATACGAGCTACCCTATTTGGATTCTTTCCATTAAGGAAAATGCCAAAGGCAAAACATGGGTCTCCAAGATTTTCAGCCCGAGGAAGATCGATAAAAAGGTTAAACTCACTATTCAAGGAATTTTGGAGTTTCGTTATTTCCCTAGTCAAACGGGAATCTATTGCATGAATATTAGCATGTCGATTAGTTCTGGGAGTTTGCATCTTCAAATAATGGCAGAAAAAGGTCAAAGTACGGAGCAACTGAATTCACTCAAGCGAAGGATTCTACTGCAACAAGTATATAAAGAGTCTCAAAAGGAAAATGCATCGGTCTGTGGTCACACAAGGATATCAGGTAATGTGTTCCATATAGCCTTCTTTCCCATCTGAACCCTTTATTTTATAGAAAGATTGAAGATACAATTAACATGCCAAAGCAAAGATTGCATGGTTCTTATAGATATTCACATAGAAAAATGTCTCAGAAAATCATTGAATATTACAACGAGTTCGAAGAAAACTTCAAAGTTCAAAAAGATAGTGATCATACGACCATTTGTTTGGGAGCAAATATCCAAACTTGAAGAAAGCATTTCAACCTGGGAGAGCACCGAGGCTATGCCATGTTTCTATAGTCAACAAAACTTTGGTGAGGACAATGATTATTATGTTGTTAGTTGTTTGAATAAGCAATTCTATGATTAGTGGACCTCGCCTTTTATGTTTCTGGCTTTCATCATTATCAACTAGAGCAACGATTGTTACAAAAGGCAAAAACTATACAGGCCCTCAAAAAGTGTTTTGGGAAGGTATTTGGCGAACTTTTCGAACGGTTCTTACCAGCATTTAAGCTACATCAGATTCTGTTTCTATATGCTTATATTTCTCCTATACACGATAGACATCCTGATGGAACTTGTCTTATGTTTTATTCTCTATTCGATTCTATCGTCGGTTTGCATTTACGAGGTGTAACTCAGTTGTTCATGAGTATGTTTTTTTAGAGCGAAATTTCTCTTCAATATGAGGCCTTCTTTTATATGGAACCAGATGTACACGTGATCAGACCATTTTGGCTGGATGAATTGGTCCATATGTATTTCACTCGTTTAAGAAACAACAGCTTTTGGATAGCAGGTAAAGATTTGTTTTTCCATGATGGATGAATGGTATTTAACGAAAACGTTAGGGAGCATTAGTCACTGTCCAGGTAAAGAATTGCTAGTAATTGCGTTGGTGAATGAAAAAAAAGAAATGCACTAGGGACCTTTGCCTTTCAAGATTGGCATATTAATGGCAATGCGTTGTATAATTTACAAGACGAATCTTTCCTTTGGTATTTATCACTAGTAAGACAATATTATTTTCCAAAAATGGTAGAGAGATATTTGGAAAACTCATAAGAAAGCGTATTTATATTTGTTTAGCATGTGAAATATGCCTGGGGTTGTTCTGGAGGTCATGGAGGATATGATCATTCCATTTACAATCTTCCTCTTGATCTGTACAAGGATAACATTCACTGTTTTGGGAATACCTCTGGTTCTTTCATTACATTTGCTCATGGTAGAATGATGAAAACTTCATTCCTAGTCAACTATTGTCAGCATCCTTTCTGCGTAGAAACTGTAAGTCATTCATTGATGATTGTACACAAAATCTGACTGTTTCTCAGATCAAACGAAAATATCCAAACTCATTTCTTGTCCACTCTAAATTTCTCCTCAGTTCACCGTGCTGAATTAGCTCCACGTGGCGCCACGAAGGGAACGTCCCTACAAATGTGCGGAGACTGTATTTTGAGGGACAATTCGTTAAAGAATTAAGTGGTGAGGTCAAATGGTAGACTTTAAAGAAGATCGGTTTGAAGAAAATAGTGGTTCTGAAATTTACTTTGTTTCTTGTTATTTATTTGTTTGGATATCCTCAATAGTTGTGTTTGGGGGAGCTGCAGATGTTGCATCAGTGGCAAGTCATTGTAATGGATATTGCGGATTCTCTATTGCCTGCGGTGTTTTGTCATTTCTTATCACTTCTACTTTGCTGATATTTTATTTGTTTCAATTGGAAAGAGTCTTGAAATTTCAGTATATTCCAATCATATTTCTAGTTCTTCTGTGGGCAGCAGGAACAGGGGTTACTTCCAGTGTACACGGTGAAAGTGTCAACACTCCAGTATCGGTGGCGTTTTCCTGGTTATCTTTGATTGGTTCCTTGATACTATTATTCCTAGTTGTTCAAAAATACTCAAAAGCAGGGATACACATAAGACTGTCTTTGAGTCCGCAAACCCAAACCAAGTTGAACACAACCAACGTATCCACAGCCTCCTCAACATATCCTCAAGCCTAACAAGGCTATTGATGCCCATTTTTACAAATCTAAAAGTTTCTTTGGTTTCAAGGAATAAACAAGTTTTCGAATTCAAAATTTTTGGGCTATTACTGCTGCAAATGCTTCAGGTGATAAACGAACTTTCCCCAACTGTCGCAATTTCTCTTTCCCTTCTTTCTGTCTTTCCAATAACTTTTTCTTCCTATTTTACTGTTCATCAAGAGCATATTTATCATTGATAGATAACAATGTCTGACCTTGACACATCTCCACCATAACATTTTGCCAAAACATCCTTTCGCAAAGGTTGAATAAAGTCGGAAGCAATTACCTGACAAGTTAGTTGTTCATGGTAGGGAATCAGAAGCATTACACTAGTCCTACTTTGGTACTAATCATAGCTTGCAACACAACCTTAAACTGATGACGCGGAATATACTGCTTTAGTTTTTCAATGATTTCCTTTCCTTTAATGTAAGCCTGGTCGCGATGTACGACACAAGATAAGCCTTCTACAACATCTCCTGCCACAGCTATATCCAACTTTACGAGGTCACTAGGTCTGGCAAATAACATTTTTGAAATCACTGCATCTTGACAAAAATATCGCTATCTGTGCTTACCTATAGCTATGAAACTCATAATCCATGCTCCCGAAACCTCTTGTTCGAGACTTGACGTGGTCATAAAAATTCGTCAAAACTTCTGCTAGAGGAATGAGGAACTTGAGAAGAATTCGTCCATTAGAAACATAGCGCATATCTTCCAAACTTGCTCGATGATTCTATTCCAAAAGTCAATGGTCATTACAAACATAACCAATCAGATGAACAATGTATTCACCTGACAAAGCTCCAATATCGTTCCATTAAATTGGTCTGGACAAACAATATCCAACTTGACAAACGGTTCTTCAAAGTGTCTAGCATCATTTGGAATCTTGGAAGGATTACTTTCCATAAAGTATTCACCTTTGAAATTTCTAAACTTGTATACCACACTGGGAGCAGAAGTTAAAAGTTCCAACTCGTATTCTCTCTTCAATCTTTCCTTTTTGAATGAAATTTAGTAGTTGGGGAGCAAATTATGCTAAACTTACCTTTACAACTTCCATGTGCAACATACCTAGGAATCCTACACGAAAACCTTTTCCTAAGACCGAAGAAGACTCAGGTTGAAAGGAAATACTAGAATCATTCAAGGACAATCTCTCCAACGCTGCTCTTAAATTTTCGAATAATGTGGCTGAATCGGCAGGATAAAGTCCACAAAATACCATAGACTTTGCAGGTTTATAACCTTGCAAAGGCTCTTGCGTTGGATTGTCACAACCAGTGATTGTGTCCCCTACCTAATGAAAGTGAGCTTATGAACTCAAAGATAACAAAGAAGCATACTGGAGCATCATGTAAAGACTTGATTCCAGCTTTGATAAAGCCAACTTCTCCACAGGAAAGCACTCCACTTGTTCGAACAACTTCATCTGGAGTTAGAATGCCAACTTGTTCAACACTATGTTCAACTCCTGTAGCCATAAACCTGATTTTCATTCCAGTGCGAATCTCTCCATTCTTCACTCGAACAAATACAACAACTCCGCGATATGGATCAAAATAGCTATCGAAAATAAGTGCCTGTAGTGATGCTTCCACTTGCCCTTTTGGAGGAGGTATCAAGTGAACTATTTCCTCCAAAATTTCCTCTACGCCAATACCAAATTTCGCAGAAGCTCTTACAGCTCTAGAGGCATCAATACCTATGACCTGAGATATTTCTTGACATACTTTATCTGGCTCTGCAGTGGTAAGATCAACTTTGTTCAAAACTGGGACGATTTCTAAATTATTTTCCAACGCAAGATCTACATTGGCAATTGTCTGCGCTTGAACACCTTGGCTAGCGTCTACAACAAGAAGACAACCTTCCACTGCTGCTAAAGACCTACTCACTTCATAGGAAAAGTCAACATGGCCAGGAGTATCTATCAAGTTGAGCAAATAACGACTTCCATCTTTGGAACGATACCATAATCGAGCTGCTCTCATTTTTATGGTAATGCCTCTTTCACGCTCAATGTCCATATTATCCAAGTACTGGTCGCGAAATTTTTCAGGAGCAATAGTTCCAGTAAACTGTAACAAACGGTCTGCCAAAGTAGACTTGCCATGATCTACGTGAGCTATAATAGAGAAATTGCGGATGAACTCTTTATCCACAGGTTTATCATTATCCACTAAAACAACCCAGCAAATATTATCTTCCTTAGTACTGGTGCAAAGTTACACTTACCATCAGAAAGAAAGCTTGAAGAGGTTTTGTCAGCAACTGAGGAAGAACGTTTGTGGATATCAAGAGGTACTTTTGAACACAATCTTCTCCAATCTTTCCATGAATAAAGACAAAGCTTCTTAGAAAAACTTTTCCAATGAAAAAGAGACATCCAATCCTCAACAAAATGAAATGTTCCATTTGCTTTGGGTGGCGGTCATCACGAGGTCAAAGGTGGATCTGTTACTATGGCTTCGGTTTCATTACAAGCTTTTTTGAATAGCCAAAGTTGGAACACTTGTCCTTCTTGTAGAAAAATACAGAATATAAGAAGAGTTTCTGTGGATAAAAGTGTATCTTTCCCTCTCTGCTATTATGGAAATAGGAGGAAATCGTTTTCTCTGGAATACCTCACTTGTTCCTCGATTAACAGTGAACATGATGCCAACCATAAGGAACAATCTATGGTGAACCATTGTCAATATATTGGAAGCAAAAGATTGATAAAGAAATTAGTTCGTGAGCGTTTTCAAGCTGCAAAGAAGGCGGAAGGCAATGGAAACTGGAAACTGGCAAGAAAATTATTAACGCAGTGTTTGGAGTTAGATTTGACAGATGCCCACTCATGGCTTGCTCTTGCAAAGTTAATGATGAAGCAGTGTTTTGGCGTAGAAGAAATACGTCGTTTTTTGAACGAGGCTATCGAACGTTGTCCTGAAAATGTCCGACTATTGCATGCCTATGCTGTCTTTGAATACAAAGCAGGCTTTCCCGATACAGCTCGACAACTATTTCAAAAGGGTTTATCTATTGAAATGGATAATGGATATATTTATCAAGCCTGGGGTTTGATGGAACAGAGGTTAGGAAACATTGAAAGAGCAAGAGAGTTGTTTCATGAGTGTTTACAGATGGACGCTAATTTGGAAGTTTTCATAGCCTTGGGAATGTTGGAAGCAAAATGTGGAAATATTCAGCAGTCTAGAGATGTCTTTGAAATGGCACTAAAGAAATTAAATACTTTTCCACCTCAAGAAAAGATAAAACGAAGAGCAAGTTGGAATGCCAAGGCTGGACTATATAGAGCATGGGCCAATGTAGAAGAAAGTTTTGGAAATATATCTTTGGCAATGGAACTTTTATCCAAAGCTGTATCAGAGTGTCCAGTAGAGTCCGAAACATACTTTGCTTTGGCAAAACTGGAGTATAAATGTAAAAATTGGTTGAATGCTCGGAGGTGGATACAACTTGCAGAGACCGTTGGAGGTCCTATCAATGTTGCTATTTACAGTTTTTGGGCAATCTTAGAGGAGAAATTGAATCATGTTGATATTGCTAGGCAATTACTGGAGAAAGCATCCCGTATATATGTAGCAGACTGTAGTATTGTGCAGACATGGGCTACATTGGAACAAAGGGCAGGAAACTTGAACAAAGCAAGAGAACTATTCCAAAAAAGTATTGATATTCGGCCAAATGCTCCTGCTTTTGTAGCTTGGGCTCTCATGGAAGAGCAAGAGGCAAACTTTGAAGCAGCTCGTATGTTGTTTCAACGAGCTCTACTTGTTGATACCTTGCATAGTCCTACTTATAATGCATATGCTCTATATGAAGCTAGACAAGGGAATCTGCAGGCAGCTCGTGCCATATTAGAAGATGGCATGCGGAAAGTCTGTTCTCCTTGTATATTGCATGGATATGCACAATTGGAACTAAAATATTGCAATGATATCTCCAAAGCTAAACAATTGCTATTGGAAGGAACCAAATGTGCTTATGAAGATAATTCATTTGTATGGCATTCGTTGGGTTATTTGGAACTGTTGCAAAGGAATTATAAGGAGGCCATTCATAGTTTCGAACAAGGTATTTCACGCTATCCACGAAATTCGCTGTTATACCTAGGTCTTGCCTTATGTTATGTAGCAATATTGAAGGAACCTGATTGGGTTGCAAAAAGCAACCAAGCAGGAACACAGTTGCCATTCTCGATAAGAAGAAATTTTGAGGAAGCTATCCAATGTGATCCTTTTCATGCTCATGCATGGCAGGCATGGGGTGTCTTTGAACTTTCTCAAGGGAGATACGAAGTAGCGCGAGATTTGCTAAAGAGAGGAATACAGAATTGTTCAACACATGTAGCATTGTGGCAAGCTCTAGGTTTATTGGAGGCGCAGAGTGGAAACATGCATAGAGCTAGGGAAATATTTAAACGAGGCTCTCTTCTACCCTTCAGTTATTCTCATGTAAGATTATATCATACGTGGGCATGTTGCGAACTTCGAGCAGGCGCTGTAGAGCAAGCGCGAAGGTTATTGGAGGAAGCTTTGAAATGTGATAATACACATGGCCCTGTTTGGAACGTATATGGTATGCTTGAAGAACATCATGGCTCGATTATTCGAGCAAAAGAATTATTTAAAGAGGGTATTCAACAAGCTCCTAAGCATGTACACCTTTATATTTCTTATGCGTTGTTTGAATTTCGCCAAGGAAACGAGGCCAAGGCAAACGAACTCTTTCATCTCGCATTTCAAATAGATCCTCATCATTCTTATTTGAAGGAGATATATTCCAAATTCAATGAAATGTTTTTATTGAATAGGAAAAAATATCATTCTTCTGGTGTTGAAATGCAGAAGAGGCACAGTCGGACAATATCTCATGTAAACTTTTCTTGGTTCGATATGGATTTGCTTTCGGAACTTGAAAGTTCCACTTTGGCGATGGATGCTTGTGCAACTCTTAGAGTTCAGTCCTAAGTCAAAAGTTCTGTATTTTATCGATTATTATTTTTGCGAAGGATCTTTTTGGTCATTACCGAATATAAGCGTTTTCAACTTTTAAACTTGTATTATTCTCTTTGTAAATTTGTAATCAGAGAGATGACGCATTGAAATAACTTGTAGTTTGGAAAGAATAAATCGTTTAGCATCTGTAGTCTCAAAGTAACAAACAAATTTTGATGAAGATAAAAAGCAATTCAAGTTCTTGGCGCGCATTTTGTTTCAGTAGCAAACCAATGATACAGGCTGCTATTCAAGTATTCTCAGAGGCCAGTAGATGTTGCGAAACGACCAAAGAACCTAATAAAAGAAAGAGAATCGTTGCACCGGCTCCTAAAGATGGCTTGACTTGCGACGTTATTGTGAATAGTTGCTCAAAAGAAAGCTTTCTATGTTGTAGTTTTCGAGAGTCCTGGGAACGTATAAAGGATGAGTTTTATCTGTCTATTCAAAAACACAAAGAACAAGTTGTTCAGAACATCTACCGAGTCTTAAAGGAAACCTTTGTGGAATTCTCGCTTCCAATCGTGTCTCTCTCAAGTGATGAGACTGAACACGTATATCCTCACTTGGTGCAACAAGTAAGAACTCCACTTCAACTCTTCCCAATTATTCTGTCGGTATTCACGATTCTAGGTATTAGACTATTCTCAAAAGGTGGACTCCAACTTTCGTCAATTGGTAATACGACTCCGTTCTACCGATTTCCAGAGTTTGTCGCTTGCAGTAAGAGCACTAGTGGAACAGTGCATTTCAAAGGAGATTTTCAAAGACTATTTACCAGAGTTGAGTCAAAACGACTGTATCAAAGTGGATCCAGGTTCTGTAGAACCTCCTGCTGATTTCTTATTGCAGTGGTATCATGACGTCTCTAACCATGGAATTGCAGTCAACGTTATAATTCTAATAGAAGGTTTGTTCTTTTTATTTGTTCTGCCACAATTTTTTAAGCAGAATCTCTTTAGACATTTATCTTATTCCTGATTCTATTTTGATAAAATTCATTCAGTGGATAAGCGCCTTGAGAAAGCAGCGAGTAAAATTTTGTCTTTTTACTTTTGCCAATGAGGAGCTCTCACTGTTCAAGGCAAAGGTCGAATGTCAAGGCAGATTTTCCATTGCGTTTTATCCTGTTCATGATTCCACGTCTACAGATGCACTCATACAAGTCCTGGAAAACGTAAGTCTTTGATAACTTGGTCATCGTTGTATCTGAAAAGCTCTCGTCAGATTTTCGTCTTCAGAGTTCCTCCCTTTGATATTTCATCTCAAGTGTTATCTTTTTTGCGAAAGAAGGTTACTTGTGATAAAATTTCCGTCTTCGAATTTTTGAGATTCCTAAAACTCATTTGGTTTGATTTCTTTTCTTCAAATCCACTCAAGTATTTAAAGGTAACTCTCTGATTTTGCCAACTATACTTCTAATCTCATTTATCCAAGGACAATGAAAGCATTTTTCAGGATAAGCATCTACATTCAATTTTGGAGAAACAGGGTATCGTATGTGTTGTTGCAACTATAATATGTCATATTTTGAACTCACTATGTCTTGTCTAGAAAACATTCGACGAGTTCAATGTTCATATGCAACGTACAATTAGGGATAAGAACGTCGCACACGGTATCTTGCAGTGGATTTCTAAGGATATCCTAACATCTTGTTCAATATATGCTCCACCTCTCGACTTGTATGAAGCTGCTTTGAATGGAGTTTTGAGCAAAGAAAAGAGCATGGAAAATATCAAGTCTGCGCTATACACACATGTTCCCGCTTCAAAGCTAAGTGAAACTCTCACAAAATGGTGGTTGAATTTGGAACCACAACTTGAAGGCAGCGAATGGAGAAAGGAAATCGAAGAATCCTTTTCGAAACTTATCCACATCTCGGAAGAAGGAGTTTCGGATAATACAGAAATGCAAGAATCCAGTTTGAAAACTGAGTCTTGTTTGAATAGAAATTGGAACGCAGCCAAACGAAGAAAAGCGATGTTGCAAACTTTGAGAAAGCGACCAAACGGAGACATCAATAGAATGCATTTAGATGTGATGCATCTGCTGCTTAGACTCGTCAATTTCATCGATCAAACTTTCTCCAACCCATTCGCTCAACTATTCACTTATTCCTCGTTTACTCGTCTTCTCCAAATAAGTGGTTATAATACTCTTTGTCGAAAACAGTGGCTTACTAGAAACAAAGATAACTTTGAATGTTCCAAGTATCATCAATGCATTGTATGTTCTATGCCTAAAGGAAAAAAGCGAATTGGGCCCATAGAATGGTTCGAGAAGAGTCTTCAAATGTGGATAGAAAAAAATAACTATACTGACGATCTCTCCTCATCTGAAAGAGACAAACTATGGATAGAATTTTGGAAAAAAATGATGGAGCTACAATATTGCGGTGTCATTCATTTATCGCAGAAAAGGCAGCTTTTAATAGAACGTACTATATTCGACTAGCACAAAACGAAAACCATATGCGCAGATACATACATATATATAGATATATAAAATAAACATCAATGTTGTACAACCTGAATGCCAGTCATTACAAATCATGAAACTTTGGAAGCAGCAGTTTTTGCAGCCTTGATTGCTTTTTCTGCTTCTTTCTTGTCTTGGAGCTCATTCTGCTTCTTCGCTGTGTTCAAGTCTTCCACAAACGTTCTCAGAAGCTTCAAAATTTCTTCTTGACGACCTCTATTTGCTTTATTCCTACTTTCTCCGAACCATTCCATCATTGTTTGCAATTTTTCTACCAAAGTAGCTCGTAATTCGACAATTTGATCTCTTATATGAAAAGACCTATTTGCAAATGCATTCATTTCTGCTTTAAATGCAGCCAAAAGTGGATCATCTCCAATCTTTTGAACCTGTTCCGTTACAGTAGTTATGCTATCTAAAACCTGAGCCACATCTTCTCCAATTCCTTCCAAAGATATCTGCGCACTAGATGCCAAATGAGATAGTTCATCTTCAATAGGTAGAATTCCAGGATACTTTCTTTCAAGAAGACGAACAATGTATTGTACCAAAGTAATTCCCTTGGCAGATTTGAAAGTTCGAAGACTTGGCAAAGTATCCAGTTTGAATCCATGTGCTCCACCCCTGTTGGTTCCGCCATTCAACATGTTTCCTACTCGGAGCACCAACTCTAAAATCTTTAGTAGTTTCGAGCTCTTCATAATTTCTTCCGGAATTTTAGTAAAAGTCTTCATATCAGAAATGACATCTCTAGCCACCTCGTCGAAAGTTTTCGCAGAAAGAGCACATTGCAATTTACCACGTAAACCAGGAAGTTGAGCTAATTCCATCATAAAGCTATCGGTCCGGTTTGCTTTTTCCTTTTCTGCAAACATTTCTCTTAAAACGGTTTCTTCTTCTTCTGTGGGACTAACAACTACCAGAGCCTGAAGTTTGTCTTCATCTAGTTCTTTGTATTTCAATTGTCTAACAACGTCCTTAATATCGTCTGAGCTCATTTTTAAGGTAGCCAAGAGTACATTTATATTATGCTTTCTTTTGTGTGGCAATATTTCTAGCTGTTGAGGCTGCTCTTCTTGAGCAGAACCACCAATACCTCCTCCACCTGTAGAAGAAGGATCAACGCCAAACAGATCATCTAGTTCATCCACATCCACGTCGATATCTTCATCTTTTAAATCAGCCCAAACAGTTCCATTCAACTGACCAACCGGCACTTTATTCCAATGCAATGCTTTCTTATCTTTCTTTCCCACTTTTACATTTTCTTTAGTCTTGCCTTTCAAACCACCAGCAACGCCACCAGGTGGAGGAGCAGCTGACTTGGGACCAGGTTTGTCGATTTGTTGAGGAAGACCTTCTGTTGGTGGTCGCGCTGCTGGTTTATTAGAACTTCCGGAGAGTAGTGGCTTGGCACCCACACCACCTCCTACTTTTGGTTTTGCAGCACCTGGTGTTGGAGTTGCGGCACTGGGCTTAGGTGGACCAGGTGGAACTCCAGGAACTGTGGCTCCTCCTGGACCATACTGACCGTCATATCCTGGTATAGGAGGTCCAGCATCAAACTCTAAACCGAAACTACCAGCCCCTAGGGTTCCGCTAAAGTGAGGAGGTAAAGAATATCGTATAAGTGGTCCTGGGTTTTTGGGATTTCCGACGTATCTTGCTGGATCGATATAAAACATAAACTGTCCTTTTTCATCACGAACAAACTCTTGAGCAATTTGTCTCAACTGCTCAAGTGCTTCTTCACCAAGTCTCTCTTCCAATGTGGGTATTGGTGTTTCGTCTTCGCTAGAAACATCAGAAATATCTTGATTTATGCTTTGTTCTTTTTGTCCTCTCTTTGGAAAAGGTATTCGAAACTTTCGATCATTCGTCGTGTTTGAAGGTTCGTTTGTCGATTCGATATCATTTTCGTCTATGGAAGCAGTTTCGATAGATGCCGAAGAATTGCTGTTATTCTTAATTGGCTTAATAGGCATTCGTATTTTCTTAGGTTTCACATTGGTTATTTTCTTTACGTTGAAAAGTTTTCGCATTTTAGAACTTTTGTCCACGTCAGAAGAACCAAGTTGTGCAAAGTCGGTTTCACTATCTTGTTTTCCATTTGTTGCTTTGAAAGAACTGGAAACAGTATCTTGAAACTTTTGATTGCTATCATATTGGGATTTTTCCGAGTCTTGATTTCCTGAAGCGTTCTCCTTTTGTATAGTGTCGTTATTGGTATTATCAATATTGGTAGTAGTGTTCACGACAGTTTCCGATATATGAAGACCATCTTTTTCGTTGCTCCAATCGTTTGTATTTGTAACAACTGCAGCCATAGGGGCTTGCAATTTCGGTTTACCTTTTGACGGAAAGAAAAGCTTTCGGATTTAAAAAGGCAAAGAAACTGTGGATAAAAAATTATCACAGAATGAAGAGCACCAGAGTCAAAGAAGTTCTTGCCGTTGTAAATAGAAATATTTGAAAATTTCGAAATGAAACGGATAATAATAATAATAATAATAATAGATAAATTGGAGAATGTGCCTGGGAGCCGATGGGGGAAATGAGGGTGCGAATGAGTGACGTGGCTAACAATGGAGTCCATATTGCCTTATTTGCTTATTATATAAATTTGACTACTCTTTGAGCATCTTATATTATAAAAGAGATTTTCAAAGAATCACTTGATAGAAATGTAAATTCCGTTGCTTATGAAGAAATAAAATTGACATAGTTTGTTTCCCCATGACTAGTACTAGCGGACTTACCGCGCGAATATCCCAGACTTTGTTCACCTCCAACAGTTTTGTCGAAGAAGTTGCAAGCATTCTTCAACACTGGGACACAGGATTAGAAGCTTCTAAGAGGAGGATTCAAGATGCAAAGGAAAAGAACTCTACTGTTTTGGATCTCCAGCAGCTGGAGCTGAGCAACGAAATATTCAACGAACTTTGGCCCTCCATTCGTGAAATTCGCAACTTGAAGTACTTGAACTTGTTTTTGAATAGGTAGTCTTTCTTCAGTTAATATTGAATACGTTGCCTGAACTATTTTAGGCTAACCGAACTTCCAAGCGATTTTGGTGCACTTTCCACGTTGGAAACTCTGAATTTGGCTTGTAACCCTCTGCAGTCAGTACCTGATTCTTTTTCTGACTTGGCTATGTTACGAGAGTTAGATTTGGGCTTCACAAGTACACTTTGTACGGTTCCTGAGATATTTGAGAAGATGACTCAATTGAAGGTCTTGTATGCTGGAAACAATAGGTAATAATGTGGACTCTGTTTCACTTGGTATCATATTTTAACTGTTTAGGCTTGAGAAACTTCCTGAATCTGTTATTTCTCTACAGTGTCTCGAAGAACTGCATCTCTACGGTAACGCTCTCAACGCTTTACCGGAAAATATTGGCAACTTAAAGTCGCTACGACTTCTCAACGTTGGCAGAAATAATTTATCTTCGCTTCCTAATAGTATTGGGTCCTTGTCTTCCTTGGAAGTTTTATATTTGTATGAAAATGATTTGAGTTCGTTGCCACGTTCGATGAAAGACCTGAGCAAGCTTCGTGTGCTTGGTTTAGATGGCAATCCTTCCCTTTCTTCGTTGCCGGAACATATTAAGGAGCCCAATGCAAAAGCAGTTGCTGCTTACTATGCTGAAATGGAATAAATTGGCAGTATTTAAGAAGGAACCATTGACACGATTATCTATATCCTAGGATGGATTTCTATTGAATCATATAAAAAAGGTTCTCTTTGCTTTGCAGAAAAACAACATTATTATTGAAGAGGCCTCTATACTCTTGGAATTGTTTTCCAAAAGCAATATTGGCAACCATGTCTCGATATTTCTTGATTCGCACGTCCAAGTCTATATTTTGTTTCTAACAGTATACTGGTTTACATCCAACAGAAGGAAGCACTCTATTGATGAAATGGTAGATACAGAGTTTTGTTTTTCTCTTGGTTCCAAAAAGTTTCAAAGTAAAAGGAAAACCCAATCCAAGTCTTGGACAAGGCCTATTACATGACAGGTGGACCTGCTTTTCCTTTGGACAAGTTGAGCTTTGTGCATTCTCATTGAGTTGGGTCGAAATTTGATTGTCCCAATCGTCTATTATTTGCTCAATGGAGGTTACTCCTTGCAGTATGTTTTCATTTATTCGTTCCAAAACTGCTCAGTCCAAGAATACAGAGCTTGCTGCTAACGGTTCCTCCTCTTCTGCTCTTTATAAGTCAAACTTTAATCTTGGAACTATATTATGTGCTGCTGCTCAAGATAGTCCACAGAAGACAGCTATTGTATATGACGATAAGGTATTTCTTTCATACAAGGACTTGGATGGAGCTGCTAGAAAATTCGCAAGTCTCCTTGTGACTGGAACTTATGCAAAGGGTGCCGTGCCTTGTCGACCAGAAGATCGAGTTGCCATAATGTTGCCAAATATTCCTCAATTTTGTATAGCTTATTTTGGTACTTTGTACGCAGGTTGCGTAGTAGTGCCAATGAACTTTTTATTCACTGAAAGAGAGATTACAGGATTGGTTAAAGACTCCGAAGCCAAGCTATTGGTTGCTTTAAAGGCTTATGGTACAGAACCCACAAAGGCAGCAAAGACACTTGGTATACCTATATTGTGGGCAGATGATGAGTCGAGTTTTGGTATGCAGGCTTTATTGAACGGGGTTAATCCTTTGCCAGCTTTAGTCCCAACTTCACCTGATGATACTGCTGTTATACTATACACATCTGGAACGACTGGAGTTCCAAAAGGTGCAATGCTTTCGCATATGAATCTTTTTCTCAATGCAACCATAGTTCCGAATACTATAAGGCCCGTAGAACCTGATGAAGAAACCATTGTACTTGCCGTACTTCCACTTTTTCATATATTTGGACAGACCTGCATGCAGAATACCACTTTTGCTAGGATGGGAAAGCTGGTTATGTTGCCACGTTTCGAACCCGCAGAAGTTTTAAGAACTATTGAGAAGTATAAAGTTACTTTATTTGCTGGAGTTCCCACTATGTATATTGCCATGTTACGTTGTCCTGAAGCAGATAAATACAGTTTGGAAAGTTTGAAAATGTCAATCAGTGGGGGAGCTGCCATTCCTGTCGAAATATTAAAAGAATTCGAGCAAAGATATGGAATTGCTATAATGGAAGGTTATGGATTATCGGAAACTTCTCCAACTTGTTGTTCCAACTCGATAAAACAAGGAAGAAAGCCGGGTTCCATTGGTCGTCCTGTTTGGGGTGTAGAAATGGCAATATTGGATGAAAAGGATCAACCTGTTCCTGATGGTCAACCAGGTGAAGTTTGTGTAAGAGGGCATTGCGTAATGAAAGGATACTTCAAACGACCAAAAGAAACTGCAGAAGCAATGAGAAATGGATGGTTTCATACTGGAGATGTTGGTATAAGGGATCCCGATGGATCCTATCGCATAGTAGATAGAACAAAAGACATGATTATTCGTGGTGGACTAAATGTTTATCCAAGAGAAATAGAAGAAGTTCTTTATATGCATCCAGCAGTAGCTGAAGCTGCAGTTGTGGGCATCCCAAATGAGCGTTTAGGCGAGGAAATAGCAGCCTATATATGCAAAAAAGAGGGACACGAAGTCAGTTCTGAAGAATTGACCGAACACTGTAAACGCTACTTGGCAGCTTATAAATATCCGCGAAAATTTGAGTTTGTAAAGGAGCTTCCAAAAGGTCCTTCAGGTAAAATCTTGAAAAGAGAGATACGCGAATGGCATAAGAAAGCAAAAAGTAAGCTATAAATATTGTTTCAAATGAAAAGTCAGTTGTGCTTCATTCATCAAGTATACCTCTAAAAATTGAACTTTGTGATATTTCTCTCGTTACTTTAAAATAAATACTATCTCTCTCTCTCTCTCTCTCTCTATTTTCACACTATCTTCTCCTATCGACCTAAAGAATCATCTGAACTCCGCTGTTTCTGAGAAAAAAGAGGTTCCGACTCCATGAAGGAACCTGCCCAATCGAAGGATTCGGACATTTCCTGTTCTCTTCTTGTCTTTGAGTACGAAGAAACTAAACTCCCCTGCTCCTCTCTGGAATCTACAGGAAAAAATACACGAGGACTTACGATACTCTGGAGCGTTCCTTCATTCTCTGTTGTTGAAAATCCCAAAGACTCCACTTTAGAAGAGAGTAGAGGCTTCTTTAAACTTTGAGAAGAAATGGGTATAGGTGTTGAAGCACTATGACTACTGTCAGGTCCACGGTCTGTCTGACTATCCTCGTTACTGGAACTGCTGTTACTATCCTCTTCATTGTTATCTTCGTAACGTTGAACTTTTGAGGTAGTTTCTGTGGTTCCAAGGTCGTCAACTGCTCTTGGTAAACGGGGAGGCTTATGCATCGACTGTTCAATCCCAACAATCCATATTTAGTTCCATCCTAACAAATACTTGAAAGGATCTTCGAGAGAACTCAAACATCTCAGAAAGTATCTCTTTATATTTCTATTTGTTTTATTTTCATGATGAAATCAGACTAGGTAGATGCGTAAGTCTCTAGTTTGTTCTCGTCAAACAAAACTTGGTCATGAGCTGCCCATGGGTCTCCCAGGTATCATTCATTGGTCTTGTGTTCTCTCTCTCATTGAAAGAATTGGTCAAAACTAGTTGTGAAGAATGGCAACTTTTACGTCTCGTCTCAAACAACTCTGGAACCACCCAGCGGGACCAAGGACAGGTAAAGTCGAGTAAAATTCGTTTGCTATCACAAATCATATAACTCTTTGTTTCGTACAGTGTTCTTTTGGGCCCCTACCGTGAAGTGGGCCTTGGTTGTTGCAGGCTTGTCTGATATGAAGCGTCCACCTGAGAAGCTTTCGGTCCCTCAAAATTTGGGTAAGTTATTGTCTATTCTTGGAATACAAACTTAAATGGGTTAAAGCGTTGGCTTGTACCGGAGTTATCTGGGTTCGATATAGTTTTGTGATAACACCAGTGAACTACAACTTGGCTCTGGTCAATACTTTTGTGGGTGCTACTGGTATTTATCAGATTTGGAGAAAAATCAACCATACCTATTTTCAAGAAAAGCATGTATCTGCCAACTGACACTTTGTGGCAGCTTGAGCAATAATATTCTATTTTATGTGGAAAGCAACGAAGTGCATTTCTGTTCCTATTGAAAGTTGGTAAGGACTTTTTGCATTATATATATAAAGAAAATAAATATGCAGCCATAACATTCTTTTTGTGTTTTGGATCCAAATTATCAAATTGATGTTTTTGGGAAACTTGTCAAGAGATTCCATTGCGTCTTCCTTATTGAAAACTATTAGTACAAACAACAATGGTCATAAAAAGACAACACCTTTAAAGGGTTCAACAAAACAAACACCGACAAGTTGTTCTACGAATACAGAGTCTTTATGGAACTATAGCGATGTTTTTGGTCAGGAATGGGAGGAAGGTACTTAGACGTCATCATTCTACTGGAGAATATTTTCTCTGACATAGAATAGGTTTAGGCACTGCTCATCGAGTTTTTGCAGAAGATAGACGCACAACACCAGTCACAGGTCTATCTCAAGGGAAACTCAGAGAGCCTAACAAGGAGAAGCCAACAAAACCTAGTGTTCCCAAGAAAGGCTCTGAAGGAACTACCTTTGCCGTGGAAAACTCACCCATTTCTCGCCAAAAAGTAGGCTACACAACTGAGCGGGTTTCTCAGAAGTCATCTTTTAAGGAGGAGTTGGAAGCATGGAGACACCGTAGTGTGCAGTCTATATCTTCAGAGTCGAAAGGATTTGTACGTGAACCGCTGGATATTACTGTTGTGTCAAAGTGGCCAAAAAAACGAGGTTACAATAATGACTTGGCTCATAGAAATGATAAAAAGGAAGCGAAGAAGATAGACAAGGAATCAAGTGAAGAAGAAGAAAACAGTGACAAGGAAGTTTATACCTTTGAGGATCTTATGAGAGAAGAAGAAAGGAGTGCTCGAATAGCAGCAAAGGAGGATGCGGAAGAATATCGAAGAGAACAAGAAAGAAAGCGTAAAAAGCAATTAAAACGTACAGCTGCGAAACAGAAACGTGAATGATGTTGGATAAGTTTACTTACAACACAACTGTTGTGTATAACCAAGCTCCTACAGCTCCACCTAATTGTGCGGCAAAGTCATTGGATGTCCAGTTAAACATTCCTTCCAAGAAATCCATAACAATGTGTAGCAAAAAACTTTCGAAAGGTGATATAGGGAAGCCCAAAATTCCTAAACGAAACTTTTGTGGAAATAATATGCATACAGCAGAAAATAGAGTATAAGTAAGCCCTTGTGGAGTTGATGAACTGAATATTGCTGCCTGCTTATAGTGAATGGTAAGTGTGGTAGCAGAAGCAGTCAACATGCCAAATAGACAAAGAGAATAGAAATGAAACAAACCTATGAGCCTAACCAGTAAAGGAATTAGAACATAATAACTGTTGAGAGTGCGAAATAGTTGGAATATGGAATTTTGAGACAAATGACATAATATGATACACCACAATCGCCCTTGACGAATATTATGCCAAGAAAGAGTAAAATGCTTGCAGAGAAAAAGTTTTGATTCCATAAATATTCATCAAACACTGATCTTACCTTTCTCATAAACGCTGGACTAAGATACCAGCAAAGATAAAATACAGTAGAAAGCATAACAATCAACTCATAAGGATTCCATAACAGGTTCGCAGCTTGAACTCTTTCAAACAAGGTTGCTTTCAACATCCAAGCGTGAAAACGTAAATTTCGGAGAAAAGATATTATTCTAGGTAGAGGAATCCATATACCAAACACTCCAATAAAGGCAGGTTCATTTCCGTAGAATAACAGGGTCACTATGAGAAGGTCGATACCTTTTAGCCTCGATCGAACAGGCAAACGATGCAAGCCAAAGACGCTTTTCAAAATTCCATCGACCCATTTCAAAGGTTGAGCAATATTCCTAATATTTCCTTTCTACAGTGTCCGTATATGGTGAACTATAGAAACAGTGCTTACTTTTCTCTCCAACACTTTCCACTCCTACTTTTTCGCGAATATATGTCCAAAAGGAACTCTCACTAGGATTGGTAACATAAGCCAAGAATAGAACAGAACAGACAAGCAATATTTGTGAAGTATTCCACCGAACCATCTACTCAAGAATGCTATTGAAAGAGAACAAGAGAAAGATATTGGCTCATCCCATTTATCTTTTTTAGGCTACCATTTTCTTCTTATCAGTACAAGAAAAAACCTATTTTCGTATCACTCTGTAGATGATGACGACGCATCGCTGTCTTGTTCTGAACTTGTTGAAGTCTCAGAGATATCTGATTCTCCATCACTATCTTCATTTTCTTCTTCTTCTTCTTCTTCTTCTTGTTGTTGTTGTTGTTGTCCATTTGGAGCTGAGCAAGTGATGTTCCTTCTTCTCACCTTTAATGAAACTTTTCGTTCACACTCACAACCATAAACAGAGTCACATATTACTTTCACAACAAGTTGATATGTACCAGCACTAGGAGATGGAAAATGAAATGTACAAAAATAGGTTCCAGTGGCATCTCTATCCAAAAAATCAAGTTTTCTAACCGAAAGAGGCAAATCTCTGTCATTATCTATCAGTAAAACCCACCATAATGCTTTCTTACGTAATGGACAGTGAAACAAACAAGGAGCAGGTCCCATAGTCAACTCACGTTCTTCACTGCCTTTTGATGAACCTTGATATCTCAGAACTTGAAAAGTTACTTTGATAGTTAGTACATCTCCTTCAAAAACTCTAGAATCCTCTTCATCTTCTATAAATGGCTCTGTCACTTGCATATTATGAAGAATGGGAAATCTATCCAAATACATTTTGACTTTAGTAATTTGCGATGTTTCCCAATCCCTCAATAGATTTTCCAACTTCGACTGCGGCAAACGGCACAACTCTTGAATATTGTGAATTTTGAACTCTTTCGAGCGACAACGTTGTACTAGTTGATGGTCGAATAGAGGTACTTGTAACAATTCCGAGTCCCTTGGATGCAGTTGCTGACATAAAGACTGTGAAACCTGTAAAACACTAAGAATTCTGCTGGCAAAACCACCTCCAAATCCTACGGGCCAATGATGAGCAACTTCACGTCTCAAAATAGTGGCATTAGTGTCAATCATGGCTGAAATAACAAGGTCCATTTTGGCAATCATTTGTTCCAAAGCCGACTTCAGTTCTTCTGGTATAGGAATTCTACAAATGTACGCTTGCAAAATAACTTGATTGAAAACCATATGAGGTAAACTAGATAACTTCAACTTGCGAAAGTCCGAGTGACCGTGATTTTTCAATTCATTCATGAGTTGCACACAGAATGGAAACAATTTCTTAGTAACTAAATGCTCGAATTCAAAAGCACTTGCGTAAGTACCAACAAGGTCTTTAAATGTTCCCGTTCGAATAAGCATTTGACGAAATAAGATGACTGAATTCTTTTTTACACCATTTTCTAATACTTGACTCGAACGTTTCCACCAAGTGCCTACACCTAAGGGGATTCCAACTACCAATACGACGAGATAGATAACTAAAAATGGTTTGTCATATTTCTTCAATGCTTTTGGAAGGCCAATTCCATATGTAACTCCTTGAAAGCCATCCGGATTCCCAAATTTTATGAAATTCTCTCGAGACTTGACATTCGTCAAAGTCTCATATGCCCTTTGAATATCTATAAACTTTGAAACCGTCAAAGGATCGTCAGGATTCTTGTCTGGATGATATCGCAAAGATAGTTTCCTGAACGCTCTGGCAATTTCCTTCTCGTCTGCTTTCTCTGTAACTCCAAGAATGTCAAAGGGATTCCAAACAGACTCGGTAACTAGACGTTCTTTCGGAATCGACCAAACAAGATAACCCAAAAAACTACAAACTAACAATAAACCAAGAACAACTAAATACTTCAACCAGCCAGAATTGGCACTTTTGTTTTCTAAATTGACTGGCTTGTTACTGCAAATAGTACAGTTACACGTTGCAATATCTATGGACTTTGTAAGCTGCCTTGGTTTTCCTTCCCAAACTTGAGTCAATAACGACTTGAAAAACAACTTGTAAAATAGAAAAAAAAATAAAAATACAACTAAAAAGCTCATAAGAAAAAGAAGAAAAGCAGTGTCATTAAAGAAAAACTTTTCATGTCGAAAGAAGCTCTGATCCATTTTCTTAAATGAGAAATGAATTTTGGATGCATTCCGTCCACCGTCAATGATGTTAACGCATTCTTGTTACGTTAGAAGATATGACTGAGTATACGGAACCTTTGTTAAAAAAGGTTAGTAACAGGTTACATTCTTATATTCAGAAGGTAATAATGGCTTTGTAGATCATTCAACTGGAAGTGGATATTTCTAAAAATTGTGCAGACAACTGCAAATACATAACAGGATTATTTCACTGCCTGAAACCAAACATACAGATTCCTACATCAGTTCGTGTCAAGTGTTTACATGCCGTTCGAAGAATATTACCCTTAATTTTTCAAACTTTTCAAGTGAACTTATTTTCACAAGAGACAGAATCACGCACAGAAAAATCTCTCCAACAAGTGGAAAAATGGTTGAAAAGACAAACAACCAAGCTGTGTATATATTTGGAAGAACTATGTGTATCTAATGAAGAACAAGTTGCCCAGTGTGCTTTGTTGATAGGCACAACCATTTCTGCGCAGTTTAACGCATGGCGTCCTTTATTTGAACGTCAGGTAATACTATACATTGTGTTTGGGACTCTAACGAAGAATTCTAGGTGACGAGAATTTTAGTTGCTTCCGTTGAAAAGAAAGAGGGAAGAAAAGATTGGAATCATTTTGTAGAAAATGTATTTTCCGTTTATGGAGATGTTGCGTTGTACACTTTGGAAGCCATTTCGTCTCTTCAGTCTTCAGAAGAAGCTACCGAAGCAATAGACCAGGATGAATTGTTTATTCTCTATAGAATATATGAATTGTTATCGAAAGGAGCACAACTACTTCCCAAGTGGGTTTCCAATTCGAATAGATTGGAAGAGAAAGTAAGTATACAAGTAACGATTCCTATTGGAGAGGATATTTTTCGTAAACGACTAAGGAAGACGTTTACTGATGCCTGGTTATCTTTTCTTTTATCGCGAAAACTTCCTGAGCACTTGGAGTTTCGAATATTAGAAGACTTGGGATCGAATATCATTCCTTGGATGACAAGGCCACTTCAATTGGTTGATCATTTATCGAGTTTAACAGAACAGCGTGGAATAATATCGATCATGGCTTTGGATGCTCTTTTTGTACTTATCAGAGACTATGGTTTGGATTATCCATCCTTTTATGAAAAACTTTATAGTCTATTGACAGTCAGTAACCTTACGGCAGCTCAGAAATTTTTGAGTTTCATGAGTAAGCTTCTATTAACTTCCCTAAATATTTCTGAGCACATGGTACTGTCTTTTGTCAAGAAACTTGTTCGACTCTCAACACGCCTACCACCTGTGCCTTGCAACTGGTGTTTGACATGCGCTATTCGTCTGATGCTGAAATATCCTTCACTTGCTTGTCTTGTTCATCGAACAACAAATCAACAAGGAGTATCTCCCTTTGCCTTCAATACTATTGAGTCGGATTCAAATACTCATACAACTGAGTTTTCATCAACATCAAAAACTTTTGTATCTAAAGACCCTTTCGACGAGTTTCAATCAACAAGTGATGCTTCCAATGCTTCCTCCAGCTGTCTGTGGGAACTACAACTCATTCAACGTCATTATATGAAGAGTGTGAGTGAGTTGTTTCAATATTTCGAAACGGACTGGGGTTTACAGAGAATGAAAAGAAAAACATCATCCTTGCCTCCCAAACCAGAAGATATCTTAGAAACGGATACAATGAAGTGGATTGAACGACCCAAGAAAAGAAGAAATATTTGCGACTCTATATGGCAACCAAATTTGCCATATTTGCCTTTAGATCTTTCTTTTAAATAGAAATTATTTCAAGTAAGGTTTAGGAAGTAATTTGCATAGTAAACGACTGTAATGGGTTCGTATGAGTTGCTCATTTCCATTTCCTTGTATTCCACAACTATTCACATCATTTTCAGTTTTGTGAAAAGTTGAAGAAGCTTGATCATCAAGGAAACGAGAAATACTCTTTCTTAACTTGGTTTCTAGTAGTTTCTTTCTACCCATCTTTCTGTCACCGACAGATGAAGAATGATTGACCGATAACTGAAACTGTTCCTTTTCTAATTCATCTATACTTTGTGATATCTGTTTTTGAACGTCCCTCTTATATTTCTTTCTCAATAACAGGAACTTCCGTAGTCTCTCCTTCCTTATCTTGTCTTTGGAAAGCTTAAAACGCCCATTGCCTTTCCGTACGTAAACATCCGACATCTTAGGTGGTGCTATCTTTGGGGTGCTTCCGCTCACTGTTTTGCTATTGGCAGAACGCTTGTTTCTTTTCATTTTCCTTTCTTTGGAGAACGTCAACTTTGACTCACTGCTCTGGGAATTTCCAGCTACACTACCAACTATTTCTTGGTCAAGCTTCTCAATAACCATCTCTTTTGTCAGTTCATCCTCCTTTCGTTTGATGGGGCGCTTCCTATTACTAAGAACAACTCCGTCTTCCCAGGGATACGATACCAATTCCACTGGTCTGTCCTTCTTTCCCGTTCTTAAAGCCTTTATGTATTTGGACAAATACTTTTTTTCAAAAGATGCTTTCCTTCTTCTTCTTTTGGATATTGTTTTGGTTTTGTCATTGAATTGAGGGACTTCTTTGCTCTTTGACAAAGTTGGTTGACGATCTTCATAAAAACCGACGTCCGGCATTTTGTCGTTCACAAAAATGTTATACTTGATTGGTTTGGGTTTAGGAGATGAAAAGGATATTACTATAAAAGGTTTGGAAGCAGTAAAAAAGGCTGACTTGGTTTTTTTGGAAAGTTACACTTCAATCCTTGGGATCGATAGAGAGTCTCTGGTAAGATAGGACTACATTTGGCTCAAATGTTCTCATAATACTAGAGCTCATTCTATGGAAAAGAGGTTGTAGAGGCAGACCGTGAGTTCACTGAAGGTGCGAAAGAGATATTATCCTTAGCCAAGACAAAGAATGTGGCTTTTTTAGTTGTTGGTGATCCCTTTAGGTGAGCACCGTATATTCTTGTAGGAACGGAAACTCAACTTGTTTGATCCACAGTGCTACAACGCATACAGATTTGGTGCTTCGTTGCAGAAAAGAAGGAATTCAAGTGGAAGTATTTCATAATGCCTCAATCTTAAACGCTGTTGGCAAATGCGGTCTTCAACTTTACAAGTTTGGTGAAACTGTTTCGTTGGTTTTCTTCACCGACAGTTGGAAACCGGATAGCTTTTATGATAAGATTGCTAGAAATAGAGCGGCAGGATTGCACACTTTATGTTTATTGGATATTAAATTGAAGGAACCCAACTTGGAAAGTCTAGCCCGAGGAAAAGTAGTTTATGAACCTCCTCGTATGATGACCATTTCTCACGCCATCCAACAGTTGTTAGATGTGGAGGACTCTAGAAAGCAACAAGGTAAGATTATCTGAACCAGTGGATTGATTAGGATATCATTGCTTTATAGTATTTGATAAGGAAACATTATTATGTGTTGGATTGGCAAGAATTGGACATCCAACAGAGTGCATTGCTTATGGTTCCTTACAGCAACTGGCAGACTATGTCTTCGGTCCTCCTCCTCACTCTCTTATTATTCCAGGCGAGTTACATTTCTTGGAAGCTGAACACTTGGAACAGTTCCATATTAGTACTTCTTAAAGAATAGGAGAGACAAAAGGATGTTCCAATGAATATTGCCAATGATGCTCTCTTCCATATTTATACAAGTCCTCCAATAACTGTGGAACAAGTCCTTTTTCTTGTAATTTCTGATAATAGAAGAATAGTCTCCAGGCAGTTTGAGCATCTTCGACAGAATCGTGAGTAACTCCCTGTATATCAAAATATGACAAGGATTGAGAGACTATGGCAACATTATACGAAAAACACACACAAACCTGAATATCTTCATGAAGCAAAGTGGCCGCTAGAAAACGCAAACTCAATAATCTTTGACGTGGTAAGCGATAAAGTTCGACAGTATCAATGACTTGGGATTTCGGAACTATAAAGTTGATTATACGAAAGTCTTTTTTCAATCCATGTCCAATCAAGATGCATCCGTTATCAATTAGACATCTCAATTTCATATATACTGCTTTTAATGTGGTCAAAGGACGTTTAGACGTGTTAGGATTCAAATCTTCGAAAGTTAGGCCAGAATACTTGGTAAGATAGTCAACAACATGTTCCTCCAAACACAAGTAAGACAAACCAAATGTATATTAATATTGTTGCTTACTCGTTGAACAAGGTAATCATCCATCAACACGACAAAGTTGGAATCACTGCTATTCATCGTGGAAAATACTACAGAGACTCTTCCTAAGCTCATTTGTGCAGGCTTCAATATCTTGTAACTACCATCTCCATGAATTTCTGCAACTTCTCTTGAAGTCTCTACAAATTCAGCATCCAACGCAATATAAGAACCTTTTGGAGGAAACAAGTGACTGGCAACTGAATTCGAACAAAGTAAGCTATCCGACATAGGATTAATGATAACTGAACATGCTCTTTGATAAATATCAGCTAAAGAATAAGAGATCTCCACTTTGGGTATATATCGGAACGATTTTCGAACTTTATATCCCAAAACAACGGGTAATTTCCAATTTGGATGAAAACGAGTCACTTCTGATATGGATTGACAACGAGTTATACAAAAATCATTAATACACCACCAAAATGAATCATGACTGCAATGTTCACGAGTTGTTCGTTCCATGGTTTCTCGAACATAAAGAACCAAGTGACCAACTGGAGGAAAATCACTCCAAGCTTTACTATTATGAGCTCCATTGTAAATTGGTTTCTTAGGAACAAATGCGATAACGAAATGCAAATCGTATATCCTTTCAAAGTTCTTTTGAGCCAATTCAGGACAACTCGAACCATTCACTTTCCAACCATGTAAATGCGCATTATCTTGGTTTGACAAAGCTCGTTGAAAAAATAAGTGATGTGGAATATCTTGACCATAATTCAAAGCTATCTTTGCCGCTCGAGCTCGAGCACCTTCATCACTCCATCTTTCTTTATTGCTTTCTAATTCTCCAGAATAACGAAACCAATAATGCAAATAATGTTCTTCGTCCGCAAAACTGCAGCCAATAAGAAGAACGTCACTTGGCTCCATCAAATACTTACAACGCGTACAAGATTCAAAAGTTCCAGAGACTTCATTATAGGCACGTATGTTTCGGGTTTCTTCACAGAAGGAAGCTTCCAAACGCTTTGGAAAATCTTTAAGCAACTCCTCATAGGTTTCCATGTTGGAAGCAGTCACAGTCTTGGATTCCTTACTCCAAGTTTGATAATGGAAAGACCATAAAAAATGTGTTCTCTCAGAATGCGAAAAGGATTTCATAAATTGAAAGGTCTCCACTACCTGATTTCCAAATAAGTACTCTACAATAGAAAATGTACGACCATTTCTTGAAGAGTCCTTCTTCCAGTAGACAGCATTTTGATCGTTCTCTTCCAAACTACTCAACTGAAAGGATTCCTCATCTCGAGATAGTTGTTCCAACATGTATCTAATAAAACTTTCTATTCTTAATCCAATGGGATGAGCTGTTGGTCCGTCCAACAAACCTAATGCAGTAGTGTTTGGAATTCTTTGAAAAGCTCTCATAAAGTTGGATGCTTCACACGCTTCTCCGGAACCAACTTTCATCATTTGGAATAGAAGTGAAAGTTCATCCATCAAGCAATACTCTTCTTCAACTTGGATTCTGTGTAAAGGTATCACATATTCGCGGAATTCATCCAAAAAGAACAAGGATTGAATCACAGAATTCACATAAGAGTTGGGAAGACCATTCTCTAATCCACAAAAAGGGCTCTTATTATATAAAGTATAGTCGAATCCTTCAAATGATTGAAGAGCTAATAAGTCAATCTGGGTATATACACAACGGTATGCTGGACTATCTTGAAATTCTTCTCTCTCTTGGTTTTTTATCATACCCGCATTCGAACTCGGAATATATTCAATCCATCCATATGAGTCATTTTGTTCAAAAGAAGAAGGAACTGGAACAAAGGAGAATTTGCCCATTTTGTGTATTTGTGTCAACACTTTAGGATCAACTCTACGATATGTGTTCCTTCGAACAGAACTATCCAAATGTTCATTACAATGATGACCAAGTAAAGAAGCTAACCAATCCCTCTCTGGCTCATCACAAAGGATATCTTGTTGTCCAAACGCAAAAGATGACCTTAACATAGCAGTTTCGATATTTGTAATGTCCATTTTCTGAGAACCGAATGAAGTAGACAAAACGGGTTCCTTTGGATAAATTGGAATGGAATGAATACGAAAGGAACAGTTATCCTCTTCAATATTTTGTTCTGTATAGGACCAAATATGAAACATTCCTGTAGAGTCTGCCAAAGCAATGGGACCCATTTTTGAGACATCAAAACTCGTAATAAAGGTATTCATTGTTTCGTCATATACTATACTATGAATCAAAGTAACAGGGTCATCAGATATATTAAAGCATTCTAAGACTCCAAGACTATTCAGTATCCAAAGTAGTTTGTTCTCCGAATATCCAAGTGTAGTGCCATATATATCCAATTTAAGTTCGAGTGGAACGCCTCCAGCAAAGATAGTTTGAAGTGGATACAATTTTCTAATATCGAATAGTTTGACGTTGGTCTCTATCGCTTGAGGACTTGTCAACGAAGACATTCCAGCAACTGCAATTTGGTAGTCACTGGTACTTATATCAAAAATAGGTCCTAGAAATGCACAAGTTGCCAACAACTCTCGAAAGGAAGCTGGTTCTCTAATACTCAGCTTTCCTTTCGAATCTCCTGTAACCAATGCCTGAGTATTCCAAGAACAAGTAGTAATACACGAATCCGGAATAGAACTCATATTCTCTTGACGAATGATTCGAAAACGTTCGGAATCGACAAGCATTCCCTGTCCAGTATCATTGGCACAAAACACTTGAACTTGATGAAAAGGATTCAGTACAACACAACGCATAGACGACTGAAGCGAAGGATGCTTATGACCATCATCCTTCAAAAGGCAACCTTTAGAATAGGTACGCAAGCCTTTATAAGTAGCAGCAAATATCAGATGGGAGCTTATGGTAAAGTCTCGTACAAGGCCCAACTGGGACGAAGCAGAACCATCTGGATAACAAACTTGGATAGAGGAATATCTAGAGAGATCTGCACAACGATAAGAGGCTAATTGACCACCAACTGTAGATGACCTGAAATGTGTAGATAAAGTTAGCTCTTGGAACCACTTGAGACCATGCACTAACCACAAGAGTTCAACCTCAGGGTCGAATAAAGTTTGTCTACTGTGACCAGCAACAAAAGGAAACTGGTCCAGTAGAGGTCCTGAGACCAACTCCATCGCAATAACTAGTGACAGTTAATAACATAAACATTCAAAAAGCATTTAATCTCCATAAGAATTTGGAACTCTTTCAAATGAACAACAAGTTACTACAACATATTATTATCCTTTCCTTGACTTGGAATAATATGTTTTATTATTGTTCAAGTCTTTTATCTGACTTGAACTTGTTAAGAAATAACAAAGCTTACTCTATTGTTCTGATAACAAACTGTCAAAGAGATTCCATATCTCTCACGTTGCAGTCTTTGTACAGATTACCACAAATAGAATATTTTTCTGTCTTCATAAGTATGGATTGTAACCAAACAAACAAAAATATACAAAATTGGATAGAACAAAAATACCAAAAAATAGCTCGAGGAATCTTATACTTTCCTAGACATCGATATCCGAAGGTTTCAAGAAACAATAGCTACTCTCAAATTTCTTGTCATCTTCATTTTGCAATTCAACAAGTTTTTGAAGTTCACAACTACTCTTCTCTCGTTGTTATCGAGGATGACTTGCTGTTTGCGGAGGATTTCTTGTTGTTGTTCCTGGAAACCTATCCATTACTGATGACTGACAAAAGGTTGTGATTTCACCAATTCATTCTTTAAGATGATTAACTTTTGCTAGTCTCTTATGTGTTTCAGCTTATCATGATTTGGGATTGAAGCAGTTTTCGTGGAAGCATAACAGGTTAAAGAGAGTTCAGGGTTTTACTGGTTTAGGTTGGATGCTATCTCGTGACAAGTGGCTAAAGGAGTTATCTTATATTTGGCCTCTTTATCCTTTTTCTGGTTTGGTTTTCTTTTTTAAAACTATATTTGTTTTATTATTTATACTCTAAGAAAGGCTGGGATCACTGGTTACGAATGTATCAACGAATACATCATTTGGATTGTATAGTTCCTGAAGTATCCAGAAGTATTCACCAGAAAGTGAGTGGTTCTCATTTATCTCACAAGGAATGGCAAAGAAGATTCAGTCATTTGTTATTTTATGATAATGAATCTGTTGATACCTTTGGCAATTTAGATTATTTACAAAGGGAAGTTTACGATAGGGAGATACAAATGCTACTCACTTGTGCATCAAAACTTCATTCTTTATCTTCAAATATTTTAAAACAATCTGGAGAGAATATTCAAATCATTATTCCGTGTACATTACCAAAGGGAAACCGATATTGGAGACATTGGTTTCGATTTTTAGAGATACCGCTGTCTCAGGAGATTGAGAGTTTTTATGAAGGCATTCTTCTTTTTCCAATGGGTTTTCAGACTATTCTTTTCATATGTACAAATTCTCCCTTTTATGAAACCAAAAGATTGTCGACCAACTTTGGTAAGAATTGTGATAACGAAAGATCCATTTGTAACTATGGACAAGGTTCCTATTATATCATTCGCTCTCATGAAAATGCTAGTTGTTCTGAGGTATATAGTCGTTTTCATGAAATAACTTGTAACGTGTTTTTGTAGGCCTGTGATAAAGTCTTTCTTGGTAAATATCGATGTCAGTCTGAGACATTGGCTCAAATCGATTCCTTTGCCATTATCAATACTTATTTTGATTGTTCCAAAGGATTCCAATTGGTGACTCGTTCCTGGGCTCCGTAAGTCATTTCACGATTGCTTATCTTTACTTGCGGCTCAATAGATACTTTCTATGCAGAGGTTGTTTATTTCCTGATGATAGACACCAAGCTGCTGTTGAGTGTGTTTGTGTGATGCACAATCAGTGGGCAATTGGCTATCATCCCTATAGTTGTGATCAAAAGGCACCGAGACTACGAAGACTTTGTCCGTGTCAATAAAAGTTGGAATTTATTGCAATGACGGAGAAAGAAGACTTCTTTCAAGCACTTTCAAAGGATTTGGTAGAAGACGAACGAAAATTTATGGCCAGCAGCTCAGTTGCCTTGCGACAAAAGTTGCTAGAGGAACTGTTGAGGGAAGCCCTTGAGTCAAGTGGGAAGACCTTAGAAGAACAAGAAACTCTAGTAAAGATAAAGCTGCGTGACAGAGGTTTGAAGCTTCAAGAAAATCAACAAAGGCAACAATCAAAGAGCTCCAAACGAAAGAAGCAAACACATCTAACGGCAAAAGAGTTGAGAGGAAACCACTTATTTGCTATTCCAAAAAAAGAACAGTGCTTTCAAGCGTTTATTCCTTTACACTGGTTATGGTTGGGTTATGCCAGAAAGGTGCTGAGTAACTCTGGGATACTTTCAGCACGTGAAAATTGTGATCGTTCTCAACTTCACAGTCATTCTGGTATAGAATGGTTGTATCGAATGGACTTGCATGGTGCAATTCTTACAGTGATTCGATCAAAGGCACCGCAGCAAGTTGGAAATTGGGGTATTGTTTTGCAAGAAACAAGTAATGTTTTCAAACTTATTAGGCCAGATAATACTGTAGTGGCAGTTCCTAAAGAGATATCCGATTGGGGTTGTCGTATAGACGAGTTTTGTTTTGTCTTGCACGGAAAGGCTTACAGAATGAAGTCCAGTGAGAGAAGTGTTAAAAAATTGAAAAGAAAAATATCGGATTGAGTTAGATGGATGACTGGTTTCCAACTCAAGAAGCATATTCAAGCTATGCTGGTTTTATTGAAAACATACTTAGCCGATGACTTTTTCTATTTCTTCATAAAGTTTTTAACAGAGAATTTATTTATCTATATGAAGACATCTTAGGAAGGCATATCGAATGACATACAAACCATGAAAAAGAAAGTCCAAGTCGTAACAACGCCATTTTGATTGAATGTTACGAGTAAAAGATCGATAGCGCTCCAAAAGAGCATTGATCATCTAAAATTGGATTTGTCTCGATTGTTTTGTGTGGATAGCGGCGAACGAACGTGCATTTCGGTGAGCTTAAGTTGTGTTGCTGAGGCACCACGGTTATCAACTATACTTAGTTTTTAAGAATTTTTTCCAAGTGTTCAGTTTTACAAAGTTATTTTATTGTCTACTTGTTCTTTATATCTGGTATATTTCAAGGCAGTCCAACGTCTTTGGTGTTGTCTCACCCTTTTAGATTATGTTCTAATTTGGAAACTTGAAAGGGATCCAGTACATTTTGCTAGAAGTTTTTTGGCAGTCCTTTAATTTATAATGCATAGAAGCAACGTACATAGTGTCACGACAGAGACGGTTTATGGAAGAGAGAGGAACTCTGATAACTTGAAAGATGACACTGTTAGTCAGAAAAACCAGGATTTGTTGGAATCAAAATCACGTATACTTTCAGAGGAACTTAGTTCTGAGGACAAAACCTGGAATAGCGTGAACAAGGATTCTCCAGAGCCTTTGGATGGAGTCAACTATCCCTATTCACGGTTGCCGTCGTCTTCTTTTTCTCCAGTCTCTACTCCGTACATGGCTCATCCTTCTCCTTTTATAGCTGCACCTTATTGTTATCCTATGTTTCCTGCAACTGGTGTTATTTCTCCCGGAGTTCCACTTTCCAATTATCCGTTCACATTAGAAATGGCTATTGTTCATCAGATTGAATATTATTTAGGAGAAGAAAATCTTGCAAAAGATATCTATCTGAGACAATTGATGGATCCAGAAATGTGGGTTGAGATTGAAAAACTGGTAACATTCCCAAAGCTTAGCAGATTAACTACCTCTGTACGGTTGGTTGCACGTGTTTTGAGAGAATTTTCATTTCGTATTCAAGTTCATGATGATGACGAAAGAGTAAGGCCGATGCCACCTGATAATAATGAAGACAGATGCCTTGTTATAGTTAAGAATATTTCTGGAAATGTCGCAAAAGAGGATTTTCTCAACTATATACAACAAGCAATGGGAAAGAGTACCAAGCTGAAGATTTTGTCAAGTGTGGAGGATACTTGGTTTATTTACTGTGTGAGCGAAAGTGATGCAGAGCGTCTTTGTTCATCACTAAATTCTTTATCATTTCATGGAAATATCCTCGAGGCGAGGAGAAAGATGGACGATTCTGTGAGACATACAGAAGAATTCATCTCAGATGTAAGTTATATTGGTAGACAGGCGACGTCTTCTATGACGATACCAAATTCGTGGGCTTCTCAATTGCCTTTTCAATCATCAGCTTTCTCATTTCCTTCACTTGGAGCTTCAGGCTATGTTCCTATGAATGCTGGTTTTTATGCATTTCCGTTTTCAACCTATCCTTATGTACACCCTGTAACTGTTGGTGTGACCGATACTAGCCGGAATGCAAGAGTTCGTCGTCGTGGAAATAATAGAGCATTTAAAGGAAATACAGAAAAGGATTCAACTAGAGTTAGCGACAATGAAGTAGGCTCTGAAAGGAAGGCAACGGTTACGGAATTTACAGGTCAAATGTCTTCAACAAGGATTCCAAACAGAATTCGCGCTCAAGAGAAAAACCTTAAGAACAAGACCTTCATTGAGGACCATCATATGAATGGCAATTTGTCATCTGGAAATAACAGTCAGCAAGTAACGAATCATTCAAGTCGTTCTTATGGGAACATTTCCGAGAAATATCCAAACAGTTCGAAAGGGAAGAATACAAATGAACCAAATTTGTCTCTTGCTGAATTCCCGCCGCTTCCTTCAACAGATGGTAAGAATCTTAACTCACTCTTCAAGTCAGGAAAGCCTCGCATGGACACTGTCATTGTCAATGGAACCAATCAATTCACTAGCAATGGATCAGAAACATTGAATGCTAAAGAGACAAAGGTTTTCTTAGAAAGGGACTCCAATGTTTGTTATGAAGATACGGATAAAGCTTCAGTTCCAGTGTTGTCGTTTGGAGACCTTGTGCTTTGCACGGAGAATCTTTCAGAAACCCAAACTCATGAGTCATTCTAATTTCTTGTATCCATTCTAGGCAGGATGACTGCTCGAGTACTGTTTTTGAAATATACAAAGACTAGCATGGAGTTTCAGTATAGTTGGTTGTAACTTTGATGGTTCAGCCTGATTTCTTGGCCTCTTGAGTCACGTGAATATGATTCGTATGAGTGACCATATTGGCGACACTTTGCAGTATTTGTCGCAACTATTCAAGCACACAACTGCCCAAGTAAAGACCAAATTTATTAGTTACTTGTGCATCACTTAAAATACGATGCTCAAAAGACCTGTAAGTGTTTTTGGGTCGATTGGCTCTTCTTCATCAGAGTTATCATCAGTGTGTCATGTCTTACTGAAGCCAAATAACGCCCTTAGTAATTCCATGCGTTCCTGACTACCTCCCTGTGTTTCACCTACTCGTGAAGCCTGATAGAGCAACAACAGTTCTTCTCTTTCTTTGATAGTAACAACTGAACTTGGAATCTTATCAGGCAGAAAAATACCAAATTTGATAAGGTTGTTCAATTCTTCTATCGCCTGTTCCGACTTACTTTGCCTTAAATAAGCAGCAGCTTGAATGAGATGAGAATTACAACGGTTTTGGATGCATTCCACAATTAAAGTTTTGGCATCTTCATCTGATATGGCATATTCATGTTGTAATTCCCGTATAAGACTCTGATCTTCAACAGTTATGAGTCCATTTTCAATACAAGCGTCTACTTCGAGGATAAACAAACGTTTTCTCTGGTCTTTGGTTGACAGAGTATTATCAACCAAGGAAACTTCCAAATGATGACAAACTTCTCGCAGTTCCTTCATTTGTGAGGGAGAGACTTTGGAGGCACTCAATATTGTTTGAAGCAGAGAGGAAACTTTGCTTCTTTTGGCATCCCGAATTAGGCCGCGACATAGTTCTGGAGACATGGACAAACTTTGCTGAATATTATTAAGGAAATCCAGATCTTTTTGCTCCAAGCGTCCTTCGGAAAGAGCTTGTGACAAGTACTGATTATAGATGACGGTTCCTAAATTGGAATGTACCTTGTTGACTTCTTCACTAGTCAAACCAAAAACTCCAGCAAGACGGTCCAAGTCACGGAAATACCGTTGCTTCTCTGAACGACTTTTAACTGCAAAGCACTGAATGAGATACTGTCGATACATCTCTTGAAGAACGGAAGGATCAAAAAGATCACGCAAAGTGACTGGAAATTCCAAATAGGTTCTTTTTTCAGGTTCTGATGTGACATCATCTGAGTCCTCCTTATCAACCAATATAGTCCTTTGTACTATTAACCTGTTACGAACGCAATATTCTACCAGATTACTCAACTCCATAGCAACATTACCACCAGCTTCAATTCCCAAAGAAGTTCCTGGCTTCTGTATCAAAGGATCATCTCCAATATCCCTCGTTTCATTTGCACCTCTGGGAGCTGAACGTTGTTGAAAGATTTTGATAGCTCGGTCCACATAAGCTTTCATTGGACCTTTGGTAATGTTGTATAGAATTGCATTGGCTTCACGTTCCGGAAGTCCCAATCTTTCTCCAAGACGATCCAGAGCGTCATGATACTCTGCTGGAATAATACCAGTACTTCCCATAGCCTCTTTAATGGACTGTTCAAACACAGGCCTTGCAAGTTCAACATGTATGGGAATAACTTCATCTTTTGTTATGGAAAGGAAATTTCGCAAATTGTCCAATTCGTCTGCTTCTTTTGCTGAATAAATGCGATTATTTTCCACTAGTTTTGAGAGTCGCATCTTATAACATTGCAATTTAACTTGTTTGGAGCTATCCGGCGAAAGAGAAAGCGTTTCTTCCAACTTTCTTAGCTTCTCTTTATCCTCCTGGGTATAGTTTGTTTGTGACTCAACCAAGTTTTGTAATTTCCTTTGATAAATGGGTTCAATCACATTTCGATAGGCCTCATCAGCATCCAGTTCTGACAAAGAAAGTATTCTACGAAGAATCTGTAAAGAATTCTTCTTGTTCGTTCCAAGAGGAAGCTCCTTTAGACAGTCATTTAGAAAGATGCGATAGAACAATCGACATTCATCAGTTTGATGAGCTGAAGAAATCTTAGCCATTGCTTTTTGAACCAAGTCTGATGCTGTATGAGTCGAATCACATATTTTCATCCTGTCTATTATTTCCACTGCCACTTTGTAGAATACAATCAAGACTCGTGCTTCCTGTTCTACTCCTCGAATATTCTGAACCCGCAAAAAGTTCATTGCTTTCTTGAAACAGGAAGCAGTTGCTCCAGCAATTCCATTTTGAAACCCTAGTAACAAATCCTCCTTCGAGGAAAGAAGCAGTTCTTCAGTCTTGGCTCTCAAACTTTGTATATACGGCTTCAAGTCTATTCCAATCTCAGTCGACACGAAAGCATCCTTATCCTTTGATATCCAATCAGCGACACAACTATGCAAAGTTTGTTCCAATTTTCGTTGAAAAGCAGGAATCGTTACTGCTAGAAGCAACTTTTGGGAAGTATCCATGTCAATGGAAAATACTTGACGAACCCTTTGAATTTCTTTTAGGCCTTGTTCAGGTATTCTTTCATTGTTCTGTAAAATTGATTCCAGCATGGAACGATATACCTGCATATGTATTTGGGATGAAACTTCCTTTTCAATGGACAAAGTTGAAGACGCTGTTTCCAAGATACTTGAGTCAATTTGGTAATTAATTATAACTGCTTTAGCCAAAGTCTCATAAAGCGGAATGCGTATTCTATTCAATCTTTTCTCAATCTCTTCTTCATTCAGAGAGAATTGTTTTCGAAGTCGACTCCATTCATACATATAGGCTTCTTCCGATTCATTATCATTGAAAACTCTATCAGAGATGCAAAAATACTTGTCTAGTATTGCAACTAAAGATTTGGTTTCTTCCTGATATTCTAAATCTTTCAGTTTCTCTTTCTTTTTCAATTCCTTTTTGCGCAGTATATTTCTAGGAGAGTTTCCTTTTGGTCCAATGCGCTCAATATTTGTAGATTCATCTAGATAAACTAATGTCCTTCGATACAATTCTTTTCCTACCTCTTGATGTATATCTCCTACATCTTGTCCAGTCAAATGAAATATTTGTTTCAAATGAAAAAGTTGAGCTATTTCCGTTAGTTTCAACGAAGAGTTTTGAATACATCCCATCAAATAAAATTTATAAATTTCTTTTGCATAAGGCAGAAATTCTTCTCTAGTTAGTCCATATCTTTCAAATATCTTACGAACTTCAACTTCAGTAACACTCAAGACACCTTTCTCCTTCAAGAACAGTGTAACTTGTGCTGCGCAGCCTTGTTTTGCTGACCTCGAAACCAAATAAAGTGAAATAGAAACGGATAAAGATGATAATATTCCCACTAGATTGGCATATTTCGGTATCCGTTTCATACTTAACCATCGACCCCCTAAAAAACTGGCAATGGCAATAACCGAGGCCATGAAACGTCGAGCAGTAATATCAAACGAACCGTATAGACTCTGCAAATAGCCCTCATACTTTTTGCAACTTTGATACACTTGTTCAGCAATATATTCATTGCTTTTCAGTATTTTATCGATATTAGTACCAGAAACCGCTGCATCTATTAAAACTTCTGGCCTAACATTATCATCAACTTTCAAAGAATAAGATTCTGTTGCGGCAAGTGTCGAATCTTCTTTGCCTGTAACTGCTGCTGATATATTGGTTGAAGCTAGGCAACCAATAGAAACGTGGACTCGTGCGATCCTGAAGCCAGGACGAACACAGAGCTTCCCAGAAGACGAAGAGTTCTTTACAACGACGTCAAAAAGAGCAATACGGTTCTTCAAGAAAGGATATGGCCCATTCTTTGGAAAAGGATGTAGAAAACAACAGCTGCAGCGAAAGCAATTCATATGAAACGCTGAATACAACGCCGATTCCCCTCAACAACTAAAACGATGTTTCTATCATCTTTACCATTCCAATAGTTTTCAAGACATGTTTGTGGATATATCCAGTGTAAGAGTTTCTTTTTGACACAAAGTTTGAGAACATTGAAAACTCTGTCTTTAATAGTCTTACAACACAGCTCTCTATGTCATAGCTATCGAGTGCTTTCTGTTCTTTGCCGTTATCACACAAACCAAAGTTGAGGTAAGGAAGAGCCAAGTTGCATAGTCCTCCTCCAACTTTTTTTTTTTTGAAAATGGCAAAAGGAAGCCGAAAAGTTGGACTTGGAAGCTCGAGGCTTTTCAGCATTTTTTCTTTTTCAGAGTTTGGCACTTGTTTTCTGGGCCTTTTCTAACGAGGTATTTGGATTCTCATTTCTTGTTATATTGTTACGAATGCAGTTCAAAGTTGTTTCCTGGTACATTCTCCTATTATAGCGCCATTCTATCAGCTGCTTTTGGTCTATGTTGCATTTTCAGCTTAAGTTTTACTGCAGCTTCCATTGCAGTCTTCGTAAGCTTACTGAATACTCGATATGGAAAGGAACATAACTCGAGGATATTTTATGATAGGATCGTAGAAAACGCGCTCTTTACAGGTTTATTATGATTCTCAACTTTGGAACGACTGCGGTTTGTAGTATTTTAGCGCTCAATTTTCGTCAAGTTACCTACGACCTTGCTTATGTGCCTGTATGAAGATATATTTGCTTAATTGAAATAGTTTGACACAATTATTTGTTTCTGTGTATTAGGAACCTGTTAAACAGTGTCTCATTGGTGCAGCTATGGGAAGCTTATTGGCCACTACAATTTGTTGTTTGATTCGTTGTTTTGAAGCCAACAAAGGGCGTAATGGTGCTCTCATTTCTTTACTTGGTAGTTTGTTCTTTATTGGAACTTGTATGGGTTGGCTGTATTTGAACAAGTAAGTGTTTTAATGATGGTCTTTAAAATGATGATGAAAACTTTATGCCTTGTGTAGTATTTGTGTGGAAGAAACTTTATCAAGTTTATCACCTAGGTTGGTCTTATTACTTAACAAGTAGCATCTAAAATACTACTTTTTGAAATTAGTTGTCCACTTGGCAAGAAATTCGACCACAATTTCTTTTGGGCAATGGTGTTGGTAGTTATCAATGTATTAGGTGCAGAAGGTGCTCTTCGAATTATGGCAGCAAATCATGAATACGAAGACTATGTTGACATTCCTTAAATCACTTTCCAAATAAACGTTCCTTTTATTCAAACGTAACCAAATAACGAGTATCTACTTTGCGTGAAAAATCATTAAACTCACGCAAACCCAAGGACAAAAAACTTCCTATCTTTGGAAAGAAAATATAATCGTGAATGTCTAAAACTGGCAACACTCCAGACCAAATATGATCCAAACAATCACCACTTGGACCATAAATAGAACAAAACGAAACTTCTCCACTCTTCCTTTCTATAAGAGGATATGGATATAAGTTATCCACTGACTCGGTAAGCAACTCATGAAATGCTCCAAAGACGCCTTCAGATATATAATACTTATCCACTTTCAACTCACTTGCATCCTTTTCACTGGACTCTTGTCGAGCAATAACAGAAACTGCCATCATTTGGTTATTGCAAAGTAGCAACCTAAAACAAGTCTTCAGTATAAATACACCATACGGTCACTCAATACTTACGAATCTGCATTCAAAACAAGAGATACAGAACGGAGTTTCAACAATGAAACAAGTTTCTTCGTAGGTGAATTGCAGTCAACGTCTCGTGATAAAGAAGAATCTTCCAACAATTGGAGACTGCCAGAAACCACCACAGAAACCTTTACAAAAACAGTCCTTCAAACTTTCAAAACCAAATAAAGATTTCTTACGCGGGAAAAAAGTTTCAAGATATTGCAAAGTCTTTCAATATTCTGCAATAAGAATTCCGACTCGAGTTGTGAAATGTTCACAGATACTATCTTCAAACCTAACTTCTTTGCTAATTTCAACTTATATTCCAATCTCTCAAAAGCACTCGAGGTATCAAACTCGTCCGAACCCAAACTTAACTCTACTGAAACTTCCCTCAAAATTTGGGATAATTCCTAACAATATTACAATTAAGTAACAATTCCTACAGTTTGTTCATATGGGAGTCTTCCAACCTTTGATATACATTCCTCTAATACATCTTCCGAAACAGTTACCATACCAAAGGAATAGGTCTTTAAAATACGCTGAACAGAAGACAACTTCAACATTGGCGAACAAAAAACAACATTAGATAAGGAAATATCATTCCGAATCAAATGTTCCACTTCAGACCGACTAGAAACAGTAAGTTGCACTCTAAAAGAATAATAAGATGTTGCTTAGATGCATTCAATATAAAAATGCATACCCCAATTCATACAAAAGTCTCAAGATAGCTGGGTCCGGATTGCAACGAACGGAATAACGACAACTCGAAGATACAACTTTCTGTAACTTGATAAAGTTTTGATAAATTCCACCGAGGTCAATGAATAACAACGGTCGATGACTGATTGATTTCAACTTCTTTAGTTTAGTTTCCAGCGGATGATCACTCGAAAACCATTCAGCACCAAACCGTTTAGATACTTGCAATAAAACATCCAACGGCTGCGGAACACCATTCGACGAACAGGATAGGAACTTTTGCAGGTTCATATCTTTTGGTATAAATCAATGCATAGCTTTTGTACCTACCTTGACATCTAAGTCTTGCGTACTTTCAGACTCCGGAGTGAACAGAAACTCATCTTCACATCTCATAAAACTGCAAACTTGTGCACAATACTCTCCGAAATTTTCATGCATTCGAACAAATGTAACTTCACCAAACTGTTGATAACCCAGTTCTTTGGAACATGACCATTGAAGAGGTTGCTTTACACAAGCAGCAGGAGCATCTGAATCTGCAAAGAATACAACACAATACTTTTTCTAACAATTTTTACAATAAATATAGACAATGCTTTCAATCAACATCTATTACTTACTGGTTTCAAAAGTTTCAAGGTATTCATCAATAATGAAGTAAAATCTTCTATAATAGCATTGCATTCCAGACTAGCATAGCTACAATGCGACTCTGGAGTAATATGAATCGTATAGTAAATGTCGTCGTTCACTACATTCAAAGAAAATCCACATGGATCAAAGTTGTATGCATCGTAACGAGTTATCTCTTCACAAGGTAACAAAGACTTCAAACCAGAACCCTCAAGAGTTTCTAAACCACTTTGATAATCCTTTGACTTGAAAAAGTGACTGACAGCCTCCTAATACATATTCGTTCAACCTTTAGAAAAGCAAAATATAAAAATTGCTACGTACACTATCCAAATCAAACATAATTATTTCGAATGTCTGTTCAGATGAATATTTTTCTGACTGATCAGCTACATACAAATGCCAAGCTGTTTTACCATCCATAGCACCTAAAGTGTAGCTATGTCCCCGAAAAAACTTTTCTAAAAACTGAACTTCCGAATCAAAGGAGTCATGAGGATAGGTTTGCGCAGAACTATTCATATTCAGTAAACAAGTTTACAAAGAAACTAAAAACCTACGGATATAAGAAAAACGGTCTTGAATAACGCACAAAGTCCACACAAAAGTCCAATTCTTCTGCCAATGCAAGCAAAGACGGTATCGTCCTCAGTAAAGTAGTCCTTCCACAAGTCTTCAAGATTATCTTTTCATCAAATACAAAAAGCGAGCTTTCGGAAAGTAAGTAGGCTATTAACTTGTCACTTGCTATTCTTGAAAGAATACTACACTGTGCGTATGACAAGATTTCGCTCCATCTTTCTTGAGATACTGAGAGGAACGAAGCGATCTTTGAGTTCCTACGTCTAAAATCCAATTCCAAGTTTTTTTCAGGGCCTTCGAAACCACTCCCCATATCACTAGAACTGTCCAATGACAGACCTTCTTCTCCGTGAAAAACCATCTTTCTCCCAAGAATAAGCCAGTAAAAGGAAGCAAAGAACAGCTGTTAGCTAGGGAACTTTACCAAAACTGCAAATGGAGAGCTATGTACGAGTAACTGTGAGAGATAAGTTCTCTTATTAAGAAGATGCACTCATACCTTATAGATCTATTTCCTTTCACCCAATAACACAAGTTACCAAGTGACTTGAAGCCACGAAACATCCCCCAACTTACAAAATACTTTCAAGTTAAGGCCTTCGAGAAAACTTACTCGAAGAGCTTGTCTGTTCTTTACAAGTGGTGGCCGCAGTCAAAAGCTAAAGCAAAAAAACAACGTCCACTCCAGAAGAGAAATTTCACGGCCAATGAAAAATATTTCAAGACTTGGCTTTAGATCATTCCTCATAAGCAATTTTCAGTGAATGAGTCATCTATTTGGAATGATAGGTTTTGAGAAATATTTCAACGAGATAGAAACTTGGAAATTTTTTGAAAATATTTTAGAGTAGCTTCAAACAAAAGGAAACTTGATGATATATATTGTTGGGTTTATCGAGGTTATCTCGCATTCTCCTTGGGAGATTTGCTTCAATGATCGCATTTCAAACGGAACCTTGTCTTGGTTGCTTTAGATATAGCAAGTACATACTTCATCAAAGTCAATGTAACTATTTCCATAAAAGAAAAAGTTTCAAGAGACGATTGACTCTAGTTGTTCCACTGAAAATGAAGGGAGCTTCAACAAAGAAACGAGGCAAGTTACTTTGGGACATAACAGATTTTTTTACAGAATTTCTTGTGCTAAATAGAAGAAATAACTGTTTATGAAGGTGGCCCAAGTTGGACAGAATTGGTAGTGCCTACTGTTTCTTTATTGACGGTTGTTGGTATTTTTCCTTTTCTGGCAACTGTAGCGAGACAATTTTGGGTGAGATATCAACTTACAAGCAACAGAATTGTAGTGGATAGCGGCTTTCGTGGAAAGCAGCACGTGCAAGTCAATTGGGATGAAGTAGTTTCGTTTCGCTCAGTTCGTCGATTTGGAGGTATGTCGGGTGACTTTGTGTTGCAGTTAAAGGACGGATCGAAACTTGAAGTTCGGGTAAGCAGTCCTGGTTTGAGGTATAAATGAAAGTAACTACAGCAGTCTTTAGTTTATTCCAAATTATAACAAGATTTATGAATTTCTTATCGACAAAAAACTAAAGCCTCTGAATAAACTTTCGTAAAAGAGATGCTTTCAATTCTTAAACACACTTAGTACCAAGGATACCAATTGGACTCCATTTGACAAATGTTCTTCCAATCCTCAGCATCTGCGATGAGACGTTGCGAATCTTCTACTTGTCTTCTTAATGATGGCAACGTTTCATCTTTTGTTTCACCCAGGCGACTTAGGATGCTACCGATACTTTCACGTAGCTTGGATTCCACATCAGATAATATGTCCTCATTCCACTCCATAAAATATTGAACCGTTTTGGAGGAAGTTTTCGACGGACCTGTTTGTCCAATATATTGCGAATCCATACCACGCGTTGTTATTGCAACCTGTTTCGATGCATATACCGAAATAATATCTTCACGAACAAAGTATTCAAGCAATGACTTTAACAACTTTGCACGCTCAAATATTGCCATACGTGAAAACTGAAAGCTACTAAAAAAGTAACCAATTTGACCAAAACATCGAAGCCAATTGGATATATTAGGTGTTAAGCGGAAAGGAACCGCATCTTCCGATTCTACAACTCTTCGATTCGAAAGTAATGTGCGCAAACCTGCAAAGATAACAGTTCCATTTTCATCATCTAAAAGTATACTTTGAGGTTTGCGACAACCCAAACCAAGAAAATATTGAACAAAACAGTTGACTGCATAGCTCCTACTAAATTCTTTCTGAAACTGAAATAATCTTGTTACATCCTTCATACGAGTCATGAACCATTCCTCCAATACGTTTTTAGGAATATAATTTCTAACAATCTTCTCAAAGGCCTTCAATCTACATTGAATCAAGTACTCTTTTTGCGACATCTTGCCTTTCCATTCTTCAGTTCTCGATGAAATCAGCAAGTTTCCATAATGCTCCCGAAATTCGCCTGTCACTTGATCTAGTTCTATCCCTCTAGAATGACAATAGTCGAGTATGGGTTGCATCAGAGAAACATTCATCGGTCGACCATCACAAACCAACAAACGAGAATGTGTACCCGTTGGTATGGAATGCAACGTCCGTAGCCTTAGTCTTCTTCTTCGAGAACTTGTGTGTTTTTCTAAACATAGTTGACTCATTAAAGTTAATAAATGAGCCGTCCTTTCTTCTGCACGCTGCAAAGAGGTACTCACACTTGACTCTGCGATAAAGTGGTAAGTCATTCCATTTGTTCCTAAAATCTGAATACGACGACTAAAAGAACCACCTTCATTGTTAACCATAACCTGTGGAATTAACCTATCAATATGTGGAAAACTTTCGACAGGAGGCTCTCCTATCCATCCGTGATACAAACCAAAGACTTCAATAGAGGAAGATAAAGAATGGCCAAAGGCATCTACCAAGTACCGAGAAAGTCGTTCCAAATATCGAACAGTATGTTGTCTTTCAATTCGTTGCTGTATGATTTTCTTCCAACGCTGCAGTCGAACAATAAGTTCGTCAACGTCATTAGGAAAGTCTTCTGCTGTTTGAGGTGCAACTTCTCTTTCGAAAGGTTCCTTCAAATCTGATAAATAATACGGAACACGAAATTCACCCTTTTCTGACAAACCGGTTCCAAAACAAAGCTTGGAAACTTCTTCCAAGGCTGCTCGGACAGAAGAAGAAATTTCCTTTTGGTTGCTATGTAATGATACTTGGCTACATCTTTGTAAGACTACATTCATTAAGCTGTACAATTGCTCTTCTGGTTGAGATTTCAATTTGACACTCAATTCGGAACAGAGACGTTCCAAATCCATATACAGTAAGTGGTTCTTCTCAACTATTTGAAGCATGATATGATCGGCAACCTCAAAAGGCGAAGCAAAATTAAATTGAATGATGCTCTGACTATTGTCTTCTTCTATTGTGTTATCTTCCGGTGCATTTACTCCTGAAGAACTCATACTGCCTTGGGAATCTTTACCATCCACTGAAGAGAAAGTGGATTCACTCTGATATTGTTTGGAACCTTGAGAGAATGATAAATTTGCATTACGACTAGGGCCATGATGCATTCTTTCATAGGATAACATGGCAGTTTGAGCACGAGCTGCAGCTTGTTCTGCTTGGAATCTTGCTTCTTGTAGAATACGCTCAGCTTCCGAAGGATGATAATGGGTACCCCATTGACCTGCCTTATAACGTTCTTGCAATTCTTCATATTTCTTTCTTAACATTTCCGCGTGTTTCTTCTGTTCTCTGGCATACTTTTCCGCAGCGCTATCTGGTAAGGCTTGAATCGGTCTTCTGGGATAATTCACAGCCTCCGCACTTTGCATCTTCTCTGGACGATCCACAAGCTTTCTCTCTTCCATGAAACTTCTCAATGTATAGAAGATAGCTTGTGGGTATGCTTGAGCGACTTTAACCAATGCTTTGTATAAAACTAGTCCATCTCTCCGTGTCAACATAGATATGATGTCAGCTATCCAAGGGATCCAAACCCAAGTCGGTAACACATTCAGATGTTGTTCAAATATGTTCACTATATCAGGTTGCGCAGATGACTTTGTTTCTCCTTCCTTAAGCTGACTTGTGAAATTTCCCTGTAGCAACTCATGCGATGAAACTCCTTCGGTACCTCTTAAATTTGACATTTTGGTTTCACTGACAGAAGCTGTCCCTGTATTCTCTGATCTATCTTTTGCAGCAATAGACAAAGACAACAATCTTAAGATACGTGCAATCTTCACTCGAGAACGTCTAGAACCAAACGTAATGGCTTGAAAATAACAATTCACTGCTGCAGATGCCCATGAAAAGTCTCGAGATTTCGCAAATATATCATCACAATATTCTCCCCAAGATAACCATCCAGAAGATAAGTCTCCACAGTGACTTAATGCAGCAGCAAACATTTGATTGGCATCTTCTAAATAACCCAATCTCTGATAAAACTTAGCTTTTAGAACCAACAACTGAGCTTGTTGATATTTGCCAAAGTTTTCAACGTTACAACTGTTAATTTGATTCAGACCAAACTGTAAAGAAGCAGAATTTGTCTTATCTTCAACGAAATATTCCGGTTGCAAACTCGACTTTGCTTGTTGTTTTACTTTGGTAAAATATTCATTGCTATGCATGGTCGGAAAATGATACATTTTCTGGAAACACTGCAAACAAACTTCCGTCAACCCTTGCTTGCGTGCAATCTTTGCAAACGTGTTTACACTCCAGGCACTTTCATTAACACCAAGACTCAAAAGATTAGAAGGAACCTCCAAACCACGACTCTCCTTGACTGCTTGAAAGGCATTTACCAAAACTGTATACATGTGACTTCTCCAAGTCAACAACTCGTTCCAATAGGTCAAATATTCCCATTGATTCGGCAAACGTTCTCTCCAACCGGTTAATATCTTCAAATGATATTTAAAATTTATCCAAGTTTGTCTTCAAATGATGTCTTACCTGAAAAATTTTTTCCAACCGCGACTCTTCATATACTTGGTTTCGAGCAAAGGAGTTTAACTCCAACAATATTCGACTACTCTCTTCTAATTCAACCAATAAATTGCCCTTGAAACTAAAACTATTCAAAACCTCAACATGCATAGGACGAGATATGGATTTGAAACGGGTTAAAAGATCCTGGTATCCTTGTGAAAATAAATATCCAACATTTTCCAACTTATTCTCTTGCAACTGCAAGGAAATCTGATAAAGTTTCAGCTGAAAAGTATCGTCAACAGGATATTTGTTGGAAATTTCCTTTAATGCAGCCCAATCTGGAAGTCTCCAAAGACATTCATGCAAAAGATCCGTATGTATCACACTCCTCGAAAAGTCTGTTAAAACATCCCACTGATTGAGTTGTCTGGCACTTTCTATCCATGCTTCTTCTATCGCTATAATATGACTATTAGTAAGGTTGTCGTATCCACCTTCTTGATATGCATTCATGGAATCCAAAGCTACATGTTGAGCATCGTTCCAACGCTCCAACTGCATCATCATAAATACATCTCTACTATATTCATTATCACCTTGAAACTCCTTTAATGTTTCCCAATAGGGATCCCATTCCTGCAAATCCCTATAAATGGCAGCCTTAGAATCCAATAAATACTTCCATTCATATATTGTACTTTCTTCTTGCTTATTCGAAGTATTTGGTGATATCATAGAAAGCTGTTGAATTCGTTTCTGTAATAGTTTCAAACATATTGTATGACATCGAAAGTGAATTCCTAAAAATGCCAAAATTTCCGGTGCAAAACGTGGAAAAGCATCTCCACAATATTCAGCACTTGTTAAAATGGACTGAACAACATTCGGTTCCTGAGTACGTTGAATCGAATGATATCTTTTAGCAACCAGTTTGCATGTGTATTCTTCCAAAGATATCTGTTTGTGTACATCGCTTCGCTTCCAAAAGTAAGCAAATAGTTCCTTCCAAAGAATTTCTCCTGCCCATGTACAATATTTGACGAGTTGTTGAAGAGTTCCCTTAAAACCAGTCCAATTGAGTTCTTTCATTAGTCTCCAAAGTCTCTCTACGTCATTCGCATAGGTCAAAAGATGATCCGAGTCGAGTTGCATGGAATCAGAAAATTCAGAAAGTTTCGAAATATCATCAAAAGAGTCTCGTAACTTGAAATGGATGAAATTCGCCTCAATATTTTCCAAAAGAAATTCGCTTCCTAATGACAACCAGTAATAGTCTGCAAATGATTCCCAATCTTTCTCTGAAACAATCCAGCAAAAAATTTCAAAAGGCTGGAGACCATCCAGTTTTTCCTCTCTCATACAAATGTCTACAAGTTGCCTATGTATGTCCCAGTTACGACTATGTAAACCACAGGCCAGTGTTCGTTCCAGTTTCGCAAAGTATTCTTGAAACTCATCTCTTCTTTGAGTAAAAATAGCTAATATCAACTTGTAAAAATCTTCCAAAATATCTCTGGCACATTCATTCCTTTCGAAATGATGGAGCTTCCCAATAAGCTGAACTTTTTCTTTTGTAGTTAAATATTTAGTACTAGTAGACAAATCATCTGGATTATCACAACCATATATCCATAAACAAATGCTTTCTAATACTTGCTTCAAAATAAACTCTACCGAACAGTTGTCAATAATCACCATAACAGACTGCATAAGATATCTTCGTTCCTCTCCATGCAAGAATGACAAATGAACAGAAAGAACACCAATGAGCAAACGTATCAAATGGTCTATTGTTTCATTGCTTCCATGTTCTGAATCTTTCTTATTTATCACATGGCTGGAAGCTTCCTTCAATCTTCTATCTGAAATCCAACCACTACTCCTTTCCTTAACAGCCTGAATCAATACTTTCGTCAAAGACTCAAAGACGCTACTATCTATTGTAACATTCAAAGGAATTAAATCAATTAGCAACTCGGCAACATTTCGGAGCCAAAAGACATTATCCATGGGAGACACTACGTCTTTCACTTCCGCACACAATTCATGAACCAGCTGATCCAGAAACTGCTTCCCATCCTCAGTATCTATGCCAGGAATCGACTTGAGTACCCTTCCTATCATCTTCATTACATCCCATTTACTTCCACGTGCACATGCCTTTACTAAGAATTTTATATATCTCAAACGTTCTTTAAAGAATTCCAGATCGTGATATTTGCTAGCAAGGAGAAAAAGACTCCAGGCTAAGCAATATTTCAGTTGCAAGCCACTTTCATTACAAGTTTCAGCATCAATAGCAGAACCGTTCCTGGACATACTTAGAGAAGGAGAAGAATCGGGCAATTGAGACTTGGACTCTTCTCTTCGCATCTCATTTTGAACTCCTGCAGACGTCCCTGAAGAATGCACAGAACTAGTAGCTCCATCATGCCCCATCTCTTCTGTTGCCATTTCAGCACTGCGAGAAGCAGCAAAGTTGACCAGTGATTCAAGCTGATGAACATTGAGATCAAAATGGTGCCAAACACGACATGAAAATGCAAGGATGGCATAGCACTCCACTAGCAAGTCATTGATATTTGAAAAGTTATCCGTGATCAGTAAAGTCAATCGGAAAACTATTTTTTGAGACAAGTCGATCAGGTACCTTGAGGAGTTGTTCACACTGTGAGAATCATTGCCCATTTCTGCGGGATTTTCAGTTTTAGAGTGTGCTAAAGAAGCATCCGCATTTTCAGTTTTGTCATCCATCTCTTGCTCATTATTCATTGAGGGAGTCCGATTTTTGTTGTAACTTTCTTCTTCATGTTTGCTCCAAAATTCCCATTTTAGTAACAGTCTAACCAAATCAAGAATCATCCTTCGAAATTCCAGCATGGTACTAGCACTCGACGTAAACTTTTTTAGCGCTCCTGTTAGCAGAGGAATAAAGAGTGAACGCGTGGGATAGAACAACAAGGGATATCTGCATATCATATACCAAATATGAGCCAAACGAGGACATGTAAATCCTTCATCCGATAAGATTTTTCTTGTATATCGAGCAATAGTCGGCGCCTTTCCTGAGGAAGATTCATCACTCACACGACGAGGTATTACTGGAGTAATAACAGAGAGTGCATGTCGAGTTAATACTTTCCCTTCAGAATTCCATGCTCGAAGAAGAGCTAAAAATACTTGACAAACCACCTTCTCAGGAGCCTGAAAGGCTTCGAAGAATCTCGAGATCTTCACAAACGCCCAATACTTGGAATAACTATCTTCCTTCTTTAAGTTGTCCCATCCAAACTTGATGAGTTCTTTTCGAAACTCTAGTAACTCGTTAGGAATATACATAATCAACAATGTTGATAGCCTCAACAATTCACTCGATAAACCATCATCATTCATCCTTTCATTTTGACTATCAAGTAACTGATTCACTAGAGCTTCCAATAGATGTTTCGGAATTTGTATAGAACCTGGAGAGTCACGAAAACTTCTTTCTAAGCTAGGAATCAGGTATAGTTGTAAACAAGAAGAAAGCACAAATGGTGGAGTTGAAGCATCCGATGCAACTTGTAAAAAGTAATTAAACACTTCCACTAAAGGTATCACAATATCATATTCTTCTTCACTGTTGTTCAGAAATTTTTTCACAAACGTAAAATCCATCAAATGTCTTTCCCGTCCAAACAAGGAGAAAAGCAAAAATAGGACATCCATTTGATATAGATTTCGACAATAATAAAGAATAACTACTTGAACTAGCTGTCGAGCGGCATCCAAAAATTCCAAGTCATTCAAAAACTCTTCTGAAAACAAGGACTGGACAAAAAAAACTTGCCAAAGACGATGCAATGATTTGTAGACAACAGTATTTTCTTGAAGCCAACTCGGTTGCCAAGTTGATAAAACTCGAATGACTACAATACTTACAAGTATAGAAGGCCACTCCAATCCCGAAACTCCATCTTCTACAAGAGTCTCAATATATCTCACACAACTCTCCATTAAAGCTTTGCGCATAGGCTCAGCATCTTTCGCTTCAATTAATGATAAGAAAAGATGTCGAAAACGTTCATTTGCTATCATCTTGAACAGGTAATCCAAGCTTTCTTTAGGAAATGCATTGCAAAAAGATAACGCCGGTTCACGAAATGGTGAAAAACAAACAGAACGAGTAGATTCTAAAATTTTAAGAGGAGGTATGGACATATTAACAAAGTCTTCTAGTTGTAGAAGAGACTTGAAAAAAGCATCTTGATATTCTATCACAGAGGGAGGAAGCTTTGCAAAAATACGAGCAACTCCAACAGGTAAACGCCAGTCTAAATTGACTGGTGACTCTTGATTCTGCATACAAGAATGAATAAACACCTTCAAATGTTCTAAAAGCTTTTCTATGATGGCTCGATTGAACCAACTGCTGAATAAACTTAAAACTCTTTCCAATCCCTGCAAACAACGTACACTCAATTTATGGCTATCTCCAAAAGCACTCAACAATGGCTTCAAATTGTTATGAAGGTCTTCCTTCGAAAGACAATGTTGCTCAATGAGAAGATGAAGACTATCGATACTCAAGCAGCTAATTTCTTCATTATTGCTTTCCAACGATTGAAAAAGAATCTTGTAAATCTTCTGAAGAAGTTCATTGCAAGCCTTGTTCGATGTCCATACACTCAAATACGTTGGCGGCTCTTGTAAATTCCTAAAATGCGAACCTATACAAGTAATCAATGATTTGATAAATTTGAGACAATGAATTTTTAGAGGCGCAATATAACGAATAACACCTTCATCCGTCAATCGATTATCAACCAACTTATAAAGAGCCATATCATCCGCTTCCACTAAACGGTTGTGTGTGGTGTCGTCAGCAATAATTAGAATATTCTTCAAAAGCATGTGGAAATCTGCTATTCTATGCTCCGAAGAAGTTTCTTGAGAGCTTTCCATAATTACTTTTTCAAATTCATCATCACCTTGAATTCCCAAACCAAACAAGTCTGGAGTTATAATCCCACTTTCCATTAAGAAACATGCCATAGAAATATAAGCTACTTGCTTCCCAAATGAAGAAAATCGTATAGACTTCATGAGCAATATTTTTAAACACTGATCGAACGTTACATTGAAGGCATCGAAAACAGGCACTTGTAATGCATTTGCTATCGCAGTAATCATCTTCTCTGCCCATAAACGGCATGCTTCTGAAGATGAACAAAGCTCGGAGGCAAACAAGGTATACAATTCTAGAGGAAAAGCATGCTTCTTCCAGGTTAATTGTTCTCCAGTAACTTTAGAAATAAGCAAATCTTTCAATTTTTCCAAGTCGGAAAGGAACCTATTGGGATAGTCTTCAGCATCTCTGATCATACTGAACACGCCTCTTAGAATATGTAAGAAGAACACATCGGACAAAGGATTCAGTATGATGTTCTCATCTATACTCTCAACTCCAAGCATAATTCCCTTTATCGCCATGACTTTTAAAGCTAGCCTCCTCGAATAGCAGAAGTGTACAAAAGAGTTCAAACAAAATATTAAAACAGGATGATATCTGAACAGTTCTTGCCCTAGAATATCTTTAAAAACTTGTATAAATTTACAAATTGTGGAAAGCGAAAATTCCATCATGTCGAAAGAACCATCCTCCATAAGTTGGAAGAGCGCAACCACCATACTCAATGGGACTGCATAATTATCTGTACTCTTCGTTTCTGCGTCTACAAAAATCCAATGAAACACAAAATATTCTGATAATTGATGGAAAAACTCCTGTGGTTCTCCATGAAGCAAGGAATTCAGAGTACTATTGGCTGCAATGCACGCGAGATCTCTCACAAGCTCCGTCAAAACCTTTCTTTCTTTGTCCTTAAAATAATAAAAGGAATCCCTCATACATACTTCACTCCTTTCTACTAAAACTCTTTCAAGCATCTGCCTGCCTTGCGAACTTACAACAATGTTCCTCACTCGACTTATTATTTGTTGTTTTGATGAAAAATCATTTGCAAGGAGCAATAAAGTCATGGATCTGAGTAGAAAGTATGCACTTTTTCTCATGTATAACGAGTCTCTGCTTGAAAAATCCATCTGTAAAGTCCTTGCTAAATATGAATCGTCTAAAATGTTGGAACAAAGTTCAACCAATTCACTCATATTCAATTCAAAGCCTTCCATGTTAGTTTCCGAAAGTTGCAAATAGAAAGGTTCTAGTTTTCGGTGTTGTAACGGCAACGATAGAATATCCGATCCATATTTGCGGCAGATGCCTCCTAACTTCCCTAATATCTTCAAGAAACAAGAGGCAAGTCTCTGTGAGGAGTTATAAACTCCGTTCCACAATGCTTGCATAAAAGTGGGTTGCATAGTTTCCAAAATGCTTTCCAAATATTCGGGATGTAGCATTTCTATCCAAAACTCCAAAGTTCTTAGTCCCAACAGTATAATATCAGGACTATCCGATTGCAATGCTAACATTAGGGGTCTCATGTGTAGAGTCAAGTGAGGAAGGATAGACGAAGGACGGGCAGGAATCGTCAAGCAAAGTTCTATCAACAAATTACGACAAGCATCAAAGCACCCAGTCTCGAGGAAACTGACAAGGTCTTCCAAGATGACTCGAAGCAACGGAATCATATCCTTATACAACAATTCAAACTTTCCTCCAGTTAACGATTTAAAGAAAGCTCGAAGTAAGCGGAAGTAATTGTGAGGGTTTGGACTCTTTTTAGCTCGGTTTAGACTCCCTTTCACAATCATATAAATATAAGGTCTAAGTGCTGCCTCATTGTCACTAAATAAAGTAACCGAAGCAAATAATGTCTTAAACAAACTGAGATAGATAGAGCTATTTCCATTGCTTTCAATGAAATCTTTTGAGTCGTTTGGAGATGAAGACTCTGTAGAAATAGAAACGTTTGACGGAACAGTTTCTGTCTCTAGCAGATAAAGATGTTGCGTCAAATACGAGAGAAGAATATTCACACAGAATTTTGAAAGATGTTGACTAGCAATAAGGTGTTGGAACATTTGCAATATAAATGGCTGCTCTAGAATACTGTTGCATAGTTGACTTATACAAACCGAAAATATTTCTTGAAAACTCTTTGGGTTAAGCTCAGTAAATATCTGAGAAAACTGATTCACCAGTTCTTTTTCTTCCTTCTCATCTGTCATTCGATGTCTTCGAAGACTGCCCAGACAGTTGCATCCTAAAAGGAGAAGACGAACCATAAGCAGACATTCCTCTTCTCTTAATTTTCTTGAATTAAAGTTCACCGGAACGTTTACAACTCCTCCAACGTATGACTGTCTATTTCCGATACTTCCACTATCCGTAATGTCCGATAACTGTAAGCTAGTCAATACGGTTCGTATTCCTTGCATCATAGTTTTGACTAAAAGTTTGCAATCAGCAATATCCTTTTCAATTTGGTTGCGATGTAACTCTTCCCTTTCAATAATGGCAAGATCTACTGTCCTCGGAACTTTGGAATCTTTGTCAGAGAATTCCTTCAGAAAACTAGTTGTGAGGTCTTCTTCCCATCTCTCAAGTTGTTCAAATGAAGCGACATTCAGAATCCAAGAATAAGTATCTTCCCCACACTCACTTTTGGTATCCATTTGTTGTTCTTCTGCATATTTCCAATTGTGAGCTAAAGTTGCTATGCGCTCTATCAAACTCTCAAAGCGCTCCACAAATGTAGCAATGATGCGTGCAAATAGTGCTTTCTTCGACACAATCCCTTCCGACTGATTATGAACAGTTTCCGAAAGACTAACCAGCAATTTCGCGGAAGTAAACTGAACAGGCAAACTTAGACTTGTATCTAAAATATTTTTGCAGAATATCGAGACGACTCTTTTCAAAATATCAGAAGAAAGATCTTGTCTCATCAAATGAACAAGTTCAGCGAGAAACGAATATCCTAAAGACTTTACACCTTCACTGATGGATTCGGAAGAACCAAAGAGAGTAGATTCATCGATCAAGTTTTCTAATTCCGAAGCAAAACTAGAACGTAATGAAGTTCCAAGTATATGTCTCGTTGCAACCAATAACTCTTTACGGCTCTGAACACATTCTGAAGGACAACGTCTCAACAAACGAACGATGACATTGGCAATGGACTTGTCCAAAAATTGAACATATTCATAAAAGTCTTTGATAAGAAATGAAAAAAATTGGACTATCTTCACTTGACATAGAATAAAATCCTGAAAAATTGGCTTCAAACTGGAATCCTGAGGTTCTGCTGCTTCTAACGATACAGTATCAAACATTGAAGCAACCAACGAAGGTAGAAAACTTTTGGCAACATCGGGATATAATTGTACCAAATAAAGAACAAGCAGAGGGCATTCTACTAACACCCGAAAAGATTCCGTACTTTTCACGATTCTCTGGGAGGTTGCTGAGACCTGTGAATAGGAAACTTCTATCGGAGAACGGCTAGACTGCTGGGAAGAATCTCTTAAAAAATAAGAGCTGCCCATATTGCGAACGTTCTGATACAAAAGTATCAAAAAGTCAACCAGTTCACGAACATAAGGAAACAGAGTATTGCGAAAGTGTCTATAAAGGCCGAAAATTAGCTTTATGCAAGGCGTTCCTAGGTCATCGGTGCTCTTTTGTAATAAACCTAGGCAAGTCTTCAACAAGGCTGAGGCATAAGGCTCGAGACAGGAATCTTGAGGAAGATGTGAAAGCAGGTCCAGAATTACCGTCTTGAGCTTCTTCTCCTCATAATTTTGCGTAGAATCACCTTCTAAAATGCTTTTAAAGATGGGGAAAAACACTTGTAGGAACTCTGTGTATACTTGAGGGTTTGAGAATTCTACAGAGTCTCTCAACTCTGTCAGCACTTGCAGTTTTCGCGTAGGCTCTAGAGATTGTTGTTATTCATGTCACTTATTTAACACATAAATAAACTTACCAACGTCAACGTTATTTAGAGCCTCAACCCAACTTTGGAAAGAACTTGATGCTGACATTAAAATCAGCACTTCATGGACAACTCTAATCTTCCCATTTCATTTATGAAGACCATTTGATATCAATGCTTAATGATTTCTTAAACAGTTTTCTAAAATGATAGTTTTTCAAAGCGTCAACGAAAGCAACGATGAATTAAGATATCCTTTTCAACATTGTGTCATTCGTTAAGATGAATAAACATTGCATACAAAATGGCCAAATACCAAGTCATTCATGAAAAGACTTTCAAAGGTTTACAGTAATATGAAAGAGAGGAGAACAGTATTGAAGACTGTTTCTAAAGCAACTTTCGACTCTGGGAACCTTCAATTGATCTTTCATTGACCATTTAAATTGTAGACTGGCGCCAAAATTGTAGGAAAATATTCCATATGGAAGTGCAAGACCGCAAGAGACTGAAAACTCAACACTCGGAACTGGAATGGAAACTCAAAAAAGTTATTAGAGAAAGCTCAGGAGAAACTGTTCTCCATTTGCTGCCCAATAGGTTGGATTCTTCATTTCACAACATTGTCTGCAGTATTTCAAAACACCAAGTAGGCTATTGCTATGGTTATGGTACACCCTGGTAATCTAGTTTAGGTGAATATTTATGATTGTGCCCACTTTGGGCAGAATTTGGATCTATTTATGGCTTTTCGTAGCGAACCGGGAGAAGAGTTTCTTTGTGGAGCTTGGGTCAAGGCAGATGTTGAAGAGAGTGATGCTCTGTCCGTATGCAAACGTTTCGTTTTGGATGAAATTCTCGATCATACTAACCGTTCTCAACATAACATAGGACAGCATTTTAGCTGTTGGATCTAAATCAGGAAAAATTCACCTGCTTAGTTTAGCCCATTGCCAAGAGATAGAAAATATTGATGCAAGTGAAATAGGTACTTCTATCGTTGGATTAGCTGGTTCATCTTTACACGCAGTAACATTTATATCGTGTTCCACTGATGGCAATGTAAAGATATGGAAGAGAAAGGGGAATATGTCCGTCTTACTTGGCATCGTATCCTTCCCTTCGGTCATTGTATCGTTTGCTAATGACCACACTATGTTGTTAGCAGGAAAGGATCATACTTTGAGAAAATTTGATATTTCCAGCATTTTGGAGTCGACTGCCTGTCGTCCATTCCATTTTCAAGTGAGTACTCTTACACTGTACTATTTTTTCATCTTTATGCCAGAAAAGGAAGATGACGGTCAAATTGTATTGAAGAAAAGCAACATGTCGAAACTGTGCCATTTTCAAGTGCTGCATGACCATCAGGTTATTTGTTCGTTTACCGATGGAGTAGTACTTCTTGTCGATATCCTTAGTGAAGAACAACTAATGAAATGGGATGTAAGCTTTGATACTGACTTGAAAAAATCAAAATGATAAGGTGAACAGATCAACAATTTTTCTAAAAGCGATCCTTGTCGATTCGGAATTTGTCCTGAAGGAGATTACTTTGTGGTGTCCAATTCCAATGGAGTTGTCTATTTGTATGATATCCCAACGGGAAAGAAGGTAAATATGGAGAATAAGGAAATACGACAGCAAAACTTTCACAACAATTTATAGATTGATAAATTTCAAAATGAAAGAATGCGAAAAGCATGTGGAAACGTTGTCTTTGGAACTTCAAACTCTAATTTGATCATTTCCACCGACTGCATTCTTTGGTTCTTTGTCAAGTCATAACATTTCTACAGAGCCACTCTCAATCTGCAATAGAGCTAATTTTCTTCGTATTCAAATACAAATGTGGGCTTGGTTGGCAAAGATTCCCTCGCAGCTGATATAAGCTCCTTTCTAGTTTCTTCTACTACATCGCAACTCTTTATGACTAGCAGACTCTTTAAAGATAACTCTTCCATGACATATGTTCTATTCTGTAAAAGCACATCCACTTCGTCAAATAAAAGTTTCAGATCTAAAGCAGGTGCACCTTGCTCTTTTGTCTTATCTCGTATCATACCAACGAATGACATGACCTTTTTTATATTATCCTTTAAGTCTTCACAAGAAGATATCAATTTGGGAATGTCTGCTTCAAATTCATTGGAGGAAGCATTAAATACTGAACGCAACAAATCGACAGACTTGCGTTGCCAATAAGGAGGCTCAACACAAACGACTATCGTTGCACTTTTTGGAGACTTGAGTTGTTGATTGGACTTTTTGGACTTTTTAGGCATCATTTGCAGTCTCATGCGATGCAAAGTATCTTCCAAATAACGGGAAGCGGCCAGTATACTTTCATCTTCAAATTCTACAGTTGGCCAATGTGACTGTAAAATACTTGCTTCTGCATTTTGTTGCGTTGCCTTTGCAATCCACTCCCAAATCATTTCACTGGTATGAGGACAAACAGGACAAAGAACTAAAGCCTGAATTTGACAATAGAATAAAAACAATTCTCGGTTAACGTCATTCATGGTTGATTTGGATTTATCTGCATGAACCACTTTTCTGTATCTTCCAAGTGCTTCCTGAAATTCAAAGAATCCTATTTTCAAAGCCTCTCTATACAACATTTCATCATATTTCTCTTTACATAGCCGAATGGTTCGTCGAATTTCCGATAGAAATACGCGATCTTCAAAACGACTAGAGGTCTCAGCTGCTTCCGTTCGCATTATTTCTAATTGTTCACAACCTTCTTTTACAAAAGCTAACAAGGCTGTGAGCTTCAATACAGCATCATCTGCAGTCTTCAATTGGAAATTGGCATCTTCAACTCCATCTCCTGCATCCGCCAAGGCAAATCTTACAGCATCTGAAGAATACTTGTCGATTGCCTCTTGTAAAGTCAAAAAATTACCAGTACTCTTACTCATCTTTTCCGAGTTGATCATCATATGGCCATTGGCACGAAATGCACGAGGCCAGTTCTCTTGATTAAAAAGAGCAACGTGATTATAAATACAAAAAGTGAGATGGTTTCCAATCAGATCTTTTCCTGAAACTCGCAAATCCATTGGATACCAGTAACAAAATTCTTTTCTTAACAATTCCAACTTCCATTTTGGAATGGAGCATTCATTCCATTGTTCCTCGGACAAATTTTCACCTAAGAAAATAAAGTTCCAAACTGCAGGAGTCATTTGCTCTGCTTTTATACCAATTGGATTGGGTTTCTTTCCATCTAAGTTGTCTTCTCCTTGAATCAAATGGGCTACAGTATAATATGCCATATAAATGGTAGAATCTGAAAGTGACTCAATAACATATTGTGGATCCCAAGGAAGTTTTGTTCCTAAACCAAATGAGCGAGAACAAGCCCATTCATGAAGCCAATCAAAAGTAAACTCAAAGCTTCGTTGAGTCTCCGTTCCAAAACTTGAAAAAACACCAGTTACTATTTCAATATTAATATGAAACAAAATGTGGCTTACGTATTCATACGACTCAAGCATTTCTTAGCCAATTCTCTCCAATTCGGTTCTCCGTAATCTAAATACCACTGGTCGACCAATGCAACTACACATTCGTCTCCAGAACGGGATATAACTGGAAATTCTGGTTCACAGTATACGATAGCTTTCTTCTGAGACACGAGGTCACCTTTTATCTTTGCTTTTGCTTCCTGTACAAGTTCACCTGCATAAGGTCCTTTCAGAAGTTTTCCTTCGTAGAAGCCTTTTAAATAAACTAAATCCTTTGCCTTTTTCAAAGCATCGACATCATTCTGAGAACGAACATGAAACTTTTCACAAGCTACTTTTGCTGACAAGTCACCAAAAGTAGGAACATCAACTACAGGAACAGGTTCAAAAGGAAATACCCATTCATTCTTTAAATGAAACTTTTCTCGAAGACCCGCTTTCTCTTTCAAATCCAATAATGCACGATAGTCATCCGGTGAATCTGAAGGCACTGACATAACTATACCGGTTCCTTTCTGCGTAGATACATTAAACATTGGCAGAATATAAATCTTTTCAAACGAACATTCTGGAGACTTGAGAGACAATCCAATCAACTGCTCTCCTGTGAGTTGCAATATTTCCTTGGGTTTTCCAAATTCTCCTCCATCAAAACCTTGAAAAGCCATATTTCGAGCAGCTCTTGGCGTCATGATAAAATATTCTGACTCTGGTTTATCTTTCCATTCATCACTCTGATATATAATTTCATAAACTCCATAAGTGCCATTTGAAGCAATCCAACAATTGGTTACACCATAAATAGTTTCTGGACGTAATGTAGCTGCAATTAAAAAAATTGGCTTTCTCTTTAATGACTTGAGAACGGCATGCGACTCTACAGTCTCTTCTTCCAACTGCAATTTAACACCAATGTACTCCAATGGTCCCGCACCCTCACCCGATGCCCTATCATGATCAGCACAAGCTTGCCTATCTAAAGGAGAATAAACGGTATAACGTTTACCAAACTTGATTTTTCCTCGTTCCTTTAATGTCCAGAACTGCCAACGTACAAATGAGTCATAAAAGGGATTAGCTTCCGTTGTAATAAATGACCTTCTCCAATCTACAAAAACACCGAGACGTTTTAAATCTCGTATACCATAAGGAGGAAAATATTGTAACCAATAAAGAGGATCAGCAAACTTTGGAACCAAATCACAAGGCACTCCTAAAGACTCCAATATTTTCCACTGTCTTACTATATTGCCCGCCTTTTTTGATGAAGCCTTGGATTTACTGGAGGTGAACTTGGTAGGATCAGCCTTATCAACTGGCTGTATTGTTGTTGCGGTTGTTCAGAAGCATTTGTAGCCACTTCACATTGTTCTTGTAAGTCTTCTGGAAAGAGTGGAGGGCAACCAAACGCTTCTATTTCCTTTCGAAGTCTATCTGCACAGGCCTGAATGGGCATTCCTGTACAATGAAAAGCAAAAGGAAATAAAGAACGTTTCCCACACAAGTGTTGATACCTTGCAGCAAATTCCGCTTTAGACAGTGAAAACGCGTGTCCCAAGTGTAGAAAACCGTTCATATACGGATAAGGAAACGTGACCAAAAATTTTGATCTTTCCTTGTTCGCTGTTTCCCTTTCGTATTCTTTGGTTTCTTTGGGAATGTCTATAGAAGTGATTTGTAGTCTATTCCACTTTTCTTGTACCCTTTCTTGCAATTCCAACAATTGGTCTCTTCTGACAGTTGACATATCTACTAACGTTCGTATTCCTCTCAACCCAAACAGCGGTCGATAAACACAACGGAATCCGAAGAATGGGCCAATGATGTCCATTTTTAGAGTCGAGCAAAGAAATGTTTACGGAAGCATCAAATAAGCATTCCAAGTGGTATGTGATATTTTAGGTGACAGTTTTTGGGCTTTGACTTGTAACTCATAAAAGGTAGGACTTCTGGGGTACCTTAAAAGCCTCATATCTTTGGTTTCTTCGACTAGACGATTACCTTTCTTAAAGTTGCATTGAAAACAGGCAGTAACCACATTCGTCCAACAACTGTGTCCACCTTTTGAGCGTGGAACGATATGATCAAACGACAAATCTACGGAGCGGTAACGTTTTCCACAATATTGACAGGCGAAATCATCTCTTAAGAATACGTTGAAGCGAGTGAATATCGGTTGTCGACCTGTCATTCTTCTAAACTCTTTCAAAGCTACTACTGAAGGAAGTTTCAAAGACAAGGAAGGCGAACGAATAGTTTTCTCATAAGTTTCAAGAACCACAACTTTCTCTAGAAGCACAGCTTTGATAGTTTCATACCAAGGCCAGAGACTAAGAGGATAATAACTCACAGGTTGGAAGTCAGCGTTGAGAACCAGCGTAGGAAATGAGTTGGGACTTGTATTTGGATCGCGCTCCAACTTGTGGAGATCTAGGAGCGATGGCTTGCAACTTTTAGGTTCAGCTGGATTCAAGTCGTAGAACTGATAATAGTTGAAAGGGACCTTATCTGACGAGCTCGTTCCATCCTTTGCTCTTTCTTCACTCTTAGAAATATTAAGCTTGCCAGCTAAAGACGCACAAGACGAAATAAGTTCAGAGTCCAAATAAATTTTGTATTTCCGTATCGGCTTCAAACTTATCACCAACCATCGTGACCTGGAGCCGTTTCGCTCATAACTGTTACTATTACCACTCTTCTTACACTCTTTTTGCAAAAGAAAAGAATAAACCTGACTTCTCCAAACAGGAGTCTTTATATACAACATTCTCCACAAAAGTCTTATGAATATACCCAACTTTACAGAATCTCATTCCATTGTCCACTCTTGATGAATGAACAACATTTTCGACTAGCCAAAACACTTGTCAATGATAGTTATATGAAGCAAGCAGAAGAATCCAGAAAGCGTAGAGAGAAACTCATAAGGAAACTCTTTGCCAATCGGAAACTTCCAAAGGATGGATGGTGAGTTTATAGTCGCCAGATATTCCCTGACCTTATTTAGGGATGAGGTGACTATACGTTTGTTTCTACAAGAGATTGCCAGTATGGATAGCAACAACTTTATTGGAAATGTGGGAGCAGGTGAAAGAGAAGCGAGAGTCTTCAGTAACATCGTTCGAGAAAGAAATTATAGTCTAGGACACGGCATCGGTATTATACTATGTATTCTTTACTACTTGTCTATATGATTACATATCCTTTTAGGAAGATCTGGAGATATTAGTGCTATTCAGCCTAAAGCTGCAGGTAGCTCCCTTCTTGCTAAGCTTACAGAATGTTTGGTTTTGGTTGGTAGTTTTGACTAGAAGTTATTTCTATCATTTATCAATGTTTGCATAGGACGCCATAAAAATTGCAGGCTTAGAATCTATGAAAGCAGCGCTTGTAGTTCCTGTAGCAACAGGGATGGCAATGACTTTAATATTTCTTTCTCTAAGAACTTTGAAACCTCATGCAACCAAAATTATATTATCAAGAATAGATCAAAAGAGTTGTATAAAGTCCATCCAAGCTGCAGGATATGAATCAATAATTGTTGATAATCATGTTATTCAGGATGAAGCTAGGACGGATATCAAGTCCATATCGAATTGGCTGGAACTAGAGGCGGATAAGATTCTTTGTGTTGTTAGTACTATGAGTTGTTTCGCACCTCGAGCACCAGATGATATTGTTACTATTGCTACTTTGTGTCAAACAATGGGTAAGCGTTTCCTTTTTAAATTGCTTTCGAATCTATATATATATATATATATATATATATGGCTGAATATTGTATGGACAGATGTATTTCATATCGTGAACAATGCCTATGGAGTTCAGAGTAGACAATCTAATGGTAAGTTATGTTGTATATTTGAGAATATATCTAAAGATGGCTGATTGTGTTATATTCATATTAGTGTGGATTGAGTCTGCTTCAAGTAAAGGAAGAGTTGATATCGTTGTACAAAGCACAGATAAAAATTTTATGGTTCCAGTAGGTGGTGCAGTTTTGGTTGCCAAAAGAGTTGATTATCTTATGAAAGTGGCACAAATGTAAGTAAGATTGAATTGTTGATAAGGAATGTCGATAATAGCAATTGCATAGATATCCTGGAAGAGCTTCTGCACAAATACATATTGACTTGTTAATCACACTTCTTCAAATGGGTCAGTCTACTTGGCGTGAGTTGTTGAGGCAGAGAGAAGAATTGTTTCCAGTGTTAAAGGTCTTTAAGGAATGGTTGTTGTTTCTCTTTTGACATTTTAATGAATAGAATGAATTTAGCAAAATAGCTTATAAATATGGAGAACGTTTATTAGATACTCATCATAATCCGATTTCAATGGCTATGACTTTGGACCAATTAGAAGCAAAAGGATTTCCTGTAGAATTCTTTGGTTCCATGTTGTTTACTAGATTCGTTTCTGGTACCAGAGTTGTAGCTCGAAAGAATAACAAGACAAAGGTAGAGCAATAGAAAATGAGACTAATCTCGTACAAAGAAATGACTTTCATGTGATAAGGTTTGTGGAATTGATTTTCCCGATGGCTTCGGAGCTCATTGTACAAATTATCCTCATAGCTATCTTACTGCTGTAAGTAATATTTGTCTTTTAGATAACAATATTAAAACACTCCATTCAATTAGGCTTGTGCTTTGGGAATGACAAGACAAGATATTGTTGCATTTTGTGATCGACTCGATCAATGTTTTCAAGAGGCTTATAAGAAATTGGAATTGCCTAAGGATGACACTCGAACATTTATGGATTGATCATTTGTTTTATTTCTTGCGCTTTATATTCTATGTATAACTTGTGTGGATTCCAGAATAGCAATATACTTGCATAAGTGTCTTTCCAGTGAGGATTCAAAACAACTTAAAGTTTGAGCTACCGTATATCCTTTTGACAACAACTTTAATACATAGAATAATATTCTGAAATATTCGAATATAGTTATCAAATGAGCACATGAAATAATGATATATTGACTTACTCAGTAGTGAGTGGTGATCCAACATACAACATCTCCTGAATTTTGGATATTTTGCTCCACAAACCTTCCATTCTATTCTTTGCAGTATCATAAATAGTAAATTGTATATTCTTCTTCAAAACTTGAACATATTCTGTTACATGATATGCTCTACCTTTTTGTATGGCATCGATAATAAAAATTTTGTCAAAATCGACTAAACATTCTCGAACTGTATCTATCAAACTTTAAAGGATTTTCTCAGACTTTCTATACACAAACCTTACTATACTTACCATTTGGTGGGATCCCACAAACGAAACAAAAGAGACAATATCTTTGTATACGGGAAATGAAACATTTCATTGATAAACTGCTCGGATGAAATATAAAAGCACAAACTATACTCCTTCCAATCATAATTCTCTGAAAGATATTGTCGTTGGATATACATTTCAAGATAATTATTCACCACAATCTTTCCAGGAATCTCACAAACAACACAAGTTAGTGCACTCTTCAATATATTCTCCAATTCTCCTATAAGCACAACGATGTCTTCCTCAGTTTAAAGTTAGTCAATGGTTCTCAAAGTAGTTACTTTGTCCAGATGGTAGAGTGGACTGTCGAGTAACATAGCTACAACGAAGTTCTTCCAATGCAATTGATCGAGCAACTAGAGAGACAACGCGTTGAGCTGAAACTATCCATCCTTGGGTGAACATTCCTCTATAATGGATACCTGCCTAGATTAAAAAAGTATTAAAAACAAACAACATGGTTTAGCATACAATTGTACTAACCGTCAAATTTTGATAAACTGATTTTCTTCTGTTCTGCTCCACTTCTAAAGCACAAGAATACCAAATATAGTTGGACTTTCCTATAGAGCTTGATAAACTTTTACCACACAATACCGCTTTTGAAAAGGGTAGATCCATAAAAGAAGCAAGACACTCTTTTGTGTCTTGGCTAGAATAGTTGAAACGTATTTGTGGTTGCTGAAGCACACAAGGACAGGATTCTACTGCATCTTGAAATGAGTCTGGAAATATTTCGCAAGTTAACTAGTATAATTACACAACGAGAGAGTGAATCAATGAGCGTTGCTTGTAACTTAGATATACATACATGTGAAATAACACTAGCCTTTTCACCAAAAGGTACAGCCATAATAAACATTGTACATTTGAGTTGATAACTGCTCTTGTCCATAATGAAGATTCCAATGTTCTTCCTCCTCCTAACGGGGAAAATGGTAGTAGAAGAAAACTTTGTGTTCTAGTAAACTTGAGTACACTGAAAGCTGCTTATTTTCAAACTGTTTAATAGTAGCTTAACTTGGATATATGTCTGGAAGGGAAGAAGACTTGGTTTGTAGAAAGGATAATTATTCTACAAGTTCTGCGGACTTTGAATATGCCTCGGAGAATGAAGTTGAAGAACAAACTATTCTGGGAAACTTGCCTGGTACAGTAAGAAATACAACTTTCAAGGCTGCTTCACGTGAGAGATCAGATGGATCTGAAGTATTATCCTCTTCGCCAGAGAGTCCAGTTACCACTGAAACCCAAGAGTTACAAGAGCTGCAGAAACAAAGGGGAGAAATGAGTCCTAAAGCAGCTCAAGAAGAGATATTGGCGCAAATCCAAAGGCTTCAGTTGAAGTTGACAGAATTGCGTGAAGTAGACAACACCAGTTCTGTTGGCAGTCATCATAGTCAACTGAATACTTCGAGTTCAGGTCATTCTTTGCATCGTCAGAACTTAGAGAGTTCTGTAAGAGATACTATTTGTCAGCAAAGTGAAACAGGGGAAACTTTGATATCTACGAATAGTGCAAAAGTTGGACCCAAACTTTTGGTTGTATCCAATCGTCTTCCGGTAACCGTTACAAAAGATAATAACGGCGCTTATCATTTCAATATGAGCTCGGGTGGTTTGGTTTCTGCTCTCAAAGGTGTGAAATCTTTGATGCCTTTTCTTTGGATTGGATGGCCTGGGACTGAAATTGACCCTAATGAAAGAGACTATGTACGTAACAAGTTAAGAGAAGGTTATTCTTGTTTTCCAGTTTTTATTACGGATGAACAAGCCAACTTGTACTATAATGGCTTCTGTAACGATGTCTTATGGCCCTTATTTCATTATGTACCTTTGCCTATTGTTTCTTCAGATGGCGAAAGGAAATTTGATTTTAAATATTGGCAAGCTTATTCCGCTGCTAATTATCGATTTGCAGAGGCTGTTTTACAAGTTTATCAGGAAGTAAGTAACTTGTGTATTTTATGTTGTTGTGACTTGCAAAGTTTTAACATCACTTTGTCTTCTGTATTCAGGGTGACTATATTTGGGTTCAAGACTATCATTTATTGTTATTGCCTTCACTTCTAAGACGACGACTGAGAGATGTGAAGATTGGTTTTTTTCTTCATATTCCTTTTCCCACAAGTGAAGTTTATCGTATCATTCCTGTAAGAAAGGAACTTTTACAAGGTGTATTGGCCGCAGATTTGATAGGGTTTCATACCTATGATTATGCACGACACTTTTTATCAGTCTGTACTAGAATTTTAGGTTTGGATTCCTCTCCAAAGGGAGTCAATTATCATAGTCACTTTGCACATGTGGGTATATTTCCTATTGGTATCGATCCGAATACTTTTCATCGTGCCTTGGAAGATGCCAACGTGCAACAGCGCATACAAGAATTGCATGAAAGATTTATGGGTAAAAAGGTATTGTTAGGTGTTGATCGTTTGGACTATATCAAAGGTGTTCCTCACAAACTTTTGGCATTGGAATGGCTTTTGACAAAATATTCAGAATGGATGCATAAAGTATGGGAAACAACACTGAAATGAAACAAAAAGAACTTAATATTTTTAGGTTGTACTGGTTCAAATTGCAGTTCCTACTCGTACCGAAATTGAGGAATATAAGAAACTTTCAAGCCAAACGAATGAATTGGTTGGTAGAATCAACGGCAAATTTGGTACTGTGGATCATTCTCCTATAATGTTTATCAATCAGAGTCTTGCATTTGAAGAGTTAGTGGCTTTGTATACGGTGGCAGTAAGTTGGAATTCAAAGGAAAGAAATATCAGTTCATTGACTATCAATTTTAGGACGTTGCCATCGTATCTTCGGTTCGAGATGGGATGAACTTAGTATCCTATGAATATGTCATGTGTCAACAAGCAAACAAAGGAGTCCTTATACTTTCGGAGTTTGCTGGTTCTGCACAGTCCTTATCTGGTGCCATAAGAGTGAATCCTTGGAATGTTGAAGAGTTGGCCAATGCAATACATGAAGCGCTTTCTATGCCTCGTCGAGAAAGAGAAATCAAACATTGGAAACTGTATCGGTATGTATGGCTTGAAGTATTTGAATTTGTATTTCTCATGATTTATGTTTCCAGTTATGTAACTACACATACTGCAGAATATTGGGCCAAGTCATTCTTTCAAGAGTTGGATAATGTCGTAAAGCATAGAGATGAATTACGTTTGTCGCTTCCTTTGCTTAATGTAAAGTCAGTAATTAAGCGAATTTCGATTGCTCGAACAAGATTGTTTTTATTAGAATATGAAGGTACGTGTATTATAAGACTTTTTGTTTTGGTGTAAGACCAGGAATCGTCCGAGTAATGACAACTTGGTTAGGTAGTTTATGTCATCCAAAGTCCCTAGCAGAGTTGAACAGTCCGACGTCCACTCATATTAAAATTCTGACGAGACTTTGTTCGGATCCTCGAAATATTATAGTTGTTATTTCAGGTCGAAGCAAAACCATATTAGATAATTGGTTTGGGTAAGTTTTTTTATTGATTGTAATGAAAACCAAATGGATTAGAGCAATAGAAATTATCCAATGGGTTTGATTGCAGAAAACGGCTGTGACTTGAAAATTGGTGGTGGTTCTGAGTGGCGTTGTCTTTTATCCTCAGCAGAAACTGAATGGAGAGAAGAGTTACTTCCTGTATTGCAATATTTTACGGAAAGGACTCCTGGTGCATATATCGAAAGAAAGAAACATTCGGTTACTTGGCATTTTCGCGATGCCGATCCAGAATTTGGTTCTTGGCAAGCAAATGAATTACAGTTGCATTTGGCTGAACTCTGCAGTAATTTGCCGGTAAGTTTTCATCCTAATAGTATCATAAATAACTTAAGGTTTGGTTTAGATTGAAGTCAACTCTGGTCCCAAATATTTAGAGTTGCGTCCAAAGGGAATTAGCCGTTCAACAACGGTCGAACAATTGTTCTCAATATTGCGTGAAGAAAAGCGAATGATGATAGATTTCTGTTTCTGTCTTGGAGTAGATCGTGCCTCTGAAGAATTATTCAACTTGATACATAACCTGAAAGATAAAGTAACCAATGACAGAAACTTTTCCTGGAAGATGGATAGTATTTGTTGTGCGGTGGGTTTACAGTCAAGTAATGCAGATGCTTATATTCAAGATGTTGATGGAGCTTTGGCAGTTGTTCGAGAATTGTCTAGTCACATATCCACAATAACTGTGGATAACCATCTGAGGGCTCATACGAACGCTTTGAGTCATGTACATAAACCACGAAGACGACCCAGTGTCAGGAATCAACAGAATATAGAATAACCGAACTGACGACTTGATAAACTGACTTTAAGACTCCAGTTGAAAACAGTTTCCTCCATGTTGTAGAAGCCATTCTTCTTTCACTTTCATTATTGTTCTAATATATGGCTTAGATGTCCAAATCAATTCATGATAGATCAAGTAACCCTCCTCGTTAGAAGACAAACGCCCATGCAAAATTGAAGATGGATGTATGTCCACTTTCAATGGTTCAAACATAGTATACAACTGACGATCTTTTCCAATTCTAACAGTTTGTCGAAAAAATCCGCTAACCAAACATCGACCCAATCTATCTTGCTCACTTTCCTCTTCATAACGTGATATGGAAGATGAAGATGGATATCTTTGTTGAAAATATTGGAACAATTGAGATAGCTGTCGATAAATATTATGTGCAGTAGCTAAAGAACGATAGTTGAGATGATGCTCTTTGCACCAATTCGTACGTTCACATTCAGGAATAGAGAGATACGACTGAAAGACTTGTAAAAGAGTAAAATGATCCCCAAGAAAAGAGATAAATTTGTTCCAAGCTTGAATTGCTGTGTTACGACTCTTAAAGGAAACTTGAAGAACTGATTCAGTACTGAGAATGGAACACAAAGCCAACATGGAGGATGAGCAACTTAATGTAATCGACTCCAGCAAACTTTTGGAAAGCATTGGTGACAATGGAAAGAACGCCATTTGCTTTCCAATCATATTCAACTTCATAGAAGATTCAAGTGCTCCGATTGAGAGCAATACTTCCAAAGCATGTTGAAACGAATCCATTCTAGGCTTATCCAATAACTCGAATTCAAGTGGATTATCCACTCCCATCGCCATCAGTTGTAAAGTAACTGACACCAAGTCACTCACTAAAACCTATACAACAATATAGATCAACCAAAGCAAGGTAATATCAAATACCTCAGGAATGGGATGAAAAGGAAGTTTATCAAAATCACTTTTTGTGTACAAACGAAAACATTTGCCGGGACATTCTCTTCCAGCTCGGCCTGCTCTTTGAAGTGCTTGTGCCTGCGATATCGGAGAAACTCGTAATGCACCCAAATTTTTCATATTGGAAACCAATCTCTGTTTTGAAAAACCGCAATCTATAACAAATTTAATACCTGGTATGGTTATTGAAGTCTCTGCAATGTTGGTAGCTAAGATTGCCTTGCGATACCGATTCCGAGAAGGCTTCAATGCAGCTCTTTGGTCATCTGGTGAGAGTGCAGCAAACAAAGGATATACTCGAAGAGAATATAATGTATCATTGTTCTCCGTGAATTGAGTCAATTCTTCTCCTCTATATCTCTTATCCAATAATGATTGATAGCTTTCGAGTCTCTCCTTTATCATACGAGTAGCAATTTCAATTTCTTCTTGACCTGTAAGAAATATCAAAATATCACCCGGAAATGATTCCTCCAAATGTATTTGAAGACAGGCAACGACTGCTGCTTCCAAATAGTCTTCCAACGGGCTTTTCGTATAGAAAATATCTACTGGATACAATCTTCCTTCAATCTGCAATAAGGATATATCAAATGTTGAAAAGAAACCTCGCAACTTATCAGTTTCAAAAAAGGCCGACATTATCACCACTTTTAAGGATCCTCGACGGTTGGTTAGAGCTTTCTTTACGACTCCTAAAACAATATCTGTCTGTAAAGATCTCTCATGAGCTTCGTCAACAAATATCAAGTCGTACTTTGATAGTTCAGGATCTATTATAGCTTCTCGTAACAAAACTCCATCAGTAACATAGCGTAACTTGGTTTCTCTACACATAAAAATAAATAAAGTAAAAAATACAAAGTTCCTGTCACCTACGAAGAAGTCATATCATCAAAGCGCACAACATAACCTATCTGAGAACCCAGAGTTACTCCACGCTCCCTACAAACTCTCTCTGCAACAGAAATGGCAGCCACTCTACGAGGTTGAGTAATAACAATGGAGTGATAACCAACGTTTAAAGCTTGCTGCGGAAACTAGAAAACAGTCAGATTTTCGAGATGGACACTCAATGTGACTAACTTGGGTAGTTTTGCCACAACCAGTTTCGCCCACAACCAATACTACGTCACTCGAAAGTAAAGCTTGGAGAAAACTCTTCCGTGCATGATAAGCAGGAAGTTTCTTAATCTGGTTCCAAATTTGTTTTCGCTGATAGCTTTTCTCTTTGTTTCTCTTTTCAATCATCCAAAAGAGGAACAACTCCTTTGAACAAATGTATTAAAATTCGATATATCATTGCTGTCTAAAGTTTACATTTTGGTAAAAAGTACTATTCGTCATCATTTTTCTTTCCTGAATAAAAAACCTTCAAAGCATATTTTAAGGAATCCATAAATTCTTTCTCTTTCTTATTGCTTTTCACTTGTTAGAGTAGTTATCCAAAATGGAATGGTTAGTTAGAACTCGCTTGGAAAGCGTTTGCGTACAAAGAGACAAGATTTTTGAACAACTTGCCAAAGTGTAAGTTGATAGCGATTCTTTGTTATTGGGTTGTGCTCAACGTAGTTTCCAAGCCGTGAGTTGAGAAGAAATCTTGGAATGTTTCTCTCGAAAGCTCCTTCGCTCGTTCAGGTTAACGTGGGTTGTGACTTTTACGTTGATGGTGAAGTTGACGAAGAAGCTCTTCTCCTTGTTGATATCGGTAAATAGTTTATTGTATGAAAGTGTTTTGCTTAGCCCGAGTGTGACAGGAAAAGACTTGTACCTGGAATTGCAACCACAAGAAGCCCTGGAAACCGCTATTATCAGAGAAAATGTTTTAGAGAAAATTGGCGAGTTTTATACAAAGAGGTAAAGTAGATGAAGTTTATTCGCGTAAGTCCCTAACAAACATCGGAAGAATTGGAGAACTGGATGGTTGGCTTCAAATATATAACGTGGAAAACTAGAAGAATTGTGCGATTGTTCTTTCAATTATTTTTACAAAAGTGTTTGAACGTTGCTGAGCCTTACACCATGTTGCACTTGTTCTCCTTTCTAGCTTTGTTGTTGAATATCTGCGGCGTAGTTACTGCCTTGATGACCTTTGATTTTTTTGAATGATATTTGTCAGACTTCGAAGGTTATTGTCATATTTTAACGTTGTCGATATTTTAATGGTTTATCTTCATATCGATTTTTGGAAAGCCTAATGGAATAAGTTGGATATCGAATTTCCTTGGCACACTATTGACGAGAATATTAAAAAATTCCACAGACAAGTGAACATTAAAAAATGAATAAAGGTTGTTTGCCTTGCTGAGATATTAGACAACTGAGATCACAACTAAAAGAACCTTTGCAAAAGTTGAGCAAAGGTACACCAGATCAGTCAAACAGATTCCCTGTCAATATTGTGATGAAGCATCTTTCTATCATTGCTTTTACTTGCAAACCATTCAATACCAATTTATATTGCACACATAACTAAATATTTCTTTTTGAGAGAAAGGCCCAGAAAACTCAAGCGGGAGAGAATGGCCCTGCTTGTGATTCTTGGCATTTCAAATTTTAGTAACGGCATTTCTTTTTCATGCTCTATAGAGAGGAAGTTGTAAGGAGAATATTCTAATACAGACTTCGTGCATGATTTTATAAGCAGCTCTTAGAAAGAGGATGTTTGCAAGATTTCTAAAGGATACCAGCCACGAACACAAACAGAATGCCATAGATAAGACAAAAAAAGGGGAGCAGCGTGTTGCAACGGAAAAGGAGAATGACTCACATACTAGTCCGTTTTCTGTGAGTTTATTGAATGGTTTGTTTGTACTGTATTCAATATTTGTATTCAAATAATAGGAGTCAAGCACTTCGAAGATTTCTCAAGGTAGCGGTGACGAGACCTTATCGAAGAGGAAGATAGATTTGTATCGAGCAGTAATTAGAAAAATTTTTACTCCTCTTGAAAATCATGAAGACTTGCGCCTTGCAGTTTCAGCCCCCATTAGCTCTCCTTCACAGGTATCTCACAAAGTTCATGTGGAATATGATCCAAATTCCTCAACCGGGTTTGCTGGGTTGCCTCCTCATTGGGAACAGCTTCTTTTGAACGCTGGAATCGGTACCCAAGAAGTCGAACAATATCCCCAAGAGACTGCAGACGTCCTTCGGTTTCATAATAAACCCCATTTACCTCCTATTGCAACAGACGATATCTTAGCAGCTTCTGATGATCAGTGTAATGACTTTGACATGTCTCCAGTTTGTTCCATTATTTTGCAACAAGATCCTTACATGTTCTACAAAGATCTTAAGAAAATTGGAGAAGGTGCTTCAGGTTCTGTGTACAAAGCAACCTCTTTGGATTGCCCTCAACATAGGGTTGCCATGAAGAAGGTGAAACTAACTTCCCAAACAGTACATGAAGCAATGGAAACCGAAATCAACATGATGCGCAGCATTCAACATGAAAATGTAGTTCGATTTTATGAAGCTTATGAATGGGAAGAATACTTATGGCTTGTGATGGAATTATTGGAAGGAGGATCACTTACAGATATAATTTACTTTCTCATGGAGCACAAATGTTATTTGGAGGAAAAACAGATAGCTTTCATTTGCCAAGAAGTTTTGAAAGGTCTTGAAGGCATACATGCTCTCCGTCGAATTCATAGAGATGTGAAAAGCGATAATGTTCTCACTGACTTTAATGGACACATGAAACTTGCTGATTTTGGATATTGTGCTCAAATTTCTAATGAGAAGCTTAAAAGAACGACTGTTGTTGGAACTCCCTATTGGATGGCACCAGAGTTAATTCGTGGAAAGCCTTATGACTTCAAGGTTGATGTATGGAGTTTGGGCATTTTGGCACTGGAGTGTGCAGAAGGTGAACCGCCTCTCTTACATGAGACTCCTCTAAGAGCCATGTTTCTTATTACTACTCGAGGGCCACCAGGATTGAAAAATCCAGAGAATTGGTCTTGTTTATTTAGAGACTTTCTACAAAAATGCTTAATTATCGATCCTTCCAAAAGAGCATCTATTAAGGAATTATTACTCCATCCATTCTTAAAAACTGCCTGTAATCGCAAAGAAATGGCAAAATTGATACGATTGTGTAGAAAGGTTCCAGAACACGTTCCATTTATGTAGAAACCATAGAATAATTTGTCTGACAATTGTGTTACTGTGAATAAAATATTACAGGTTTTCGGTTATGTTCCATGACAAAGGGAAGTTGATATGGTTATGGTGTTGTGTTGGTGCCTTTCTTTTGGCAATTGCTTGTCACAAAGTTTATTCAAAACTTGACTTGAAGCAAAACTACTCACGCAACTATGAATTCATCTTTTTGTTTTCTTGTGGTCGTGCTGGTACCAAACACTTTTCCAAAGTCTTTGGTGACCCCGACGCTTTTGTTACCCATCAACTTGACTGCAACGATAAACCCACGAGAGAGCTTATCGCAGACTTTTATAGACCTATGCTTCAAAGTGCTTCGTTCGCAGAATTGGAAAAATATGTTAAGAATCAGCTAATTCCTTTTATGGAGAGCAACTTGAAAGCAACTGGGACAAGACGATATTTCTATACTGGTCACGTGCCTTTTACTTTTGGTTTAGCAGATTATTTATTGCAGCATATTCAAGTACCAGTAAAGATTCTAAGAGTTCGACGTGGTAGAATTCCTCTTGCTTTGAGCTTATTGAGTATGGGACCAGAGGAAGAGGATCCTTGGGTGGAAAAGAGCAACGTTTCTAAATATAGAAAGAGGTTTGTGGAAAAATTTCATGGACTTGAGAATCGTTTTGTTTACAAGTTCTGAAGATGGCTTCTATCTCCTACAGATCCTCTCGTGAAGCTTCCTTGCCCTTCTCTCGTTTGGAGTCGCTTAAACCGTTTCCAGAAATACTTGTGGTGAGCTGTGAAGAATTGTGTATTCAATCACTCTGAAGTCTTGTTTTCTTTCTAGGGTAGTTGATGATACGGAGTGCCGTTGGCAATATTTTAAAAGACAGTATAAATTTACTTTTTTAGAAGTACAGCTAGAAGCATTGGAGCAGATTCACGGTGTCTTGGAGTATGAGAAAATATCCAACTTTATAGGCATAGGTATGAATGAATACTCTAAAAGAATGCTCATTTACTCGTTCAAGGTTTTGAAAACAAGTCACGAAAACTTTTCTATAGGCACAATTCAAAAGAAGCTCTGAAACATCAAACGGATTCTCTCTTCTCAGAGAGTCAACTTCGTGAATGGGATGAAGAATATAAGCGAATGATAGGCTCCTGTCATATAAATTCTGAACAAAGAATCGGTTGGAGTTTCTAATATTTTTTTTGTGACGATCAACGGACGGCACCCGTAAAAAGTTCCTCTGGTTTTCGAGTCTTATTATTCACGAAAATACTGCTCAAAAGGTTTTGGGAACTCTTTTTCTCACAACTTGTGTTGGCTCGACTGTTGCTCTGAGATAGAAAGCTTCCTGAGTTGGATAGCCTAGATTGTGTTCTTGTAGTCGTCTTCGATATTATCTTTTTTCTCCTTTTTTCTCTTTCTTCAGCAGTTGGATTCAACAAGACGAGGTCAGTTTGAGTAAGACCAGATGAATAACATACAGGACAACTTTGACTGTGATTGCTTTCACCTTTCATAAAGCCAGTTCCGCGTAAGGCGTTTTCACTTACTATGCAACCACATTTCCATAGCACATAAAAACGTCGTTTGGAAGAAGCTTCTTCTAAAGTAACGGGACACATTAACCGAAAGCCACTCTCCTCGTCACCTCGCAAACTTCTTGAGCAGTCCACAACATCTTTGAGACTTTTTATATGTTGAAATGCGTCGGTAGAATTGTAAAGCTCTTCCTGTTTGGTTTTTGCCTTCCTTTCCAAAAGAAAATAAATAAGCGCTTCTTTGTTGAATAAATAACCAAGTTTACAGGCTACCACTGGTGGTCTAAGAGGTTCCCTCGATATGGCGCAAGTTCTATAGTTTGCTTCTTTTGTGTCCCCCGGAGCTCCATTAGAACTCTTCTTTCGTTTTCCCAATATGTCTTTTCGGACTTGAACAAGTTCTAAACGAGTATTATTCAGAGAACCACCATCACCACCCATTTTCACAGTACACAACAACAATCCAACAATTTGTAATAAAACTGAAACCTTTATTTGTGGAATGTACTAAGTTTGACACAATGGATAGCTTCAACGTAATCTTCTAGCTTCTCTTTCCGATTCAAGCAAAGTCAAAATATCTCCTTCTCGTACAGGACCTTTGACGTTTCTAATTATACTTCGGTTTTCATTACCCAGAAGCTCGACTCGCACCTGTACAACTTTTAAAGTTGAAAATATTTCTGAAAAGTGCTCTACTCACTTGAGTAATGCCTCCTCTTGAACCAGTACGTCCTAATATTTTTTCAACTTTGCCTTGTTTCAATGACTGATCCATCACGACGACGATAAAATATTGAACCAATAAGAATTTTGGGCAAAGAGAAGAAAGGAATGCTGCAGTGCCATTCGATGCAACGTGACTATTACGAAGTCTTACAAGTCAGTAATACGGCCACTTTGAGTGAGATAAGAGCATCCTTCCGTCGATTGGCACTAAAATGGCATCCAGATAAGAATCCTGATAGAGTAGAAGAAGCAACGCAGCAGTTCAAGGAAATCCAACACGCGTACGCTGTACTTTCGGACGAAAATGAACGTGCCTGGTATGACGCACATAAAGAAAGTATTCTTTCTGGAAAAGAACCACAGAATGAAGATAAACCAAAAGACAAGGAAGCAGGTCTTCGTAAAGCCACCAGTGCTCCCCTTTTTGAATGTTTCTCTTCTGGGTTTTACAATGGCTATGCTGATGATTCGTATAGTTTCTATACGAGGTTTAGAGAAGTATTTGAAAGTTTGGATAGAGAAGAGAGAAGCTTTATGGAGGATGTAGTGTTTGCTCCATCGTTTGGCAGGTCTGATTCGTCTTGGGATGACGTAAACAAGTTTTATAACTACTGGGAAAATTTCCAGACCAAAAAACCTTTTCCATATGTGGATAAGTGGAACTTAAACGATGCGCCTAATCGAGAAATAAGACGAGCTATGGAGAAAGAAAATAGGCGTGAAAGACAAAATGCAAAAAAGGAGTTTGTTGCTGCAGTGCGTAATTTAGTTCGATATGTGAAGAGAAGAGACAAGAGGGTTGCCAGAAGACGCCAAGAAGAGCTTGAAGAAGAGAATCGGAAACAAGAGAAACTTGCTCAAGAGTGGACAAGACGAAATGAAGAAGCGGAACAAGTTAGGAGAAAGTTACAAGAGGAACGCCAGAAATTGATTGAAGAAGAACTAGTTCATTTGGATGAACTCCTTGAGGAGCTTGACCTTGAAAACTCTTTGTATGAAACCGTTCCCGAAGATATCAAATTCACTTGTATAGTATGTAAGAAAACGTTTCGGTCATTGTCACAATGGGAAAATCATGAGTCTTCTAAGAAACATTCAGATAAATTGAAAAAGGCTCACAGAGATCTCTTTATCAAGAATGAAAAATTAAATCCGTTAGATATACGTGTAGGGAAGGAGAAGATAACTCTTGAACAATACTTTGAGTTGTTGTCGCCATCTCAAGAAGCAGACTCTGAAATTCCTGTTGAGGAAGAATATTATATCGAAGAGACGGATGTGAAGAGCGACAAAGAAGAAGAGAGAGAAACGTCTGACAACTTAAATGGAAGTTTTCAAGATGATATACTTTGTAAGGATAAGGATAATATGAATTCTTTTGTCTCTTCATCAGAAAAGGGAGCAGTAGCCAGCCACCATGACGAAGCTTCAGAGAATGATGTCATTATGGCAACAGAGAATAAGAAGAAAGAGCGAAAGAAACGAAGAAACAAATCGGACAAGAAAAACGAGACCTCAATTCGATGTAACGTTTGTAACGAAACTTTTAGTTCGAGGAATAAACTTTTTGAGCACATTCGGAAGGAAGGGCATGCTCTTCGTGTCGCGTAGAGCAGATATTTGTTTTCTGATTATAGTATGGTTGTAATGTATAGAAATAATTAAGCATAGTTGCACGAGAAATACCCTTATAGTAATATGTAATTACTGTATTGATAGTTTTGGAAGTATATATGTAATAGTTATTCATGTCTTTCTACGATAATGAAATACCTTCCTTGTGCATTGTCTCGCTGTCCAGTTGGTATATGTCCCTTCGACCTATTCATCAATTTGTGTCATTCTTGTCCATTCACAAACAAAGGCTTTGGTTCAAGTACGACAGTAGTCGTAATAGGACAAGAATTGTAGCTTGAAATTTATTTTGTATATGAAGAAAGCAGGAAAAAAGTTTGCGCAGACCCAAGCCTTACTTTTGAAGACTTGGAATTTTCAGAAACGTCAACACGGTGAAAATGCTTGCAACATTTTGGTGCCTATTGGTTAGTCATTATACTTGTTTTGGCTGCGCGGTTGCTTAAACCACCTGTAGTACTTCTTGTTTTGACGTATATACTCGGAAAAGTCTTGGGTACAGGTAGTCGGGTACCTGTAAAGTCAAGTCGCGCCAATCCTATTGGTGCATTTGCTCCGATGCCTTTCGATCCTTATGATTGTCACCGAGCCTATAGTGACCCAGAACTGTGTTTGAAGGATCCTTTTGCACCAAAGCCCATTCTGTTTCCTTATTGGGCTGCTAACGAGACAATACCAGGTCTTGTCGAATACGAGTCGTGTGACCCTCTTAAGAATGAAACTCTTTGTCTCGAAATTGCTGGAAAGAAGAAACAAGGAAAAGGAGTATTCGATCATTATTCGTTGTATCCTATGATTTATCCAGTAGGCAAGCTTCTTAGGAATATCTTTGGTCGCTAAGTGAAAATGATTAGGGTGCTATACCTCCTGCCAATTTTAGTAAGGAACAAAACTCTTACGACGGCATATATCTTTATAAAATATTCCATGACGAGGCAAATAATTCGATTTATAATGCAACAATACAAGCACAAAACGCTTCTGTTCCTTATATTGATAATGTAAGTATACCGATTTTTTAAAGCATATAACCTCATCTCGCGTAGGTATATGCACTACGCGTAGAGCCCTTCGCGTCCGCAGATCAACTGAAACAAGAAATCTATCATTCATTTTATAATCAACCTTTTTTTGCTAAATATTATGGCGGTTATATCATAGATCAACTGAACGTCAAAAATGTCAGCTTGAATATTTCAGCACTTGTATTGTACAATCAAGTGAGTATTTGAATTTGAATTCTACAAGAACGAATAATATTCAGCTTAGACTTTGCTAAATTGGCCTTCCGCGAGTATAAGTCAACCAGCTGCCAGATTTTGTGATAAAGGAAATTGCGAGTTGATTTCTGGTGTGATGCGTCTCTCTGATGCACTTTATCGTTATTTCACTGCAAAAAATACAAGAATTTTCAACTATCTCAGAAAATTTCCTCGTCATCATAAGAAGTCTACAATAGACTTCATTCAGTTGGTAGTTTCCATTCTTTTGGGATTCCTGCTTCATTTTCCGTTGCCAACTTTTTTGAGATATATCGTCTATGAGCGAGAAAATAGATTACGCGATATTATGCAGATGATGGGATTATCTTTTTCAACATATTGGATAGTGACTTATATTTCATTTCTTCTCTTGTATATTGTCGTTGCTGGAGTTACTACTATTGTTGGAGTTATCCTTCAATTAGAATTTTTTATGAAGAATACTCCTTTGATGTATCTTATTTTGTTCTTTCTATGGGGAAACAATCTTATTGCCTTTGCTATGATGTTGGCACCTTTTCTTCCTAATGTGGATACAGCAGTCATTTTTGGATGGTTTTATGTTATTGGTATGTATTTTACTTTATTCGTATGTTGAATAGTATCGAATTAAAATCGTTCGTCTAGTTGTCAACTTCTTGGGGGCTCCTTATACAGGCAAACTTTACACATATCGTGCCGAAAGTAGCCTTCTTTTTGCTATTTGCTTTCTTCCCTCTTTTGCTTTCTTTCGAGTTTTATATTATGTTGGAGAAATTAATGATCGTGGCTATGGTAATTGTTATAAGCAGCATTTTTATTGACATGCTCAATATTGTCAAGGTCTCTGTGTCTCAGGTTGTTACGTTGCCAACTTTAAGAATGGTATACGTTATCCTTTGGGCATGTGTTCTGGACCATCTTCCGTTTGTACAGTGTATGTTTTTCTGATAGTAGAATGGTTCATTTTTTTAGTTTTGGGTTTATATTTCGATCAAGTCATATCATATAGTGGTCGAGACAGGAAACATCCTTTGTTCTTTTTGGTTCCGTTGAAACGCATTATTTTATCACATAAAGGAAAGAATGACGTGATGATTGGCACAACAGGCGGACCTGACAAGTCGAAAAATTCGTCGGAAGGTTTCTTAGAAAGAGTTGATGGCTACGAAGATATCCGTAATGAACGTGAAGTAGCGGAACAGTCTTTACAAAGTCTCGATTATGGACTCTCTATCTCACATTTATCCAAATGGTTTCCTGGCAGACCACCAAAGAAAGCAGTAAATGACTTGTCTTTAGCTATAAGAAAGAATGAGGTTTTTGGCCTTTTAGGTAAAGAAATGATGATATTATTTTTTTTAATACGAAACGTTTATGAAACTTGGAATTTTTAGGTCACAACGGTGCAGGGAAGACTACCACAATGAATATTGTCGTTGGTCAATTACAGGCAGATAGAGGGAAAGTGATTATTGATGGTTTCGACTTGAAAAGGGAAAGAAAACATATTCTATCTCGGCTAGGAATATGTCCTCAGTTTGATATTCTTTGGAGCGATCTCACTGGAAAAGGTAATTATAAAACTGAGTTAATCGTGCATTTTTTGAAATGATTGGAAGAACATCTCTATTTCTATTGCAGACTTCGCGGTATTATTGGAAAGGAATGCGAAAAGGAGGTTGAAAGCTCACTGGCTTCTGTTCAGTTGGAGTCTGCCGCAGACCGAGTTGTGAAAAAGTATTCTGGTGGAATGAGACGGCGACTGAGTGTTGCTGTTTCTTTAATTGGTTTTCCTTCAGTTGTATTATTAGATGAAGTAAGTTTATATGCTCATGTTTTGATGTGGGTTGTTTACAGTGGATATTATTTAGCCTTCAACTGGATTAGATCCAGATTCTAAGCACAAGTTATGGCAGTGCATCCAACAGAGGAAGGAGGGCAAAACTATTGTTTTAACAACACATTCCATGGAAGAAGCTGAGCGACTGTGTGACCGTACGGGAATTATGGCCAATGGAAGTTTGAAATGCATTGGCTCTCCTGAAGAATTAAAAATTCGCCTTGGAAAAGGCTTTCGATTGAATATTTCTTGTCCACGGAAACGAATTCAATCAGTTCGTTCCTTTATTGAGGAACAATATCCAGAGGCATTTTTAGATCATTCCTTAGCTGGTAGTATAATATTTTGGCTTCCACGTAATATTTCTATTGCATCGGTATGACTCTTTACAATTTTTGGAACAGTTTGTTAAGCATTTAGGTTTTTGAGTTGATGGAAAAAGTCAAAGATGAACTCTCTATTCAAGATTGGGGTATAAGGTTGGTTCTATCTTGAGAAGAATGTTGCTATTGTATCTTATCTGTTATATAGTCAAAGTACCCTTGAAGACGTATTCATCAGTGTCACCAGAGATGAAGAAAGAAAGTCTTTGAGTGTAAAAATTGAGTAGCGTTTGTGGTGCATTTAGAGAGAGAGAGAGAGAGAGAATCCAACTCTCGACAAGATATGAGACAGTGACCACGTTCATATTGTATATTATATGAAACGGTTATGAAATAAATAATGCATGTATTGTCAATATGATTTGGGAGTTTTATGCTCCGTTTGAGAATGGTCCTCTCACTCACTTTGATTGCAATGGAAGTTACTATAAATAGAAATTCCGTTGGACAGATCTATGTTTTGGACACGCTCCATGGCACTTTAGCATAATTGGCATTTTTCGTTGTTTCAAGCTCTTTCAAAATGACTTGTTAGAAATGACGCAAGACAGTGACCACGAAAGAGAGCCTTTGAAAGAAAAGACAAGATTTTCATGCAACTCGAACGGTTTAGTAAACTCTGAAGAGATTTCGACCTCGTCTGGTTATGTTGGGTTTGCAGGTCCCACTTTAGAATCAGTTCGTAGACGCACCAGTTCTATAGATAACTATCACAGCGAAGCAACTATTCATGCGTTACAAGCGCAGTATACTTCAAGAGTTGTGCCAGGTTCTTCTTCATCTTACTGGAAACAACGGCATAATAACTTTTCTTCAGAGAGAGACGCTCCAGGTTCGATTGCCATTAACTTGAGGTCTCGAACTGGAAGCTTAGGTCGTCAATCCCCAAATCATGGCGCAGAAATACCACGAGCTGGTTTTCTAAAAAATTTTGTCGCAGCTATACTGTCTGTTCCTGGTATTCTGACGCTCTTTGTTGTATCGTTTTGTGGCATCATGTGGCGTTTGTATTCTATGCCTCAAGTACGTCGAGGCACTTTTTTAACTTTTAGAGGAGAGAAGATTTTACCTTTTTTGGGAACGTTTCCGTTGATTGTTTTGTTTGTGGTGGCATGGAGCAACGGCTGGTGGCTGTTTAGAAGAAATAGCCAATTATCTTCTTTTGATGTTGACCGTGCGAGTCCAACTGCTGTTATACGTAGAAGACGTGTTCCAGTGATACTCCAGATATCGCCTATTCTTACTGCTATTTTGCTAGTTCTTTTGTATATCTTTTTAAAGGAACACAGTCGTTATGCCGACTATAGAGATGCTGCCTCCCACTATTATCGTTATCTTCATGAAGATATAGCAGAAGATTCAAGAAGTTTATCCTTGGGTGGCATTCCTATCCGTGCGATGACATATAATGTTTTTGTCCGCCCTCCAGGCATCACAGGAGCCGGAGGTGATGATCATAAAGATGAGAGACTAAGGTTATTGGCTCCTCGTTTAGCTAACTATGATGTTATTTGCTTTCAAGAGCTGTTTGATGCTTTCAGTACTCGAAGGTCTGCCCTGATGGAAGCGGTTTCTCTCTTTGGTCTTAGGTTTTCAACGTATCTTCCAAGAAACTTTTTTATATTTCCTCCAAAAATCATTGATGGAGGAGTTAGCATCTTAAGTCGCTATCCTATAGTGGAAACCGATCATATTCACTTTCGAAATATTGTGACCACTACCATTGACTCAATTGTTGGCAAGGGCGTATTATACGCTAGGATTGAACTTCCTTCTTCCCTTTCTAGTGATATTCATTCTAGTTGGAATTCTTCATCCTTTCCTGAAGGAGTTGTTCGTTCTAAAAATCCAGTAGCCATAGAGAAAGCTAGATTTCTTCATGTTTTCTCAACTCATATGCAAGCAGGAGACCGCTTGGGATACAAACCAGAAAAATATCATGCGGGCATTCGGTTGAAACAAATAGAAGAGATGCGAGACTTTGTGTTAAGAAAGACCAAAGATGACGAAGGACCGGTTCTAATAACTGGTGACTTTAATATTAACGCTCGTGTGTCAAGAGATAATAGTAGTGATAGCAAATGGTATAAGGAACTGATGAAGCGTCTAATGGATTCGCCTTCTTCTATAGAGACACAACTAGAGCCTTTAAACCTGTATGATCTCTTGTACTTGCATTTTCATGAACATCCTATTACAGATGATTCGAAATGTATAGATTTCTTTTTGTTTGACCCTCGAAAAGGCAGAGTTGTTGCATCATATGTAGACGATGATGCTGCACGTGTTGAACCCTTTCGTATTGCTCCTGAGGAACAGGATCCTGAACATCCAATGGGTGCTCCTTCATTATCAGACCATTCAGCAGTTATTTCTACATTGAGAGTTTTGCTGCATTCACCAGAAATACGAGAAAATTCTTAATAGCACATATATATATATATTTATGTTTATAAAGCTTGAATGAAATGTTTGAATGACATGTATAAACAGAAACTAATGGAAAAGGGAAATCGAATGAAAATCGCCATAAATTGTAGGAATTCCTTCGAGCGTATATTATTCCCTCGCGATCTGTGGAAGACTTTTTGTGTGATTCGTCATCATTGATCCTCAACCCCTTGTTTGGATCGAAAGTTTACAAGAAAACTTAAGCAATATGATGGCTAATGGAGTAGAAGGACATAAATATTCCATAGTGAAACCGGGTGCCGAAGCGAAGGAAGGTGAAGGGCCTCCTCACGTTTGCTCGTTTGACCAACCCTTTTGTCTGCAACCTTTCCCAAGTGAAAAGTTGAACACCTTTTATGATATGCTTTGGTTAGTCTCAAGTTGTTTCCTGTTGCTGATTCTCATATCGTTTCCTTTGGTTTAGTCGTGCGGAGCGTATGTATCCAGATGGGAATTCACTGGGTCGCAGGATGCGGAACAAAAATGGGGAACTGGGAAAGTTTGAGTTTATGACATATAAGGAGCTTAAAAAGAAAGTTTTGAGCCTTGGTTCTAGTTTTCTTCGTTTAGGTTTGAAATTTGGAGATCATATTGGAATCTTCTCAAAAAATTGTCCAGAGTGGCTAATTGTCCATCTTGCTATTTCTTCTCAAGGAATGGTATCTGTTCCAGTTTATGAAAGCTTAGGTCCAGATTCTGTTGAGTTTATAGTGAATCATTCGGATATGCGCCTTCTTTGCATCAGTTCAGAAAACCTGAACAAAGTACTGGAGAATAAGGAGAAATTTCCCAAGTTGGAAAAGGTAGTATTGATGGATAGAGAGAACTTGGATAATAATGGGCTACCTGAATATGTCGTTGATATGCAAAAGCTCATTTCAGATGGAAACGATTCAGAAGAAGTTTATCCCAGTTCATCAGAAGATATATTTGTGATAATGTATACTAGTGGTACCACTGGAAAGCCAAAAGGGGTTATGCTACCAAACAAAGCATTTGTATGTGAAGTAGCTGGTATATTAAGAGTGATAGAGCACTATAATATATCGTTGACCAATCATGATGTGACGATGAGCTATTTGCCTCTAGCACATATCTTCGAGCAGGCGTTGGAAGCTGTAACAATTTGCTGTGGTGCTCAACTTGGTTATTATTCCGGTGATATTAAAAACTTGACGGATGATTTTAAGGCATTGAAACCAACATTTCTAATTGGTGTCCCACGTGTGTTCTCACGGATTGAAGAAGGAGTGAAGAAACAAGTTGCAAATTCTAGTTTTCTCAAACGTTCAATGTTCCACTTTGCATATCAGAGACAGCTTCAAAGAGTGAAGAACGGTTCTCGATCGTGGCTAATGGACAAACTAGTGTTTAGCAAGTTAAAGGCTGCAGTTTTTCCACGTTTACGTTTTATGGTATCTGGTTCTGCACCATTATCGGCATCAACGCATAACTTTTTAAAGGTCGGTTATAATAGTAATAATTGATATATTTAGACTAAGCTGCGTTACCAAGGTTTGCTTTATGGTTCCAGTATTACAAGGCTACGGACTAACGGAAACCACTGCTGGAGTCACTATATGTGGTCCAGATAATCCTGCAGGTTGTGTTGGAGGTCTTCTGCCTGTAGCGGAAATTAAATTGAAAGATATTCCAGAAATGAACTATACATCCAAGTAAGTAGAGCACATGAATATTATATTTCTTTATTACTTAAACAATGAAAAGAGACCCTGTCGCACCTAAAGGAGAGGTTTGTGTCAAGGGTCCTGTTGTATTTGTCGGATATTACAAGGACGAACAGGCGACAAAGGAAGCTTTCGATGAAGATGGTTACTTCTGTACTGGGGATGTTGGTATGTGGAATGAGGACGACACCCTTTCTATTATAGATCGCAAGAAGAATTTGTTCAAGTTAGCTCAAGGAGAGTATATTTCACCGGAATATCTGGAACAACAGTATGCTGCTTGTAAGTTTGTTGAGCAAATATGGATATATGGCAATAGTGAAGAAAGCGAACTTGTTGCTGTGGTGCATCCAAGTCAACAAAAGTCGGAACAATGGGCAGAAGAGAATCAGAAAACGAGGGATTTCAAGGAGCTTTGCAAGGACAAAGAATTCAAAAAGGCAGTTTTAGAGGATTTGAAGAAAGTAGCCAGAAGCAAATCTTTGAAAGGCTATGAAGCTGTGAAAAATATATATCTCGAACCAGAAGCATTCTCTATTGAGAATGATTTGATGACGCCAACGATGAAGCTTAAACGTCCAGCATTGAGTAAAAAGTATCAAAAGGAAATTGAAAAAATGTATCAAGAAACACACAAATCTTGAAACAAGAAAAATGAAATCCTATAAAGCATTTATAAAGTTTCCTTTTCTCTTCCAGTTGGGTTGGACGTAGTTGAGCTGCCGAACTTCGCACCCTCACTAGCTTTCGCAGAATATGTAGCCAAAAGATAATCGATTATTTCAGCAGACTCGAACATACTTGTTTGTGTGTTTGGATCTATTAAATAAGGAACTTGAAACGTCCCAGTGATATGTCGAAGTTCTTGTCGTTTCGGTGAACCTCTTGCAGCATTGTGCAACAGATACGGAAGTTCCAACTCGCATAGAACAACTCTCAAAAGTTCCTAAAACTATCCACTAAGTTGTTTCACTTTTTCTTGGAAGGACAGTCACCCTGTTGGACATGTTGAGAATATTTGTCGTCTCTGGGACACCACAACAAAATGTTGCCGCTTAAAAAACTCATAAATCTTTTGAGTTCACCTGGTAGCACAACTGTGAGTCGGTGAGAAGACTCTCTGAAAACTTCTGAGAGGAGCTCAACCTGACAAGCCAAGACAACTCTTTTGTTCCTGGTCGTGAAAGAAACATCGAGTCCAATATTTTTGTTTCCCTTTTATAAAATTGAATGTGAGTCTTTTATAGAAACTATCATCTTTGTGTAAGAGTGAAATGTTTCGTAAGCACAAAAAGGAAACAAAGAGCAAGAAGTTTTCCACTTTCGCTACAAGTAAGGTGTTCTTCCCACTTCCTTTTGGAAGGACGAACGAGAAAGTTACCACTCCTTATAAATAAGGACCGGGACCAATGCGTCTTCAATATGTATCCTTCTAAACTGACGAACTGATATTCCTTATTTCAAAGACGGCCGTCCTATTTGTGTCGAAATATTGTCCTGCTACGCAATATTCTCGTTATCTACTGCCTATTCTTTTTGGTAATTTGAGATGGAGGCAATTTCATGACTTATTCTTTCATTTCTTGAGTTTCTTTGACTTACTTTGTCGTTTCAATTTTTGAGCAGCTTCCGAAAGCTCTATATCCAGGAGGCAACCATTCCTGTCATTATGGATAGAAGTTACTACATTTGTTTATCAACGATGGACTCTTCAACTCCTCGTTTAGGAGAATCTCCCTACCTTGCGTGGAACCTAAGTTATGATACCTTTGTTGAACTCTCTTTTAATATACCTTAAAGCCTTGACATTATCTTTGACAAGGTAGACTCTGCACATCTATCTAAAATTGCATTAATCCTCGACAATCGTTATAGTCATTCTACTTCGTTGTTTCTGTTCTCGGGTAATACATATGCATGTTCACATTCGAATCTGTCCATCTATGTAAGAAACGCTCGTGTTCCAGTACAACAATATATATCATTCAATAAATTCGGTTGCTTCTTGCAATTCCAGCGGGTTTAGTAACTCCTTAAAATTTTTTTATTTGGCTAAAGATACAGTTGCAAGTTCAACATTTCCAAAATTCCAAGTCTTACAAGGACCAGGGGAGATTCCAATTCTTGTTTGATTGTCGGTTGACAAAATCTTTGTATGGCTTCCGCTCTGCAAGTCGTTCATGATTCAGTTCGCCACCGTTTCTTTGTAAATTTGAGTGCAACCGCACAAGCCTTTCTAGAGTATCGGTATCTTGGGACTAATTTGATTGACTTGTAAGCTTTGTAACATGGTGGGGTGGCTTCGATAATTGAAGGTTTCTAGTTATCATACCTTCGTTCCTCCTGAAGGCAGAGGCACCGGAGTTGCAGCCAAGTTATGTGACGAGGCTTTTGCCTTTGCCCGTTCTACAAACGCAAAAGTGAGTATCTTGTGATCAGAACGTCTTTTTCATTTATCGTGGGCCTTCGTTTTGATAGGTTAAGCCTTCCTGTAGCTATGTTTCACAGGTTAGTTTATCGTTTTTCCACAATATCCTCTTGCATATTTGATTTCTTCTTTAGACATACTTGCCCAAGCATCCCGAACTTCGAAATTTCATAGTAGAGTAGTCCAATTTTTGTCAGCTTCGGCACTTGGTTCTTGCTTGAGTGACGTGGAACTGTGATAATAAAGCGACGTGAAGGTAAGCTTTGTAGTCGCATTGTTGACTCTCGAAATAAAGAAGTATCAAGGATTTGGTTTACTAAATTAATATATTCGTGAGTTGGAGCAAAATTGAGGACAACTTTAGGTCCTTCAGAAATTCTCTCAAGCATAAACAAGCACCTTTTTATTTTCTATCAGAATGTCGAAGACTCCTAAAAATGGGTGTGTGCAACTCTTCATATAGTCAACTCTTATATTCCACATAGCAGCAATCGTTTTTGCAAAGGTTTTCAAAGATCGGAAGAGGATCAAGCAACTTCATGGCAATTGATATACATATCACATTGTAACCTTACAACTTTACATTTTAGCAAAGATAGTTTTTTCAGCAACTCAGTAACACATTGTTTTGACCATATGGCTGGCACACTGTTGCTTTTGGCCCATAAGTCATTAGGCCTTACATGCTCAACCTATATCTTTCTGTAACAGTAAAGTTACGATATCATTGGAAGTTTTCTCTTTAAATCTGCGAGGTCTCTTAACTTACGAACCAAAGTAGAGTGTAGTATTCTCACGGTCTCTGAATATCCAAAGTATACTTTCCTTGAAACTGCAAGTCATTTTGATTTCTTTCGAGAGGGTGCTTATATGAACTTGACGACAAATACTTTTTAAGTTTTACTTTTCACCCAAACTGAAATTCAATCCTGAAATGTTTATGAATACTGATGGTTTTAAAATCAATAAGTGCCTCAGCCTTATAAATCATAATGGATTGGATGTTTGTTGTTTCAAGCTTTGAACTTCACTGGTCGAAAATTTTTGACTCCTCTAGAAGAGTCAAAGTGAAAACTTTTGTTCAAGCACACAAGAAGTGTCTGTTTGAGATAAATAAATATAGTGAGAATACGGAAAGACAAAGACTTCCAGTCAAAAGTGTGGAAAGATATGAAGCTAGTGACAGTCAGAAGCCAACTCTTGTTCTTACAAGGAGAGTCTTCAAAAAGAGAAAGCAAAAGAAAAATCTTTCGGGAACTATGAAAACAGTAGAAGAAAAGAACGTCCCTCCTGAAAAGACTGTTGCACTTAAGCAGACTGTAAAAGCAAGTTCCAAATCCAAAAATCAGGAAGCTGCAGAAGCAAAAGGCCTGACAAGTCCTGTTCAGTACCTTGATAACCAGGACAGTATTGAAGAAGAAGGTTATAGAGTATTCTTTAGGGAACTTTCACAAGAAAAGGAGAACTTGAACCTGTCAACTCGTTACCGTGGTACGAATCCGCCCTCGAAGGGTTTAGACTTACTTTACGTTCCCACAAGCAAGTTTAAACTTTTTCCTGAAGCGTTTATGTCGCAGGAAAAGGACTGGTATAACTGTGCGAGAAAATGGGCCATATTGAAGACAGATTTTCGCACTCCAATAGCCCTGGACGAGTCCCGCAGACGGAAATTACCTGTGGAAGCATTCAAACCAAAAGTTGGAGAAGAAGCTGTCAAGAATTGGAAGCAGCTGGTAGAAAACCCATCAAATACTGTTTCTCCTACCTCGAGAGGTAGAGTGCTTGGAATTCAAGCGGTTTATAGCGAATGGTCCCGTTTTTTGTCAAAGAATCCCAGAGTCATCGTTGTCGGAGATGTTCATGGTTGTGTCGATGAGTTAAGAGACTTACTGAAGCTTGCAGACTTTCGTCCAGGAGATCAAGTTATTTTTCTTGGAGATTTAGTTGCAAAGGGACCTGATTCTGTGGCTGTAGTAAAGATAGCTCGTGAAATTGGAGCTCGCTCGGTTAGAGGAAATCATGATTTTGAAGTTATAAGGTGGTGGAATGCCCAAATGAATGGTCTTTCTGGATCTATCTCTGTGAATATGGAACACTTAAGAATTGCTCAAGATTTAGATAGGGAGGATCACGAGTGGTTATTTCATTGTCCGTGGTTTATAAGAATTCCGGAAATGAAGTACTTGCTTGTTCATGCTGGTTTTGTTCCGGGTGTTGATCTTTATCAACAGAATCCACGCTTGATGATGAATATGAGATCTGTTCTTCCTAATGGAATTATTACCAATCGCTATGTAGCCGATTCTCCTTGGGCATCTTATTGGAAAGGTCCTGAAACGGTTGTATATGGACACGATGCGTATCGAGGACTTCAGCAATTTGAGTTTGCTCAGGTATTTGTTTTTTAAAATATGTACGAATATCTCTCATATGCTTCGTAGGGCATCGACACCGGTTGTGTATATGGAGGACGACTCACAGCCTTGTTGCTTCCTGAAAATCGTTTGATAAGCGTTCGTGCAAGGCGTTGTTATCGTCATCGTTATTCGAGATGACTTGTCACTTCGTAAATAACTTGGACTCCTAAAGTAACAAGTTAACTAGGGAATATTTCGGTGAAGAAATGTATGGGTAATAAAGGCTTTAACTGATTCAGCTCCGTTTAATTTGGCTTCGAAGCGTTGTTCAAAGTTACAGAGAGTATGACGTTACTCTTTTGCAGTCTATGACTAAATCACCGGTGGAACAATACATATCCTTTTTGTCTTGATTGCCCTTTACAGGTCTGTAAAACAGGAGCATATACAATGGACCACTCCGTGAGAAAGTATAGGGATAGTTTGCCGTTTTCCTTTACACAAGGTTTATTGACGTGGCTATATTGATATGAGAGACTTTGTAGTGTGTCAGGTTGGGTTGAACGGTGTTGTGAAGACAGTTGAAACCACGCAACGAGGCTATATTTGTTGTCTATGAAGATAATGCTAGGTAGGAACTTTAAGGATCAAACCTTTGAGAACGATGGTGCATGTGACAGTGGATATCTCTCTCTCTCTCTCTCTCTCTCTACACATTATATATATATATTATTTATATGCATATGAGTAAACTTAACCCCTTGCACAAACGTGATAAGACTCCTCTGCTCTGCTTTGGGGATGTTTCGGTATGTTTCTTCATATAGTAAGCTAAAGGAAGGATCAAGTTTCAGAAATAGTTTATCGGTTGCATTGTTTCCAATGAAATTGTTGTATAATCAACTCACCTTGTAGGACCCGGATCTGTATAAATTAAATGATTATCGCATCGGTATATCACTTCGTTGTTAAGGCCAGCGAATCGTTAGGAAGGACGCGTAATTTAAAAGTGGGATGGGAGCTAAAGAATTGGCGCCAACGTGGCTAACAGGCCACCTCTTCCCAGCCCCTTTTTAATCGTCAAGACCAGAGGAATGTCCTTGTTTGCAATAGAGTATTTTTGAATTTTGTCACTCTTTGGCAACTAGGCTATAGTGTTTATTTTCGTTGTTTTTTGTTCTTTGTCGGAAAAACATTTGTTCTTACAATGTCAGATAAGCCTGCAATAGTTTTAGATAATGGTTCTGGGAACTGCAAGTGCGGGATTGCTGGAGAGGACTCTCCTAAGGCGGTATTTCCTGCAATTATTGGTAAACCAAAGCAAGCTGGAGTTATGGTCGGAATGGGACAAAAAGAGGAATATGTCGGAGATGCAGCTATGTCGAGAAGAGGGATTCTCACAATCAAATACCCAATAGAACATGGTATTGTAACCAATTGGGATGACATGGCAAAAATATGGCATCATGCCTTTTATAATGAGCTTCGAGTGAATCCAGAAGAACACCCTGTGTTGTTGACTGAGGCTCCCTTGAATCCCAAAGCTAATAGAGAGAGAATGACCCAAATCATGTTTGAAGACTTCAATGTTCCGGCACTTTACGTAGCAATTCAAGCAGTGCTTTCTTTGTATGCTTCTGGACGTACTTCTGGAATTGTAATAGACTCCGGGGATGGTGTTACGCACACGGTTCCTATTTATGAAGGCTATTCTCTCCCTCATGCCGTGCTTAGAATAGATTTGGCCGGTAGAGATCTGACCCAGCATATGGCCAAACTACTTATGGAAAGAGGACATAGTTTCACTACGACAGCTGAGATGGAAATCGTTCGAGATATCAAGCAACAACTTTGCTATGTTGCGGAGGACTATGAGAAAGAATTAGAAAATGCGGCCACCAACGCATCCCTGGAGAAACCTTATGAATTACCCGATGGTCAGGTAATTACTGTCGGTAAAGAAAGATTCATGTGCCCCGAAGCATTGTTCAAGCCAGACATGTTGGGACGTGAAGCAGACGGTGTTCATAAAACTTCGTACAATTCCATCATGAAATGTGACATTGATATTCGTAAAGATTTGTATTCTAACATAGTCATGTCTGGTGGAACTACCATGTATCCTGGAATTGCTGCCCGTGTTCAAAAAGAAATAGAAGCTCTAGCTCCTTCCTCTATGAAGATTAAGGTCATTGCACCTCCAGAGAGGAAATACTCTGTGTGGATTGGAGGTTCCATTCTCGCAAGTCTGAGCACTTTTCAACAAATGTGGGTCACAAGAGAAGAATATGACGAACACGGTCCTTCTATAGTACATAGAAAATGCTTCTAGAGCGTTGGTTACCACATGCAGCATTTGCTTACATGCCATTGGCAGGTATTTGAGTTGTCTTGTTGGAAATAGTTGCTTGTGCTTTCTGTCGTGAACATTTTCAATAAAATCCTTCTTCCATCTTGAAAGAAAAGAAATATTCCTTCTTTACTATGATAATATATACCATTTTTCCAGTAACGGACAACTTCAAACCATTTTCCTGCCTGTCAAAGGCAATCGGAATTTGGCCCAAATTCGATAAACTAAATCAGCCACAGGTTTGATCATCGGAAGTTTAGTGGGAAAATAGATCCAACCAATGCCCAAGGCATCATAAACTACACGGAAAACTTCCATATCTCTTACTACTGTACCGTCATTTCGAATAGCATGAATTCTTCCCATAGCTGTCTTATAATCTATACCTGCATTATCAAAAGAGGAGTAGCATTTATCAGATATATCTACAAAGCAAATAATTCCACGATTGTTGTCGTGTTTCTGCAAGAAAGCAACTTCCTTTCGACACAATGGACACTGACCATCATAAAGTAGTTTATACTTCCAGCTAGGAGCTTCTAACTGAGATTTGCTTGTGGAATATTCAGTCTCTATGGGATGACTGAATCTTCCCAAGGGTACGAGAGAACTCCGCCAATTCCTGTTTCGTGATAGACTTTTGGATTGAGTTGGAATATATACGCACAAATTGTAGTCACTTTTGTACTTCCTTAGACTGTGAAGAACTCTAGGTCTCGCTAGAGAGTTGCACAATACAAAGAACATTCTCATAAGGTTGTGGCAATCAATGAATGATAAAAGTGACTTCACAATTTGTAATTTAAATGGTTCTAATTCCGTTTTGGAATTCCGCTCATTAATCAATCGTTTTCTGTCATTGATTGACAGACTTACAACTCTTTTACACTGCATATTGCAGCAAGTCTTTAGATGTATGGGAAAGTCTCCAATAGACTTCAAAAAATGAATCACTTCAGTAAAGGCAACTATTATCTTGAAAGTGAAAGAAAATCTACGATGTCTTTCTGTACAAGTCCTCCATCGTCTCTAGACAATGACAGTATCAAGCTTATTTCTCATCAAATTGTTATTGCTGCTTGTCACTTCATTGGTTTTTTATTTCTATGAAGTTCATTTACAGTCTGTCGACTGAGTCTTTCCGGCTTTTTGAACAGAACAGGGACTGCTTCTGATTCTTTCAGCACATGCAATCTACAAACTTCATTTTAATTCCACAAGTCACGCTCTGTTGAAATAAACTCTCTTCCTTTCGTATGCTCTATTCTCTTTGCTCGAAAGAAGCAAGAATACTGTCATGGATAGTTCGTATGCTGAAACAAATTTGGCTCCGATAATACTAGAGAAGCAGGAACGGGAACTTTTTTGATAATATTGTTGACAAAACCATCGTTACAGTAAACAACTTTAGAAATTTCTACGAACAGATAAAAATTATATATACAGCCCCAGATTAAAAAGTCCCTTCACTCAATCTCTTCAAGAGTCAATAAAGGCATCAGAAAATACTACCATGCAACTCGGAAAACTTTATTACTTACAATTTGTGCTTTCATGTATCAGTGAAGTACAAAACAAAAATTCTATATATAGTAGGAATAAATCTGTACAAAAGAATTCTACGCTAAATGAGAGATAACAAACGCAGTCGATTTGGAACAGAGCCTAACTTCTCTTCGATGATTTTTCGATATTTCTGGAAGATTTTATCCTTTTCTGAACGGTATGCCCTGTCTAACTCTTCCTGTGCAACCATCATCAACTGACTTTCTTCTTCTTGTTCACTGCCATTGTCAGAAGCATCATTTTCAGCCACATCTTCCGTCTTCCTCTCTCCACATGGACTTTCCAGTATTGGAGAGTCACCCTCCGAGAAATTATCCCTATCCATAAAAGGAAAATTCATAGGGAAAAATCGTTCGGCAAGAAACATGAATGAATCATCTTCCTGACAAGATACACTTCTTTCTCTTTGTTTAGGCTCGTTGAAATTTTCTGTTTCAACTGGACTCGAAACTGTCCGACGAAGTCCACAATATGGAAAATCACTGGTCAAAGGAATACTAGCAAAGGCACCTAAAGGACGATGTCCACGATTGTAAGGAATATCAATTCCCGTATCCAATCGATGTTCAATATCTTTTTGCTTCCGTTCCATATTGACCACAGGGCCCGACTTTCCCTCGGAATCAACGAAAGCCTCGATAACTTTAATCACTTCCATGTGATTATTTTCCCAAGCATCATCGATAGGAGTTGCGCCCCAACGGTCTTTTGCATAAGGATCAGCTTGGTTTTCTAATAGAAAAGAAACTATATCCAAATGACCCTCTGCAGAAGCGAGATGTAGTAACGTTCTTTGATCGTAATTTACAATATTCGAAATGCTTTCCACGTTTCCTGCCTTTCCCAATAAGTCCAATTCCTTGGCTGCTGTAACCATCAACTTGAGCGATACCAAATTTCCGGTAGCAACAGCCCTAAAAAGCGCTGCTTGCAAGAGAGTTGACGAAAACTGTGTACTAGAAACGACTTGCTTTGAGTGAGTGGCCGAAAGCGTAGAAGGAAGGAATGTGTCAACTATAGGGCCTGAACTCTCGCAGCCGCTTCCAGGTGGCGACTCCATTGTACCATTATCTTCAAAACAGTCATTATCTACAGCTTCACCTAAAGTTCCAGAAACTCTTTGGGGGGTAGTCTGTTCTAACCAGGTGCCTAGTGATAACACGACGTTTGAGCTTTCCATCACCAGCAACCTTTCTTTGTCTATCTTTATGGTATCTTACGGAGTTGGATATCTATGGGAACAACAGTGTGAAGCTACGTCAAACGTTGCTCCATAGAGTGGTCAAATGTGGCCTAGCACATATGGATAACGTGGCAAAAGAGAACTAATGATTTCGATAAGACAGCGGTCCACGTGATCTGTTGGGTATCCCACTGAGGTAAGAATCACAGGAGCAAAGCATTCAGAAGAGTTCGACATTTTTCAGTTTCAGTAAGTACGAGTTTATTTCTTAGACGGAGAAATAATGGGACTCTGTGATTGACGATGGTTATGCTCCGTAATGTTTTGCCTTCGCATATATTGCTGCAAGCAAAGGGAGATATCCGATACCGTATAAGATATAACTCTTTTGGTGCTTGTAGTGAATTATCCGCATATAGTTTCGGTCGGAGACCACTTTGTTCAGTTTCTAAACAAACAGGAGAAAAATCGATTCAGAACGCCAAGAGGAGGATCCTCCCTAACGACGGTTATACTCTACAAGACTTTGTGGCAGCGTCCCAAGTTCGTCAAGTCGGCATTGCTTCAGCTTCCGGGGAGCTTAGAAAAGTTCAGTCTAAAGTAAAGATTGGTTGGAAAGGACACCTTGGAGATGTGAGGTCCACTCCTTATGAAGAGCTTGGCACCTGCGACAAGGTATATATGGAGACATATGGTTGTCAGATGAATGTTTCCGATACGGACGTCGTTCAAGAGATCCTCTCAAAGGCAGGTTTTGAGTTGACTGCTTCTTTGAATGATGCTACCATAGTTCTGTTGAATACTTGTGCGATACGGGACAAGGCAGAGAGGAAAATATGGCACCGTTTGGATGCTTTGAGACAAAAGCAAACTGAGGAGACTAAGAAACGAATTGTTGGAGTTTTAGGTTGTATGGCAGAGAGACTGAAGGAAAAGCTGTTGGAAGGAGAGCCAAGGCTGGCTGATATCGTTGTAGGACCTGATAGTTATAGAGACTTGCCATACTTGTTAGCAGCAGTTTCTTCTGGAGAAAATGATGCAGCAGCCTACAATGTACAATTATCTATGGACGAAACTTATGCTGATATATCTCCTGTACGCCTCAATGAACAAGGAATATCAGCTTTTATAAGTGTCATGCGAGGTTGCGATAATTTCTGTACTTTTTGTGTAGTTCCCTATACTCGAGGAAAGGAAAGAAGTAGACCTGTGGATACTATTGTTTCACATGTGCAACGGTTATCGGATAATGGCTTTAAGGAAGTAGTGTTACTGGGACAGAATGTCAATTCTTATAACGATATTTCCTCAGGGAAGACAGATTCCCATATTGTTTATAGTTCCGGATTCAGTTCAGTTTATAAGCCCAAGAAAAAGGGTATATCTTTCGCAGAACTGATACGACGAGTCTGTGAAGTGAATCCGAACATGCGCGTTCGATTCACCTCACCTCATCCCAAAGACTTTCCAGAGGAGTTATTAGATTTGTACAATGAATATCCCAATTTGTGTCGTCATATCCATCTTCCCGTACAAAGCGGAAGTTCAAATATTCTAAAGAAAATGCGTAGAGGATATACAAAGGAAACTTATCTTGCACTTGTGAATCATATCAAGGAAAGGATTCCAAACGTTTCGTTCAGTAGTGATTTGATTGTAGGTTTCTGTGGAGAAACAGAGTTTGACCATCAGGAGACACTTGATCTTTTGACAAAAGTGAAATATTCTCAAGCTTTTACTTTTGCATATTCAGAGCGCTCTAATACTTTTGCTGCCAGACATCTTGTTGATGATGTGCCTGCAGATACTAAAGGGAGGAGGCTACAAGAAGTTATTCAACTCTTTCGAGAAATTGCTGATAGAGAAAGTATTCAACATGAGATGAATTCATTGAAGTTAGTATTAGTGAATGAAATGGAAATGAAGGATGATCAAGAGTACTGGGTTGGACGAGCAGAGAATAACAAAAAGTGTTTTATACCAAATATAAGGATTTATTCGTGCATTCGAAACGCTTTATCTGGAATTACGAACGAGTTGGTTTCTATTCAGAAAGGCGATTACATAGTCGTACGAGTTTGTCAACCAGGTGTACAGCGTCTTTACACAAAGCCAATTGCTCGTTCATCCATTGAAGAGTTTCGGAAAATCGAAGGAAACGTCATGACAAAGAATCACGTCTTGAATATAAATTTATGAGACAGTTAAGTATCTGTTTGGGACGTTTCTGGATAGCCTGCGGCGCTTTCCTGTTCATTTGTACAGTTCCATGAAGATTCGTTGAAAAATATTTGGCGGAGAATGGTATCGAGATTCTTTCGGTAACTACCGTGACCATCAAAATTGGGACAGATAGCTGAGACGTTAATATTTTCAACTCCAGGACATGTAATCTTCCTCATGCCTGCAACGTGCTTCACTGAAGAGAAAGTACGATGCAAAAGACCTAAAATCCAGTCATTCTCGCAATAAACGTTCAGCAAGCGTCCTGCAACAACTGATGAAGCCATCCGCCATCGAGATTCGTCTGCAGTACAAGGAGCTCCAATAAGTACTGCATGATCAATTATACCACGCATTTCTCTTTTACTGAGTTCTTCCAAACACTGAAAGATGACTCGCGCTCCTAGCGAGTACCCTACTAGGGTGATTGGACGATAGCCATGAGTTCCATTGCATATATGTTCAGCCAAAGCGATTCCTGCACTTGTAGCTCTATTGACACCGGTACTCCAAAGGTTGTCAAATACGCTCACTGCCGATAAAAGTTTGAGTGGCAATGTAACTGTCCCCAATAATCCTGGAATAACGTAGTCCATGGCTAATTTTGTGAGCTTACCAGCCTTGAAACATATCAGTCTCATAAAAAACGCGAAAATTCTTAGCAAGAAACATACCGCAATACTTTTCAGGAATCCCAGTAGGGCATTTCCTACATCTTCTAACAACACACTTTCCCATCGTACGGCAAAACATTCACTTAAGGGAAACAATTCTTCTGCAATATTCTGAAATTGACAAGCAAAAGCTCCCCAACAAGGGCGTCCTTTCCAATGATATCCACATTGTTCTTCTACAAGCCATCCTGGAATAAAGTAAATAATATGCAAAGAAAGAGGCGCTTTCAAGGATCGATCATTTGCATCTTTGTTGGAAGCGATTCGAGTTTCGTTATCATCCTCATCTTTGTCAGTTAGCCAATGTGGAATATATTTGGTCCCTGGAGGAATAACTGCATATCTATATTTCACATATGCATTTCTTAATACAGCCGATGAGTTGTCAAACAGTAAAGTGTAGATTCCTGGTTCCGCACAAAGATAGGTGTCTCTTGAAGAACCTCTCTTCGTACGAACACCCAAACTACTCATAGAAATTCCAAATGCGTTTGCACGTTTTTCTTTCTTTCCAGAAAGAGGATAGTTCTGCATTGCCAAAACCCAACATTTTCTGCCTGGCTTGTCTTCTTCCTTTTGTTTTTGCTTCGAAGAGTTGCGAAATGATATCATCTCATTTAAGAGCTTCTTTGTATAATCCCACTCAGTCCCTAAGAAAGATGTTTTGACCTTTTTATCTTCCGAATAATTGATGTCTACTGATTTATTCGTTGGCGCTCCATTCTCAATAGGACTGTTTGAAATTATTTGATCGAAATCGATCGTCGACCCTTCTGCCTTTATCAAAGCTCGGTCAACGGCGAGTGCAACAGCATCAGCAGAAATTGCATCTTTACTTGATTGAAAAGGTTCGTATTGAATGCCAAACTCGCAAACACCTTCTAATTCCCATCCAAGCATCGAACCAGCAATAGTTACTTCTATTATATTCTCTTCTCTACCACCCTTCGGAATTGTAAGAGGCATCAATTGCATCATATCACGAATACGTGATTCTGCTACTCTATTACAAGCTTCAAAGTCGAATTCAGATACGTTCGCAGTTAAATGTCCTATCTTTTTAGCAGTCATTGAAGCTCCAGCAATCCCAAATAAGGAGCCGATCACTGCGGAAGACGTTGTTGCTGAAAGACTTGTCAATCCCATCCCCATCCCAACAGAAGCTAAAGCGGGAATTATGGCAGGCGCTAAGACTCCACCAGTAAAACCAACCATAAAACCACCTATTGTAGAAGCTGCTGCAATTTTCATCATGCGAATCTTTCGACGTCTTCTTTTGGTTTCTTCAAAACTCTCACTTTCCAAAGCTTCTGCTGCTTCTATATTTATGAACGCTTTATATATTCTCATACTGTGATAGAGTACCATACGTACCATTTTCTGCAGCCAAAATTGTTGCAAGAGTTGCTTCTGCAGAGCTCAGCATACCAGTATCAATAGAAAACACTTCTGCCGCTCTCCAAAATGCTGCTCGAGAACGGGAATCATAGTGACCTCCACTAAATCTAATTTCAACTTCCAAACAGCTAAACAACGCAAGCGAAACAAAGTGATGACGCTTCTCATCCTCGTTCCAAGACGACTGTTTTTCCTTCAGACTGAATTGAGTATCATCCAAGAAATTGTTTCTAAAGCCCAAAGTTTTTTCCTGTAAAGCTTCTGGGTCTGAGTAGCTCTTTAAACAGTGCGCATATTTTTCCGCAATGGAACGAGTGCTTTCTTCAACACCCTTTTTTTCGTTTACGAAGGTATCTTCGGTGCCCTCTATAGTCTCTAGTGTTTGAGCTATCAAAGCTTCTACCGAGGAGGTTCCGAGGTCTAAAGCTGGGGGTCCTAAAATACGTTGTAAGAAAGCTCTTGCGTGGTCAGCATCAGATAGTTGACTCCTCTTAGGCTGCGAAGAGAGGCTTTCTGAGACTACATTAAAAGATTCCTGTTGTGGTCGTGGAACACAAGCAGCTATAGCGCCACCAACTAGAAACCTTGCGTCTAACGGAGCACAAGAGAGTGCAGCATGTACCATGCGAATGTCCTAGCTGTTCAATTGTTTTTCCCTCCAAATGCCAAATGAGACAATTCTTATTAAAATTTGTTGAGAAAAATTGTGAATACTGTTGACTATGAATTAGCTATTCGACATTCTTATCAACTGCCTCCTTTCATATACGAGATTAGTTGCTTTCCTCTTTCTCTAGCAATATCGAATAATGTCAACAGAAATATTCGATTCGCTTTTGAGTGAATCTTTGCACTTCATTGGTGACCCAAAACAATTACAGTGAGCTTGCTCAGAATGCCATTTCTAGTTTCAATGAAAGAAACTAACCTTTACCCAAATAAAATGGTTTCATATGCTTGGAATTGAAGAGAGCACTCAAAAATGACTGTCAGTAGAACCATCAGCCAGTTAACACTGAAATTGTCTAATCATAATCCAATTAAGCATTTTGGGTTGCTTGATTCGTTTGAGTAGACTCGTAAAATGGCTTCTTCGTCTCATATGTTTAAGAGTAGAGATGAGCTAAAGAAAGCAAGGGAACTAGAGCAAGCAAGGAAGGCTGGAACCATCGAACCTGAGAAAGACGAGCAAGGTCGAGATATAAATCCACACATTCCTCAATATATTTCCAAGGCACCTTGGTATTTGGACTCTGGCGTTCCGACCCTTAAACACCAGAGAAATGAGAAATTACACCAAACTAGAGGAGACATTGATAAGTGGTACGAAAGGGGAAAAAGGTTGGAGACAAAGAAAAGAAAGTTTCAAAAGGGTTGTTGCGAAAATTGTGGAGCAGGAACTCACAAGACGAAGGACTGCATGGAAAGACCCCGTAAAGTGGGAGCAAAGTGGACTGGCAAAGACTTACAACCAGATGAAACCATTCAAGATATTGACTTGAGTTGGGAAGGCAAACACGATCGTTGGAATGGTTTCAACCCTGCGGAATACAAACACATTATAGAATACCACGAAAGCTTAGAGAAAGAGCGACAACGACTAAAGGCTGAACAAATAGAAAAAGAACTTACACAGAAAACACGAAAGGAGAAGGATAGCGATGACGATGACTTGTCGGAGTTTTCGGAATCAGACAATGACGAGGGTTTTAAGCAAAAAGCCAGTGGTGATGTTATTATTCAACAGAAAGATGAGGGAACACGAGTTACGGTTCGTAACCTTCGTATAAGAGAAGACACTGCAAAATATCTTAGGAACTTGGACGTAAATTCTGCCTATTATGACCCCAAGTCTCGCTCAATGAGAGCAGATCCTCTTCCACATATCGACCCAGATGATAAAGATTTTGCCGGTGATAATTTTATTCTCTATTCGGGTGATACTCAGAAGATAGCACAAGTCCAACTGAACTTCATGGAAGCTGAGAGACAAGGTTTGGAGATGCCACATTTGATTGCTGAACCGTCACTTGCAGAACTTGTACATCGTGAATATAAGACAAAGAAGGAGAGTGTAGAAGAAAAGCATCGTCGAGAAGTATTAGAAAAATATGGAGGAGAAGAATATCTTCGGAAGCCATCGGATGAGCTCAATCCTCAACAGTCTGAATTATATATCGAGTATGGTCCTGATGGACGTATCAGAAAGGGACTAGAAAAATCTATTCCACGAAGCAAATATGCGGAAGATGTTCATGAAGGTAATCATTCGTCGGTTTGGGGCAGTTTTTACAAGAATGGGCGATGGGGTTATAAATGTTGTCATCAGACAGTTCGACGTTCCTATTGTACAGGAACAGCAGGAAGAGATGCAGAACATACATCTGAAGCGATAATGATGGCAGCAACTGAACGTTACTATGAAAACAGGTTACAGGAAGATTGTACTCAATATTTTAAGAAGAATTCGGAAAAAGTTTCAGAATCACAAGGATCAATGAATGACAACATGAAAAATGCAAATTTAGAAAGTCACTTTAGAAAGGAAGGAACCAAGTCCATCAACAAGTCATAAATAAACAACTAAGCAATTGTTCGCCATAATGACGTGCCCATTATTTCACGCACCCTCATGCAGAAAAGATCCGAAAGACATGAGGACTCTGGGAGGGCTTACTAGAATTGTATGAATGGGCTAGTGGTGCAAAAAGGAGGAAAGTCTACCACTTTATAATACTTCCCGAAACGGAAGTATGCCTAGTCAAAATAGAGAAACCCAGCGAAAAACAGTATCTACTAGTTTTAGGGACTCCTGGAGTTGCTCCTTTTCTACAGATTCTGTAGGAGAGTTAGAGGAAGAAAGAACCTCGTCTGCAGTAGGCTTGCGTCGAAAGAGAAACTCTAGTAGAACCGGTTTATATCCGGAGACTATTCAAAGTGTCCAACAAAAGCATAATTCTTTGCGGGAAGAGGGAAACTGTGGTGTTGAAGCTGTCACAAAACAACTTGCTTACGAAACCTTTGATTTCTCGTCTTCCAACCCCAGTCGGAGAAGAAAAGCGGTTTTCGGTAATATAGAGAGTCTAGAAAAGCAGGAAAATTTTCAAAAGCTTCTTGACAGTTGTTCCCCTGGTGGGTCTTTACCTTCTGAGTGTATTGATGACGATTTTCACGAACTCAACTCCTCTTCCGTTTTTTATTCAACACAGAGTAGTAATGGTAATGGTTTCCCGCAAACTTCTCGTGTGATAACGGACAGTAGTGAGTATATAGCTGATTCTGAGGAGAACAGTGTCCAAAATATTTCCCTTCCAAAAATGCCAAGAAGGGCTATTCTTTTGAATGCCGACTCTGGAGGAGTTCCACCAAAGAGAAGAAGAGAGATAGTGTCTCGAGTAGCCAACAAATCCTCTGAGGGTCCTAGCACTATCGCCACAACCAGAAGTTACAGCACAATCACTCGGAGCTCTGTCAAATGGAACAATTCTGTGGATTCTTTCACACAGGAAGCATTTGCATGCTCTGGGAGTTCACAGACCGATGGTGTTACGTTAGTTTCTTGTGGAGAACCCGTCAATTCAGAATTACACGAAAGTATATCGATCACGTCTTGTTTTCCTGTTTCGTTGCAGACGGAACCGCGTCATGTGAGTTCGATGGAGCAGTTGAGTTCTACACCCTCAGAAGAACGAGAATCATTTCAGGATTCGCATGTGGAACAAACGGAAGAGGACACTTGTGGGTCCGTTTCTAGTGTGCGAAGCACGGAAGGTCTAACTACGGAATTATATAGTCCCTATGAAAAATTTACTGAAAATGGCATTGTTCAGAGCGACTTCGTCGATGATAGCTCCGATATGTATGATGAGTTGACTTATTTAGTGCAAAATTGTGAAGTTACTGAGCCAAAAAACAAATGTAATGGTTTTTTACCGTATATTTGGTAAATTGTTTAGACTGTACCTTCTTTTGATTATCAAACCTGTACAACTTGTGTTGTCACTCGTGCTTGTGTGTGAATGCGTGTATACTTTTATAAACGAAAGAAAAACGTTGATTTTCTATATACATTTTTGTCAAATTATTTGTCATTGGTTTGTTGTGTAAGGCGGAGGAAGCTTCTGTCGATGGAGAATGGTTATCGTGACCGTATTCTTGTCACAGAAAAACTATCAGATGAAGGAGTTGCTATCTTGCAAAAAGACTTTATTGTCGACTCGAAATATGGTTTGTCACCCGAGGAATTGTTGAACGAAATTCCTCAATATGACGCGTTGATCGTTCGTTCTGCTACCAAAGTATGCTTTCAATACTGTTGGAGTCAATTGTAATGAAAAGGAACATTAGGTCAACAGGGAACTCATTCTTGCAGGAAAGAAGCTCCGAGTGGTTGGTAGAGCTGGCGTTGGAGTCGACAATATTGACTTGCAAGCAGCAACTGAGAGAGGTATTCTTGTGGTCAATGCACCAACTGGAAACTGTATAGCAGCTGCAGAACATACAATCGCACATATTTGTGCATTGTCAAGGTATGGAGACTCCTTTTTTAGCCAACTCTGATATATTTGATGCGGTTTAGGTTTCTCACTTCTGCAGACGCTGGTTTGAAACGAGGTATATGGGACAGAAATGCGTACATTGGAACTTCACTTGAAGGAAAATGGCTGGGAGTCGTTGGCCTTGGACGCATCGGTAGAGAAGTGTCTCGTAGAGCAAAAGGTCTAGGAATGAAAGTATTGGCTTTCGATCCCTACACTTCAGAAGAGACCGCCAAGAGTTTAGGAGTGAATTTAGAACCGTTGGAAACTGTGTTTAGCAATAGCGATTTTATAACGTTGCACGTACCACTTATAGAAACGACTCGTAATATGGTGAACCGAGAACTCCTGTCGAAAGTCAAACCTGGTGCAAGGCTTCTCAATATAGCTCGCGGTGGGCTGATTGATGAGGAAGCTTTGTTAGAGTATTTGAATAATGGAAGACTTGCAGGAGCTGGTATTGACTGTTTTGTGACGGAGCCTCCTTCAAAGATCCCCGATTCTCCTTCTGAACGGTTGTCAAAGCACCCGAAGGTCTTGGCAACTCCTCATCTTGGAGCTTCAACGGTGGAAGTAAGCAATCAGATGAAAGAGTTGTCAGTCATTCAGTGACCTTTTCTTATCAGGCTCAGCTTGATGTTGCTATCGAAATTGCGGAGGCTGTGATGTCGGCGCTTTGTGGTGAGTTGGTTCCTACGTTAGTCAACGCCCCTGCAGTTTCTTCCGATGCTTTGGTGTATTTGAAGCCTCGTGCCTTATTGGCTGAAAGATTAGGTTTGTGGTATTATTCTTAATTCTCGATTGAACTGGATTCCATGGCTTTGTATAGGACGTCTAGCATATTCATTAGCAGGTGGAACTTTTTCTGGTGACATAACTATTCACTTTTACAGCAATGATGGAGACGACGGAGAATCTCGTTTGATTAGAACTGGTGTTATCAAAGGTCTCATGGAACCCGGGAGTGATCATGTTATTAATGTTGTGAATGCTGATATGGTAGGCAAGGTCCATGGATTGCAGATAACAGAAATAAAAAGGAGATGTGTTGGAGAAGAGGTGAGACCAAACGACAGTCAACTATTGAGAATTTTGCTTCCTATTGGTTAGAATTGTATTACATTGCAAATGAAAGGCAGTCCTCCAATAAAGGGACGTGTTATCGGAAACAGACCACATGTGACCTGCATTGGTGAATTTGAAGTAGACCTCGTTCTAGAAGGTCTAGTACTTGCCTATTATCAGGTTGACATGCCAGGACAAATAGGAAAAGTAGGTGTCTCTGTTTAGAAGAATGACTATAGCTCTCTTTATTCATTAGGTGGGAAATATTCTGGGACAAGCTAATGTGAACATCTCTTTTATGACTTTGGGTCGTCATTTACCGTCGAGAATGGCGCTAGTTTTATTAGGTTTGGATAGTATACCTGATACGAAGACATTGGAAAAAATCCGCGCAGATGTGGGATTGGAGAAGAGGCCTGTTCTATTGGACTTGGATGGCAATCCTGGATAATTTTGTTGATTATATAGAAGTTTGTTATTATTCGCCAATAAATTGTGCAATTACTTTGACATAATTCTTATAGAATTACCAATATGCAACAAGTTCCTCAGCGTTTTTCCAAATAGCACTTTTTGTGGATATAATTTTGTTTTTCATACACTTCTTAGTCTCTTTCTACTTTCTGCTTCTGAAAACCATTCCTCCGGTAAAGTAAAAACTTCATCGTTTTGTTCTCCAATGTGACTACAAATAGTTTTCAATGACTCTTCTATTACACCAGTAGAGCATCGAATGACAATTGGGCGAATATTAATCAATGGAAACTGTCTCCTGGTGTAACCCTCCAAGTCCTGACAACCTTCCAACCGCTGATTCATTATACGTCAGATTAATTGTTCTTCAAACTCACTGGTTCCACACATTACCTCGATATAATACAAAACAGTCGTATCATAGAAACCGAACCTTTCCTTCCCAGAAACAGCAACAATTTTGCCTGAAACTCCTTTGCTCGAATGTAAGGCTATCTCTGATTCATTGCAAATTTTCAACCTAACCGCGAACTCACTGGTAAAAACAAAATCCAGCGTCAATAAAACGGATTTCCCTACCATGCCACAGTGGGATTTCTTTCAATTATTGTAAATGTCTTCTTCGAAAGCACTACATCTTCATTCCATTCATCTAAAGATGGTAAGTTTGATAATGCCGACACTGAAAACAAGGGACCTATATCGCCTCCATCCAGAACTTCGCACAAGAATCGTCCACGAACAGCTGTACTTTCTCTACCCTATGCAGATTCCCTCTTAATATATGTATATGACAAGATTTTATCGTGTGAAATAATTACCTGTCCTTGCATCAATCGAACTGACTTGAAACCAACTGGAAAAATCTCTCTCGAGTTATAGTAATGAGGTCGACGATCGATGTGTCCAAGATTGAGAATAACGAGTCCACATCCAACATCAAATGGGAGACGCAATTCTCGGGTCTCTTGTTTTCTCGGAATTTCTACGACTCCACGAGGATCTCCAACCATAACCAGAGGTTGTTCCTCCAATATCTCTCCATTGAACTGTAAAGCATCATATACCAATGGAGAGGCCGAGTCTGTATATACAAACAACAAAAAAGGTTAGGCATCATGAACAAATTTACACATTGACATACGTTGCATTGTACTGTATGAATCATCAAGAGAGTCCAAGCTCGATATAAACAGGTCAAGTAATAAATTGAACCGTTTCTGACAAATTTTAGCCTTGGGAAACTTGTAGTCCTTTTCATTGACGGCACTCGACTCCTACAACGAATATCAATGAGCTTGACATCAATCATAAACACAAAGGAAGAATTTACATTTTGCTTTTTCTGCGCCAATTTTTCAAGAGTTGCAGGGAAACCCAACTCGGGATCTTCCGCAATTGCCTCCCAATTATTCAAACCATGCCTATCTACTCCATAAAGTAAAGCTCTGTCGTGGACTGAACGCCACCAAAAGGGAAGTTCCTTCATTTTACGACAATTTTTAACCGTTTCAGGAAGATTAGGGTCAGGCAGGACACGAAGACGTAAAAAACGAAACAGAGAAATGCTCTCAAGTATAGAGCGGCTTCTTTCAATGCTAAGATTGAAGGTGGATGCGTTTCGAAACTGACGAAAGTCTGTCTCCAAGGATGCTAGTTGTGTCTCTGTCAACTCTGCTCTGAAAGTTTCCGCATATGTTTGACCAAGAATTGGACCTTCCAAAACGGAATAACATTCTCGCATTAACTTCAAGAAAGCCGCTTCCAACACATCTTCACTTTTGTCTTCCAAAAGCTTAGATACGAGAGCAAACTGTTTCCAGTCTCTTTGACTAGATGGAAATGAATCAGAAAATAAGCTATAGCGATGAACGTCCTTCATACCCTTCATTCTGGTAAAACAAGCCGTAAGAAACAACAAGTTTTTCCAATTCTGTCATTTCCTTTTTGGTTAAATTTGTACTCCTCGTTCCTTCTCCATTTTCATCTGCTTCTCCAGCAATGTGTCCACTTTCTTTCTTGACGGCCTTTCTTCCCGTTGCCTTTGAATCTTCCTTCATAAGACGAACCATATCTTTCATGCAAGCCACCAGAACGCTCTTCAATCTCCTCATTATAGCATCTGCTGGAGGAAACGAAGGTAACGAAGAAAGCTCGGCATCTTGTCTTTTCACTGAGTTTTCGACATTTTGCTCCTCCGTTTTTCTCTCAAACTGATTCACAGATGTTTCCTGCTCTTCATTTTCTTCCTCTTCTTCATCCTCTTCAAAGTCTTCCTCGTCATCCTCACCATCTCCTTGACGATTAGATTCCTTTGCCTGTTTGTTACTCGCCGATGACGAGGCAACAGAAGGACTAGTACGATCATGAAAACCCAGCTCAGGATCCTTCCTAATATCTTCAGCATTACCATATCCGTGTTTATAAATTCCAATGACAAGATTCATGTCATCTTCAGGACGCCACCAAGGTGCAGGAGGCTATCATTCATACGAATATGACAACAACTAAAATGTAAAACAATTGTTTACTTACTACGGTGTTAACGAAAAGTTTACCTTCTTTAAGCTTTAGTAATGACGGGTCATGAACCACCTGTTGTACTCGTTGCAACAATCTAAGCTTTCTAGCCCATCTCAAATACTAATTCAATGTTAAAGACATCCTTTCTCTCTAAAAATACTTCACCAACCTTTCCTTTCTCACTCGGGTGAAAATCTTTCTCCGCTTCCTTTATCAGTGCGTTCACTTTATGTTCCTTTTCTTCTTCTGTTCCTTCTAAACTGTCACAGATTATTTCGAGCATGGCTTTACGTTCACTTTGTGCTCTTGCACTTATCTGAATTTTCTCCATTAGAAAAAAAAATGAGACAATCAATATTGCCAAAAATACTTACATAACACTTTGCAACAATGCTTCTTGCAACTTGTGAGATTTCTTCCTCACTATGATCCAAAAGCCGACCACCAGTCAATTCGTTGATTTCTTTCCATCTTCCGAAGCCTAGCTTCACCAACCCAGAGCGTAAAGCTTGAATATCTGCCTTTGACCAGTCTCTCTTTGGACGACTCTTTGCAAAAGAGACGGAAGGATTGTCTGCACCGATGGGAAGCAGAAATATAAAGAGACAATCACCCATTTGCAGAAGACTTCTTGACTTTAGAGGAAAAGGAGGTGACTCTTGGTTCAAAAAGACAGTTTTTTCGTCAGTAACAACGGAGACGCCGTTTTTGCCCAAACATTTGATTTCGTATTTTCCGGTATTTCTGTTATACTTAAACTGTGCGTGTTTTCTCGACAGTTTATTTGAGTCTCCTACACCGCAATCGACTTCCCTATCACCAGGTTCCAGAGGCCTAAAGTCTTGTTGAGGTAGTCTCTTGTGTGAAACGTTTTCATACTTACCTTTCAGGATTTCCTGCTGACCTACCAAATAGCACACTATCGCTATGAATGTAATACTCGAAGTTGACATCGACACCGTTACTCAAAAAAACCTTACCCTCCAACTTGGCAAAAGCATAAGGAGCCTCCGGCATGATCACTACTGCTGCTTTGAAAATAAATGGGCGCTTCAAAAACTCTTAAATAATAATGAATTATTGAATGCATTTTGACAAAGAACGCACTTATTGTCGATATTATTGTGTACAGAAACTAGTGTTGTATTTTATTTCATTATGAACACTTGTTCATATTGTCCTAGTTGGTGTGGTAGTTATGAAAGTATTTGTTCTGGTGGTACTCTATTCAACTTTCGACACCGCTGTATCCAAAGACACCGTTTTCTTCATCCCCTAAAACGACCACCAAGACTGCACCTCATTTCGTCGTCTGAAGAGTTTCAAACAGCCACTTGGAGCCCTGAAAATGACCCAAAATATGTTTTAGCCCGTGTTTGTGCCGTTGGTTCCTATCTACAAGGACACATTGTGCTCATTCACTCAGCCAAGGATCCCTATTGGATGCTTCCCATTCTGATAGGAAGTGTTGAAGCACAGAGCATTGCTTTGGCACTTTCTGGTGTAAAAGCCCCACGTCCTTCTACATACGATTTGTTTTATAGATTACTTTTGATACAAGGTGCCAAAATAGTAAAAGTTGCCATCACTCATGTTTCTCAAAAGTCATTGTATGCTCGAATATGGATAAAGTGTGGCAACCAAGTGGAAAAGTGGATGGAAGCGAGACCTTCCGATGCACTCAATATTGGTATTCGTTTTGGATGCGATTTGTATGTCAACCAGTTGGTGCTTAGACATTCGGGTGAAAGACTAGAAAAGATTCAGAAAGAAATTGCTGGCTCATTTGTCCGTATTTTGTTTCCCGAGTCGTTTGTTGAACTTGTTTCTCGAAAGTCGTTGAATGCTGTGGTATTTCATTTGGTTAATGAGGCAAAATATTCTTCACAAATATTGAAATGGAGAGCGATATTGGATGTATCCAAAAGAATTCAAGACTCATTATTATTGTCAGAAGCAAAAGAAAAACTCAATACGATTTATCCCATAGATGAGTGGAGAGAACGCATCAAGGAGGCTGTCAACAAAGAAGACTATGATAAGGCTGCTTATTATCGAGACCAAATCATTGAGTGGTTACTTGAAAAGTATCAACAAGAACTGGATGATCGCAAGGAAGATTCTGAAGGAGCCTTGGAAGATGATCATCAACCTCCCCTTTGAAAGATTGAGTCTTTTTTGGGTGGTGGAAGTGCTTGAAAGAAGAAGAGATAAATGTCCATAAAGCCTATGGCTAAGTTTTCAACACTTGACCAAGTTACTAATAAAATATTGTATGCCTTGATAACCCATTTGCAAGTTCCTTTTAGAATAAGGAATAGTTTAGGAAAGTATTTGGTTGTCTCAGCACCAGCTAGTGGAGGAGAGGAAGGAGGATTGGACACAGTGGCCTTTGCAGACCCTGAACACTCAGTAGCTTTATGTTTTCTGTTGGTGGCTAAGAAGGGACGTATCAGTTTAAGGACAGTTGTGGAAGGGAAAAATAATGGCAATTCAAAACTTTTGGTTTTCAACCAAGCAGAACCTCCAAACGTTCTCTTAAGAAGCACAGCTGAACAAGGAGACCTTGTATTGAAACTTGTACAAACTTCAAAGTTCTCTTGGTTCTTAAGCAACTCGAAGGAATCCGTTTACGTGGGTTGTAAGAAAAACGACCAATTCTTTTTCAGTGAACAAGAGGCACAGGCGGCTGAGTTGTTTTTGGAACTTGCAGAGTATTCTTTATTGAAAAAACTTGAAGTGGCGCTGAATTCAACAAGCATACAAACCCAGTACAAGAAGGAACTGAGGAATAGAGTGGATGGAATCGTTGAATCTCTATCGGGCAAGTTTATATCTCCCATACTTGGTGCGTTCTATTCTATCGTCTCTAGTGGAGCAATCGTTCGTCTCCAGTCCCATCATAACAGTTGGTTGAAAGTCGATTGGTCTCGTGATCCTCCCAAACTTTGTACGACAAGTAACAAACAAGACCCTTGTACGGAGTTTCACATTATTGGATTGTCTTCAACTGCGCTTATTTTTCAACGCAAATATTTTATGAATGTTTCTTCTGATCATTCCGTTTGTTTTACGAAGGAGCCTTGTTTTATCGGTTTAGAGTTTGACTTGTCTTGTAAACGAATGGCTATATTTATCCCTTTTATAGAAGAACGACTGTATTTATGCGTCACTAGGAAGCAGAATATAGAGTTTCACCGGAAGAAGAGAGCTTGGGAATTACTTCAAGTATTTGTCAACGAAGAACATGTAGATACGATAATTTCGAAGTGGGATAAGAAGCCAGTTGTCGTTAAAAAGCAGCAGGAAAGTGAAAAGGAGTCTAACAAGGACTTTTGTTATTCTAAAGCTATTGGAAATGCCGATAACTTACCTGCCGTTTCAAATGGAAAGAAGAATTCTTCGGAGAATAATGAGACCAAAGCCAAGAATCATACTTCTCAGGTACCGCAACCTCGAAAGAAGAAGAATAAGCGAAGAGCGAGACAAGATATCCAAACTTCTTGTTCTGATGCAGCATCATCACAAACCAACACAAAGAAACAAGAACTGCGTTATAAAAAGAAAGATTTGGAGGAGGTCAAAGAAAACCGTATTTCTCCTGACACCAATGATCAAAACGGAGATAATTCTACTCTAAAGTCTTCTATTGGTGAACAAGCCCTTCAACCATCGTCTCATTCGTCTCGAGGTTCCAATCATTTATGTGGGTCTTGTCATCAGCCGATCATGTCAAGTTATGCCACGGCATTGGGAAAGTCTTTTCATCCAGAATGTCTTCGTTGCTTCCGTTGTGGAAAGACTCTTGTGACTAGTGGAGATGGAAATTTCCGACATGGAAGTGGAAAACCTTATTGTAATGAATGTTATGCTCAACATATTGCGCCTCGTTGTGCGAAATGTTTACAACCCATTGTGGACACAGTAACCAAAGCAATGAAACAGAACTGGCACCCACAATGTCTTATTTGTACACAATGCAATACTCCACTATCTGCCGTCTTTTACTTGTTTCCCGAATTACCTCGACATCCGGTATGTTCCCGTTGTGCTGTGGGAATAGAACAAAATGAAATGCGTCGGAAACAAATGAGAAATCAATCTCACTTATTGTCGACTACATTTCGACTGGGTACTCTTCGACCTTTTGGTAGCAGATAGAGGGTTTTATGATTCAACCAATGAAACTGGTTTTTGTATGAATTGTAAACTAGAAATAGCCATCTTATTCTTTGATTGGACATTTTTGTAGAGTTGTGTACATTCTATTGTTGGGGTCATTTATTCCTTATTGTTGTTCCGTTTGGGTCTCGTACAAAGATATATACTTGGTCCTATTAAGGGAACCACCCACGATACTATCCATAGCCATCTATCTAATAATAGACTATCTCGAAAAAAGCCTCGTAACTTCATATCTTCGAATAATGGTTCCACCAAAAACATGCAAAGAATGAAAAAGTCAATAGAAGATACGTGTACGAGTCGATTGGTATGGAACAGTTGTACATACTCGTCCCATTCCGAAAGTAGTGAAATATCCCAAGGCATACCATCTCCAGTCGTAGAAAGCAGTGGAAATATCTTTAAACCAAATATATACAATACAACCACGAAAACGAACAAACTATATCGGAACCAATTATTCTCAGTCAACGTTGGTTGGTACTCATCCTATCATATTCAGAAAATACCAACTTGCCACGTTCAATAGGCTACTCACCTCATTGATCAAACTATATCTTGGCTTGCGAAGACCAAGATAAGGACCTAAAGCAAAAAAGCCGAGAAATAACGATACGATTAAAAATGGCCAAGCTTTCAGTGAATCTCTCTTCTCTCTTGGAAGTAGAAAAGAAGAATATAGAGCAGGTAACACACCAAGACCATTAAAGATAAACACAAAAATAGAATTCACTTCTGGATGAAACGGATTACTTGCAACCAATGTATCATAAGAAAGGACCCATCAGGCTAATTTACTTACCTGACCAGCTTCTTCAGCCATTCGACATCTCCAAAACTTCCTGGAGCAAAACCAAAAGCATAAACAAGAAATGAAACCCAAACAGAGAATACTGTCCACCGGCGAAAAGAAACCATACTAGTAGAGTTTTTTTCCACTTGGCACTGTAAGGTAGTCAAGGAAAATTGACTCCAATGAGTCTTCAGAGGCCTAGAAAACTTATTGCTAAACGTTTTCGTTATAATATTGGTGCGACTCTTGTGTATAAGCCCATAATGGCGGTTTAGGTTTACGCAACGAATACAATCCGATTGAAATGCTACAGCAATTCCAACCATTGAAGAATGGAGAATGGTCATCTGTCACTATCATTTTATAGAAATGTTATATTCCACACTCTATAGTTTCATTTCGATGACAGCTTCAAACGAAAATCAAAAGATGCTAGTTTTCCTACTTGTCAACAGAATGAATTGATGATACCTGTTCTTTTCTATATCTTATCATATGAATCTTAGACTCTGTATACTGTCACTCGATGACTGTAAGATTTGATAATTATAAAGTAGTCGTACATTCTCCTTTGGAAGGGGATACAATATTTACAATTCGAAAAAGCAGACGTTATCATCTTAACGATATTGGGCTTTCCTAATGATGATAGTGAGCTTTGTGATTCCCCACAAACACTTTTATCAAGTAGCCAAACTACAAAGTGTTGGTTTGATGGAGCATTGTTTAACAATAAATGGTTATTATTTTCGGCATAGGCTCAGAACAAAGCATATCTACTTGCCTGTTTCTACTCTTATCACTAGTGTCAGGAACGAAAGAGTGAAACTTGTAAGAGCTTTGACAGATAACCAGTATAGAAAAACTTCCAAGAAAATAGTTTGTGAAGGATTGAGGTAAACTACTAAACTAGTGACGGCGTACTAGTCGACATATCTATTTCAGGTTGGTTTCCGACGCTTTGAAAAGGGGCTTAAAACCCCACTTTATACTGTACAGTGACGATGTGTTTAAAAGCACAAGTTTTCACCAGTATTTTTCCAAACAGTTGTTCTCCACTTCTATCGCGTGGAAAACGACAAGTGAAGTTATTTCGAGCATATCTGACACCGTTACTTGCCAAGTAAGTCGATGGACAAAGTGTCCGTATGGTTACTCAAAAAAAGTAGGGTATTGTAGCAGTCTTTGAACAGCCTTCCGACGGCTTGTCCCATCATTCTGATTTGGTGAGTACGAAGCAACTCTCTAAATTGACTTCTTACAACAGATAGGTATTAATTTGCGACAAAATACAAGATCCTGGAAACTTGGGAAGTCTTTTACGATCGGCAGCAGCTGTAGGTGTGGATGGCGTCATCGTTTCACCCGAGTCCACAGATCCTTACAGTGTAAAAGTGCTTCGTGGAGGTATGGGAGCACAGTTCGCGATTCCTATAGTGACTTGTGAAGATTGGAAGAGGTTTTTGCAAGTTGCTAAAGGTAGTAAACTATTTCAACGTACATTATGGGTGACTGAACGATGCTTGCAGATTTGGGCGACATCTCCTTTTTTTTGGCCGACAGCAAAGCAGAACAATCCCACTATGACCTTTGTTTAGTTGAATCTTTGGCCGTCATTGTTTCTTCAGAAGCACACGGTCCAAGTTGTTATGTAAGACAACTGAATCCTGTCGAGTTTAAAATTCCTATGCAAAATTCGATGGAAAGTTTGAATGTAGCCGTAGCAGGTTCTGTTTTTTTATATGAAGTTCTTCGACAGCGAAAAGCCAATCAGCAAAAGTAGAAAGGCTTTCATATTCGTTGTATTGTTGGAACAAAGTAGTATGGCGAAATGCTCTTATGGACCAAATATGGATTTTGTGGAAACGGTCTTATGAATTCGTCTACTCGTATCTTGAAGATTGGTATTGTGGGTTTTGGAAACTTTGGACAGTTTCTAGCCAAAACTTTTGTAAAGCAAGGCCATCAAGTGATTGGTACGAGTAGGAGTAACTATGAAACAGAAGCTAAAGCCATAGGAGCGTTATATGTTCCAGAGGCAACTGATATGATGGGTGAAGAACCAGACGTTGTATTGTTTTGTACAAGTATAACGTCTACCCGTAGTGTTATTGAAGCATTTCCAATAGACGCGTAAGTAGACAAATTTGCGATACAGTCAGCTTTTTTGACTTGAAAAGGTTGAGAGGAAAGTTGGTAGTGGACGTCTTGAGTGTAAAAGCCTATCCAAAGAAACTGTGGGTTGGAAGTAGGAAGTCAGAGTTTATGTTGATATCTTTTTATTTGTAGTTTATTGGAGTTGTTGCCACCAGAAGCGGATGTACTCTGTACTCACCCTATGTTTGGTCCCGAAAGTGGGCGCTATTCTTGGAAGGGCCTACCATTTGTCTACGAACAAGTTAGAATATCAGATGGAGCTCGATGCGAAACCTTTCTGGGAATTTTTTCTTCAGCGTTGTGTACTATGATACCCATGTCTTGTGAACTACACGACTCCTATGCAGCAAGTAGTCAATTTATTACTCATACGACAGGTGAGCTACTCTCATTTATCGTATTAGTTCATTCACTTACTGTTCATATTTCAGGAAGAATGTTGGCAAAGCTTAATTTGATAAGCACACCAATCAATACGAAAGGATATGAATCCTTATTGGGAGTTGTTGAAACTACTTGCAGTGAGTCGCAAACTCTCTTCATCATTTCATTTGTTGTTCTTATAAAATTTTCGTCGTTTTCAGAAGATAGTTTTGATCTATATTATGGGTTATACAAGTATAATCCAAATGCGAAACTGGAGTTGGAGAAGTTGGAGCAAGCACTGCAAGCATTAAGGAAAGAACTCGAGACTCGGGAAGCGTTAGATGGTTGGAAGAAAGACTGAAATATACAATCCAATGAAATTTTGTATATTTGGAAACTTTTGAACAGAAATAAATATTTTTTTGTTTCCAAGTCTTGTCATCATGGAATGGTCTCTAAATTTGTAAGCTTTGAAAGAACGAAAGAGGCAGCTTTTGAGAACAAGTTTCTGCTGTAAGTTCATATTCATCAATGATAGAACTTTTTCTTTTCTTTCCAAAGCATTTTGAACTGCGAGCGATTCGATGGTTGCTATGAGCTTCTTGTTTGAGAGCAGTTTCCTCATCAACTATCTTCGAAACTTGTTGTGCATCTGTTGAACTACTCAGAATATTGGTGAACATACAGTTCTTTCTTTGTTCAGCCGCTTCTAACTTTTGTTGCGCAGTGCCCTTTGTTTTGACTTGTTTCTTTTGTCTGGTTTCTTGTTCTTTACTATCGTTCTTCTGCAAAGTTCGATACACTTCTTCGCCTTGTCGTGATGAACTTGTTACCGTTTCGATTTGATTGCAAGTTTGCAAATCTTGTTCTTTCGCCAGATTATCACAGTTTCCTTGTTTTGTTGTAACAACTGCAGCTTCGATTTTGTCTTTGGTAGCTATTCTGAGGAGTTCATTTGCACTGGATTCACCTTTAGAAGCTTGTTTCTTGGAACCTTTCGTAGTTTTGCTCCGGTTGGGAGCTTTTTTGCGATTATGCGAGCTTTTAGGATACGGGACTTTATTCACCTCCGTGGGAAACCCACTGCTGGTATCATTGTGAGACGTACGAATACTGTTGTCTTGGTCGACCTGAAATCTTGTATGTATTGCTCCAACTCGACGATTACTTTGAATTTTGAAGACTTTCCAAGCTGAAGAATTGTTGATTTTCTGCGGTTCTTTTGCATCCGGTTCAACAGAGAATTTATTTGCGTCCATGTGAGGTGGTATAGAGACTATTGTAGTCTCTGATAGTTTGTCGACACTAAAAGGGCAATAATTCGGTTGAAGGGATTCTATGTTGCTCCATTTGATGAGTTTGAAGTTACGGCTGTTTGAATTTGTTTTTACTTCAGCCAATCGTTTTCCATTTCCTTTCTCAATCTCCATTTTGTTGCCAATATTTTGCAGTTGAAGTCCGATGTCTTTCAAATCCTCAAGTAGTTTCAAACTTTCCTGATTGGTGCCAGTTCCCTTGTCCATCTCTGCTATTCCTTTCAGTTGATCTCGAATCTCCTGTTTCACTCCTTGGAGCCATTGTTTCAATTCTTCATTTCTCTGTTCACTGGGATTGACAAGTGCCTTGGTCATCCATTGGATTTCATTTCGTACTGCGTCCAATTTTTCGCTCAATTGGTTGTTGCTATCTTGTAGACTTCTCTGCAGTCTTTCATTCTGACGTTGTGTTTGCTGTATAGTTGAAATCAAATAGTGTTCATTGACCAGTATATATGTACAAAGAGATTCTTATACCTCATTATTTCTCTCATAGAGAACTTTCAGTTTGATTTGAATACGATCAGTTGTAGCCTAGTTTTCGTTGAATGCCCTTTTCGGGTTATTTCTGGAATGGGACTCACATTGAAATTTTTCAAATGGTTAGAAGCTTGTACCATTGTGTTCATTTTCTACGAGACGTATTTTAGCTACTTTAACATTCATTTCCGCTGACTACCTACCTCTGCTGTTTCACTGACTGCCCATATGCACCATTTTGTTGTCGATAATAGAGTTTGTTTATACCTTTGACGAAGATGACGTTTTCTATAACATAGGTTGTTATTCATAATACCTTGTTGCTTGTTCTTTGTAATATTCCAGTACTTCAGAGGTCCTGACTGAAGACGCATCCATTCCGGCAGCCTAGATAAAACAGTTGTGAGAAAAATTGAAAACTCAATGACGCAACTCTTACCAAGTTTTTATACTCTAACAATTCATTTTGACAACAATGACGCAACTGCATTTCTTGCATCCAATATGCTCGCAGCTTATTCATCTCTCCAAGCAATTTTGAAACAACTTCCTTTGCATACTCTGCATCCACTATGCATTTCGAAGGAAAGCTCACATGTTTTCATCACATAATGAAATACCTTGCCCACCTGAATTCTCCTTTCCTCTTGTCGGATATGAACCTTGCCATTTCTTTTTAGACAAACAATTCTGTCTAGTATTTTCAGCTTCGTTTGCAACTAAATATCACCTTTCAAAGCTCACTTTGTAAGTGAAGACATATCTTTCACCTTTTTGTAGTCTGTTTCTAAGCTGTTCCTCTGACTGAAAAAGAGAGTTGATTCTTTTATTCAGTTCTTTCATTTGCTCCTTGAAACATTCCATTTCTGTTGGTATTGGACAACTTTCTTGAGGAGAAGACTCGCTATCACGTTCCATGTCTATTTCGTTAAGACTCAAATGAATTTTCAAGTCATCATGTGTCGAATAATACTATTCAAAGTGGATATGGCGCCAAAAAGATTTTCGCAGAAAAATGCTATCACTTATGGAAGTAGAAAGTCTCTATTGAGTTATGCAAGTGATTTTATTGTCTAGTTGCCGTATCAAGAGCACGTTTTCCGAGTTCACAGGCGCCAATCATTCCAATGCGATCACCAAACGCTGAACTAACGATGTATTCATCTATGTGATATTTTATCTTGTCCACATCCAAGTAACCGTTGACAATCTCTTGAAACTTTTGTCTTACAAGTGGTAGTAAACACTTTCGTTTGGGAACTCCCCCTCCGATGATGATCAACTCTGGAGAAAGCAAATAAGTAATATTCGCACAAAGTTGCGCAATATAATTAGCAGCGATGCTCCAAATGCCATCTTCATCGGATAACTTTGCCAAATCCGCTGGAGCCAATTGTTTTCTTGCAGCGAGTGCCTGTGCATTAACCAGTCCCTCTACACAAGCTCCATGGAATTCACAAGAGCCTTGATAGTCATCATTTGCAAGCTTCGCTACCATCACATGGCCTCCTTCTGTATGCATCAGTCCGTGAATGGGTTCTCTATTGGCAACCACTCCCACACCCACTCCCGTACCGATAGTGATGTAACTACTTGAAGTAGCATAACTGGAACGAAATTCAGAAAACTCGGTGTCATATCGTTACATCTACCAACCTGTGAGGACCATAAGTAATTTCTGCCAGAGCTGGTGCGTTGACGTCGGTATCAAATCCGATGGGTATGGACAGGTCAACAAAAGCTCCAACCACATCGACATAACGCCATTGCGTCTTTGGTGTTGAAGTGATGTATCCATATCTATACCCAAATTAGTTTAAACCCTTGAAACATATTTCAACCATCCCACGTTTTACTGTTTCGATTCAGATCCACCGGACCGAAACAGGCTATTCCTAAAGCGTCAAAGGGTCCTTGTTCGACGAGCCAAGACTTTAGTTTTCCAATAGTTTCTGCTGGTATTGTTGTAGGAACACGAAAATCCTTGACGATATGAGTAGGGGAACCTTCACAAAAGGAAGCTACGCAAGAAGTTCCTCCCAGTTCCAATCCAGCTATTCGCATATGGATTCCTCAAAAGTTGAAAAGAATATTTAAATTCGGTTTATGTCATTTGCATTCATCAATAATGTAGAGTTAAGATCCAACAGTTTTACAAAGTTTCCTTTTCATATATACACATATAAATATTTCCACTCAATAAAATCTGCAGTTCATCTATCCACTCCACTCGGGTATCATTTACAAGGTACCAATGTTTCGAAGAAAGAGGATATTTGTCGACAATACTATACAAACCATCAAGTTTCCAATCGGAAACACACACAGCTGAAGTGTAATGACCATAAATGCTCGTTCCATGATGTCTCACAACCGCCTTTAGCTCATAAATACTCGATTTGTTCTTTTCGTATTGAGTTTGTCTATTCAACAACGAAAGAGGATTCCAATGATTGTTATAAAAGATATCCTCATAAAACTCCTTTGGAAGTAGCAAAGGTTGATCTGTTTTCATCACTCTTTTTCGTTTTTGGCTCCAATAATTTCTTTCCACATGAATACATAATACATTGGGTAACCTTACAACTTGATGATATCGATATAGGAACGGACACTTGCATCGATGACAAGGCATTTCCAGTTTTTCAGGTTGCTTCAAAGACGATTCGAGACATTCGAACAACGTTGCAAAGCTGTTTTCTTTTTGATTCATATTCAACTCTGTCAAGGACACCCGAATGGTACGAATAGGTTCAAGTCTTATGGACTGGTAATATCCACAATGAAGACAGGTTGTTTTCTGTTGTTCCAGACCAAACAATGGAGAGTCCCAACAAGTATCGAAAAGGCTACCTTTTATAACATTCTCGTTGGATAACCAACCATACAACTTGGAAGGACGTAAGCAGTTTTCAATAAACTGACATAGCTTACTCCAAGTTTCTTCTGCATCTTGAGGAAGCAACACATTATATCCTTGTTGTAACAACACATTGGCTACACTGGTTGGACGAAATACTTTAAACTTAACCTAACAGAAATAAGATCAGATGGACAAACAATAAAGATATTCTTCGCACCATATGTCCGTCCATCCAACGTTGCCCACTCACAAGTCGCAAAGTGTTGATCAAATCTTCAAGACGACTATCCAAACTTTGAAAACGATGACGCAATAAATACTTCTTGAGAACATTCGATGACGACATTGCCTGAGTTCAAGTTGGAATATGAACAGCATAAAATGGGAAAATAACATACTACCAAAACGGCCGAGAGGTGACAAGAGTTTCCAAAGTTTTCTATTCCTATTGGAATGGAAGAAATCACAGGAACTATCTTTCGACTAGGAATGGAACCATAAGCCTTGTTACTGGATGTTGAGTTACCAACCAGTACAAAGGTTTGACCTGCTGACATAAGAACTAAGAGTATGCAATAGATGAAAAAGGGGGATTGGAATATCAACTCCACATGAAGATTTTCTTTACTTTTGGACAATCACATACTAAATGTTCCCTTTTGGATAATCCTCAAGTAACTGGAAGCCTGTATCTTCCAAAAGCTGTTCAAAATGGAGTGCTACTGGATAGAAATATTCTTCAAGATAAGTCATCAAGGTACCATATCTAAGAGTGTTGACTTGATCATTTATTCCATTCCTACCGGCATTTGACGTAGTCTCCTATTTCCTTCCCAACCATCTCTCAACAAATATGGCAAGATATCCATTCTTCTTGAGAATACGAAATGCTTCCCGAAAGACATCTTTGGTTGCTTCATAAGGAAGTTCATGAATAATGAGACAACTAGATGATTGAACCAAGTCGCTACTCTATTCTTGATTCCATACGTCACTTGCCAAAACCAAATCGAAGCTTTGTTCCTTCATTTGAGTAGATTCTGCTCAAGAAATCGATACTACATGATGAAAATCGCTGTTTTGCAATAGCTATCTATAATTTTTGCAATGTTATTCCAATCTATCTCAACCTTTTTGATCTTATCCAATCATAAAAGGTGAAAAGGTCAATTCCCGTTATCTTTGAAATAGCCTTTGTAAATCCATACTACACGTTCCTATTCCACAACCGACATCCAACATGTCAAACAATCGCGTTTGTTTATTGTACAAATGTTGCCAAAGAAAACTTGAATATTTGCCTCGAAATACTTGTTCCCCCAGAATACACCAGCTTCTTCAAAATTGCTAGCTCCGACTGAAGCCAAATGTTGTTTCTACACAACTTTCATTACTTGACAACCAAGATACAATATCATCTTACAGAGGTTACCTGCAGGATAATATCCGTGAAAACTGACACTATCTTTGCAAAAACTTCCTCGGACACTATAATAGCGNGGTAAATATATATTTTCGTTGCTCGTTGTGCCACTGTGGTATGGCGCAAGAAGGCTGATGATAGATACCGCAGAGAATTGGGTGTCAGGTGGAGAGAAGAAGTTAGAAAACTTGTTGGATCACGAAAGGATTGGTAGGTGGGTTTGAATGAATCGAATGCCTCGATAACCTTCAAGTCAGGGAGGAAATTTTGAAACAAGAATGTCTCAACGATGGTTCTCTCATTTACTACAGTAACCACGTTATCGTTTCTGATATGCTGACAACGCAAACAGTTCTTGTTTGAAACCTGTTTGGATCTCTAACATAAAGTCGTGAACGACTAAAGTGCCTTGTTGTCTGAAAAAGAAAGCCATCCGAAGAAGCAAATACAAATCTCAAAAAGTCTTTACAACTCAGTTTCTATGAGAATCATCATTCTTTTTTATATAAAATTTCATATTCCGAAATAAAAGCCATTCAAAACTGCTTTCAATCACATCCAAGTTCCATTATCATCTCAGTAGCCAATATATATTCAATATATATATATATATATATATATTGAATGATCAAAACATGACTAGTTTGTCAGACATAGGTAAACCTCGTTCTTCTTCCTCACTTCTACTAGTATCTTGATAACTTTCCAAGTTTCTATCATATTCTGCACGAGTTGTAGGATCACGCAAAACATGATAGGCAGTAAGCAAGTCATACACATACTCCTTGATATGGTTATTCCATCGATACAAACTGTTGACGTCAGGATGTATTCGAATGATTTTCCTTCTAAAAGCCTTTTTGATGTGTTCCAAACTTGCATTTCTAGGCACATTCAATAAAGCATACCACTCCTTACTCTTTGTTTCTTTATTTCTCTTTTGGCTATTTTTTCTTGTCCAACTATAAGGTCCTCCAGGGCCTATCCAATCATATACTGAACCATGATGTATCCAAGCTTCTGCATCTTTCCACCTATTTCCAGCAAAAAAAGGTGAACCCCAAATACCACTTGCACCAAAATATCTTTGACACGCAAGGTGAACGGAATACATATTTCCTTCACTCGTGCTCTTTACATAGTTGGTGTGTTTTTCATTCACTGGAGGAAGTGGTTGTTGGCGGTTACTTGTTGAAGGGTTCAATCTTCTAGCTGCACGAATAAGTTTCTTTCTATAACTACAACTTATTCTTTTCCTATTTTTTATTTTACTCAATAGGTTTGGAATGAACAACAACATTCCACACTCAGCATCAATCATTCATCCGGTGGTGTTGTGTGTGTTGTGTAACAGCGATGATCAAACGCTTGTGTTGGAATGTCGTAGATACAAACCAAACAACCCAAGATGATGTTTCAGATAGTGAAGATGATGAACAAGTTATAAGGAAACTGAGTGAACAATACAAGGAAGAGGCCTTGTCTTTTAACAGTCCCAGTGAAGACCACTCCATTGCCTCAAGTGACAGCCCAATACAACAACCCTATGAGAAAAAGCCATTATCTTTGGAGACCAAACACGGAACTTGTCCCAGTGTGAATTCAAGAAAAGGAAAGAAGCGGAAGTTTTCCAAAGAAGAATATCCAACGTCACAAGTGAGCAGTACTATTGATTCTCCATCATCCAATCACACTATAATGGGTTCCTATAAAGACCAAGGAATTGTATTGAAAGAAAAGAAAAGAAAACCTTTCTCTATTAGTGAAGATTACGAAATAGACTATCATCCTTCCAAAGTTCTAACTTGTCGTTTCTGTGACCACAAACTTTTGTTAAACGAGAAAGATGTACAAAGCCATATCAAGTCCAAGGTAAGTATTCCATAAATAATCCCAACCTAATGGATAATCCATATGTACCATATAGAAACATAAGAAAGCACTTGCTAGATACAATGCTATGGATGTCAATCTTATTGCCTAAATAGACGCAAGTAAATTGGAGGAGGAATATTGGGAGTGACTATCTATCGGTGGTGGGGAGAAGGTCTTATGAGCAATCAACCAGACAAGCCAATAGGAACGATTAGTGCTTTACAACATACTTCACCAGATAACCCTGTAAGCTTGATAGTACTATGGAAAGAAACTTCTAACTTGTTGAAAGGTTGTTTTCTTCGATGTCAGTATAGCGGACCATCCTGTCGGAAGAATAAAGATGGAACTTTTTGCTGATATTGTCCCCAAAACAGCGGAGAACTTTAGACAGTTTTGTACCGGTGAATATAGAAAGGATGGTATTCCAGTCGGTTATAAGGGTTGTAGTTTTCATCGAGTGATAAAGGACTATATCATTCAAGGAGGTGACTTTGTGAATGGTGACGGAACAGGTTCCCTTAGTATATATGGACTATAGTAAGAGGTTGAAAATCTGGTAATATCGTCCTAAAAATAGTTTAGTTTTCTCGACGAGAACTTTATTTTAAGTCATTCTGGTCCAGGAGTCTTGTCTATGGCAAATACGGGTCCAAATACGAATGGCAACCAATTCTTTATTACTTGTACGGTATGAATATTCCTCTGTGAGAAAAGGTTTTCTAGAATAACGCAATCTAGTCGTGTGAATGGTTGGATGGTACTCACGTAGTGTTTGGCAAAGTAGTGGACGGTTTACTCACTGTGCGAAAGATAGAAAATGTCTCCACGGGAGCCAATAACAAACCACTTTTACCTGTAGTTATAACTCAATGTGGAGAGTTGTAACGACTGTTTTTATTGAAAACAGATTATTCATTTTTGATAAAACATATAAGCTCTATCGAGAGTGTCCTTTAAAGTATCCCACGATTCCCCCATCATGAATAAGTCTCTCACTTGGCATTAGAGAAGGAAGTGTTGTGATTTCTTCTTCTTATACATGTCTACTACCAACAATTATAGCTCCAGTTCCTTATCTAATGAAGAACTTATGGAACGATTTCAACGCCAGATGCAGTTACAGTATTCTCAGAATGTATTGGAAACAGTTACTGATAAAGTAAGGTATTTCTTCTAGTAACGTTATGGATACTTTACTTGGATACTTAGTGCTTTCATAAATGTATTGCCAGTCCGTCTTCCACGTTAAGTACAAACGAAAAAGAGTGTTTACAAAGGTAGTTCTCTTCATATGGCTTCTTATCTAAAAATGGAATAATCTCACTATGGATGGTGGAGTTAGGTGTATGGATCGCTTTGTAGAAGCTATGAATCTTGTGGGGAAAACGTTGGCAGAAAAGAGTAGTTAGTAACATAGGTAATAAAGTATCTCCACTTGTGTCATAAGATGGTTTCACCAAAAACCGATAATCACTTTCAGAAGAGGTAAACGCACCTTCTCAAATTCATTTTCTGGAATCCTTTCGCCGTTTCCTTACGAGGGGTGGATTTTCCGTTTTCGGTGGAGGAACGAGTCTTTTGTTCTTGGAAGATTTGTGTTGGGTTCCCCAACTTTTGGAGTACGGTTCCGACGAAGACAGTAATACACTAGTTGTTTTGGAAAATGGTCAACTTGTTATACACTGACGAGGGAAGAAACTTGTTGAAAGGATATCAGCTCATCCTATATGTGGCTATGTTGGGTAAGAAGGCATTGGTTCAGTTTCCCTCCTTACTGAATAATACACTTAGCATTTTCGGCCACTATTTTGGGTTTAATGGGTAATCCTATGTTCAACTTGTTTCTAATTGCAAACACATATAAACATCCTGATCCTGACCAGCCCTTTGTACCCATCGATAAAGTGACGAATGTCACTTTCTATGAATCACTCTCCTTCTGTGCTTGGGGAGTTACAGGAGACAGAACTCGTGGCATGCATTCCACTTGTAGATGGGTCATTGCTTTGGCTTCCGTTGGTCTATTCTTTCAGTTCATTACTCTCATCTTCCATCTTATCTCACAGTTGGCAAGGATACCCTTTGACTGGGCAGTTGAAGGAATTGTCAACTTTTTCATGATGTGGTGGTGGTAGGTAGAGATATTTGTCTTGTTCTCTATATAAACTCAACGGTATTAGGTTTGCTGGAGCTCTTAGTGTGATGATATCCAAACCCACTGCCTACTTTCAAAGACGTTATGATTTTGGTTGGGAAGTGAGTACCATTGCTGCATTTACTTGGAGGAACTTGGGCTTTCATTTTATTGAAATTTACTTGTCGATTCTAACGAAATACGTTGGAAAGCGCAAGTTGATTCAGACAGAAGATGAAGAAGAAGCAGATTACGAAGGCTCCGATGCGCATTCTGCCAAGTCTCCCAAGAGTGTGTAAGACTTTAAGTTTGCTTTCTTACTGTGGTTATATTTGCTTGTTGGATAATAAATGAGCTGATTTTGTGAATTTCTTATTATCCATAGACGTCTCACCCCATTTTGGGAAACATGTCAAAGTCGTTGTTTGTTTTATATTTCTTTTCTTATTGTATACTTTATAGTTTGGCACGTTCTACTTTGACGACTAGCTTAAATAGTGGATGGTCCATCACCCCTATCGAGTTGCAGTTTTCGGAATGGATCGCCGTAAGTCCTTGGTGATAGTTTGACTACTCAACTGAATATGGAGTAGCAACGAGGATCATCTTGTTTTTGGCAATGGGTTCAGGATCTCTTTCAACGAGAACAACACTTGGATTCGGATCGAGAGAGTTTTGAATGGTATTCCTCAACTCACGTTGTATATCATGTTTTGTTGTTGAATATGTTTACAGGTGTGAAGAATGGATTGCGCGTCGTTGGGATATTGCGAGTGGGGTAAGATTGAAGAATGATGCCTTTCTCTCTTATTGACTATTATTAGCAAGTAGCTGTCTGGTCTGTGTTGGCAGTAGAACAATTAGGTAGTGTTGTATTACAAGATCAGTGGGCAAGTCACGTTTGGTATTATCGACAACCCAAAGCAACGACAACTTGGGTACAAGAGAAACCCAGTGTATTTGCTGAATGGAATGATCAGCTTTACATCGACTTGGATACTTTGATAGCCGATCTTCGGAGTGTGAATCACAGCACAAAGCTAAAGGCCGATGCCCAACCAGATATAGACATAGGACATTGCTATGGTTCATCGTAAGTAGTACAGTTCTCTCTCTTTAAATGGTGTTGAAATAAGAATGTGACCAAGTCGAAAGGATATTCCTTTGGTTATCTTATACGGTCATTTGGGTAAGATGGAAATGAAACCTTGGCATGATTTTCTCTTTTCCATGGCAAACAAAGGCAAAGTTTGCTACATGATTCGTCATTCTTACTTGTCGTCAAGTCATCGTTCCATGTATTTACAAGGATATGGTGTGGAGGTGTTTATGAAGAATACCGAATATTGGGTACAAGACCCATTGGCTTATCCTTGTGCCAAAGTCGAGCAAGCAAATCACACTTTTGATATTTCTACTATTTCTGATCAACGTTGTTTGCTTCAAAATGATGACTGTCAATTGGGTGGAATCGATTGGCCAGCTTTGGTGGATCACTATTCATTATCTCAAGAGGATAAATTGACTTTACAAAATGCGTTGGATAACTGGGAACAATCTCGTGCATCATTCAAGGTGAATGGCGATTGCCTATTGCATCTTTCAAGTAATAATCTGAATAGGAATGGAAACCTTGGCAAGTTGGAGATATTGGTTTATCAGCAACCCACCTCATTGTTCATTCCCAAGATCCTTTATCTACATTTGAAAGAATTGCAAACAATATTCCACTCTATGCACCTCTGTTAGCTGGACCTTGGCATCTTTCGGATAGTCAAGTTCTCTCGTATCGACAAATTTTACAATCTTTGGAAGATTGGGAAGAACAGGTCACGTTGAATGGTCGTTCGTTATCACTTCCTTGGGGATTGCTTCCTCCTACTCTTACCAATTGTATGGATGCCATTACACTCGCAAGACATGTTGCATTGAAAGAAAGCATCACCAACCGTAAGTATTGGAAACCTTATCTAGTAGACTGCAGTCATATTGTTGTTTTTGATAGAAAGCATTCTATCTCACAATATGATAGATAATCATTTATGGAGTGCCTCTTTATCTACACCATCCATCCGCTTATCGTTGGTGCATCCAAACACTCCAGTTGTTTTTATTCAAAATGAAAATGACATACTATCACTTTTAAAGGATACCAAAATGAGTGCGAGTTCTTCCTCCGTCGTATTTTATGAATATGCTGCCTATCTTCGCTCTTTGGATAAACTATCTTCTTCTCAACTTGTGGATGTCATCTTTTTGTGGGATCCTCTGGATGGCAATCAGTTGGTGGTTATAGAATGGATGAAACAAGTTTTGGAACAAGGATGGCCTATTCGTATGGGTATAGGGTTGATACCCAGTAGTGCAGCTGATGAAAGGGATGATGATGATGATGATGATCATAGATATCCAGGTTCAGTGGATTGGAAATCGTATATGGAGGAGGACTCTACAAGTGAGCAGCAACATATTTGGTATCATTTGGCATCCCATTATTTTCCTAGCAAAAGGAAAATGAGTTTACATGACGAAGAAACGATGACAGAGATTGTGCTGATTGCATTGGAATATCTCACCAATCAAGTACCTTGTCCTATAGCAGGTTATTATTTTCTAGCAAAATTGAAGCAGAAAATGACCGTGCCCATGGATATCTTCACTCTCTTGTCTGATGGAGGAAGGATGGCTTCCTATGAAAAGTTGCAATGGAGTCATCTACAGGAAGCTTTTCTATTTGCTTATCATCGAAGATTTTCATGTTCTTTGCACAACAAAGAACAACAAGAAGATGATACATCGACAGCAGAAGAGATATGGAAAGGCTGGATGAACAAAGCTATGCATTCTTCAATTGTGAAACGTCATCGCCAATGGGCAAATGCAATGGGTTTTCAACGTCTTCCGATGGTCATCATCAACGGCATTCCACTGGGAGACATCGCTTCGCAACTGATTGTCACTTTAGAACAAGAAATGAAAGAAATTCTCAAACAAGCATCGTCATCTCGTATTCAAAAATGGATTCCAAGACAAAATACAAGACTACAAGCTACAACACCTTACAACCCAAGTATACTCAAGGAAATTTTACAACATAATGAATACGCTCAATTCAAATATTTCAAAACCAATGCTGCTGTGCAAAACTCCGTTGGACTTGCGACGATATGGATAGCTGTCGACTTGGAATCCTTACAAGGTCTGAAACTCATGGCATTGGCTCTAGAATGGTTAACTTGTCCATTATCTATACCTGGAAGAATCGCATTTTTGTCGTCTACACATACTCATCATTCATCTCATATATCTTGTTCTGACCAACAAGACCAAATACAACAAATGAAGCAACTTGTCATCACGCGAATGAAAAAAAGTTTTCAAGGCCAACAAATGTTGACAACGGATGATTCATTGGAGTTTCTTTCTTATGTACCAGGCATATCCGACCAATGGATACAAAAAGATCAAGTATTTATCAACGGTTTTGGATATTCTTCTCACTTGTTCACTTTTCCAACCGATTTTGACTTGGCTTGTTCTATGATGGATATTGGGTTGTCCATGGTGAGTGAGTTTTTTTGGATATTGTTGGTTACCTGAGAAAAAACTAATTCATGATATATTATTTTTCCGATGCTTTTAGGAAGATGCAGATGCTCAGTTATTGTGGTCTTTTACTTCAAGATGGTTGGATGAATCTTGTTCGCTTTCCTTTTCCAGACCTGGTAGCTCGCTGTTTTCTTCTTCTTCTTCTACAGCTCTTAGAATGAATGAATGGAAACAACTTTTGGGACAATCCTATGATTTACTTTCGTTTCATTCCATTTCTTCAACGACGAATGAAACCCAAAAGTATACCAGCGTCTTTCATGTGGAAGCTATTCTTGATCCTCTTAGTCCAAATGCTGCTAAAGCTGCTACGATGCTTTCCATTTTGAGAACCTATTTTGATGTCTCCATATCTGTGCTGTTATTACCTTCCTCATATACTTCCATAGAAACGATACGAAAAGCTTCTTTCTATCGAACTGTTTTAATTCCTAGGCCTCGGTTTGAAAAGAATACAGGTGCCTTAATAAGCAAACCTAGTGGTGTTTTCACAACACTATTCAAAAACCGTACACTTACAGTATCGATGGACACTCCACCCAAATGGTTAATTGGAGCATCTCATGCTGAAGAAGATTTAGACAATTTAGTGCTTCAAAATGATACTCAGGTATATGCAGAGTACCAACTAGAAGCTATTCTTGTTGAAGGTACATGTATTGATGTATCCAATCTGTCATTTGTTCCACCACAAGGATTACCCTTAAGTCTTGTTCCTCGGACCAGCGATTGGATGCAGACACAAGATACATTGGTTATGGCAAACTTGGGATATTTCCAGTTTCAAACCCATTTTGGTGTATGGAATTTGCAAGTTGGCCAACGACAAGGAATATCTTATCAATTGAAAGTCGAAGAAAGTAAAATTGCAGACACAACCGCTTCCATTGCCTCTTCTCTTATCTTTGGTTCTTCTATACCGAATATCATTTCTCAACCAATGTCATCAAATGTGTTTCTTTTAGTGAAACAGCTTCAAGGAAAGACATTGACTTTGTATGTTCGCCCCAGTTCATTCTCTTCTCCGGATAAAGTTCGCATGCAATTACCAGCTATTATACCTCCTACTTGGCTTTCGAAACTATTGGATAAAATTCAGTTGTTTTCTTGGTGGAGCTCTGAACAACAACACATATCGAGCAATGACAGAATGGTTCACGTCTTCTCAGTGGCATCGGGTTATCTCTATGAAAGATTGATTCGAATCATGATATTGAGTGTAGTCAAGCATTCGTCTGTTCCAGTTAAGTTTTGGCTTCTGAAGAATTATCTTTCACCCAGTTTTAAAAAAATATTGCCCCATTTTGCAGCCAAGTGCGGTTTTGATTATCAACTGGTCACTTATCGATGGCCTGCATGGTTGACTGCACAAACTGAAAAACAGAGAATCATGTGGGCGTACAAAATTCTGTTTCTTGATGTCTTATTTCCCTTGAATTTAAGCAAAGTGATTTTTGTAGACTCTGATCAAGTTGTACGAGGAGACTTGTACGAATTGTTTCAACTAGACCTTCACGGTGCGCCTTATGGTTATGTTCCTTTTTGTGATTCGAGAAAGGAAGTAGAAGGATATCGTTTTTGGAAACAAGGATTTTGGGCATCTCTTTTGAAAGACCAAAGGTATCGCATCTCGGCTCTCTACGTGGTCGATTTAAAACAGTTTCGAAAAATGGCAGCTGGTGATAATCTGCGTGCCATTTATCAACGACTGGCACAAGATCCCGCTAGTCTCAGTAACCTGGATCAAGATTTACCCAACTTTGCCTCTGTTCCACAACCAGGTCTGCCTCATGTTCCTATACATGATCTGCCCCCGGAATGGTTATGGTGTGAAACATGGTGCGATGATGAAAGTAAAAAGAGAGCAAAGACTATCGATCTATGTAACAATCCGATGACCAAGGAGCATAAGCTGTCTTCTGCTAGACGAATCATACCTGAATGGAATGCGTTGGATAAAGAAGCAACAGAAATAGTGTCACAGGCATTATGTCCGTCCTCATCTGTTGAAGAATCAAATCGAAATATTCCAAATGCAGTCCACGAAGAACTTTAATATTTACTTGAAGATATCGGTTGTCTTTTCTTGTCGATACGAAACTGTAGTCTATTTTGTTCGCTGGTTAATAAAGGCGATCGATAGAAGCGAAACAAATATTGTTGATAGGCTGGCATGAAACGACTGACAAAGTCTCGTACTTGCTCTGGTGTCATTGCTCCTCTATTTTGCATTCGAAGCATATCTTCAGCTTGTGCTCGCCAATCATAAATCCTAGACATTGCAACATTGGTTCAAGAGGCAGTTAACTTTTCATCCATGATACTCCTACCAATTCAAGTCTTCTATTTCAATTACCAACCAACCGTCCAACATATCATACCATTTCTGATAAGCACCTAATCTGTTGTTGATGCTGCCCAATCGACTATCGATGAGTTCCTCTTCTCTAACCGGCTGGAAACCTAAGCACCTAAGTCATGTGGATAAATATGGTTATGATCCATAGAAACTTCATATGACGGTAGTATGTCAAAGCTTACCATCCTTCCAATAGAATGAGATCTACGGGACACTCAACTGCATACCATTCGTCAATAGGAAAGCGGTCTCCAAGACCATTCCAAGCGGCCTTATCATATCTTGGAATGGCCACTCTTTCATTAGCTTTACAAGATTTGAGTTGTGATAAAACTTGTACTCCCAACTCCACGTCATGAGTTCCAGGGTTGCCACGAAACTCTAGCAATGGGTTCCTCTCTCTCTCAAACAACATTTGCTGCTCCTTTCTAGTGATATAAAAGTCGTCTATAGAAGCAACTGCACATTTACGTTGTAGCTGCTGGAATAAAAACTGCACTGCAAAGGTCAAAGTGGTTTTTCCACCTCCTTGTGGACACGATATACCAACGATGGGTGCACCCGATTTCTGTTGGTCACATACCTTTTTCAACCAAAAAAATATAGGCAAATAAAGTTGATGGATTCTGACGTTGGTTTCTGGCAAGGTGGGATCCAACTTCAACTTTTGGATAAGAAGATTCGCCAATCTACCCCATTCTTTTTGTGGAATATCCTGCCACAATAATCCTGTAGCTTGAAATACAGGACTCGATAAGATGCAATCTTTGGGTATTTCTGCAGTTGTTTGCTGGCCACAATAGCTACCGTTCATTCTCAAGACATCCAAAAATTTAGAGTTTGTAGGGCAACGAAACAAGTTGGAGCAAATAAACTTATTAAAAGTCGTCTTTAGGTAACCTTTACTACAGTGCAAACTTTTGCGTCGTGGATGAACCCGACATATTCCAACCACAAAACATAACATTTCTTTTCTTTTCTCTTGAGACCCAAAAAAATGCACTTGAGCGCCAAATGAATGGATCGATCTGCGGGAGAGAAAATGCCACTCCATTTTGCATTTCTTTCTCTATTCCATAAAAGTCTTCAGTCTTTTTAAAACCACTTGCCTCATCTGTTCTACAGGTGCTTTACTTCCAGTCCATAACTCAAATTGATAGACTGCTTGTCGAACAAACATTTCTAGACCTGATACCACATAACAACCAACCTCACGAGCTTCACGAAGAAACCTCGTTTCTACAGGATTATATACCACATCGAATACGAGAGGTTTTTTTGAAAGGCTCTGCAAGTCATCGAAAGAAAGAGGTGTATCGTGTACGTTAGGGTGCATTCCTATGCTAGTCGACTGTATGATCACATCTATGCTATCTTTGTGTTCAAGAAGGAACCTTCTCAAACCTTCCCATGGTATAGCTTCGATACCCAATTCTGCGGCCAGTTTCTTACATCGATCGTAATTACGATTGACAACATAAATATTATATGAACGTTCTAATAGCCCAAACGCAATTGCACGAGCAGCTCCCCCAGCTCCTAAAATGAGTACTAAAGGTTTTGCTCCAGCTTGGGTTGAAAAGGAATTGGTTCGGTGAGATAGCTCTGAACTTGACCGTTGTGCAATGAGTCCATCTTCAATGGCACTAACTGCAGCAAGACAGTCGGTATTATATCCTTTCCAGCCTCTTTCCAATTTTACCATAGTATTTATAGCTCCTATTTTCAAAGCCAAACCATCCAACTCGTCCACATACCTTTTCGCGGTCTCCTGTACAGAACAGAAAGATATCCATCGATATCAATCATATTCATAAACTTAATACATACCTTGTGTGGAATGGTTACACTTAAACCCATAAAACCCATTTCGTTCAACATCTTCCAACAGGAACCAAAATCTTCTACTGCAAGTGGACAATAAACACAATCCAGTGATAATGACGCAAAAGCTAAGTTATGAATGGCTGGACTCATACTATGTGCCACTGGATTACCAACAACTCCATAGAGTTTGGTGGATGAGCTGAGTGACTTCAGACGATACATTTGGATACAGTCATTGAGTTCTATCTGGCCTGGTGCTGATTCTTTTCCTTTTGATAATGACGCAAATGTAAGAAAAGCTCCATAACGGCCTGCCAAAATTCTGGAGATTTGTCCTGCTTCTCCCATGCCTAATGCAATGCAAGGAACTTTGGAAGCTGCGATAAAATGGAACAATATTTCACACTGCTCAATATTATCTATTTTACAAGCAACTTTAATGACATCTGCTTGGTTAGAAAGCATAGAAGAATAGGTATTCGCCAGTTCCTGGTGAGAAAAAGGTCGGTTCCATAGATGCCGAGACAATATCAGCTTCTACATGACTGAGAATGAGTCACAAATGATATGAACCTATTCTACTTACGGTATGACAATTCGAAGGCTTTTCAAATCGTGTTATTGCCTCCAACTCTACATCTACATATTCACAACCCAACTTGCACGCTTCGCTTAAAATGGATAAACGACGAGACTCTGAACCATTGTAGTTTCCACCTTCCCAATGAGGTCTACAAGTAGCGATCTTTGGAACAAAGCAATGTTTCACCAAATCTTCCCATTCCTCAGTACTGTCCAAAAGATCCAACCGGAGTTCCACCAAGTCTGCTCCTAAACGTTGTGCTTCCTTTATCTATTGAAAGACAACTTGCTGAGAAAGAAGAGATATAGAAGTCACCAAGAGTAACCTACCTGTTCAAACGCTTCTTTGACATATTGAGCAGTTATGGGTACACAAAGTAAGCAGCCACTCATTCACACAAACACGGAGATGCAAACCAACACCTTAAGTCATAATCTCTCCCATTCATCCAAAGAGGGAAATCTCTAAAGTATTTAATAGTACGTTGCTAAAATCGAAGTGCCAATATTTCATGCAAGTAGTACGTCATGTTCAACAAATTGAAACTAAGAGACTCTTCTTTGGACGGAGTTCGGTTCAAACTATCAACTGTAATAACAAAGGAAACCCGTGAAAAGTTGGACAATCCGGAGTGCTTTCTGAGTACCGAGCAATTGAACCTTTTAGACCCTTCTCGTGGTTTGTATCTACGTTATTCGGTTTCCAATATTAGTCACGTTTGTTTGGATAAAAAAAGAGAGAAGAAATTCTTTTCTCGTCTCGTCTCGGTGGTAAGGATACAACTGACTAACGGAGAACACGTTCTTCTCGGTTTTCGACACGATAGTGACCAATCTGTATTTATACAAAAACTTGAGCAATACATTAGACAGCATAAGCAAAAAAAAACAAATGAAACTAGTCAAACTTCTCCTAAAGGTGTAGGAGTAGCAGGTATTATGCAAACTCGGAAAGAACAAGTGCAACAAAGAGAGGAGCAGCTTCAGAACGCATTTAAGGATCTTGAGTCACTAATGTCACAAGTGAAGGGTTTGGTTGAGTTGGCACAAAAATATCAAGGTTCATTGTTGGAGTCCAAGGTAGGTGAAGATATGAAAGAAGTAGTTGAATTTCGTAACATGGCTGCTTCTCTGGGAGTTGAGAATCCTGTAACTAGAGCGCAACTTGGAGGCCATGGAAACGAGTTTCATAGGCAGCTTGCAATGGAAGTATACCGTACCATTGAAAAGCCACTGAGAAAGAATGGAGGAATGATGAACTTGATAGATGTATACTGTTGGCTTATTCGTGCCAGAACGACTACTGAACTGGTCTCTCCTGATGATTTGTTAGCAGCCTGTGAAATGTTTGGTAAATTGCACATACCAATACATTTGAGTAGATTGGAAAGTGGAGTTATTATCTTGGAAGCAGGGTTTATGAATGATGATGAAATTGCTAAGAAAATACTTGAAATAGTTCAGTCAAAGTAAGTAGGATACAATTACTTTTGAAGTGCAGCAAGTGATGGATAATTATAGAGCCAGTCTTAATGCAGTGGAATATGCTTCCCTTGTAAATATCCCACTACTTCGAGCTGTATCTCGTCTAGAGTTTTGTGAACAAATGGGATTTCTGTGTCGAGATGAATTCGAAGAGAATATTCGGTTCTTTCCCAATTTATACTTTTGATGCAAACATCGAATGCAGTTTGTTAGGAATTCACAAACACAACGATTATTAACCACGTACTTCATGACTAAACCTCGCAACAGGATAGAATTCAAAAGGTCCGGCAATAGCTCCCCATAGAAGTTTATCCGTCTTTGGACATCGACCGGTATCCCAACTAGTCAACTTTTCCTTGGATACGGTAACTGAATTATGTAAATATGTTTCTTTGCCCTTTCGACTGACGATGCATTGTTTTCCTGGAACTGTCTCTCCTGAAAACATTTGTTTGCTTTCGTCCCAAGAAAGAATAGTGTTGCAACAGTTTGGTAACTTCACAAGTCTGTCTCTGGTCAATGAACGCAGCTTTTCGATATTTCTAGATCCTACAAAAATAGTATTCATTTCAAACATCACCTCTATTCAGGTATGTACTTACCTTGATAAAACTCTTCCTCTCCTTCGATTTTGTAAAGTTCGAGCTCCAACTTACCGTCATTTCTAGCTAATATTCGATACACACCTGTTCGATAAGGCTGTTTTAAGAACGCTTGATAGCAACTTTCCGAATACAGACTGAAGCCTTCCAAAAGTTCGAAAGGTAGAGGTCTATAGGACACTCTCATATGCGACCAAAAAGGAGGATTCTCAATAGCTTGATTTTCATTACTCCAGTCTGCTGCTAAGAACCGAGCTAATCGAGCTTCCTCTACACTCTTACTGACAACTTGCATACAGCAAGAAACAGGACAGTGATAGGAAACTCTCTTCCTACTCTTCACACTATATGTACAAGTCTTCAAACCCCTTTTGAAAAATATCGGAATAGAGAAGCATAGAAACCAAGATTGGTGGTGTCGTTTTCTTGCGAAGTCCATGTCACTCCAGTGCGCTCTGCTCAGGAGGATGATTTCAATCTGATCTGTTGTATAATCCATTGAAAGTGAATCAAGGATGATGGAACGACACTAATGATGGGCAAAAAAATGCTAGGCATCATGAAATGGCGCCATTTACGTATTTTTCCATAAAAAGTTGTTTCAACACTACATTTGTTATTTTAGGGTTGGCAAAAAAATGTTTGTGCTAGGCAATATAGAAGAAAGCTTGAAGTGAATGAAAGGTAAAAATGAATCGGCCGCTGTATGAAAAAAATCTTCGAGAGCTGAACCATTCGTTGCACTCAAACCTTATATGTTGGAAATAAGGCTGAAAAAGCAAACATAGGTAGTTGTGTTACTGCCTTTTGCTGTGCACTGGTGCAGCATATTGCTTTGACGGCAACATACCTCAAAATAGAATAAATAATAGTATGACTATCTATAGGGAAGGAAGGAGCAAAAGAGATTGCTGAATGACTGGGCCCTTTTCTAATTTGCTATGGCAACTTTCCAATGAGAATCTTTATGGGCTTGAACCAACTGTGCCAACAGCTGAAGACTGACTCTATTACGGTAGCGAAACAATCAGTATCTCACGGAATGACAATATTTATTTTTTGGAAGTTTCTCGCGTTGCTCTCTTTCTCTATCTAAATAGATATCAATATATACAATCTGTTTATTTTCTTCTACTCCTCGTAGTTTGACGATCATCCTCCAACGAAAAATGTCGCATCAGAAAGGGATAATCTTTGAGTATCAACTTGGCAACCTCTATTTCGTCCTTCCTTATGAGACTTTCTAAGAGATGCATGACTACATTAGAATTCAACTCTAGCTGCTGTCTCTTGCAATTATGATAAGCTATTACTGCTTTGTCCAACAAATGATGAGAAACATAATTTTCTATCAACAAGGAGAATGTAACACTATCTGGTTCCAAACGTTTCTCGTGAAACATGTGGAAACCTCGTTCCATCAAGTCTATTTTCCCTCGTCTACCACAACAACCAACGATGGTATTCAGTGTAACTTTTGAAGGAGAAATCCCGCGGCTCTCCATTTCACTCAAAAGTTCAAACATTTTCTCTGTCAAAAGGAAGAGTAAGAAGAAACAAAATGATATAAAAATCATCCACTCATACCTGAAGAATCCAACTTGCCGACAGCATCTATAAAAGTGTTGAAGGTGACATTATCTGGATGGACACCCAACTGCTTGAACTTTTCCAAAACCTCAAAGGCAGTACTTAAATCCTGTCTCCGGTTGCAAGCCGATATCAACGTATTCATCGTGTAGGCATCAGGGTTCAAACCTTCCTGGAGCATAAGGTCAACAATCTTGAATGAAGCAGCAAGATCATGACTGCGGCTCGCCCCATATATCAAGGCATTGAATGTCACCGTACACGGACGAATGCCCTTTGTACGCATTTCTTCAAAAACTTCATAAGCTTTGGTAAAATCTCCAGACTTTCCACAGGCATCGATAAGAGCATTATAGCTATGCCGGTCTGGTGTCAGTCCATAAATTTCAGTCATGTCACCCATGGCTTCAAGAGCTCTAATAGAGTTCTTGGCTTTACCAGAAGCTGAAATCAAAGCATTGAAAGTGATGCGATCTGGTTGAATTTGAAGCTTCCTCATACGATCATAAATTTCAAATGCTTTGTCCACTTGACGCAATTTACCAAAACCTATATAAAGTTAAGAACAACAACAGCAAACAATCAACGCGACAAACCATCTATAAGAGCATTAAATGCAAACACATCTGGAACAATGCGCTCGTGAGTCATCTCTTCAAAAATTGCGAGTGCGCGTTCTACATATCCAGCCCGACAAAATGCCGATATCAATGACGAATAACAGTAATTGTTAGGCTTCACGTTTGCCTCTTTCATCTCTTGAAACAACTTCAAAGCCCTTTCTGGTTCCATTCTTTTCGAAAACGCATCAATCAGAGTTGCATACGTAACTACATCAGGGATGCATCCTTTGGTTGCCATTTCTCGCAAAAGGCTCATTGCTCTAGTAATTCCTCCACAGTCGTTTCGTTTACAACGGCTTACAATTTTGATAACAGCATTGTAGGTAACAGTGTTGGGTGCGATGTTATCTATCCGACTCATTCGACGAAACTGACTAAGTGCTCTCACACACAAACCACCTTTTCCAAGTGTTTCAATCAATGCAGAATATGTATATATATTGGGTTGAATATGCTCCTCACGCATCCATATCAATGATCGTTCTGCCTCTGAATATCTTTCCAAACGACCAAGTGCGGTAATGTAAATAGACCACGACGCTACATCTCGTTTAACTTCATTACTAGGCATAGAAAGAAACATATCCAAACACTCTCTCGCCTTTCCACCCTTTAATAAAGCATCCATTGTGTAATTCCAATTTCGTGTTTGTCTATCGTCGTAAGAAACACAAGACAGGCCAGTGCGGTTTGTCAACTGCTGTGTAAGCTGTTGAGCATTCTTCTTTTCGGTTACCAGTGCTTTCGCAGATGTCAATGATGTACTAGAAATATCATCTTTTGCAGCTTTTCAAACTCTGGAAAGAATAAGAAAAGGTTTACATACCTATTGTTTCAGATAAATTCATCAAACGCTGGTTCACATTATCCAGTTTATTTTCAGGACCATTTCTATCATTCCACAGTTTGTCTTCCTTATCTTTCTCCAAATATCCGCTGGTCTCGTGGTCCACATCAAGAATAGCCAAGGTCATAGGTCTCTGTCTGAGAGACAACGAAACCGTGTTCTCTAAAGATGACTGATCAAAACAGACAGTGTTATTCCAAACGCCTTCTTCTTTCGGTAACCAACGAGGGAGAACCAAACCGTTTTCCTCCGCACGACTTCGAAGCAAGGTCTCCACACTGAGAGATGGATCGCCTGTCTCCAATAATTTCCCTTCAACATCCGCACATAAAAAGCCACCGAAACTCTTATTCACTGCAGAAAAAGGAAGCGTTCGAAACTTTAGTCCGCTGGAAGAACCAACAGCACTACTGTTTCTAGAGACGACACTTTGGTTCGCCACCGTTCGTGGAGGTTTTCTGTAAGAAGAACTCGGAAGCAGACAAGAAGTCGCTGGGCGAACCATCGGCTCTCTAAAGATACCGCCTATTGCAGAAAATGAACGAGAATTCACTTCGAGACCAAAGCCTTCGCCAACTTCTGACATCCCTTGTGAACCAGAGAAGTCTATACGCGGTGTGGAAAAACGAGTAGGGCCAGTTGTAGTGCTTCTTGGTGGAACTGTAGGTAAAAAGGCCATTGTTTACACTGAAAGTTCCAATAACATCAACTGTACAAAGGAATCTGCCAATGAATTGCGGCGGGGAGGCGCTCTTGGCTAAATATTCAATCACTGCCAATCACGAAGGATCTCCTGGTTGGTAAGAGCCAAGTCAGCCTCTTGATTGTCGGGGGATGGGAAGAATAGGATCGAATCAGCTCGTACTACTTCAATGAGAGATTGAAGCAAATAAGACACTATTTCACGTGGAAGATATTTTTGGGAAATGTGGAAAAAACCAAAGGGTTTCTTCATGAAACAAAATGAATAATCTTCTCAAAAAAACACTTGTGAAGAGGTAATCGTTGTTCAAAACTTCTTGTGTATTCTAATACTTCACTAATTCAATTAAAACGGATACAAGACTAAACTTATATTTCACATGTAAAGATTCTGAACCATTACACAAGGAAACCTTCACTGTTATAATTAACTAGAAAACTGCAAGAAAATCTCAAAAATGCATCTGTTTTCTTCTTGCCGTGATGACGCACTTGGTTTACTTTTTAGCTTTAAGGGCATGTTAGCTACACCAAAGAAAAAGCTTCTGAGATTAAATTGAAGGTATATGGTAGCCATCAAAGGTCTGAGAATAGGACTTGAAAAAATTCAACAAGCATATGGTCCTTTTCAATTTTTGGAAACTAGGATAGATACTAGGAATAAATTGTGTTTTGACGAAAATTTTTCATCTATCTGTTGTGTACAAAATTAAAAAGATTTAATTTAATTGTTCGATCGAAGAAAGTGTTTATTTTAATTCCATCAATTTTATTTTACATCGTCCATTTTTTAAGAAACCCAATCTTCGAAAAAACAGACAAATGAAAGGTATATTTAATTTATTTTTTTGGTCTTTTTCTGGTTTAATTTATAGAGCTTTAATGATGGCAACTATTTATCATCAACTTTTAGAAAAATTGTTAACACTGGCACCATTCTCGCATCTTGAGAGGATCTGATTAATATGTTTTAAAAAAGACAAAGGAATTAAATGAATTAATTTCTCTATCATTGAAAGTTACCCATCTTTCTAAAAATACTTCTTTCGAAGATCTGTGAAACGAAATGAATGCTGTTTGTTACGTCCCACTCTAGTCGGCTCTAGTCATAGTCTTTGTTTGTTTCTTTGGGCTTGGGGTTGTTTATAGAGAAAAAAAAGTTAAAGCTTCGGTGATAATCGTGACGTTTAACCTCTGAGACATGTTACTGAAAGTATTTCAATGAACGATTTAGACCCCAAGAAAGTTTTTTCTTTGTTCGAAAAACGATTTCTTCTGGAAGAATTGTTTATATCCAATAATATACATCCTTTAGCTTACAGGTGTGGGCAAAAGTTGTCTTCATTGTGGTTCAATTATGTGTGGATTTTTGGAGGGATTTTGGATTTAAACCTATTTCTAAGAGGAAGGGATGAGCAAAGTGAATGATGGAGTAGTGGAACAAGTTCGAATCCCACCTTCACTAGCTCCTAGTAAGGACAGTTTAAGTTTATGGAACTTTTCACTTTCACCTGGTTGGACGAAGGAAGAAGTTCGCGTTTTAAGTCTCTGTTTGATGTCGTTTGGTGTTGGTCGTTGGCAGAAGATCGTAGATAGTGGATACCTACCGAACAAGACGATATCGCAGTTGAATTTACAGACTCAGCGGTTGATTGGACAACAGTCTGTGGCAGAGTTTACGGGTCTTTGTATCGATCCAGCTGAAGTGAGGGAACACAATGAGCAGAGGATTGCGCAAGGAGCGAAAACGAAAGGAGGTATCATCGTAAATACAGGTCCCAATCCTACCAAAGAGATTATAATGAGTCGATTGAAAGAAAATTCAAAAAAGTTTGGTTTGAAAGAGGAGCAGATTGCGGTAGCAAAAGCTCAATTGCTGGGAATCGTTGAAGGTCAAAAGATGCAACGGAATTTGGATAAGTTCTCGACCAAGACAAGACAACAAGCTGTATCCGCTATTTTAGAGCAAACAAAAGATGGAGATAAGAAGCAGTTGTGCGTGGACAAAGATGGTCTTCAACTTTATAGTTTGGAAGAAAAAAGTGACAAGGATACACACGAATTGAGAAAGTATTGGGTCAAACTGATGAATACGTTGCACATTATCAATGAGACCATTCACAAACTGCAATCAGAAGCCTCATCAACGGAAGAAAAGAATGCCATGCAAGATATCACCAACGTGGATACAGCAAAGCAATCCGAGTCAGTTCATACAAACTACCATCAGTCAAGTTGTGCGACGAAAGAAGAACGAGTTGATTCATCTTTTTCAGAAAAACAGGGAACAAAAAGACGAAGATGAATGAAATGTGTCCACGTGATGAAAGTTTTCAAACTTCAACTGCAAGGTTCCCATAAAATGGAAAGAGTTTATCAGCCATTTGAAATAACAATAAAGCAGTTCAAGTGCACACACTTGTGTAAAGTATTTTAGGTTAGAGTCGCTCGTTTTTCCCCCTTTCGTGAGAAGTCTTTTCACTATTATCTTCCTCCTCCAACCGAACCAAGTTGTCGGGATCTCTCAAACAATATACGGGTACTTCATAGTAATTACCCAATTCATCGTAGCACGACTCTAAAGTTGCTTCTCTGTTTGCAGGTGTCAAACCAGCTGCCTTTACAATTTCGTTTCGCAAGGTATCCTATTCTTATCGTTGAGAAACACAAGCCAATCAGTTCTTTTCTACTTACTTCAGTTGTTTCTGCTGCAGCTTTTAAAGCTTGCCACATTTCTTGGCGACCTTCTGTTCTAGTATCCCAAAATTCTTCTCTCATTCTTTTCAACTCCGTTTCTGTCAATGGTCCAAAGGGAGGTTCTGCTTTCCAAGGTTTGGGAAGTTGTACAATTCCGTTCCAAGTAGAGCCAGTACTACCCTTTTTAGACTTGCCTTTGAACCATCCACCAACTATACCACGTGTTGTATGTTGGCCATCTGTTTCTTGAGTTGAACGACCCACAACAACACAGTTTCCCATGACACACAATTTTCAACTAACTGGATGGCATAGTCATCACATAACGCCATGCTGAATAAATACTCAATACAGTAGCCATCACACAAGTGATTTGACTAGTCAATAATAAACCAAATATAGGATATGTTCTATTCAACAAATATAAACTAATACTAATCATTTGTAAAGTAGTTTTGAGTTTTCCCCAAATACCAACAGAAACCTTTTTATCCTTATGATTCCTCTCTTCTTCTTCAACTTGCAAGTACATCAACTTACCGATTCTCTTTTACCTAAAGCAGTCATCCATTCTCTCCAAGCTGATATCAATATTTCACGTGATACAATAATACTGGTACAAATGGGTAATAAAATACCTCCTCTATGGGAAGATAAGAGTATCAAGGCAATGGTTACCAACAGTTTATCAGCAACGGGATCCAAAAAGGATCCAAAGGAACTCGTACAATTCCATTTTCTTGCCAAATAGCCATCCAAGTAATCAGAAAAGGAAGCCAACGCGAAGATACTTAGACATACTATACCAGAGTTGGCTATAGGAAGATAGAATATAAAGACAAATAGTGGAATAAGTGCAATACGAATCCAAGTAAGAATCAGTGGAATACGCAATATCCAACGAGTAGGAGGTGGTTTCCAAGGTAATGGATGGTCCTTTGAATCTGGAACTTTCAAACCACTATTATTATGGTCGTCCATTCTGAAAATAGAATGACAAAGTATTTGATACTTTTCAATCTTATGAAAACTTGGAAACAAATAGTTGACACTTTTATGCCTCTTTTGGAGAAGATGAAGATGAGCTATTTGTTGTACAAAAGGACACAAGACACTGAATCGTCCGTTCCACATCGATGAAGAAATTGTGAATGACAGTTCTACACTACTCCGTTGCTCAGTATCCGTTGATATCATTCTGGTCAAGTTGTCAACAAAAGTGTTATCCATCTTCTGATTGGAATCAACCAGCTGTATTTACTTTTGTCTCGAAAACAGATCAAAGAGGTGAATCCAAGTTGAATAACTTTACACCCACCCATATTCAATCGTGAGTGGTTATTTTTAGTGACGGAGAATCAATTTCTTCCAGTGTCTCATAACAAGAAAAGTTCTGTAGAGAAGGAACCTTCACCTTCTTTATCTTTTCGAGGTAAGTAATGATCCAGTCATAAAACAAAAAGAGGAAGGAACTGGCATGTGGAATAGTGGGTCTCATTTCTGGTGCTTTTGCTGGAGCTATCGTCGATTTTGTTCTATTTCCTTTGGATACTTTGAAAACTCGTTTACAAGTTCGTCAAGGAGTTGCCTGGTCAACTTTGTTATTTCGTGGTATTTATCGTGGACTTGGACCTGCAGTGGCTGCTTCTGCACCTGCTGGAGCTGCTTTTTTTGGTACTTATGACTTTACGAAACATATAACTAGCCAATGGTTATCAGAACCTTATCAAGTATTGGGTCATATGTTGTCAGCTATTGCAGGAGATGTGGCAGGAAGTACTGTTCGAGTACCTTTTGAAGTAGTCAAACAAAATCTCCAAGCTGGTATATTTTCCTCTTCTCGTCAAGCTGTTTCTCATATTATCCAACGAGAAGGAATAGTTGGTTTATATCGTGGTTGGCTTTCATTGATATTGAGAGAAATTCCATTCGATATTATAGAATTCCCACTTTATGAATATTTAAAGAAACAATGGAGAAGAAGAAGGAATGGAGCAGCTTTAGAAACTTGGCAAAGTGCTACTTGCGGTAGTATTGCTGGTGCAGTTGCTGCAGCGTTCACAACTCCTTTGGATGTAGCCAAAACGAGACTCATGTTACAAAATAGTCCTTATCGAGGAATTGCTTCCACAATATTACGTATTGCTAAAGAAGAAGGAATTCCTTGTTTATTTTCTGGTATCGTACCTCGAGTATTATGGATTGGTTTAGGTGGTGCTATTTTCTTTGGTAGTTTTGAGACTTGTAAACAATGGCTTCTCATTTCATCGAATGATGTGGATATTCCATCATCGTTGACTTGATGAATGTGCAGACAAGGATCACTCCTTTGACCAAATATAAACTAGTGTTTCTAGGTGACCAAGCAGTAGGAAAAACGAGTATTATTACCCGTTTTATGTATGACAAGTTTGATAACAACTATCAAGCTACTATTGGAATCGATTTCTTGTCGAAGACCATGTACTTGGAAGATCGAACGGTAATAAAAGTTGGGTTTGGATAGACAATGTCTTTGAAACATTCTATATCAAGGTTCGTCTACAGTTGTGGGATACCGCAGGACAAGAAAGATTTCGTTCCCTTATTCCTTCCTATATAAGGGATTCTTCAGTGGCTGTCATCGTTTACGACGTCACCAACAGAGCCAGCTTCCTAAGTGTGAATAGATGGTTGGAAGAAGTAAAGAATGAGAGAGGAGAAGATGTTGTTTTGGTGTTGGTAGGAAATAAGACTGATCAAGCAGAACGTAGACAAGTAGGTGGTGTTGGTTCAAAGTAAAGAAACTCAATGATATGGTTTTGTTTCATAGGTCAGTACGGAAGAAGGTGAAGCAAAAGCAAAGGAATATGGAATTATGTTTATGGAAACAAGTGCCAAAGCGGGTTTCAATGTAAAGGCTTTATTTCGAAAGATTGCCTCTGCATTGCCTGGTAAGAGAAAGTTGACAAGATATTCTTTGTGTTGTTCTATATGATGGAAATAGGAATGGAAAGTGTACAGGAACCTAGTCATATGCAAATGGTGGATATCAAACTCAATACAACAAATACAGAAACAACGGAATCGAACCACGTCCAACGTTGTCGTTGTTAGTAGTCCTTTTCAAAAATGCTATACAAGTGAAAGTTTCCAAAGTCTTCCATATGGATGATGTGTAGTGGAATGGGTGATATCTTCAGTTGCCAAGCATCTAATAACCAACCTAAGGAATAGAGAAAATATCCAATTATGATAAAACACAATGCCCTTTTCACAACTTACCCACAGAACGTTTACAACTTCGTTCTTGATAAACTGTATATAATCCAAGTCCCTAGTTGAACATTTCTTTTCATCTTTCATTCATTCGATCATAAAGATAGATATACCGAATGATATCGAACAAGTGAAGCAATAGTCATAACAAGGGATTCCAAGTGCTTCTAAAAATAGGATCTTATCCGTTTTTCTCAACAACTCTTACAAAGACATACGGGTTCATAGAACAAGTCTGAACCAATCACAATATCTAGTTTATCGATGGGATGGTCCATTTCAAAAGGATAGCAATCACCCCAATTGATTGGATACCACTGACCTATCGATTGTAATCCTATTCTTTTCAAGTTTTGTAACTTCAAAAGAGCCTCCATTCCAAATACCATTTCTCTCTATATTTCTTTCCAACAAAAGTTGTGCCATCTTATTTTCTCGCTTATCTGCAAAGTATACTTTATGGGCACCCAAAACAGCACTCTGAATAACTGTAAACTTCATAGCTCAATAAGGAAACTTTCACAACAACTTACAACCAAACCTGGAAGACCAATACCAGCACCCAACTCTAATACACACTTGTTTTGTATCAACTCTGGATGCATTTCAATATATTTGGACAAGATAAAACTACTTGGCCAACAAAACACTAATTGTATAGCCAACATAAAACAAGCAAATAAGAACAAACAAGTCTCAACAACCTGGTGGTTTATCGTCTTCAGAAGAACAACCCAAATATTCTTCATAAGATATACGAGAACCATCAGATAATATGTATTCCTTGCTCATCAAGTTTATCGACAAAGAAACATTCAAAAATGAATTACCAAAAAAACCTAAACCAATCAATCATATCCCCTCAGTTTCATCCCTCAATCCCTTTTTAACAACGATCGAGAAGCAGCTGCTGCAACTGCTTCGTTATTATCTTTAGATAAGAAATACAAGGCTTGTTGAATAGTTTCCGAAATTGACATATTGCCTAAACATTCTGCAACACGCTGACGAATAGCAGGTTCACTATTTCATATCCATACATAAAATGAACAAAAATCATTCTTAAAACAACACACACCTTGAACCAATCAGAGAAATTACTGGCTTCTCTGCACAGTCACAGCCAATTTCTCCCAAAGCAGATATGAAAGCTTGCTGCATCATATGTATCTATATTTCATATTCTTCAGTAAACCAATCCATTCTATTCTAAGAACTGACAACAATACCTCTGAATTAACTGGATCCTCTTGAAAACAGCCTTCTCTTTCCATGGCTTCCAATAAAAGAGAACAAGAACTCTTCTGCTTCAAATTGCCAATAGAAACAGCACAACTGAAACGAACAAGCCAACTCTCATCTTCCTTCAATGCCTTGGCCAAAGCATTCAAGGCTGAACAATGTTCAAGAAAACCAAGTCCACCAGCTGCAGCAGCACGAACTGCATAATCTTCTGAAGAGTCTCCGAGTACCTAAAATGAAATTTCCATAAACTCAATTTCAGGCAATGAGACTTTGACTAACCTTGCACAATGCATTCACTGCTGCTGTCACAACATACTCATTTCTACCAATTCTCTCTTGTTGTGAAATAAAACCCAATACATTGCAAGCCAAAGATTGAACTTCAATATATCTATCTTTCAGTAATGGACTGATCAATTCATAAACAACATAAGCTGGTACAGTCAGATCCTTTTCTAGTTCTATCATTGCAATCATCTTTTTGCCACGGTCATTGCCGTTTAAGATTTCCATAATATCTCGGTAATGCATCTTGGTTCGAATAGGTTCAGGTTGCTTGTCAACTAGCTTGATTTCATAAAAGTTGGCTTCTAAAATGCTTGCCAATGACTGTTTGGCAGTTGCAGCTACAATGGGAGATACATCTTCATCACGCAGTTTGTGCAATGTCTCTCGAGCTTGCATATCATTTGGCCATTTTTTTAACGCCGATGCAACATTTTGTCGGACTACTTCACTAGGAAAAGTTGCATATGGAAGGACTACATCTAAGCTTTCTGTTGAAACCCTGTCAGACAATGCTATCGATGTCACAGCAGAACGAATCTAATATAAGAAACTTGAGCAATATTCATCAAAGAATAAATCAGCCATACCAATAATTCGCTAAGTTGATTCTCTTGTAATAATTTGACACAACATTCCGCGGCTTTTTCCTTTTGTAGACTTTGCAATGACATGATGGCACTATAACGTACAATTTCATGTTCCATTTGATCTTCCAGAATTATGCGCAACATATGAACAGCTTTCTCACTGTAGTTGTTCAAAGCTGCAGGGTTCCATTGTTTCCAATTGTCAAAAATGAAGGCAATTCCATTACAAGCTGATGCTCTAACAGAATGGTCAGGATCATGCTGGGAGGCATGAAACAACTTTTCAATACAATTCAAGTTGCCAATCTTTCCCAAAACAAAGTATGCTGTGTTCCTAGTTTGAACGTCATTGGAGTTTAGAACCTCAGACTTGAACAGCAGCTCTAGCGCCTGTTCTTTAGGCTCAAAAGAACACAATTTTACGAGTGCCAACAGCCTCGTGCTTTGGTCTTTTTCTTTCAATTTTTCAGCCAATAACACTAAATAGGACGGATTTTCAGAAATAACAGCAACTAGTACAAATGATAACCTACGCTTTGGGGACGCTGAATTAGAACTCTTCTTTGACGAGTTGTCTTGCATGGTCAACTTTTTCACCACTCCTATATAAGAAAAATGGGTCACATTAGTTAAGCCTACTGTAGAAGCAACTAACCATAAGTCTTCTTCCACACAGCTACTTTGTTCACTTTTCTAGAAACCAAAACTTGACCTATTGTATTCTGCATTTTAGCAACTTTGCAACTTACAAGTCCAAAAACTCACTTTTCGTTACAACTAGTGGGTTCACTGATACGCAAAATGTTTGGAAACCAACCGACTCCATTTTGACACACAAATTCATTTCATGGCGGTAGACATCGTTTGACTCTGAGCTCAGAAAATCCTTCTATCGATGACTCGGCTCTACTCTTCTTGAACCATTTGCAACACAACGCAAAGTTATCATGACATGGAAGGTTTCTTATTCGTTTCTTACTCGGTGATTCATAGTCGTCGTAAAGTAGGTCATGGGAGCTTGATGAGGCACTTGAGTGAACCTTCACAACACCTTCCAACGAGGTTACTACGTTTGAAACAACACAACTGTACAACCAAACACATGAGAATGAACAAGTCCCGTTCCTGGCAAGACGTTCCTCCCTTTCGAGATGCCCCTGAACGAGTTCTTCAGCGATCTTTCGATTCGTTCTTACAAGAGTTGGCTTCCATTCAAGAGCCAACTCCAAAGTGTTTGGGAATCATTGGCACTAGAAATTGTTCACTTGGTCACCAACAACTGATCGAGTTGATATCTTATGCTAGTATTTTGGTTGGAAACCACTTATATACGTCAGGAGGGGGTGGAACGAATGCTGCTGCCATACGAGGAGCACTTAGAGCCAACAAACCGGAGCAACTGACGGTTATTTTACCTCAAAGTCAAGTTAAGCAGCCAGAAGAGATACTTGCGCTATTGAAAACGGTTCGAAATGTACACGAGATGCCTCATAATGATGACTTGCCGTTGGATGTGGCTTCTCGTCTCTGCAATTCTGTGATTATAAGTAAGTGTCAACAAATCATTTCCTTTGCGTTTCATGACAGCCATGTTGTGTAAGTATTTCCTTTTGAAGATGTGACAAGTTTAAGCTTTCGTCTCTATAGGTTGGAAGCTGTGAATGAAACCAAAGCATTGAAAAAATTGGTTACGTTATTCTACTTGGACTAAAAAATAACAATGACTTGGACAAGTTAGGTTGTTTTCAATCTAATTTCAATACAGCTCCATTATAAGTCTTACGCATTGCACACTGTATTATTTCCTCTATTTCTACAACCATATCTGGTATCCAATTATCTTGATGTTCTCTTGCAATATTTACAAGTAAACGCATAAATCCTAATTCCATCTTCTTCAAAATGACATTCAATCTATAAAATATGTTGTTTTATACCTTGAACTTGATACAGACGTCCATTCTCTACTTCATGAAGGACAGAAGCAAAAAGTGCTTCTTGATGTTTTCTTCGCAAATCAGGTTGAAACGACTGTATCTGCGTTATCCATATTCGAAGATGCTTTGATAACTCTACAAAAGGGTCATTCATTAAATTATGTAGACTCTGATACCAAGTCTCTTGTTCCTGACGAACAGAATTCACCATATTCGAATATTCTAAAGGAATATGAATTTTTGGTTTCTTCGCATGTTCCACATCTTGTAAAATTTCCAAACATTCGCGAATGGATCGAGTCTGAAATTCTTCTGCAACAACAAGTTGAGACAAGCCTTGATCCTTGGCCTGATAAATATCATCCAACTGAGTCAAAGTAGGCTGCAAAAAAGATGGATTTGTTTTGTTACATTTGCTGCGTGCTCTTTTCGAAACACCAAAGGAAGACATTGCTGAAGAATTTCCCCAAAAAACACGTTGATTACATGATTGAGCATCCTTTAGCAATTCCTGTTGAATTTCATTCGGAAGTTCCACAAATACTTCACGACTCCAACCATTCTTGGTGATTAATTCATCCAATGAATGATTGCTTCGTTTGTTATTTGGAGATACTCGTATGTCATTTGACTTTTCATGATACATGGTTTTTCCCATAATATTCTGTTTGGAAGGCATTCGACTCATTTTTAAACAACCATCTATACGCAACTGTTGTGGATTCCTATCAAGCTGGAAATATTTTGATAATGTTATGCCACTATTGTGTCGCTTGTGATGATGACTGCTAAACTCGAGTCCAAAACAGTGGATACCAACTCCACGTAACTCATCCAAAGGAATATTCAATGACTCGTGTAACGTTAAACAACGAGGACCGATTTCCAAAGCCGAGTCACTGATGGGAAACGAAGTAGACTTTGAAAACTCATCTACTAAGCCACAACCCAAATATTTTCTTGGAGGTGGAGCATTTCTTTGTTTTCTCAGAACCTAAACTTATTCAATAAATTCATACGGCAAAAATGTGAATCAATACCTTGTACGTTAATTTCGTAGCCTTGGCATCCGCAGCTTTCAATCTTTCACAAACAACATCAACTGGCATGGTATTCACTGAGATTCCATCATAAAAACAACAAAGCATTATTACAAACCGATATCCAATATGAATTTTTTGCATTTCTCGACTCCTTTGTAAATTATTCTCAAAACGAACTCCCCAGTTAACTTCTGCTCCTATGGATTTTGGAGGACTATAAAATTATGATAGAAACTTCAATACACCAGGGCCTTGCAATATAAGAAGAATAGCAACATTACCGGTAAAGTTCTAAAGGTCTTTCGTCCTTTCCTCTACATGTTTCAAAAATTGATAGAGCAGTTTGTTTTCCAAACTCCTTTTCCAATCTTTCCAAAGAAAGCTCACGCAGCTGTTGACAAATAAATATATTCATCGAGTGCAAACGACGACGGGTCATCCAGCCTACACCAGGAAGTTCTTCTACTGGTAACAAAGATAACTTTTCCATGGCTTGGTGAGACCATATTGCAAATTGTCCATTAGGTTTTGCTTTTTTGGTCGCTAATCTAGCCAATGTCTTATTTGAACTGATATAAACAAATCAATAACTCAAATGAACATGTTCTCCATTTTAGCTCACCCAATTCCTATGGAAGCAGTGCATCCGGAAATTCTCTCAATTTCTAGACGCAATTCCATCGCCAAATCCTCGATATTGCGGATTTCCTTATCTTTTCATAGTTCGACAATAATGAAGAGTGCTTTCGCAACAGAATGAAACAACGTATCATACCTTTCATCCTGACGGGAAGCACAATACCTGTCATTTCTAAATAAGCTTCATCTACAGAAACAGCTTCTACTCTTTCGGCGTATTCCAAAAACTTTCGGTAAATAAGTTCAGATGTTTTCTCATATGCTTCGAAATCATAAGGAACCTATGAACAACGCTTCATAAGAGTCAATGAAAACGCTTCCTCTGATTCTATACCGTTATTAGTGAAGGTGCCAGTTTTCGAGCTTCTCCAACAAACATGCCTGCATGAATTCCCTACCAAACGAATATCACTATTTGCTTTTTCCAAATGTAACTTTGGCTTACAAATGCTCTTGCTTCGTAGTTCGCACTCGATATTTCACACGACGAGTCCACAATTTCTGAATTTTGACGAGCATGACATACAGCGATGGGTTGATTTCTTAGACTAGGCGTTTTTGCTAGTGAAACAGCAGCAAAGAAGCAATCCATATCCACATGAAAGATAACTCGTTCGCTAGTTTTCGATCTATCATAAGGCAGTTTGCATAATGTGCCTTCTTCGGCAACCATTCTGGCTAATATTTTTTCGTATCTGGCACGAAAAGAACCAATAAAATGCAGTCTTGACTGTGCAAAAAAGTCTCGTACAAAGTTGGGGTTCTCATTGGTCGAATGAGATGCAGTTCGTCTGTAGTATAAAGTCCTATCCGGTTTCGTACCGTGAACTATGTCAGTTTCCACTAAACTATTGTTCAACTGCTCGTTTGTCGTTTGCAGCTGCTTTTGATGGTCATCCAATATTCCCGGCGTCAAATATCTAGCCACTGGCTGAATCTTTTTGTTGACGAAGGAATCAACAACCCACTGTGGTCTTACTACACAAATGGAGTGGAGACGATATTTCTTCAATTCTTTTATCTTGGACGCGGATAAATTTTCTGCGACAATATGCGTTACGAGATGACGAGAAAAATACGTTTCAAAGTTGCCGCCTCCTAAACCCATGAGCTGTCTCAATTCTTCTCGGCTAGGTGAGGTTTCACCGTCAACCCATATGGTCACTCCAGAAAACACCTTACAAGTTTCCGTATTTTCAAATTCTTTATGAAACTGGACCCTCAACTTGTCTTCTTTGGCGTCCATGTACGCTCTAAAATCTCCATCCCAGTCTTTCAAAGTTTCAGAGGTGTCGAATTTTTCAAGATTATCAACAAGAAAGCTTTCCATATTAGGTACGAAAACAAAAAAACTCTTCTAACCAACAGTCTTATGTTGTTTCCATAACTTGGGCGCCATTAGAATGGCTCATTTTTCTTTCCATTTTTTAAAAGGGAGGAGAATGCGTATCTTGACATATTTATTCCAATTGTCCAGAAAAAGAAAGAACCGAAAAGACAAGAAATAGTATGCCTCCAATAAAACCAACTGTTCGTTCCGATATTCGACTAGCAAGTAATCTTCCCCCAAGTACAGCTAAACCAGTACACACAAAATGACCAGCAATAGCACCGATACAAACACCGTACATATCTTTCGAAGCTGACAATGCAACAGTTGCCACTTGAGAACGATCTCCCCATTCAGCTAAAAATGTTAAACTAAATGAACGAACAAATACAGGTGAGAACAACTGTAACGCCACATGGGAAACAAATGGATAAAATGTTGGAGCGGTCGTGTTATGATGAAGTTGACCATTGGAAGCAGATGAACTATTGCTTCTCGCATATTTGTTGCGTGAACCAATTGAATCGGAACTCAGACTCATATGAAGTCGACTTTCGGATGACTCACTGTGATAAGATCCTGTAGTAATTTGTTCCTCCAATTCATTCAACTCGTCATCTACATTCTATATAAAGCCGAGGACGGAGAAAGTTATCTCAATTCTAATATCAACAATCAACTTACTGAAGTATTATTTGAACGAGATATCCACCAATCTCTTAATAACTGAATGCCAAAATAAGCAAATAAAACCCCGGCAGCTAAGCTCGTGTATTTCTTACTAAATAACAAAGGAAACGTTTTACCCAGTGCGACAGATAAAAGGGTCATACATAAAAGTGCACATAGTGCTCCTTGAAATACCAAAATGCGTGAGTTTTTCATGGCCATGATTGCCGCAATAAAGAAAGTTTTGTCTCCTAGTTCCGTCACAAGAATCATGAAAAGTGACTGAATGAAAGAAGGAAGAAAGGCTCTTCTATCCATCCTTTCAAGAAAAGGGAATAGTTTACTTATTCCTTTAGTTGTTTCTTCTGCCAAGTCGCCGGTAACAGAAGTTCGTGTTGGAGTGTTTGGAAACCAACTCGAGTGGTGAGCCAAGTTGTCTACAACACTCTGTTTCCCTGATATAACGTTGAATCGTTGCTGGTTTTGCAAGCTGTCAACACAAATAAACAAGCAACAAAATACGCAAAGGAGTACCAAAAGATAACTAGAATGAGGAAACCATTCAAATACTTTTCTTCGAACTGACATTATCATGAACAGATTCTCTATCTCACAAAAAGATTCAAAGTTGAATTAGCTACTATTTATTGACTGAGCAAAACATTTTACGACTTTTTCGATGTCTTACAATTGTGCAAAACTATAATTTCTTATTTTTAGAAAATAGTATAAAAATCGAATCTTTTTTCATTCTATCCATCGATGACTTCATGAAACGATGTTGGTTATTCAAGATTCTTGTATCCTGTCCACCAACGCATAAGCACGCGAGTAGAACACTTTCTAGGAGATACTGGTTTCCAGTTGAACACGCAAACCATCATATGCCATATGAATATCAAATGACTCTTGGTACTCTTGTCTTAACCTTTGTTCATCAAAGTCATGAAACCATAAATGAGTAAAGTCTGTCAAATAAACAAACTTGGGTTGAATTTGTTTGGCTATTTCTAAAGCTTGACTTTCACAAAAATGTGAGATATGTTTGATTTCCTTTCCGGGAAACAGTGAATCGATAATCAAATATTCCGAGCCTTTCATCTTCTCCAAAGTAGTATCCGGAATGGCACTAACATCTGGAATATATGAAACAGAACCAAAACGAAAACCTAAAGCAGAATTTTGAGGACCGTGCCAAACTGGTAAAGGAATAAACCTGCAAGTGGTATTACTTTGTACCCACAAAACCTCAGTTTCCTACTTGCCTAATTCCAAGAACTTGAAACTCTTGAAGAGGATCTATCTGACAGAATACAAGTCTAGCAGTAACTCCACTACCCGTTCCTTTGGAAGGGTCCACCAAATAAGGAAAACTAGCTTCCACTCTGCGAAAAGTCTGGTCATCACAATAGACTGGAAGTGGACAACAATTGTCTCTCATGTGCAAAGTAAAGTCTCTCAAGTCATCCAATCCATTCACGTGATCTGCGTGCTGTGTAAACCAAATAAGAAGCAAATATTCACAGGGAGGGTAGTTATACGTACATCATGTGTCAGCAACACTGCATCGATGTTGCGCAAATGGTATTTAGGAAACCAAGCAAGTGCACTTTCATAAAAGAATTTGCCGACATCAATCACAACATGAGTCTTACTTCCAGCTTGTCTATTATGGGCGCGCAAAAGAAGGCTGCAGTTTCTTCTTCTATTCTTCGAGCCGGCCAATACAGCGTCTTTACAAGTCTTACAAGTCACAGGAGATTCTGTCAGGCAACTTACTCGAGGAACACCTTCACTTGTTCCACTTCCCAAAAATATCTACTAAACTTCATAAGTACTATCTCTATTACCACTTCCTAATACTTACGATTTCTTCTATTACTGGATTGGCCATATATATATATATATATTACTATTTGATCCGAAATGAATAATAATAGAATGACTTGAGGGGAAGATGATAGGTTGACTTTATACATATATTTTGAAGAGAGAAAGATATCAAGACGAAAGTATAGAATATTGGCACTATGAGTGTCACGGCACAAAAGTGCTCAAGTTTGTCTACCCAAGACGCTTTGGTACTTTGTACCATAGCGTTCATGGGTTATGTATGGAAAAAGTTGTGCGACTTGGAAAGTGGTCACTATAGTTCATTGGATTATAGAAAACTATTACGAGCAAGGAGAAATCGGCTACCTCCGTTATTATATATTGACTTTAATTGTTGTTGGCAAAAGTCAAGTTGGTATGTCCGTGTGAAAAGAGAGTCAAGTCCTTTGGAAGCGGCGAATTCATCAACCAAAAATAGGAAAGAACCGAAGAACAGACAAGTGAGATTCTCTGAAGCAAATGAAATTATGAACTTTGACGGAGAAAAGAGGTTAACGAAAAGAAAAGGTGAAGTTATCCGTGGAATATTAAGAAACGTAGGTACGAACAGTGATGCGAAGGTGAAAGATGGCGTAGTTTCTTCCATTGCAAGTCCGAAAGAGATCGAGTATGACTCCATGGAACGTTATGTAACTTTACTTGCTAAAAAGATTGACCGTAGTATACGATTAGAAATGGATACTTTGCGCAGTGAAGTACAACAAATTCGAAGGATGCTTTCTAATAGCAGTGAGAAAGATTTGTATTGGAGAAATTCTGGAGAACCTTTGAAAAGATGGAAAACGTCTGATGGGGACCGTTTGAACATCAATACGAGTGCGTCTTTGTCTACTAAGAAGGATCTCTTTTTACAATCTCAACGTCCCGTAACTCGCGTTGAGAAGAGTAATCTTTCATTTGAAAAGGAACATAGATCTTCTATAAGAACTGTAACTTATCTTTCCAATCACTTGGGAGCAGTTCGAAAGGTTATTTTAGAGCCTACTGAACTATCTTGGTCTAAAATGGAGAGAACAAGTTTTCGTATTGTTACGGCATCAGAAGATTGTACTTTAAAGCTTTGGAATTTGGAAGCGAAATATACTACCAACTCTTCTAATACTTCAGAACCGTATCATTCGAACAATTCTGATCGCAAGACGTCCGCATTAATGACTAGCCTAAGTTGTGAAAGTATTCATACTTATCGTGGTCACTTGGCACCCATTTTGAGTGCACAAATATTTCCAGATATGACATTGAATGGTAGAAATGGTCTGCTTGTATCTGGAGATGCTCAAGGCTCTCTCCTCTTTTGGGATATTCCTAATGCTGAAGAAACTGCAGCATATATGAGTTATCATCAGTTGTTTCCATTTCAACGTTATATTGTTACAAATGTTCATGAAAAGGAATGCATTTGGGATATTTGTAAGCCTTTGAGAGATTCTCCTTTGATGGCAACTGCAGGTGCTGATGGGACAGTCAAGTTGTGGGACTATTCTTCTTTTCGATGGGATGATGAAAGTCCTATTCATAGATATGGTCAAATGGAACCCTTAGGAATTATTCGGTTTCATCAATTAGAATTAAGCTCTAAACAAAATAGTCCAACTGTATTTGGAGTGGATACTTTGTCATATACTCAGTCGGGAAATCTGTTGGTTGGCTCAGAGTTGGGCATGCTTTGTTGTATTGACTTGAAAGAAAGGTCCATAAGTAATCGATGGTATACTAATCCATTGGTTTACCCGAGTCAAGAGCGATTAGGAAGTATTTATACCATTGAGACTGTTAACTCTGTTCAAGTCTTATTGGGTGGAAGTGCTGGTAATATTGTGTTACAAGATCTCCGAATGGAAAAGCCAAGTCAGGAAATAGAAAAGGGTGCAGGTGCTTTGGCAATGATTACTTGTATTCGTTCCTTTGTAAATAATTATTGTATTGCATGTGGTGGTAATCAAGGTATGGTTAGGTTCTGGGATATTCGGAAGATGGATACTTGCCTAGAAGACTTGAATGTGAGTCAAAAATCAACCCATCAAGACAAATGTTGTATTTGGAGTTTGTTGAATATTCCGAATTGGAATTGTTTGTTGGCTGCAACTTCATTGGGTTATACATTTATTTGTTCTAAGGATATTTAATACTTTCTCTATTGAAATGTGATATATTTGTTGTGTGTTTTTCTGTTTTCGATATTCTAAAACAAACGATGAATACTACTTTATTCCGATACGAGACTTCCTTGACAACTCGAACCAAATCCTGCAGTACATCCAAAGCAATGTACAGCTGTTTGGATATGATCGTTGCATAAGGAATCGAAATTATCCACTTGCCATATATTTCGTTGATATTTTTCTGTACAATGACTAGTGAGTTTTGTTCTCAAGTTATTAGGAGGAGATACATACCTCTCAATCCAACAGCATAATGAAAGTCACAATCATACAATGCTCCATCATAACCAATATGAATCTGATCTAAACACATCACATTTTGTACATGTTCTGCTTGAAATGATTGTTGAAGCAGACTTGTATAACTATCCAATTTGCCTTGGCGTATCAAATCATGGCGATATCGCTTGATCGGCATGTTGGTAAGACAATACAACTTGTCAAACTGAATTCCAAACTTTTCAGCCAACTGCTGTTTGTACTGCTGTTCTAACGTTGACTGTTTACCAGGAAGTTGAGGTTCTACAGGATTATATACCAAATACAACTTTCTTTTTCCATTTTCTTGTTGACCATACCCCCAACGATTGAGTAATTGCAAAGCTTGAATACTTTTCTCGAAAGTACCCGTTCCTCTTTGTTTTCGAACATTAGCTTCTTCATAACAAGGTAGAGAAGCTACGATATCTACTTGATGGGTGGCAAGGAATTCTATTAAATCTTCTTGACCAGGTTCCAATAATACGGTCAAGTTACAACGGTCCTGTATTTTCTTTCCCATTGCACTCAAAGCCAACACCAAAGGACGAAACATATTATGCAACTCTGGAGCTCCACCAGTAATATCTACCAACTTTACAGTTGGAGTACGAGAGATGAGTTGTATTATTCTTTCAGCCACTTGGGAAGACATGGTTTCCTTTCTAGAAGGAGAAGACTCCACGTGACAGTGACTACAAGCCATATTACAATAAAGTCCGATATTGATTTGAACAGTATTTATTGCTCTGCGTCTTAAGGGTTGCAGTTCATATTCACGTAGAATTTGGTCAAAAGTCTTGTTGCTAGTGTTGGACGTTGGTTGAGAAGGACAACAACAAGTAAGAGAGTTGTCATATCTCAAGTTGCATTGTTTCTTATGCCATACATTTGGGTTTCTCTTTATATTATTATGACTCTTACTGAAAATAAAAGCCTCCATCAACTTCCCCCACCACTATTATTCACACAAGTCATTTGTATCCAACTACATAATTCATTTTTGAATATTTCTTTTCACAAAACATGGAAAGAGATAAAATTACCGTTCTTCACATTGACGAGGACTAAAATATTTCATTCTTCTGGAAATATATATCCAATGGTTTCCATACAACTCAACCCATTCCTTCAATTCTTGATCACGTTCTCTTGTCCAACTCAATATTTTCTCCAATTCACCGCGTTCCATACACTCGGATAATCTATTCCAGTTAAACTGACAATCCAGACTGAAATGAAATATACTTACTGATACATGCATTGGCTCGCGGTTCGATTTCCCATTTCTTTAGCTATTTCTGTCCACTTTCTTCCATACTTTTCAAATAAAGCAATTAACTTCTCTTCTTCCTCTCTAGTCCATGGATTCTTATTTCTTTTGGCTTGGTCTTCCAAAGTATAATATCTGTATATTTGAGTTCTTTCAAACTTGGATTGGTATATAACAAACCTTTTCCTTATTTGAACAGAAGACCTCCAAGACATTTCCTTCTCTATTTTGGACCATTGAGGACCATATTTCTCAAAAAGTTTCAACAGTAGAATATCTTCTTCTTCTCGAAAAGCTCCTTTTTTCAAAAAAGGTCGCAATACTCTTTCATATCTACAATACTTGTCAAAAGCCATTCTCCCATTTCCTATGCTTACCTCAATAAACATTGATGAGCTGTACGCGTACCCAACTCTTGAGCAATAAGATTCCATTTGGCTCCATATTTCTGTACCAACTCCACAATCTTGGAATCTTCTTCTTCTGTGAATTCTCCTCTTCTATTTTCATTCTTCAATGTATCTTCATATCTGTGGATTAAATAGACATATCAATAAACATTCATTTTCTATTATCGTTTATATTACCTTCGTTTACATACATAAGGAAATGGCTTATTCAGTTGTTTTGCAATTTCTACCCAAGAAAGACCTTGTGTTACTAGTTGTTTTAGTTTCAAATCTTCTTCCCTTGTAAAATGCAAGTTGGTAGGTTCTTTACTTTTTAGTAGTTGATATCTAACTCATAATAACCAAGGCGATTGAGAAAACTAGAAAACTGGTATCAACCAACCATACCTAGATAGACAACTACTGATACTTCTTCCCATCTCAGTAGATATTTCCGACCAAGTTCGTTGTTCTTCATCTCTTAGTCTCAGAAGTTGTTCATCATCGAGTTTATGAAACCGCGTATAACTCCAACAACGAGGAAAGAACGGTGTACAGGGTTTGGTTTCGTCATTCTTTGCTTTAGAGAAACAACAAACTGGTTTCAACTGAGTAAGTTGACGAGTGCCAACGGAGTTTTCAGTGCGTGATAAAACAATTCTCTTTGGAGTTGTAAGAAAACGACTATTCCGTATCTTCCAAGTTGTCATCCATTGTATCCAACAACAAAGCTTCATCATCATCCAATTGATATTTATTTCTTTATTCTAAGCTGTCAATACACAAGCACCACCTGCTCGTTTTATTTTCTCTTCTGCTAATTTGGAAAAAAATCTTGCTTTGACTATCAAAGGTTGTCTTGGTAACTTGCCTTTTCCCAACACTTTAAAGTATCCATGTTTCACAACATCCACCACAATAGCTTGGTCTTTTATCTTTTCAGGTTGTTCTCTCACATCTTCCGGTACAAGTGACCATAGTCTATTATGATGCACAATATCAAAGGAATAACAAGATTGATTATTTCTTATGACAAAACACAGACTGTTGACAGCCACTTACCGATCCACGTTGATAATAGGACCATGGAGAGTATTCTTTTGCAAGTGAAACCATCGCATACCCAACTTTCCGAAATAACCAGGATGATACTTATCAAATAAAGTTCGATGGTGATGTTGACCACCTGCGTTTCCACGTCCTCCAGGATGTTTCCTATGTTTCCCTACTCTTCCGTGACCAGCAGAGACATGTCCTCTTTTCTTTCTACTATGCTTCAGTCGAGTAGGCTAATATCCAATTATAACGGTCACATTATCTATATGCACTTGCCAACAGCTATCATTCTTACCATATTCTATATGAAATAAAATGGGACTTTACGACGACGCCCTCTTCTTCTCCAAATGATGAAACAACTCAATTTGATTCTCAAAAAGTTGTTTTCGATGAAATCACAAAAATCACTTGTCATTCTTTATTTTTGTTGTTCTTCTTATGATGCTGATGATGCAATTGTTATGGTTAAGAACAAGCCAAAGCACCAAAAGGATCCCAAGGAGAAAGATGAATAGGTTCCTGTTCCATAACTCTCAAAACATCTTCAGTCACATATCTTTTATCCACGACTACTTCATATACAAACTCATCAAACCACTCATCGGTCATCATAAAGTAGCCCTAATCATCCACAAAATAAGAAATATTCATATAAAAATTCTATTCCTATTTACCTTTTCGCCAAGTTCATCACCCCATGAATTCTCTACTCTCCATTTCGTAGTCTTCGTACCATTCTCTCCTTCACAACTAACAGCAGTCAATACCATCGCATGAGTCATTTGAGACTCTCCATATTCCAAACGCTCTGCTTTGTTTTGGCCTAAAAGACTCGTTCCAAAGACTAGATCATAATCAAAAATACGCAAATCCATATAACCCAACTGTCGCTGCAGAAACTTGCCAACATCACAACCAAACCAAACAGCCTCTCCATTCTTAATAGACTCCAAAGCACATGACTTTAATGTTTCGATAGGTTGATTATTATAACGAACTCGTAAACCTGAAACCATATTGCCTAAATAATCAACAGTATACAACTTTCCGTAAGGATGTTGTGGACGTGGATCATGAACCAAACAAATCTTATCATCCACACAGTAACCAACATATTCACGATAGAATGCTTGTGGTGTAAGATTCTTATAACAATGATACTTCTTATCCTTGTCTTCAAACTCCCAATCGAATACAGTGGGAACAACTCCTAAACAAATAGAAACAATGCGATAAACTTGTTCCAACATATCTTCCTTTGTCTTTCTCAACTGTTCCTTTGTATAACCTTGTTTAGATTGACGACGGAGTATCATTGCAAATTCTCTTAGTTTGGAAGTCAAGATCAAGTTCATTCTTCTCGAGTTGGAGCTATTAAAACTCTCCTGATAAACACTACCAGGAACTACTCCATACTTATTAACCAAATTGCATATCATATCCCATTGACTAGAAGTTGCTTTAGTAGTGAAGAAATTGTTTCCTTTCCACTTACCCTCCGTCTTGGACAGGTGCAGTTAGTAACCAAGACACCAAACGGCCATCCACTGGTTCATCCGCAGTCTCCAAAATACTTTCCAAAAAGTAATTGGACCTTTCTATCTTATCCCAGAAAAACAAGTAGGACTGTGACAATTGAAAGTCATCGGGTAACTTGTACTTGGTGGTCATGGGAAGACGCATGACATTTAAGAAAGCAAATAACCAACATCTTCCAGAAGCCTTTTGAGCTGTAGCTTTACACTCGTGGTCTGATACGCGGTGAGTGTAAGCGTGAGTATTCAAGTCCTTTACTTCCTTCTCCAATAGTACTTCCAGAGGATCAAACCGTGATACTGCATTCTTTGCTAACCTCCATTTGGGTTCTGCTAAGAATGCTTCTCTTGCCTTTTGTAGAAATTCAGGTGATAATACTCCATCTCCGTGTCTTATGATAGGAATACTTCCGTTGGTAGTGTTAGGTGGTGGTGACATAACTCAAAGACTGTCTCCAAGAATTCCCAAAAATGTCATTTGGGCATACATTCCCATTCCTTTTATTTCAAGTTGCAGCAGAAACTTCCAACGAGTCTCTCATACTCAAGTCTTCAAATTCACCACTCAACATATCTGCATACTGATCCTGTAGTTTTTGTCCAATAGTATAAAACGGATTATAAGAGAGTGCGATAAATTGTGCATTTAGAAAAGTAACGAGTGCTCTATCAAACACATAGTTTTTCTGTTTCTCTAACTGAGACACTCCCTTACAAAACTCATTCGTACAATCTTCTAATCGACTACGGACTTCTGCTAACTTTGATTCATTTCTTGATAATCGCTCTCGTTCCTTTTCTTTCGTATTTGCAGCAGTACGAAGACTATCAACCTAAGAAAGCTTGTTGGATATTATTTCCATTTACAACCATACTACACGAACCTTATCTTTATAATAGTCATATTCTTTCATAATCTTTCTCTGACTTTCTGAAACAGCTCGTAGCTTTCGAATTCTTTCCAAATACTGATTCAATAGTTTTACAGCGTTGTCTCTAACACTTTCTTGCACTGCGGTGACTCCTAAAACACAATACTGTTTGGTTATGTTGTGTATTCCCATTGAAACTGACCAACCATATTTATCCAAATACTCTTGATAAGCTTCTGTACACTGCAAAGCCTCCTTGGCCAACACTTTAGAAGGTTCTTGGTCTTCATAAAGGGACGATACATGATTTAAAAAGTCTCTACAATTGACTAGTAACGAACCCCAAGCTTTGCTATTATCCTAAACCATATTGAATAACACAATGAGCACAAACTTCATTATGGAGCCAATTCTCTACAAACTCTAAGGGCGTTGGATAACAAACTAGCTTTGTCTTCCAATTCGCAAAAACGCTGATAAGCTGATTCGAAACGAGCATCTTTACTTGCTTCGTGTTTGGAAAAAGTATTTTCAACACTTTTTATACCCACTTTAAGTTTGTGAAACATGTCTCTCGAAGGATTTTTCCACTCCCATTCTCTCTTCTTGAGGCATTTCTTCTCTTCCCCTATGCATTTGGTTATCCACGAGTAGTTAATATGCAAGTATTGGTAAAATCACTCAATATGGGATTGAATCCACTTTGGGTACGAGTATATTCCAAGTCAGCATATATTTCTAGAAACTTGCTTTGTTTTTCTATTTGTATATGTTTTGGATTCCATAAACGACGAATGGCATAAGAAAGACCATTAAAATAAACAGGAAACAGAATATCGCAACTTGCTTTGATAGGTTCTTCTATGGAAGCAAATGTTTTGGTTCCATCTTGAACAACAGGTGCAAAAAAACCTCTCGTTGCTTGAGGAAGAAAATCAAAATCGGCAATCAATAAATGTGATTGTGGAAAATATCTTCGAACAGAGGTCCACATTTGATGAGCTACAGTTGGTATATATACAACACAACGACTAGAAGAGAATAATAGGCTGTCTATCATACTTTGTAAATAATAAAGCCAATAATAAGGATTTCCTCCTAATGAACGCCATGAAATATTGGGCATGAGTCCATCCAACATATTCCAATCATGCAGAGTTGAAACAATCCAATCGTCTTGTAAAGGTACACGAACAATGTTCAATGGATGATTGGATGAAATATCTTCAGTTTCTCTTACAAGACATTCGTACCAAGTCTTTGTTTGACTATCCCATTCTATTCGGTCATGAGGAAAATTATCTAATACTTCACAAAATAAAAGAATACAAGGCGCTCTTATAGTTTGTGACCAATCCAAGATGGACAAGGAATGAATAGATACACACTCACTATAAGCATTTAAACGTCTTTGTTGTCTTTCCACAAAAAGAGGACTAATCTCTATAATGTCATACTTTAAAGAATGATAGAGACGCTGAGAATAATTCTGTTTTGCATAATGCAATATAGACTCCGCTAAAGAACCATTCCCACCTCCAACTTCCACTATATGCCATTCTTGGAAAAGTTGTTGTCTATCAAAAGATTCCTGTACTACTTGTTCTATCCAACGAGCTATAGCATATCCATACCAAGGATAAAATAACTCTACAGGAGTAGACCAACTATTCGGTTGTTTGGCATATCGTTGAGCAACCAGTGAGTAGTATTGTTCAGGACCTGTCAACTCCTGAAAAGGAATGGGTGATGCAGTCTCTTTTAAAGGAGGACCTCGAGAAGCATCCATAAAGTATCCTTTGTCTTTTGTATATAAAGACTCGTTAATATATTCACGAAATAGTTTGTCTCCAAAAACTGAGTAATTCACAGTAGTAGAAGAACGTTGCAAGCTACTGTTCCTACTACAACGACGTATAGAAAAGTTGCCATTCCAAAACAAACGTTGCCGCCAAGTAAAGTTACAGAGGATGAGTGCCGAACCTAATAGTTTCGTTGGAAGAGGACTTATCACAGTCTTTCTCAACAAAAAGTTCCACATAAGTGTAAAAAATGTCAACTAGGAAATGAAATCATTTTGGTATCTTTCATTATCTTTTTAGAAAAGCGGCAGATTCATTCTTGCAGCAGAATATATTGAGCGACGAGATTCCAACAACTACTGGCTATTATTCTATTGCAACCATTTTCTATGAATAACTTGCTTCTGTATGGGAAATAATTGCAAGTGTCTCAATTGCATCAAACACTATGCCAATATTAGATAGGAGAGTATTGTGGGAGTTTAGTCAAAATAGAATCGTCATCTATTATATTCCTTGTCAGGGACCTTTGGAAAAAAGTGAACAGGTTTATATCTACTTGGGAAAAGATAGTTGGAAGCAAATACTGGGAAGATTCTTGATGAACAAGTGTTATTCCTTCTTTCAGTACGAAGTGACGAATGTCAGTTACTTTGACCAACTGGACTTTGTATTTACAGATGGAAACTTACTTTGGGATAATAACGAAACAAAAGATTGGCATATAGTTTGGAAAGAACAATTGAACAACCCATTTTCTGTTGTCAATAGAGAGGCAACCAACATATCTAGACAAGTGGTGGTATTTTGGGATATTGAAAATTGTGCTGTGCCAAGTAGTGTTTCTGGAAATTATGTTGTACATAAACTGTTAAGGCGAATGAAGTTATTTGGGGACATTATAAGGTTTGTACCATTTTTAGAATATAAGAAATGATGCCTTATGATAGTTGTTGTTGGATAGTATTCGAGTGTATGCTTGTATGGAGTTGCTCAAGACAGAGTTGAAGTTGGCACTACAAACAAGTGGTGTCGAATTGATTGACGCTCGAAGAGATAACTGGGTTGTTCAGTCGAGGTGTTACGATCATCATCATCCGGGAAAAGATGCGGCAGACAAGTTGATTATTAGCGACATGTGGTCAATAGCATGGCAGGTAATCATGTAACGTATTTAGTATCTTATCAAGCATGTCCTATTGAAGAATGTAATCTTAGAACAATCCCAAACATCTTTGCATTACATTGATAAGTGGAGACAGAGACTTTGCATATGCCTTTTCAAGACTGTCCATGCTGGGATATTGTACTGTCCTTATATATCCTCGATTGGCTTCAAGCAATCTAGTCGATAGTGCTTCTTTTGCTATTCCATGGAAAGATGACTTTTGGGTTGGTACAATGTTGTTCATTTTGGATGAAAACTGTTAAATGAATGGTCTAGGCATTTGGAGATGAAGCCTTGCAAGGTCTACTTCCTCGTCATCTTCCACATAGACAAAGGGCAATATTGCACTCGCCTATATCACACTATTCCTATCAAAGTCAGAAGAGTAACAATGCCTATCGTGATGTTTCATTCGTTACTCAATCTAAAGACATCAACTCTCAAAATTGTGATGAAATAGCTTTGAACAATTCCTCTCAATAAGAATTTATATGCTTTCGAGTTGAATACATTGGAAAGAAAAGTCCAAAAGTTTGCCGAATGGTGTTCATAGACACAACGTATTAAAATCATTGCTGATAAACTTCCTTATCATTTTCATCTTCTTCTGGAGAAGAATCAGAGGAATATGACTCTGGACTATTGTCCATAAGTGTTAATATTCTTGCTTTGGCTAATAAAAGCATTTCTAAAAGTTCAGGTCTTCGAATACTAATGTCAACCAAAAGACAAACAAATACATATTACTCAAAGACTGAAACTATATCTAATACTTACGAAGTATCCACTTGTAAAATGGTCTTTTCGGCTTGATCAAAAGACAACCAAGTTCGAGGACGTTCGTTTCTCTAATAGTACAAAGATGCTTAATTCGTTTCTATAAAAGAACCATATAAGCAAACCAATACCTCTTTCCATCTGGAGTCACTCTTTGGAAGTTCTTGTTCTACTAATAACAAGTACATGATCAACTTTTGCTCGTTACTACCTTTCCACTTGCCCAGTTTGCAAAGAATCCTTCCACAAACTCCTGCTTCCTTGTAACACCTTTAGAAAGTTTTCTTCTACAAACATACTCTAGCCTTACTTCCACTGTCTCACGTAAAGCTGCGTCCCAATTCTTTTCTCTTTTCTCAATACCACCCTTTGGAAATAGCCATATATCTGGCTTGAACCTTGATTGAACAAGTAAAACTTGCCACTCTCCGTTTTCTCCTTTTCTCACAGGAACACAACCTGCCTTGTTATTCGATATTCGTTATGATGTAGACATGAAAGGCCAGAATTCCTTACCACCTTCTTTCCCATTGTCAAAATAAGATTCGATCGAAGCCATCCGTTGAGTCGATAAATTGTGTTGTTCCTAGTGATATTTCTCAATTTTGTTTCAAGAATGGCACAATGTAAAATCAACCCTATTCAGACAAATATAAAAAATATCTCAAGATAGGTATGGATACTTTATATGAACGCTATTTTCTCCCAATATTACTCCAACTTCATTTAGATAGTATCAGGAACATCTACCTTCTTACTTTGTCCATCTAACAAGCCCCTTTCTTTTAACTTGGGATCAAAACGTATCGTTTCTTGTACATTTCTCTCTGCTAGCTGATTTTCTACTTCCTTTTGTACGCGGCGACAAATCTGCTTCAATACTTTCGCCATGTTATTTTCCTCTGTTTCTTCCAATAATTGTTTTTCTTCTGTTGTCAACCAACCATGATTTCTTACGTCGATGGGACCTTCCCATCTTGCTTGCCAAAAGGCATCCACATTTCCAACAGGTGTCTGATGGTTCATTTCCTTTATCCACGTCTCTCTTAACTGATTCAAAATAGTTCTGCTGGGTTTTTCAAACGACTGAAACTTGAAATAATAACAAAATTGAGGCATTCTAATTAGATGAAGTAGTAACGAAGTGCGTGTATCTCTCGAAATGCCAATATATTGCAAACGATATTGAGCATCATAAATAGCGTATACAGAAACTTTACCCCAGCTATCTTGATAAGAAAGAAAACCTCTATCATCCAAATAAGGGTGAAAGGGAAAAGAGTCCAGTTTAAGACAGCTGTTGCTGCTGTTATTTCTACTATTGCTGTTGTTGGTATATGTTGAGGAAGAGACACAAGCTTGTGTGGAAAACCTGAAATAGTGCTTCCACAAAGGAATAGGACGATATCTGATTCTAGTTGTGGTCAAGTTTGAATAGAGTGAAAAAGTACAGCAATAACCTAGGACTTTCCAACTTGACTTCATACTGAATGACAAAACAGGTTGCTGTAAAATCCAACAAAAGTTACAGCGAGATATTGGCAAATAAAGGCGCGCACCAAAGATAGCTTTTTTCTTTCTTCTGAACAAACTCTCTTTCATCTTTTCTTGTCAAACAGAAGAGAATATCCTCTCTTCCTTCCCAATCAGAGCCAATCACAAAAGATGTCAATGCAATACTTGTACACTCAAGCAAGCAACATTTCATATCTGAATTTATTATCAAAATAAACAAAATTCAAACTCAACTTGTTTCCTTATTTCCATGTACATGCACAAGTTCTACTATCTTTGGATATACAAGTTTGGGTGCAGATGCCGCCCATTGAAAGTCCAAATGTTCATATTCCTCTTGACAATGAACATATACTGGCTCATTTATTTCATGAAGCAGCCACTCTGTATCAGGCAACGGATCACTTCCACCAAAGAATAAGGCAACTGGACAACCAATCTGATTGACTGGATAAAGTGGAGGTAAATGTCCAGGATACTTCTTCTTGGTTACTGCATCTTGATCATCATACATCTGAAAACGACTATTTACAATCACTTGAAACCAGTGAACCATAGTTTTCACTGAACCATAAGAATAAAGATGGGCATAAAGTCTCGGTTTCTCTTTAGTTGACAAATTTTCACTTTTCCAACCAAACAGTAGTCTTGTGGAAATGTCAATAACGTGTGAAAACATATCAGGTGGTAATATACGTCTCCAAAATAGTGCTATACTTAGTAATCTCCTTCTTCCGAAAATCAAATAGACGATATTGGGATCACATGCCACTAAGGATTCGATTATAGGGTTCTTAAGTCCATGAACTCTCGTAGAAGGCGCCAAGGCAACAAAAAGTGAAATCTTCGAGGCAAGATCAGGAAGAACAGAAAATGCAGCAAAAGCAATAGCAGTCCCTTGTGAAAAACCAATATAGGTTATTTTGGAAGCACCAGATACTTTCCTAGCATATTCGAGTTGTATGGGAAGGTCAATTCGAGCCATTTCGTCCATTCCAAAGTTCCAAAATTGTCGAGAACGAGGAGAAAAATATCGATGTTTGTATCCATATCGATTACCTCTAACATTACCCAACCACACGTCATAACCTTCGTCCGCCAAAATAAAGGGAAGGCAGCCTTTCGAGTCTCTCAACACCCAAGCTTCAGAACTCTGTAAGAAGCCATGCATAAAGAAAACGGGATGCTTATTTGACAATGTTTTCTGGTCAGGCAACCTATCTATACTGGCTCTACCATTCGGTATACGAAAAAGTGTAATAAAAAATCCATCCGAAGTTTCTACCGTATGTAGTTCTACAGGATAACTAAAACAAAAGACAAGTCGTTAAAGACAGTTGAGAAAGAAAAACCATAAAACTCAACAAACCCTCTATAGCGGATGAGCCTAGCACAGTCCATATCCAATACTGGGTCTTGCTTGTGGCCATCCTTGAAAGGAAAATATGAGGAAACAAGTTTTAAAACACTTTTTGTAAGTGCTTCAGGCACCAAAAAGCGAACAAGATGTGCGATAACTCTAGCGATAGACTCTAAAAGCAACACTGATACAGCAATGATCACGTTTATCAATTCTGGAAAACTTAACATTTTGTTTCCACACAACCAAATCAATTTGTTATAAGAAATCTTTTCAATATAACTATAATTCCCTTCCATGGAAGATATGCTTACTCTTTATTGTTCAAAAGAGCTATCAAGTGACAATTATTCTTGTAAGAAAAAAAGAGACTTTTCAAACTCACTTTAGTAATGCTTGTCCTATTCCCTTCTCTCTGTTCGAACAAATAGGATTCTGTCAAATAATTGTTATTCACATTTGGAAGAAAGAGAAATGAAAGACACGCCTTCCAAGCTTTCCAAAAAAATATACTTGTAGCAAACTTGTCTTCCAACAAAAACTACAAAAACTATTCTACAAGTTGTTCTTCGTTAGCACAACGTGACTGTACTTCTTTCAAAACTCTTTCAAGGCTCCGAAATAAACATTCATCGATGTCGCTTTCACTCAAATTTGGCTTAGGAAAGGGCCATACACTAGGCGATGTTGTTCCATGTGCTGAACGCTTCAACTCTATGTACTTCTTATCTTCTTCACTTACTGCAGCAGTATTACAAAGAGGACATCTATTGGCATTCGTTAGCCAATGCACAATACAAGAACTGTGAAATGCATGACCACATTTCACTACACGAATAAGACTATCCACTTGCACCGAATCCAAGCAAATAGCACACACTTCATCAGGAACCATGTCACCACCAATCAACAAAGGACAAGTTTTCTGTTTTATCTTATGAGAATGGTGTGTTGTATGGTTACAACTTGTCGAAGAAAGCTTGACATCAACCACTTCGTTCATCCCACCACTTCCCCTTTGTGACTCAGCCTCAAGATTGCACCATTCCGAATCTTCAGGACTTGCTTCCATGTTTATACATACTTGTGTGTCTTCTAAAACACGTTGTTTCTGTTCCAACCACTCTGATAAACAAACGGCCGTTCTGTCATGGGGAAGAACTAAAGCTGGTTCGTTGTCCGCTCCTAAATATCTCAACTGCGGACAGAAACATTCAATATCTTCCAATTCGAGGGCTTTGTTCTGTGGACTCTGTACAAAAGTAACGTGACTTTGTCTAGCTCGCTCAATAAAACTTCTTCTACGTGCCAAGAGTCGACTTCTCGCGTTGGGTTGATAATGACAGACATGAACAACTATTCCAATAACCCCAAGTGCAGAAGCAGTGCCAAAAGCTGCTGCAAACCCACCTATAACTGCACCTGAAGACATTTACGGTACATATACAAAGCAAAATTCTACAACGATCGAGTCTATTTACAACCTATCTATCATTGCTACCCGGAATCATAATCGTTTCTTCTCGAAGTAAATTTTTTTTCGACGCTGTAACTGTTGCATCGATCCGTTAACAGAGATGAAACATTACGTCATTCGCAAGGATGAAAGAAGATAGTTCCTTCCAGATGAACGACATTGAATGTTCAACAGAGTCGGTTTTTGAAATTTTTGATAAATAGAAGATATTCGTCACAATAGAATATATATAGAAAGGAGTTTTAAGGAATGGTCGTCAAACGTTGGTTTTGTATACGAAATTGGGACCTTTGAAACATTCGGTATTTTTCTAATGATATGAGCAATTGTAGAATACTGTAATAAGAATACTATTTTATAACTTTCAAAATTTTTACAATTTTCTAATACGAAAAAGCTGATATACCAGAATTAGCATCACAAGAATTCACAGGTTACTCACAAACCCACATTCCTCATTTCGGAACTATACAAAGCTGCTCGTTATATTTTTGTTATTTTCTCTAATTAAGCAAGGAAGCAACATCCATTTTGACATGTTGTCCTTTTAATCTTTCAATGGAGTTATCGTTGTGTCCAAAAGGAATTTCGTTGTTCATGTTTGCTTGTTCATTCTTCTCCATCCCATTTGTATTCTCCAAGGAGCAAAGAGATGCTGCTATTTGAAAATGCTGTTGGTCATGAAAGATACTGTTCTCTATCAGATGGCTACGAGTCATCCAAGTCCAATCAGAATAAGTCCGGTGATCCCGTTTTGTTGCTATTCCTGAGCCATGAAACGGAATATCTTTCCTCATTTTCGGAAATATTTTTGTGGCATTTGAGCACTTGTCTTTAGATACAATCCGTGCATTGTTTTCATTGTTCTTACTTCGTAATCTTTGCATTTTCCTTGCGATACCTCCCACTGTTCGTGCACATTTAGAAGAACAAAAACGACCGCTTGCAAAACTTCCGTTATGCAGGTCTCCACATGTCTCACAATGTTTCATTTTTATAAGATTTGACGACATTTGTAAATCTTGCCTTTGACTTGAATCTGTATATTTGTACGTAATCAAACGTAATGAGTTGTCTTCTAAAAGAGTCATGGTGTCATATAATGCACTATTCACTCTTTTTTCACCTTCTCTGATGAGACATTTTCTACCCGCGGTTTTCTCGGTTCCGTTTTCTAGCAGGTGTATTAAAAGTTGCACAGCCAACACTGTTGTGACTAGGCTTTAGTAAACATAAGCGATTCTCATCTTCTATAGGTGTTATAAAACTATGCTGCTCATTGCTTTCACTCTTTGAAGTGTTAGTTGAAGTACAGGTCCTCGAGCTAGAGTCTTCTATATTTTCTCGACTTTGTAGCTGGTTATGCTCTTGAAGAATATTCTCTACAGTAACTAGATAACTCTCGTACATAGACTGCCTCTGGTCTCTCAAACAGTGAAAAGTAAACTGCTACAACTAAACAGTTGTTGTTCTTAAAGAAAATGAAGACGTTGAAGATATTGGAATGTGTTGAGAGTCTGTTACTATTTCTCTGCCGTTTTCTTTCTACGATGGTATTTGCCACGAGAGTAGTGCTTGTAGAAGGAAGGTATATGTATGAATGTTGCTTCAGGTACCCAAGGAAAGTTTCTATTGCTTCGCAGTGCCTGTCTATTGTGAAGCAGAAACCTTTCTCAATATAACTCTTTCGATTCAAAGGTTCTTAAAACTTGCCATGTAGACGTTGAACATCATTTGTTGTGGCGCACTCCTCGTTGGAGCCATTTGGTAAACATTCATAGCGTCTCTTGGGCCCAAAGGAGGGACATTCTCTGAATCCTCAGCATTCCTATTCTATTGTCAATCCACGTGGACGAAGCACAGAAAGGGTTCAGACAATAAATTTTTGTTGGGCAAAATTCGACCATTTTGAAATCCTCCACTTAAATATCAGTAGAAATGAAAGTCATTCACCAGTTTCCTGTTCCTGCTTTGTTATTTATTTCTGCCTTGAGAGGACTTGTTATGCAATCCATTTTCTTCACAAGATGATAGTGTGTGATTATGAAATTGAGGGTTGTATTGTCCACTGTCAGTATCATTTCAATCTTTATTGCGAGGAATATCTTAGTTTTCTATGATTGACCTAATCCTATTTAGCCCGCTTCCAAAATTAATTGGGATTTCATCAATCATTATTTACGTTGTCAGGCTGTCCGACTTATGGTATGCAAAATAGCAATGATTGTTTTCTCTTTTAAACAGGTTATTGTTGTTTGTAGCGTGAAGAAACATATGCTCTCATATTAAGTCAAGTAGTTGCTGGCCTATTTGCGCTCAGTGCAACTTGTCTATCGAGCTATCAAATATTTCAGGTAGTTGTTCCATGTTGTGTTGCACTTCTAGTTGACTGGACCAATTTTAGCATTTGACACATTATGTACGACCCGAATACCAACTTCATATTTGTCGTATATTGGGAATGGTTCCGATTTATTCGGTAGGCATTCGCAGTTGTTGTGGTTGATAAGTTTTTGACAAGAAGACTGAACCAGATAACGGCGTGGCTTGCACTTGTTTTGTCGAATTCCGACGACTCTTTACTTTTGGATGTTATTCGTGATAGGTAGGTTTACAAGTTGTTTTGAATGGAAGCTATTTGCTTAATTGGAACTCTTAGTTATGAAGCTTACGTCATTTACAATTTTCTTGTCTTACTGATCAATGCAGGTGGTGGAGAACGACAGCTAACTTATTTGCTTGTAAGCTGTTGTATTTATATAGAAGACTGTTTGGGTTTGATTCTCTTTTCATTATAAGGAACTGAAGCCCCGTATGCGTCATCCTTGGCCACTACAAAAAGTACTTGCGCCAATTCAGTTGGGAGCTGATTTCTTGTACTGGACACGAGCTGCCTGTCTACAGTTTGTTTTTGTAAAACCTGCTTCTGTAAGCTGAAAGTCTTTATGATCTATTTCTCATATTCCTTTTTGTTCTCGTAGTCCATGATAGCTGTATGGTTAAATCGACACGGTTTGCTTGGAGAGGGTATTGACTTTTCGAAAGGGTAAGTATGAGAAATCTGAATTATTTTGTTTTGTATAGTTTCAAACTGGTTGATTGTTTGTTTAGGAGTGTTTATTTGGCATTTGTGAACAATGTATCTGTTTCGATTGCACTTTATGCATTAATTCTGTTTTATTTTGCTACTGAAGATCTTCTGAGTCCCTTTCGTCCATTACCCAAATTTTTAGCAGTAAAGATGGTTGTTTTCTTTTCATTTTGGCAAGTAAGTTTTGTTTTTCATTTCTGATAAAAACCTCGAAGGCTTAAATATAAAGGGATTGGCTCTGGCTTGCATGGTTTGGTTGGGAGTTTTAAAGGATGTGGAAGGCTTTGATGCCAAATCACAAGCGACAGGTTTACAAGATCTTTTAATTTGTATTGAAATGTTGGTTGCTTCTGTAAGTTGGGATTTTCATTTGTATTCTTTGTTCTTTCATAAACTTGTTTGGATGAGATATGTCATCATTTTGTATTTTCATATGAAGAATTCGAAGATTATGCACCCGATCCCAAGCGACCTTTATTAAGAAACTTTGGTGATATTGTAGATATAAGGTGATGGAGATATTTCTCATTTGAACATGTTTTCATATTTTTTGGGTTATAGAGATGTATTAAGTGATGCAAAGGATACTTTATCAGGTAGTGCATTTGAAAGAGAACTTCGAGAAGGAGAGCCAATTATTCCTGGAACGGAATCATTCTTTTCCGAAGATGGATCAAACACGAGTCCATCTTCTTCTATTCGAAGAGTAGCTATTCCTCGCTTTAGCTTTGATTAGAAATATTTTAATTATTTATTCATCTTTTGCAGCGAATAGATATGCTCGTATTCTGGGAGGTTTTTGTATTTCCTCAAATGAGATATCCATCAGTCCTTGTGGTGGATCCAACCATATTTGTTTTCTTTCGAGGTCTACTTTAGGAACAATAGGTCTGACAAAAGGAATATAAACATGACGTCCATCTATTCTTTTCAATTCCTACAAAAACAGTTTATAAAATGGAAAGAATAGATGTTGTATGAAACCAACTTACCAAAATATCTTGAGAACCTGGTTTTGTAAGTGATAAAATTTCTTCTCTTGTATAAACATTTACAACTTTACCTAACGGACGTTGACTATGAATATCCAGTGCCTAATTCTCCAAGTCAATTTGAAACTGTTTATCATCTCTATTTACCTCCGAATCGAGCAAACTCCTTGCCAAGTATTCTTCTTCATTTTTCAATTTTATTCCTTCACCAGAACGAACAAACAACTGAGCTTGTTTCAGTTGTTGTGCTTGTTCTCTACTTGTGATATGTTTCAATCGAATAATAAAAGTGTTTTGCTACACGCGAATGGTGTGATTGAACCAAGTGTCAGAGTGCGATACACCAACCTGTGAAGCCTTTCTTCCATTAGATAAAATAACAGGTCGAGGATATTTTCTATTTGGCAAAAGTAAATATCTCGTTCCTTTTTTCAACAATCGAAGATGAGAAAAGTCACAGGTAGCTACAATCTATTGGTTTCGTTGAGATACGAGACTGAAAGCAATCCTAAGGAACAAGTGTATATACCTTGAGTTCTCCTTGTATACCGTGTGGTCCTTTCACTATTCCAATCTGAGAAAACCCAAACGACTCTGGTGAATAAAGCTCTCTCCAGGATGAGTTTGTGGAATCAGGTTGAGTTTGACAACGCCAACATTGAGTTGCACGTTGTTGAAAAGGAAAATATAAAAGAGAATTCTTGCGACAAGTTTTTATGTTTATCGTGAACCATAGAAAAGTTACATACATCGTCAACAAAGGTTCACCACATAAAGTAAGACCATCCACAACACATCATTTTATGATTATCATTATTCCCTTAAGGGGCATTCTTTTCCTTCTTCTTCACAACTCTTTCCAAAAAGCATCATAAGATATTCTATCATAACCACTTTTTAGGGTTGAGTTATACTCCATCATCATCTTCCATAAGACTTATCCGTTGTTCCTCTACATTCGACTCAAAAGTTAAACCATCACCATCTATGGACCAACGAACAGGTAAAAACCAATACAACACATTATTTCCAAATACTTTCCTAACATCATCATTAAATATTTCTCAAATATGTCAAAACTACTATTTCTACTCACTTCCAATTCCTCTTCCATCCCAAATCATATTTCCTTACAATTCTAGCTCTAGCAAGATCCCTTATTTCATGCATCTCTATAGTCGTTCTTCCTTTCAATACCAAAAGAGTATGAAAGACTGCAAAAAAGAGTAGCGCAAGTCCAAAAATAGTTACCAAGCAATAACAAATCACTACAAATGCTGCGGAAACGACTTGTTTTCCTTCCTCTTCACCAATAATAAATAGCGCTCTCTTGAGAGTTACTACTCCAGTAACACTAACAAATAAACAGCCAAGAAATGCATAATAAACAAAGAGAATAAAGAATTTCTGGTTATAAAACCCCACACAATTATTAATCCAAGGGCAATGATGATCCATTTTAAGTATACATCTCTTACAAGAACGACAGTGGTGAGTTCTATCTGGTTTATAAGTGGCACAATAACGACAAAAGCGAGGAGCACCATTGCGTTTAAACTCCCAAGTCAAAACAGACTGCATGTCGCCAGTCTCTTCCGTTTGTACCCATTGAACAGTTCGAGACCAAGAACCTCTTATATTCTTCATACTTTCACTAGGTTTCCAAGAGTTAGGTACACCACCTGGGTCACAAAATATGGAAAGAAGAAAGTTGATAAGAATATTCAAAACAAGTAGTTGAGTTACTAAGAGTCCAAGTATCCCTACAAAGTGAGAAGAAGATAGAAGAGGAATAAAGGTTGCCACAGTGGTTACATAATAACCACAAGCTATTATAGCCAATACAAGAATACAAGGAAAGAAACCCAAGGCTCTTGCAAAACTACAAGGAAGGCAACCTGTACCTAACAAGTCTTTTTGAAAGCTGAAACATATTCTTTCTAAAAACATTCTATCAAGTTCTCTTTATCATATTCAACTCTTGCAATAAGGCCTTACTGCTTCCCATAAAGAAGACGCGGCATCCAAATCCCACTCGAAATTTTGCCACGTGATAAGTTCGTACAACATAATATATCTAAAGCCAACACGAGTCAAATATCTTTTCTTCATACAAAGCATTCATTCGATATGATTACCTTCTACTCAACTCTACTACTAATTCTTCTGGAGCTTCAGGTAACACAGTATCGTGATAAGGATCGCAATGGTCACGGAACCAAAGTCTTAAAAACTCCTTGTCAATATTTTCTGGTTCTTTTCCTTGGCTCATTCTTTCTTCATAAGAATGTGATAACCAATATCTAAAAAAATCTTTTGAGAAACTCCATCTTGAAAAGCTATCAAGTTATACCTGGAAGAGTCTGGAGTATGCATTTCGTCAATCACCAAAATATTGCCATCCTTATCTCTACCAAACTCATATTTCGTATCCACCAATATCAAGCCATGCTCTCTAGCCACTTGTTGTCCTATAAATCTAATCAATTCTATTTCCACATACAAGATGAGATATCCATTACCAAAGGCAAACAGTTCCAATGCTGCTCTCTTACAATATTCAAATTCTTCTTTCGTCATCCACTTTTCTGCAACAATTTCTTCAGGTGAAATGGGTCGATCATTTGTCTCTTTCGTGGTTGGAGTCAAAACATTTTCTTCCAATTTCTGGTTCTTAACTAAACCATCAGGAAATGTGATTCCACAATAATGACGTATTCCTTTTTCATAATTTTTCCATAAAGAAGTTTCTATCCAATAACATTTCATATGAGGGCTCCAATCATTTCTTGGAGGAACGATACAAATACCTGTGGACCCAGTGATATAACCTCTTACTACAAATTCAATTGGAAATGGTTGACACTTCTTTGCAATAGTTATATATGGATGTGGTACAGCTACCAAATGATTGGGAATCTATACAAAGAAAATCAACTTCTATAACATTCCTTCTATTCTCATTATTGCTTACAATATGTTTCGTTCTTTCAAACCACCAAGCCGAAGTCTGATTTAATACTTGACCCTTGAATGGAATGGATGCAAGCACTCTATCAAATGCACTTTGACGATCAGTCGTAATAAGAATCATATATTCCGTTCCTTCATATTGATCGCGAACCTAAAAATGATTGATTTTCCCATTTAGATACACAAACATTCAATTTCAAAGCATAGACATCTTGAAATACTTACTTTTCCTTGTTTTTTATGTAAATTGCCCGGTAGAGAAGTAATACTTAGACATTGTTCACGCAGTGCTCGAATTTTAGGAACATAAGACTACACAATCTATTCAGAAGAAATTGGATATAGAAAGTCCATTCAAATTACTTTTGTCTTCAAATCGACATCTTCCACATAAAGGCGTTCTCTATAGGCAGCTTGTAATTCTTGAACTTTCTCGCGTATTCTTTCGTCATATATCGCCAAAATCTTTGCAGCAAATAAAGCTGCTGACTAGAAACACATTTTTGATTGTTCATTGAAACAATAAGACTCAAACATACTCCAGGCTCACTAATATATGCTGGAGCTACACCAGAAGGCATTCGAATCGAGGAAAACAAATCTGCTCCTCCATAAGAATCACTATAAGGTGGACAAGAAATAACTGGTGCAGAGACCTTTTGACAAGTTGATTGAGTCCATCTTGAATGCATGTGAAATACATACGGCACAGTCCAACACTCCACTTAAAGCATTGGATCTTCCAGCCACAGCAATATATACTTTTGGTCTTGCATCTGCTTCATATGTTTTCACAATATCTAGCAATCTTTCAGGTATCTATCACAACAAAAATTAGAATTCCTGAACACCATCTCTGCTACACCACTCAACCTTGTGTGCAGAGGCAATTCGTAATTCGGTATCCAATCCCAATTGTTTACAAGCAGCAGCTATCTTCTGACAACTTGAAAGATTCTTCTATCAACAACTTCATACAAGACTTGAAGAAACCTTTCTTACCGTTCCAAATCTGCACTGGATCCCATCAATATTGGAACAACAGGACGTAAAACTTTTCCGATTCTTTCACTTTCGTTATGTAATAGTCTTTCATTAAAGGATGTGGTTTGAAGTGTCGTGTTTTGGTTTCCTGAAACTACTGCATTCAACCAAAACTTCCTAGTCCAAGGAATGGTAGGATGTTTTGGTCTCGAATCAGGTCGATCCTTTTTAGATAGTCTCTTAGAATAATCAAACTTGTGTTGAAGACCTTTCAAGTTGGAAGAAAAAGTTACAAAAGCAAGCATTGACAATACAAATCTCTTTCAAAAACTGGAAAGCGACAAGTGAATTAAATAATCGCACCGAGACGATGGACGACAGAAAGCTGTTCAATCAAGGCAACGATTTTAGTTAGTGTTGAGGAAATAAATTGCCTTGAGAATATCAAGATTTTGAGAATATGTCTCTATAGAAATGGAATCATTTCTGGATAAAACTTACTTTATTGAGAATCGCACGTGTTGCATTCTATTGTGTTGTTTGGGATTTGAGAAAAGCTTATCATCTCTCGTTCTTGAGATCATCAAGAAATGCGTTGGGAGAAAGTGTGAGTTGCTATTTTGGCAAAAGACTTTATCTGCAAGTGCTATCTATTGGTTGCTTAAATTGAAAACATAATATACTTTTCTTCGGTTTCCTTTCCTGTATAGTGGTTTGTATTCGGTATGACCCAGTCTCCACCGGTCACCGTCATCGTGTTGGTATTTGTTGGTGTCATCATAACTGCTATCGTTTTGATAATATTATTTGCCTTTGCTTGTCGTTTTGTTAGAGATTCTGCGAATACCTCGAGAGTTTCAAATATTGCGCTTTTTGGTGTTCCCAGCTCAAGCATAAGACGACTTCGAGGATTGTCCAAGGAAGAAATAGAAAGAGCTTGTCCTCTTGTAATTTATAGAGGTCCCCATAACTTACTGGTCGATGTTAACGAGGATAAAGAAGAGAAGGGAGAAGGGAACAGCACGTTGGAGGTGCCAAGAGTGAACCTTCCTTCAGGAGTTTTTTCACAATCGTTCCAAGTAGAAGACAGCAAGCCTTTTCAGGAAAGAAACATTCCAGAAGATGCAGAAGAAAGTGATTTTGGGGAATCTAGGAAAAGTTATGGTTATGGAAAATATCGTGTGCCGGACGGTATATGTGCTGTGTGCTTAGAGGAAGTAACTGTAGGAACGTATTTAAGAATGCTTCATTGTCGGCATGCATTCCATGATGCTTGTATTACTCACTGGTTATTATGCGCCAATCGTTGTCCTCTTTGTAATTGCCCCGCGTATGAAAGGCCTGTTGAAGCAACAGATACAGCACAAGTGACGACTGATAACTCGCCAGATACGACGGTTGCTATATCAGATAATCAGGAAGACGAAACTCGTTCCATATCTATTGCTGATCAGGAACTTGTAGCGTCCTTGCGAAGGCAGTCAAGGCCCACCACTCGAGCTGCTAGACTTTGGACATTTATTCGGTTTGGACCTTATGCAACTGCTTCTCAAAACCTTGCAGCTTAAAACCTTGTTCAAATTTGGCAAAAGGGTTTAGAATTTCTTTTTCAGTAGTGTTCTTTCTTGCACGATATAATATATTGTATTCAAAAATGTTTCTTGCAATGTTGGAGAATTTTATGGGCCAATATAAAGGATACTAAGACTAATTATAAACAGAGTAAAAGTTACTTGTTACAAAATGAAAATTTAGAATATTCTTATATACATTCAATATCTTTGTTAAAGTTCCACAAGCAAGTTGGAATACTTAAACAGTATCTTCAGGTATTTCAGATACATTCTCATTATTCTCAAACAAAAGTTGTAAATGATTCCATTCAAAAGGATGTTCTTGGAACAAATAACGAATGTGCGCAAAAGGGCGATTCCATCCAGGTCTCCTTCGACGTTCGCTTTGTGCCCAAATATTCAACCAACTGTTATCTTCCATGGAAACTTTGCGATTCAAACATGAGATCAAATCTTTGTTACATAAAGGACATCGATGTGCATGTAACAGCCATCGTTCGACACAAGTGGCATGAAATATATGTCCACAAGGTAACTTGCGCATATAGTCTCCCACTCTTATGCTTTCCAAACAAATGGAGCATTCATCTGTACTCAAACAAGTAAACTGTTCTTCACACTCTTCAGAATCTACAAAACTATTTGACAGCAGATGTCTTTGGCTATTTGAACTCGTGCTATCCCGGCAACCTGTATTCATTTCTGCATCACAACCGTTTTGCACTTGAACAACCTTGCGACTCTCAGCTTCATCTTCTGCAAACTCTTTTCGAAGGTTGAGTAAAGGCTCACAACCTTCTTTCCCACGAAACTTTGACTTGGATGACGAAAAAGCATCCATTGCTCGGTATGAATCAGCGTTATTTACACCTGAAGGACTAAGATTCTGCCAAACTTGACCTGGACTCTTGACAGAATCATCCACAGTTCCTTCTATGTGGAATTGTTCATTCTGGTCTGAATTTGCCGCTGTTCCATCAACAACATAACCCTCATATATGTGCAAGGGACAGACATCACACAGTAACACGTCTGCAACTATTTTCTTCCTTTGTTGTTCACATAAAGAACTGGCCCTTCGGAACATGCGTCTTCTCCGACGAATTCTTTGCAGTCGCTTGTGTTGTATAATAAACATGATTGTAAACACTCCACAACCTGTTGGTAACAATACGGAAAGAAGAACGATGAATAAGAGCACTCCAGATATCATTTTGTAAATATTCGAAGAGTCAACGTCACTCAGTGCTTTTCGAGAAATTTGGGATTGTGTGCCATTCTATTCCAAAGAACTTTCTCTGAATTGCATCATTCAAAATAAGCAGTTGTTTGATTACAGTCCGGCCTATATAAGAAGAAATTTCAAGGTAGGCTATCTGTTTCAGCTATATAGAGCAACTATTGTGTTCATGTTTATCATACAAATGGCCATAGCATGTTAAATAAGGAAACCCTGGTTCATCTATTATTGGACTTTTAGAAACTATTCATTCAAAATACAAGTAGGAGGAAGCTACAAGACTGCCCTTTTGGACCGTCTAGTTTCTGGTATCTTGTTCAAGATGCTTATTCATGCCTACAGTAGTTACTAGTAGTAGAGTATACTTTACTACAAGTCATTATGTCAAAATGGCAACACTTTTACCATTTTCTTAAGAATACACAGCGACCTACAAGACTGCTGAATGTTGACCCAACGGTTATACCCTTTACTGATTCTATGCGTTGAAGAGCACTATTCTAACAATGAATGTTGAGATTAGGCTCTTCAAAAGTATATGATGAGTGAACAAAAGATGTTGCTTCTTCAATCAAAAGTTATTCGTGTGATAAGTTGTCGAAGTTCCCATTGATGATCCACCAGAAATGGCGCCATCATTGATCAAGTTCTGATCTAATAAAATTTCATTTTTTCCTCCAGCAATTCAATCCATTTTTGGTAGCTTAAATGAGACCACACAAGCTACAGCTTTTCCAAGTAGTTTTGCTTTCCTTTATAGTACTTGCTTGCTTCCATGAACAAGCATATGCTAAGAAAAAAGGAGGAAAAGCCTCCAATTCAGTATCTACTTCGGCATCACCCAGTACTCAAGTAGAAATTATTGAGGACAAGGAGACGGCTTCTCACAAGATAGTAGAACTCGACAGTGAGAATTGGAATAAGACTTTGGATGGATCCAAAGCAGCTGTAGTTATGTTTTATTTGTCGTGGTGTGAGTAAGTACCCGTTATTCTTCTTGCAATCAGTCTTTAGTTGAATACTGACTATATATATTTATTCTAGTCATTGCAAGGATATGGAGCCACATTTTCAAAGACTTGCGGAATCTGCATCGGATCAAGTTATCGTTGGGAGAGTGAACTTGGAGAAGAACATAGAATTGGCCAAAAGGTAAAGAATTTCTGAATATATTTAGAAACAAGATCTTCACAAGCACTTTGCTTTGAATAGATTCCGTGTAGATGGAGCTCCCACTTTATTGTATTTTGCCGAAAGAAATACATCGACTGCACAAGAATTACTGGTACGAAAAGCCGAAGCAATAGCATCACAAGTCAATCGATTGGCGAATACAACTTTATTCCATTTAACAGACGAGAATTTGGAAATGGACATGTCCCAATTTGTAGAAGCGACGGAGTTGCAATTGAAATATGTTGAAAACATTTCACTGAATGAAGTCGAGTCGGTTATTGCCAAACGAAAGACACATTTGTTAATATTATTTGTGACGAATGGTTCAGAACCGGAATTCGAACAAAACAATCATTTGGCAGCATTTGATGTGGTTTGTATACATTTATTTTCAATGGCATCGAGTCATTGGTTTGTTCAGGTTGCAGGCATTCACAAGGAAATTCGTGCTGGAATACCGGAGACGACAGATGTGCAGATGGGCTTCGTCAATGTTCAAGATGAAGAAAGATGGAAAGGCTTGGGTAAGAAGTTGGGTTTCTCTACCAAAGAATATGTAAGTTTTATTGTCCTACATTTTTTGTCTGTTTTAATACAAGTCTATATTTAGAAATCCAAAGTTATTTTATTTCCTCAACCTGAGAAGGGAAAGAAAGTCCAACCTATTGATTGTGATGATGTTCGAAGTAAAGGTTGTCGAACTGCCGATGCAATTTTATCATTATTGAATGAGAAAGTTAGTAGGGCCTTATCTTGTTTTTTGTTTATCTGAGTATTTCTTCTTTAGGCCAATCTTGGTAATATTATAATTAACAAGGCAGACGACTTAGAAGCGGATGATTTAGAGAACGATGCCGGATAGTCTTATCATTTCTTTTTCTAATATCTGTATGCCTAGTGATGAATAGACAAAGGTAGTCTATAAAGTTGGCATTTTATGAACAGTTTTATTTGTTGTAAATCGATTCTATTGTGTCCACTAGAGCATCTGTAGGAGACTTTTCATGAAATTCCATTTGTCAGAATTCATCCATTTGATTTACTTTTTGAAGGACGACGTAGGTTGAAGAGGATAAAAGTGAAACTATTTTATTTTGTCCTTGTGTTCTCCAACAAAACTTGCACTCTTCTTACCTCTAAAGTCTAATCCTTTCTTTTATAGACTGGTGGATAATATGAGTGCTAGAAAAAAGGCCAAGGGTATTGAGTCAACAAGGTGAGGGCCTACCTCTCGCATCTTGTGTTACACAACACCCTACAACAAAAAGAATTACTTGAACAAGTACTTGTGTCAACTGTCACCAGTTTCTACAAGTAATGAATCACTTGACAACCTTCTTAGACACTTTCCAGTCGTAGCAAAGGAAGCAAATACTCGAGCAAAGGAAAAGTCACAGGCAAGTGCACTGGTGAGTGCTCGTAACAGCTGCATAGCTCGTAAAATCATAAATAATTGGGAAGGAAAGCGACGCACTCGTGCGGTCTTCAAAGGACTCGCTTCGGAAAACGGATTGATTTCCACACCAGCTGGCAAGGCACAAGTGTCAAATAGTCCAGTAGCATACAGAGACAATAACTGTTCTGACTGTTGGTTGTGTTCTACTTGAATGCCAAGAGCACTAAATGCGTTGGCTACGTTACTCACATTATCTTGAGCCAAAGCTTCAAACAATTCACACAACCTTATCCGAAGATCATCCTCAATCTCTTTCACTTGACCAAAGTCAAAGATTCCAATACGACCATCTTCAAGAAACACAAGATTCCCTGGATGAGGGTCGGCATGAAATAAACCATCTATAAGCAACATATGTCCGTAAGCCATGGCAATGTTCTCCAATATGGCATTGCGATCGACATTAGGAAAGGATTCAGTCACCAATCTATCGATCTTAAATCCTTCGATGAAGTTCATAACCAAAACTCTTCTTGAAACTAAATTTTGCGTAACTTGTGGAATAACTACTCGTTGAGGTAGAATGCCAGCACTTCTTAAATTGTTTGATATTCGTTGCATCATTTGAGCTTCTCTTTCAAAATCAAACTCTAATGGAATTTGATGCTGAAATTCTTCCACTATGGAAACCAAATCAAACTTCAAGTCATGTCTTTGTAAAAATACGGCTAAACGGGATAGATTAGAAAGATCTAGCTGACAGAGCCTTTCTTGGTCTGCATATTGTGCCTTCACTGCGACCAACTGTCCATTCATCTTTAATCTTGCACAATGAACTTGAGCAATAGTTGCACTTGCAAGAGGAACTGGATCAATCCAGTCAAACAACTCTACGATGGGTTTGTCCAAAGAAGTTTCTATCGTCCGTCGAATATCTTGAAAAGGAGCGGGAGGTACTTCATCTTGTAGTGTCTTTAGTCTTCGTATCCAAGCAGCTGGCATGAAATCTGCACGAGTTCCTAAAAACTGACCATCTTTAAGATAGAAACCTCTCAATTCCGTACATAACTTGTAAACCTTCTCAGAACCCCATTCGTGACGTTTCTCCCACAATAACCTTTTTTCTTCTTCTGGCAAAGTTTGTGCTTCTTTTTGTGTTATCTTATATCCAATATAAATAGGAATAACTCTACTCCAAAACTGCCAAGTTCTATATAGACCAGGATGGGTAGATTGAATTAGTGGAGGAGCCAAGGTAACAAAAAGTAAAGGTCTCCAAGTAGCTTCGATAATAACTTGACGTGGTCCTTGAAATAACAAACTCCCTGCTGTGATAAAAGTCACTTTTCTTCTAGTCTTCTTACTTGCAAGTATTTGAAATAATGCAAACAACAATACTTTACCAGTAAACTTGAGGAACTTTTCAAAGAAAGAGCGCTTGGTTTGCTTTCGTTCTTTACTCTTCTTGGAGTCGATATTATTCCATTTGTTTGTCACAAGTATATTTGTTTGTTTGTTTTGAGCACAAGAGGCACACTTTTGGGGATTGAATAACATATTTCGTTATATATCAACAGAACAATTGGTTGACGATTGTTATGATGATTATTCTTTTAGTTGTCCACTTATTCCATATTGATATAAAGTCCAAAAAATCAAATACGAATAATCTCCTGTTTCTGTTTGGATAAAGACCGAAGTTATGTCATGTCGACTATTTCTACTGTGACAGATATCGAAGAACAAGACGATATCTTCAGTTTATCTAGAAGATATGCGTCTTTCTTAGAACATAGTCGAGAGTTTAGAGAAGAGCTTTATGAAATGCAGGGTCCAGAAGATATTCCTTACCGAACTATGTCTTGGAATATGGCTTACTGTGCTATGACTGCTGAAACAGTAGCTTTGGGAGTATTATCTTTACCAAGTGTCTTTTCTACTTTGGGATATGTTCCTGGAGTTGTACTTGTCTTGTCCTTTGGAATCCTTTCTACTTATACAGGCTTCAATCTGGGACAGTTTCGATTGAATCACCCAGAAGTATGTAACTTTGGAGATGCCGGTTATGTTTTAAAGAAAAGATTGGGAAGGTTTCTTTGTTCTACTGGACTTTGTCTGTTTTTAATATTTTTGGTTGGAGCGCATTGCCTAGCTGGAAGTATAGCTATGGAAACTTGGACGAACAATCACTTCTGTCGACTATTGGGTGCTATACTATTTGCTTTGATTGGTTTCATTCTTAGTCTTCCTCGTACTTTGAGAGGTGTGAGTTATATGTCTGTGGTTTCTATTCTTAGTATTTGTTGTGCTTTGATATTTACAGGAGTTGCACTTATTATTCAAAGACCAACCGATACTTTGTTTCAGTCTCCAAAAGCTTTTGTGACAAATGTTTCCTTTTCCTCTTGTCTTGTTTCTATTATGGACGTTATATTTGCTTATGCTGGTCATTTAGCGTTTTTTAACTTTATAGCTGAAATGCGCGACCCAAAAGAGTTCAGTAGAGCACTATTCGGTCTTCAAGTAACTGATATAACTATTTACCTTTTGACAGGAACTATCATGTATGCTTTTGGAGGTGGTCATTTAACTTCTCCTATTATATCTACTCTACGTTTTTCAACACTACGTCAAATAGCCTATGGTTTGGCAACTCCAATGATTGTGATTGCAGGAGTTATTTATGCACACGTGGCTGCGAAGTTTCTGTTCTTTCGATTGGTTCCTAGTCACTATTCTTCTCATTTTCGACGACATACGTATCTTTCATGGATTATTTGGTCCACTTTATGTGCATTCATTTGGTGCTTGGGTTGGCTAATATCAGAAGCAATTCCTTTCTTCAACGAGTTGCTTAGCTTGACTGCTTCTCTTTATGCTTCTCAGTTCACATATGGACTATCTGGGGTCTTTTGGTTATTTGATCATCGTGGAGAGAGAAGACCGTTATGGATGTTGTTGAACATTTTTATTGTGATATTGGGTCTTGTTATTATGATTTTAGGTGTTTATTCTTCCATTGTGGAAATTATTCTCAAACGTGAAACTACACATTCATTGGGTTTATTTTCTTGTTGATTGGGAATAAAAAGTGAATTGTAGAAATGAAGAAAAGATGACCATCCGTTGAATTGTCGAAATATTCATTTTTGGGTATCGTTGCAGGTTGTCTTTTGTTTACCAAAATATGTCTATTCATGGCAAGAATTTTCTTATGGTTCCTGGTCCAACCAATGTGCCAGATAGAGTACTTAGAGCCATGCATAGGTATGTGTGATGAATTCTCTCTATGTTTGAACTCAATGTTCTATCGTTGCATAGGAATAGCGAAGACCATCGCTCTCCAGACTTTCCAGCTTTGGCCAAAACTGTATTAGAAAATATAAAATGGGTTAGTGAATTGGATATTATTCGTTGTTTTTACTGATTGGAAACAACAACTATGTTAGGTATTCGGTACTACAAAGGGTCGTTCGTTTATATTTCCAGCTAGTGGGACAGGTGCTTGGGAAGCAGCGTTAACCAATACTCTTAATAAGGGAGACAAAGTTATTTCTGTTCGTTTTGGTCAATTTTCCCATTTGTGGATAGATATGATGCAGCGTTTGGGATTGGAAGTTACCATATTGGATGTGGATTGGGTAAATAACAGAATGGATATCCATTTTTATCAAGTACGATTAATGTTGACATTTACATAGGGAGAAGGAATTCCTATCGATATTCTATCTAGTTATATTGCACAAGATACTCGACATGAATATCAAGCAGTATGTGTTGTACATAATGAGACCACTACAGGTTAGGAACATGAGAAGAACCATTCAAGCAACATTGACAAGTGGATAGGAGTGACTACAGATATTGCTGCCGTTCGAAATATTCTCGATCGATATCATCATCCTGCTCTACTTATGGTAGATGGCGTATCTTCTATTGCTTCCATTCCCTTCAAAATGGATGAATGGAAAGTTGGTATGGCTCGAATATTTTCAAATGTTTTCTTTGCCATTGATTACAAAATAGATTTGGCTATTACTGGTTCTCAAAAAGGTTTGATGCTGCCAGCTGGTTTAGGAATGGTTTGTGCATCAGAAAAGGCTTTGGAAAGATCCAAAAAGGTAGAGTGACCAACTTGTGTGATTTGATGATAAGTTTACTCGATTGAATTAGAACAACCTTCATCGCGTATTTTTCTCTTTTGAAGACATGATTGTCAACAATGATGTTGGATATTTTCCTTATACTCCTTCCATCCCGCTATTATATGGTCTGAAGGAATCTTTAGCAATGCTAATGGAAGAAGGCTTGGAAAGTGTTTATGTTAGACATCGAAGATTGGTGAGCAACCGTATTTTGAATGTTCTATTTTGGTACGAAATGAATGTTTGTCTTAGGCACATGGCGTTCGAAGAGCAGTGGAGGCTTGGGGTTTGAAGACTTGTTGCAAGAATCCCAAGGAATATTCAGATACAGTGACTGCAGTTGTGGTTCCTGAAGGATTCGATGCCCAACAGGTGATTCGTATCGCTTATGAAAAATACAATTTATCTCTTGGAGCAGGATTGATGAAGGTAAGAGAATGACACTCTGAATGTTTTCCAACTCAATAGGGACTCATAAGGTTCGTGGTCGTGTGTTTCGTATTGGTCATTTGGGTGATTTGAATGAGTTGATGGTATTAGCCACTTTAGCTGGTACTGAAATGGCCATGTTAGAAGTGGGCATTCCTATCAAGTTAGGCTCAGGTAGGATATTATACACATTGTTATAGAGATGAACAAAACTATCATTTAGGTGTCGCAGCAGCATCCGAATATTATATGAAAACTTCAAAACAAGTTCGTGGACTTTTTAATAATGTTTGATAAACAAGAGGGTTTATATACAAAAGTTGGGTTTGGCTTATTGTCTTTCAGTTTCTACTAGTTGTTGTGTTTCTTGTTCCCCAATTTCATCAGGAATAGAAGATTCTTTTCCATCTTTGTGCAGTTCCACTGTCATGGCTGGTTGTTGTTCCAAACTTTTGGTAGTAAATCGTAAAAAACTTGGACTTGTCACCAAAATATCCAAAATCAAATGCTTGTCTAAACTAGCAAAACCATTCGTTCTCACTACTTCACCAAAGTTATTCGAAATAAACTGCAAAGAAACTTGTTTCAACTCTTTAGAATCATATAAAGATGCAGCTTCAAATATTTTAGCAGCATTTGTAATAGTCAGATGCTTTCTTAGACATTCTTCACACAAGGCTTTCAATCTTGGTAAGTTGTATCGATCGCCCAAGGCCAATAAGTCGATAGCAAATTCCAAAGGAATATTTATCTATGGAAACCCATTCATACCTATCCATAGTTTTATCATAAATCAATTCACTTTACCTGGTCTCCGTATAAATAACGTAAAAATAATTGATAGACATGTGGAGCAACATCGGGAACTTCAATGTTTCCAGTTCGACTTTCTACACAATCCGTCAAAAACATTCTACGAAATACATCGCATCGCGTAATCAATACCAAACGATGAGCACGTAAAGGCTAAAGAAATACATAACGTGTATTGTTATAAGGAGCAAAACAATATGACTTACTGTCCTTTGAGAACCTACAAAAATGGTGACATCTGTAAACTGTCCCGTTTCTAACATAGCTATCCAATCGTTCATCAAAGAAGATGACGGAATCTCCTTTTCAAGTCTGGCATTCTTTGTAGAAAAATAAGACCATATCATTCCTATACTTGGAGAGAATGCAACACTTACTTGATAAACGATGGTAAACTGCAATCCAGAAGCAACATGACAAGTCTCCAAATGGGATAACCAAGTAGCCATACGAGGAGATAAGAAACCTTTTTGTCATTTTAGCACAAATAATCACATTTCTATCAATTTTACCTGATGCAGATGGATGTCCATGAACATGTCTCTCGTTTGAACCCCAGACAAACAGTTCTGCATGTATTGTTACTGCAAAAGAAGCACATTCAGATACAGAAACTTGAATTACACGTCTATTCCGCAATATATGAATTTCCTTTATCAAAGTAGAGTTTTCTACAGTTCCATCTCCCAGTTGTCCATAATTATTTTCTCCCCAAGCATAAACTAGTTCTGAAGAAGAAAGTGCCAAGACATGTCGAATACCAGCAGCAATCTGAATGATTCCTTTGGATTGCAGTCCAACAACCTAAATTATCAATATATTCATTCCTTACGATACAATGCAAAATGTCATACTTGCTGTGGTTCAGGAACAGGATTTGTGTGTCCTAGTCCCAACTCTCCATGTGCATTATATCCAAAGGCCCAAACTTCATCATCTTGTGTGGATACGACAAAACTCATATCTTTTCCACATGAAATATGACTAAAATGTGTGCATTGAAGTGAAGTGATGATAGTTGGATAAGCAACAATACTAGAAGCTCCAGAACCTGAAGGAAATCCAACCTGACCATAACTGTTTCCACCCCAACCATAAACAACACCTTGTTTGGTTAAAGCCAAGCCATGTACTCCTCCACTAGCAATTTCAACAAGACATAAGCCAGATAGATAAGGATTCATTACAGGAGTATGTACACAACCACCTGAAATACCTAAACCCAGAGCAGCCGATTCATTTCTACCCCATACATATACTCTATCATCATCTGTAAGTGCAAATGATGTACTATAACCAGCTGCTATGAAAACAACTCTACGAATTTTGGTATTTCCATTCTTTGTATAAACTGGAATGGAAGCCTTTTTAGGTATTCTTTCGTTGATAATCTGTATGCGACCCTCATCATCTAAAGAGCAGCCTCTTTCATCATAGTTGATAGTAGTAATAGGAACAGGTGAAGGAATGGGGGTAGATGAAGCCACTCCTGTTCCACATTCACCCAATTTATTGGAACCGAAAGAATAAACTTCACCTTCCACTGTAAGCACAAGCACGTGTCGATGACCGCAGACGACTTGGACTACTTTTTTATTAGCCAAGGTAGCAACATGAGCAGGAATGGGTTGGCGGCTACTTTCAAGACTTCCTAGACCACAACAACCTTCCGAATTATCACCAAAAGAAAATACACCTTGTAACTTGTGGTTATCACTTTCCAACAAGTGCACTGAGTTGTCAACAACACTGGTCTGATCTTTGTTCCTCAAGCAAGGTGAAAAAACTCCATTAGAGGAGTCGTTATCTCTTGAATAAGCTTGGTTTGAGAAAGACAAAGTTAAAGACGTAGAATGCTCACATATATGATCGTCTGTCATCCTCCAAAGAAAGCACTTGTCATCAATCGTTGTACAAACTTTTCACATTTCTTTTATTTTATTTGATATATGTTGTACATATATATATAAACTATTTGAATATTTGTGTCAATTGACAATCTTGAGCCATCTTCATATTTTAGATCTTTTGACATTTTGCTTCCACACATATGAAGGAGTTGTTCTTTTGTTGTTGAATGAATGGATCCCATCACAAGAGAGCGAGTGAAGGTTTCTGTAGCTGGTCGTATCTCTAAGGACCCTAGTGCTTCCATGTGTATGAAAACCAAGTGTCAAGGACTCGTATCCAAATGTGTCAACACAGTTGCTGCCTGCAAGTACATACTTTCACAAAAACTTTGTAAACCAAATAATAACCAAACTGTGAGTAGGGAAATTTCCAGGGGAATGAAAGCCAGTGTTTTTTGTGATCAACAAGTTAATTCTTGTAAAGATACTTATTTGCGTGAGTGTGCTATTGTTTGTAGCAAAGCATATTTTGGCGAGGAAAGGAGAGCCCAGTGTCTTTCTGAATGCCTCAACTCCAAGTGTTACAATCCTGCTAAATATGGCAGCTGTATTTCTTCGCAACTAGCGGAGGCATTGGCTTCGTGTATTGAGAAGAACTGTGGAGATACTGTTAGGAAGTGTATGACCAATCGATGTAATATTTCCTTTCCAGAGAAGGATTAAGCATCTAGTTGGTCTTTTTTGATAGGAACTATTATTACGGAGACAAGACAACAACTTGTCTTTGATGACCTTTTCGATTATATGCCATTTATATATAAGACAAATGAAAATAAAAAGAATAGTCAAGATGTGAGTTCAATAATGCGTTTTCACTTCAGCAAGGCGCTTATTTTGAAATTCAATTGATAGAAAATGGAGTGGTTAGGTTCTGCAGCTCTTATGATTGGCTTATGGCTTCTCTATTTATGGTTCTTTGGTACAACCAAAACAAGTATTTCCAATTACACAAGTCCAACTATTCGACCATCAGAAACTGAAAAGTATCTACCTACAAGAGAGAGTATTTGGTCTGTTTGGAGACAAGTATTTTCTCTCCTTGACGAGGAAGTCAAACAACTTCAACGCAATCAACAGGAACTTTATAGTTGTACAGAAGACTGGATTGATCGAACCCACTCTGACTTGCATCGTCTACGAATTGCCATGAACAAGTTACATTCCAAGACATCAGTGAAGTTCAATCAAGTTGAAGATGTGAAGAAGAAGAGATTGAGTCTTCATCCTTCCATGAGTTTGGCGTTTTCTATTCAAGATGGAACTCTTAGAATGTAAGAAACTCCAATTGCCTTTGATGATAAATCGCAAAGTGTCATAGAAAACCGTAAAATATTTTTTTGTAATTTTAGAATATTAGTTTCGCTATATGAAGGAATAGAAAGGACATCATAAAAGTTGTTAGCATGGAAGAAGAATGCTTTCCCTTTTGACCTCCAAAGCTCTTTTTTGAACGACATTCGACAGAATGGCGCATTTCTCATTCTAGCTATAGTCAAAATATGCTTCATATCTATACACGTTACTTGGTACCTAAACTTTGGGTATTAGCTTCTAGTTGTCGTTTGCAATTGGGTTATTCGTGGAGGAAACCTTTGTCAAGTTGGTATTCTGGTCGTTTTCTCAACCTAGTTGCAAAGGAAAAGCTTCCAGATACTTTCCACCTTCCTATTATTGCAAAGAGCTATTGTTCGAGTACTTTAGACATTAAACAGAAAGATTCGGATCAGTATGCTGTAACTTCGTTGGAAAGTGACAGAGAAAGATATTTTGTAAAAAAAGTAAAACCTTTATCCGACAAGGAACGGGAAAAAATTCGTTACCTTTTGAGAGAATATGTGATAGATGATACATCTTATCAAGAAAAGGCTATTGAGATTGGTATCAGTAAAGAGATTTATCCTCGTGCACTTCGTTTATTTAGAAAACACGTGCACGAGGCAACTGGAAGAAAAGAACTGTATACTCGTGAGGATGTCGAATTGTACAACGTTGTATTGAAGGCACTATCTCAAGGTAATCATATAGGCAAGACTTTGAACGATAACTAAACTATTTCGTTAATTATGTAGATGATGATATTAAAGCTCTAGAAGAGTTGTTTCCAAGTTTTATCGAATATACCAAACAATATTTTCCTGAAGAAATTCAAGTCCGTAATCGAATGAGAGAATATGCTGACTTACGACTACCTCATTTACTATTTCCAGAAGCACGAAAGAGAAGGAGAAAGGTAACTGTTCTACTTATGGTTTGTTTTATTACTCTTTTTTATTGTTTATCTTAGATTGTCTATCATTTTGGCCCAACGAATAGCGGCAAGACATATTTTGCAATGGAAAGACTGAAAAGTGCGAAGAATGGAGTCTACGCTGGTCCTTTGAGACTACTTGCTTGGGAAGCCTTTGAAAAAATGAATGCTGACGGTGTGTTTACCAACTTAATGACTGGAGAGGTAGTTTTATAAATAAGCATTACGATGTTGTATATATGTATATTTAATCATTTGGTTTATTAGGAAAAGAAAATAATTCCATTTGCTTCACATATTGCTTGTACAATCGAGATGCTCTCAACAGAAGAAGAATATGAAGTTGCTGTGTTGGATGAAATTCAAATGATTGGAGATGCACAACGTGTTTGTATAGGTTGATGTAGTGGTCATGTTGAAACTTACTTTTGACTAGGGTTGGTCTTGGACTAGAGGATTATTAGGTGTTCAAGCTTCGGAAGTGCATGTATGTGGAGACCCCAGTACAAAAGGTAAGAATCAGTACTCTGAATGTTACTATTATTGACATGATCAAGAGCTATTAAAACAGTTGGCTCAAAGATGTGGCGATGAGTTTGAAGAAAAAGGTTGGTTATCTCGGCATTCAATTTACAGTCAGAACATTATTCTTCCATTAGAATACTTTCGCCAAACTTCTCTTGAAATATCTCGAAAGAGTCTAAATGGAGATTTGAACAAGTTGCAAGATGGAGATACCATTGTGGTATTTTCAAGACGCGATGTTTACGAAACCAAATATCGAGTTGAGCAAACCACTGGAAAAAGGTGTTGTGTTATTTATGGAAGTCTACCACCAGAAACGCGAAGTTATCAAGTAGGAAATTTAACCATCAGTATCATCCATGTTGTTTATTGATTGATGTGAAATTTATTAGGCGAGACTATTCAACGATCCTGAGTCGGAATATAAAATATTAGTAGCTACAGATGCAATCGGCATGGGTCTGAATCTGAATATTAAGAGAATCATTTTTGCCAGTAATTATTTAGTAATTTGGTATGTTGCAGCATTGAAAAATGTGTTTTTTCATGAAAATAGGTTTGGAAAAGTTTCATGGCTTATCCTCTTCTGCTCGTAAGGAGCCCTTATCCTTTGCTCTTATTCGTCAAATTGCTGGGTTCGTATAAACGTCGTTTGACTCAAGAGGACTTCTTATTTTTTATATTGCAGTCGTGCAGGACGTGCTTTTAGCATATATCCACATGGTGAAGCTACTTGTTTGTACGAACATGACATTCCACGTTTACAAGAAGCCTTTCAAGGTTCCGTTCCTTCCATAGATAGCGCTGGATTGATGCCTACTTTGGACCAAGTAAGGTTTTTTCCAAGTTTTCGAAAGTAGAATCAAGTATATTGAATCGTGTAGATGGAACTATTCGCTTCTGTAGTGGGTGATAATGTAAAGCTCTCGACTTTATTGGACCTATTTGCAGAATATGCCAAGTTGGATAATTTGTTTTCTCTTTGTGAACAAAAATTTTTGGAAATGCGTCGAATTGCACGTTTATTACAGCAAGTAAGTTTAGGATTCTTATGATTTGCTCTACACTTATTCATGCGCTTTTCAACAAGGCTGGTACTTTATCTTTGAAAGAACAGTTTGAATTTTGTCAAGCTCCTGTAAATATTTCGGATCCATTTCTTATGAAATATTTGTTAAGGTGGGAAAAGATGGTCATTGGTTGCTTAAAAATAACTCTTTTGTAGTTTTGCAAAAAATGTTGCTACAGGCAGTCGTTCTGAACTCACTGTTCGTCCTTACCAAGGTAAACTACTTACACAGCTTGATTTACAGAAATTGGAAAGCAGATATCGAATATTTGATTTATATAGCTACCTAAGTGAGAAGTTTGGTAGGGAATTCTTCCCAGATTATCAAGTAGCTCTCGCATACAAGCGTCGTACTATTCAGTCCTTAGAAACTGCATTGACGGAAGGAGTTCGATTTCAGGATGACTTGAACAAAAATACAATGCCTAAGAATAATAGTTCATATGAAGAACAACGGCAAGATAATTGGTTCCGTTTTCCAGTTTCTGAGGAATTGTCCAAAGCGAATGATATTCCTCTAAAATAGAAAGCTGTGACATGATAGTAGTTTAATGGAATGGCGTGACTTGCTGTGGTGTAATAATGAAAAGATAGTTTTGTAGAGATCTCAACTCATTTTGGGATGGGGAATGATCGCCTTGATCATTTCATGATTGTAGAATACGATAGATAAAGCCACTTAAGATGAGATTTCATGGATAGGATTTTCAAAGCAATGTCATATCATCACGTCTTACTAACATGTCAAGAGAAAATCTCTTTTTTCGAATGTCTGTTAAGTATTTGAGAAAGTAAGGAATGTCTCACAGCATCTTAGCCACTATAATGAAACATATTTCTTCCATAAATGGTACACAACTTTTATAAAAGGAATTTATACAACTCATTTCCTATAGGACCTTTGCCATTTGATATTTTGTATCAACTACGAAGCCGGAGATGAAACTGGATCTCCAACCACTTCCCTTTGTCGACTCTTTTTCTGTTCTTTGATGGCTTCTTGTCTTACAACCATCCAAAATCGCGGTCTATATACATTACGGTAGCCTTGAATAAAGAAATCTGGGAGCAAACAAAGAGCCACCGTAACTAAGACGACAAAATAAAAGTATGCACTAGAACTCATCTCATTATACCAAGTCCAATACAAATCATTGCCCAGAAATGCAGAAGTACTCGTAAAAAAATCGGTAGTGAAGAGAATCAAATAAACTAAGAAACACGCCAAACAAAAAACAATACCCAAAACATTCACCCAAGTCCAACGAAGTGTCTCTAATGAAATCTTGCTCAACACTACCACTTCTACTCCTGTGTGACAAAATCAAATTGAGTGTTCTCTACAGGACAGACAAACTCTTACCAATTTGGAACATAATAATCAATGAACTCAGCCCAAAAGTAAACCCTTGAGGATTCCATATATCTGTAGCGTCTGCGCTATTATATAAAGCCAAAACAGGAACAAAGGACAGCACTAAAGAGTGCCAAAAACCTGATAAGAGCCAAGGGATAGTAGACTTTAGGTTGAACTCGGATTTCGACCTAAATAACGGAAGGTTAAGATAAAAGAGAACAGAATCTTATTGTACATACTTATACACTGCTGGATATCGAAGAACAGCCGAAGCAGGAACATCACGCTCAAACCATCCTAATACCAAAGGTGCCAAACCAGTATATAATAAATCATACAATAGCTCATAATATGTGTTTGCCTAAAATTTCCTGTCAATAGTTGCGAAGTTCCGACACTTTCAAACTCACGATCGCTTCCACCGAAAACTGACACCAAATATTATACCACAGCAATCCAGTAAATATTACAAAGTCCTTATAAAAAATGGCCTTTAGACATTGTGAAATGCCAACATTTGCATAACGTCCATAAAGAGCAATTAGGCGACGAAGATGACGAAACTCTCCAATAGAAAAATCAGATGAGCGAGAAGCCTGTGCGCCTTCGTATCCAGCAATACCAACTCCCACATGAGCTTCAAGAATCATAGGAACCTTGACAAATAACGTCAACCATTACGACAAAACGGAATGATGAGTTGAAAACTTACGTCATTTCCACCATCACCTACAGATAATGTTATATCTGGATGATATTTCTTACAGGTTCTTACAACCCATGCCTTATCCATTGGCTTGGTACGACAACAAATAACCGAGTCAAACTTTCGGGTTGCCAAAGAAACAAATTCCTTTGCATATCTTAAGAGAGCAAAGCTTAAAGCATCTCCTTCTACCACCAAAGTACGTCGAGTTTTCTTTATGTTGCTGGTGGGATCCACAGGTTCATCTCCAGAATGTCCATTCATCCCTGAATTCCAGTCATCCATTCTCTCTCTCGATTCCATATCATCAAGAGCGCTACAATCTCTATCCATTTCGATTTCTTGACAAAGATCTTCTAGAGACTCAAAGGATTCCAACTGGCTTTCCATGTCCCGCTCTGTCTGCGCAGTCAAGTCATAAACTGCTGAATCCGGACCAATCAAGCCACTTAAAACACCAACATTGACAGCAGTTTCTCGTTTATCACCTGTCAGTAACCATATACGAATACCACATTGACGCAAATAACTTATAGTTTCTGGAACATCATCTTGGAGGCGATCTTCTACCGCTGTGACTCCAACGAGAGACAAGTCACACTCCAAAAGCTCCCATACTTCATGAATCTTGCTCTCTCTTTCATACAAGGCCAACTCTGCATGATTCAGTTTCTCAATCCATTCCTGATAAAACTCAGGTGAAAGTTCACGTTCTGCAAATACCAACGTTCGAAGTCCTTCCCTTTGCAAACTTTTCAACTTGAAAATTGGCAGTCTCAATCTCCTCTCGATTTTCCTGTTTTAGACGAGGAAAAATCACAGATTCTGCTCCCTTGACAAGCAACAATATCCTACAACTGTGTCATATCTTGCTTAAAGGTTGGTGAACAAAAAACTCAAGTACCTATTCTCTGGTGTTTGAACAATGATGGACATTCGTTTTCGATCAGATGAAAATTCACAAGTAGCCAAAACTGAATAGGAAACGTAATTTCCATTTGTACATGGCTTCCATGATTGTTCTTCTTGATAGCCTTGGAATATTCCTTTGCGATATACTTCTTCTAAAAGAATATTGTCACGTGTCCGCATTGCTAAACGATAACCTGAAAGTGCTGCGGTTTTTACAAACTCCATTTCATCAGTGTTGGTTCCTTCATATGAAACATTTTTGGGATCTAAGGGATCCTTCTCATAGGGTAGTTGCTCGTTCATATCAACAGAAGCTGTGCCAACGAGTTTGTTGTCCAACGAATCCTTCGGCTTATCACTCGAATGGATTGTTCCTTGTTGACTTGGTCGAAATAGGGAAGACCATTTTCGTTTCCATTTGACAAATATGGCTTGATAACGAGAGGCAACTGAGGGAGAATTCGAAATAGCTGAAGAGATATTGGGTGCATCTTCTATTCCCACGCCAAGATACGAACGTTTTCTGTGTAACACGTCCCTAGCATCTCGATATCCGAACGTATCCAATGTCACATTACTTGACAGATGTCGCTTAGGAGACACAGGTTTCATAGGTGAGTCACTTTTTATCATGTCTGAAGATGAATTGAGACCAACATTATTAGTCAATACAGAGTGACAAAGTGCCATGGCTCGTAACATCTCTGCAAAATCAACAACCTTGCAATTCTCCGGTTTTCCTTCGATATGATGAAACTGACGGGTTGACGAATCAAATTCAAATACATTTCCTTTCACATAACATCTTCGAAATTCCATGATATTCATGGTAAGTGTACCTGTCTTATCACTAAAAATATGTCCAACTTGTCCCAATTCAGTCTCCAGATCTGAATTTCGAACTTCTGCACGAATCTTTACTGTCTCTGAAACTTCTTCTTCTGGAGCCTCTTCCGAAATCAAAGATGCAAGAGACACTTTTTTCTTCTTTCGGTAAGTAACCAAACTTTCATCCCAATGTAAAAATATCAATAGCCCTGCTCGAGCCTTTCAACAAATATAAATAGTATTTCAAAACAGAAGATGTCCAAAACTTACCAATTCAAGGGTTATATAGGCTGCAATAGGAACTACAGTCCCACTCATAACGACATTGGCAAAAAATCCCAAAATTCCCATTACTGCGGATGAATATTCGGTAGTTATTGTACCTAAATACCAAGCACCTCGAAAGATTGAACTGTTTGCTTTTATACCTGCAGCCAAACCAAGTGCAAAACACCAAAGAATCAGATATGAAAAACATACGACATAAACTCGATTGATTTCTTTTTCAATCAACGAAAACTTCGATTGAGGTCTCCTCCATTGTTGAAGCATTTTAGTTTGCATACCGGCATAAATGACAATTCCATATAACCAACCAGAATTTCTAACCACCGCTCCTCTCAAAAGCAAATTATCTTTTGAAATTGGCTTTTCTATTACTCTGCTTCTCGTGCCGCCCACAGGATCAACCTGCTCAAGTTTTACAATACCAGCAAATGAGTTCATATTGATCGAAGGTGGTTCACATCTTATTTCTCCACGAAGGCTGCTTATTTCAGCATCATTAGTAAGTGAAGATGTGTCCGAGAGAACAAGAAATCTCTTTAAATTTGTTTCTCCATCCAAGGCAGAAGTTTCCAAAAATACAACTCCATCTTCTCTAGCAGCTGAAAGTGCAACAATATCTGCTGGTACAATATCACCATCTTGAAGGACAATAATATCGCCGACACGAATTTGACTGGATTTCACGGAAACCCGAAAACCGTCTCTCACAGTTTGGAACTTCATGGAATTGGCTTTCAAATCATTTCGAAGACGAAATATATCTTCAATAGCAGCCTTAATCATCGTAATGCCTACTACAAGAGATAAAGGAACTATTGCAGTAACGGAAACTCCATTGGGAGTACTGTATACTGCTATTTGAGGAAAAACTCCAGATAAAATATTGATAATGAGATAGGCGAGGAAATACATCATCACCTATATAACACAAAAATAAATGGTGAAAATAAATATTCCAAACAACTTTCATAACATACCCATCTACGAAATTGCTCGTAAAGGTTTTGAGGAACAAAAGACCACCACCGATATCTATGGAAATAGTTTTTCATATCAACATAGTTTAACAATAAAATTGGCGCTTCTTACCTTGTGGTAGAAACGTAATTTGAACAAAACCCTCTCTTATGATTTTCCTCGGGACTATTTAGAGAAACCACAACAGACTCTCGTTCATGACTGCGCGAAGTCAAAGAAGACCGGGAGCGGACCTTTCGGTTCAATGCAAAAGCAACTGAAGCAGCTTGTCCAAAGGAGTCAACTGTGGAGCTCCTTCTCTCTCTCACTACGGCTAATTTACTTTTGAAAAAACCAGACAAGTCCAACCGTGGTACGGGAGGCAACTGGGAAACTCTATTACGAAACCGAGAGAGCCATGAAGAGCTCTCAATCTGGACGTCTTCTGACTGTGAAACTGGATATTGGTCCATTTCAAACTTGTCTATATTCAGTCTTTTGCTTTAAGCCGAAAACAACTCGACAACATTCGTTGTTGAAGAGAGAATAGCTAATCAATCACGTGGCGCAACTTTAAACGGCATTAGAGCGATTATTTTGTAGGTTGGATGAGTTCCTTTTATTGGGAATGAGTATCTCTTCTACGGCTCATTCTTCAAGTGGTGAGCTATCGGGAAAGTCTGAGTTTGGGGCTATAGGTGTGTCTCTTGAGACCTTGGATAGCAAGAAAATTCAGAAACATACTGTCGAGTCAAGCTGGAGGAGAAGAGTTCATAACCAACATGACGTGGAGAGAATTTCTGTCAATAGCTTGAAAATTGTGCCGCAAAGAGTTTTTTGCTTTGAGAAGTTCACTCGAGAATTTCAGGACGGTGAAGATTCGTCGCTTTGGCTATTTACGGAGAGAAACATACAACTTTATGGTTTAGACGGCTCCGATTGTCGATACTCTATCCCGTTACCGGATAGCGATATAAGCTATGTGAAACCTTTTTATTTTTCAAGTGGTAGTATTCAAGTTCCGTTGTGGATAAGAGGTATTATGGCAATTGGGTTAAAGAATGGGGACTGTGTACTTTATGATGGTTATACCGGGACTTGTCTGCAAACATTGTCTCCGCCCACGAAGTTGTCAAACAAAGTTGGCGTTAGTGTATTAGGGTATAGCGGGCCTAGTATTTGTCCTGATTTGAATCTTAGAGACCAAGAACAAGCTGATTTCTTGTTGATTGGCTTCAAAAATAATAGTTTTGCAGAATGGCAACTCGATTGGAAAATACAAACTCCGTGCTCGAGCGAAATCTTATATAAGGAATGGTCTATTTCATACAATTCGTGTTCGAAAGATGCACATTATTTATCGTATCTTCGACTGTGGATTATCTTAATAGATAGAGACATTTTATTTATGGACGAACAAGGAAGCGTTATTTACTGTTTCTCTATGAAATATGATGTTTCAAAGCTTTTGGTAATGGATCCTGTATTTCTATCGGAGCAAAAAGATAGAAAAATACTTATCCTAACAATAAGTGAAGAAGGCTTCTTACAGTATTCGGAGTTACATTACTTGGCAACCGAAAGTCTTCGTTTGGAACCACTAGACTCATCGTTTCTTTCATTCAAGGATTGTATGAAGATTTGTTGCTTTTCTCAATTGTGTTGTAATTACTTTATTTTGGGTTCATCTGATGGCAGTTTGTCATTATTTCAATGGAATCAGACCAGTTTAGGTAGTATTATGCCAGTATGTCTTCATAAGAAGGTCATTCATTCTGAAAAGTTTGATTTTATTTCTTGTAAGAGAGAAAACGATGGTTTTATCATCAGAACCTATTGCCCAGTAGATAACCAACTTATTACTGCTTCTATTGTAGTCAAGCACAAACCTGAATGTCGTTGCCTTTTGACATTAACAAATCCTGGATGTCACAGGAGCGATTCTTCCAATTGTGAAGAAAAGTTTTATATTCCATCGTATAAACAAGATGTTGAAAATGAAGAGTCATATCACAGATCTGCCATTGCGTTTTCTAGTAAAATGGAGCGACTTCCAGAATTGTCGAATATTACTGAAGAAATGAAACAGTTGCCATTACTTAGTCATGACCAAAATGAGAATAACGTTGTATATCCCTCAAGCAATAAGCAGATGTCATGTTGTCTAACAGAAGCAGAACAACGTCTTCAGCTTTTACAAACTGAATACGAATACGAGAAGAAAATTCACCAAAGATTGAGAGACGAACTTTTAAATAGAGCTCTAGAAGCGGAAGAGCAAGTAGAGCGACTAGAGGCAAAATTGAAAGAAATGCAACGTATGAAACGACATCAAAACGAAGGCTTGAAGGAAGAAAATTTTTTATCGCAATCGGTAACATCCAATCAGGATCTTGACAGGGAAAGGTTGGCATTATTAGAGAAACAGCTCCAAGAAGCTTTAGATTCGAAACAGTTGTTAATGGTACAAGCCAAAGAAGACATCAACTATCTTCAAAATCGTGTGGAAGCGTTGGACGCAGTGTTGTTAAGCACCCAACGGGATTCGGAAGACTTTATTTCAACAACTGTGGAAATGAATGAGTATGCATGGCTGTTGATTCAAGACATTGAAGAATTTTCTAATTTTTTTTGTCTAGGCGTATCGCTGAAGCACTGGATGGTTTAACAGACGAAGCTTTTGACCAACTTGGAGGGTTTGAGGAGGTATTTCGCCAATGGATGACAACTGTTCGAGAAAAGCTCCATCGTCAAAGAAAAAGAACGGAAGAAATCAAAGAGGAAATTCATACCCTACAGAATATGTTTCGCGTGATTGATCATTCAGCCACGAATTTGACTCAATATGAGAAGACAATGCAGGAAGAAAGTTCTCCCACTACGGATGTCGCAGACGCCACTCCAAGAAGCCGTTTGTTGTTGCATCAGGTAAAAGTTGCTCTCCAGCATCGAATAATGCAGTTAGAAGAACAATTGAGACAGTTGACAGATTACCAAAGCAAAGAAAATGATACGAAAACAATATCTACCGTTGAAGAATTACAAGTTCACTTGCAACAAGCAGAACAAAGAATTCATCAACTGGAAGAAGAGAAGGAACAGATAGCCATGGCACATGATCGTTTGTTGGAAGATAATGCAGCATTGGAAACTGAAAATGAACGTCTGCAGCTTCAGTTGAGAAGAGCTGTAGAAGCGGCATCTTATTATAGTGGTAGAGATACTGTCTCCTCTCCTTTAGAACCCACTACGCCGCGAGAAGATCATGCAAGCACTTCTTCCAAAAACTAGTTGTATATATATATATGTATTTATCTGTTACATAATCAATCCAGTGTTCATGAAAAACAATTCTATATGTTTCCTTTCACACTTGTTGCGAAAAAACGAGTCATTTTTAATCTATACCGCACGGAAAACACTTCTGATGCCATACTGATATTGTCAAAGGATAGATAGCATGCCGTTGTTGCTGCATAGCACAAGTGTCCCTTTGACACTTTTATAAATAAACTGATTACTTACATAGAAGCTAATACATTGACAATCACCTCGGCGAAGGGGGAGCTGCACACATATTACGTGCATCATGAAACAAATTTTCGGCAGTTTCTTCACGAAATACATAACCTTCGCCCTCAGAAGAGAGTCGGAAATATTTTGGTTCCCACTCAATTCTTCGTTGCATTCGTTCTCGACGTAACCTACGCTGTTCTTCTTCCACTTTATGTTTTTCTTCAGCTGCAAGTCGAGAATTTCCTTCTAAAATCGCTCGAGTACATCCTTCCCATACATACAGCGAGTTGGTTTCTTCTAATGCCTCAGGAGGTGGTAATAAGAGTTTCATTCGATAATGCTTCGAAATGTCGTCATAATCAAACAAAATGCGATTTTCCTTCTTTATAACATCTTTGATTCTAATTTGATGGTCCCATGAACCTTCTACTGAAAACAGTTTCTGCTCAGATACCTCAGAACTTGTTCCTTCTTTCTGTCTTCTCACAATCTTTCCATCAACCGCATTTGCTTCTCCCAAAAATCCCATCAACGCAGTACCCTTAAACTCTAATTTCGCTTCATAACCCGTCTTTTCACAGTATATGTGTAATGGACCACGCCATTCTGCTCGAAACTTCCCAATACCCAATATGCCACTGAGAATCAACGAGGTTCTATTGGAGACATACTCTTCATCAAAGTTGACGAGATAAAACCGAATCTTTCCTTTCAACTTGATTTCGATAGAATTTCCCCAGAATTTGGCCTCAGGCTCAGTGTAAGATGTCATTCGGATACCTAAAGTATCGTTTCGGAGATGCACAGCAGTAATAGGTGGATGATGCGAAACTTGCTCGGAGATAAGGAATGTACGTCCACCACCATTGCGATGCTCAAATGCACATTGAAAAGTTTCACCTAAGATGGGATTGTAGGGCTATAAAAAGCTTTGGTCAAAAAATTCAGTAAACCAAATCTGAATGCAAACTAGCTACCTTTTTCGAAAACTTTTCCTTGGGAAGACCTGATAAGATAAATCTCACTACTTGCAAGAAACGCTCCAAAGGTTCTTGGCAATGGATAATTTCCTGTAACAACTCTCCTCGTTGCATGATTCTCGTAACTTTTTCACATGCTGAAACTGGCTCTAGAAGGGAAGCAGGAACACTGATAGAAGTCAAATCGCCTCCTTTCCTAACGTCCTTGAAAACTTCTCGAACAATTCTGAAGAAACTCATATTCTGTGGAGGCCCAACCTCATCCAGAAACTCATCTTTGACTCGATATCCATCGGGGGTCACTGGCTCTGCATCATTGGGATAAGAAGCAAGACGCCTTTCCTGAGAATGTCCTGACAGCATTGGCAATGACGAAGAAGTATCAGCTGACTGATTTGCTACGGAAACAGAAGAAAGATGCTCTTCAGAAGCAACATGTGAAAGTTCAGAGTAGTTAGGCTCATTATTTCGCAACGCTTGTTTTCTTAGAGTCGAAGCTGATGCCATTTCAAAACCCGGCTCACTCGCTGCCTCTGCCAGTGCCTCATGATCACCACTACCTCTACGAAAGTCGTCATGAGCTGCTGAGAAGGAAGCATAACGATGAAAGCGCCTTTTCTCAGTGCCTATCGATTCAGTCGATGTGCTCTTTTTCGAGCTTTTTTTATATTCCCCTTCAGATGTCGTTTCCCTTTGAGCATTAGTTTTTGTGTCTTGTTCACTAGATAACTGGACACTTGGTTCTATTGGAACTTCAGAAATTTCTTCAAAAATATCCAAGTCTGTGGCAAAGCTGGTACGCGCCTCAGTCTTGCTATCAATACCTGGAGTATCAGCGCAGGTATAATATGATATATTGTCATCTTCTTCATCCGTCTCTTCTAAGTTTGACGTCGACAGTAAGGTGGTTTTTGGACTTGTTGCATGAGGGGAAAGTAGACTGTCCAATTGTCTATCTTTATGAATGGCACCTGTACTTTTTCTTCCAAGAGTCTGTGTTATTACTTTGTTCGATGAACTGTTTAAAGGAACCGACTTTCGTCTTTGCAATCCGTCATCCGAGTGACGAACTTGACTAGCACTGCTTTGTTGGTTCCTTTGTTGCCATTCTCTTGCCAATTGGTCATCACAAATAAGACCACTAACTGCCGTATTTGTCAGGAACTCGAAAGCAGATTTTATAGGCGCGATAGCTGCGTTAGCTACTTCGTTTACTTGTTTCAGAAACTTGCCCGAGTGAGAACGCTTCGTTGGCGACTTCCCACCGTCGCTATTTTCATGCTGTGCGTTGTTTCCTCGTACTATTTCTTCATTCCTTAGTCTCGGTGATAATCTGGTGTTGACAGAAGAAGCCAAGGTGTCGCTTGCTGAACTGACTCATCTCGTTTACAACGAGAAATGAGGATACACCTTTATCTTGGCGCCAGTTTTTTGGGGAATTTCTATACACGTTCCAGTTAGTTATGCTTTGCTACTGATTGTGGTTTTGCAGTTCCTTTGGACTTTGTACCTGTATCGAAAGTTTTTGTCAAACGTGAGTTATTTACCTGACCCTGTTGTACGTTCATATGTGTTTTATCAAACAAAGAGACTTTTTAGAGAGCGTCAATTCGAGTTTGGACGACAAAAACTGGTATGTTTCTTTTGTAAGCTTGTCTTCTCCTTGAATCTAATGGAAGGACCATCGAAGACGAACCATTTAAAACAAGGTGGATATGCGTTGCGTGTAGTCAGAAGAGCTGTTGGAGGAGATACCAAAGCATTTGGAAAATTAGTAGCCCTAGCTTACTGTATAAAGGGTAGTGGAAAGCACGACTTGGGCATTGAATGGGACAAGGATAACAAAAAGCGAAAGTCAAATAAGAAGAACCGCTAAAAGCCTTGCTAGTGCGCCCACTTTACTTCCCGAGCCACTTCAAAGAGTCATTGAAAAACAAGTTACTATCTTTCCCCGGTCTCTTAGACGTGTCTATCGTCAAGTTGTAGGATTCGATGACGTATTGGTAAGAATAAAAGTGAAAAATCAGTCAGACCAGGACATGACCAAATATGGAGATTACAAAGTTTCAAAGGTTGGAGAATTAGGAAGCCTACAAGTTTTTCAGGAAAACCGCCTTCCGGAACAATTTGTTTACGAAAGGACAGTCTATTATCATGGTAGAGAAAAAGTACAGCACTTTGCCAGTCAAAAGAAAAATATTCCTCCTTGGCTAGTTCCTTTTTTTGAACAATAAATAGAGAACATGAATATTGAGTGGAGAAGTTCAGCAATAGGGTTTAAAAGTATCTACTTTTTAAGCCTTCACGACCCCATTCACACTTCCAGTCACGTTCAGAAATCTGTTATAGTGGAAAAAAATAGGTTAGCATACCTGCACAACACAGCCTGCAATTTCTTTTCCATGCATATCATGAATAGCACGAGCAGCAACTTCATGAGATTTAAACTTCACGAAAGCATAAATTCTATCTTGTGCTGTCATTCGTGCTGCATCAGGTATCTTTACATCTTCTATATCTCCAAATCCTCGAAACGACTCTCGAATAGCGGCAACATCGATATCTGAGGGAAGTCCTCTAACATAAACACTGACGTTCAGAGGATCCGTCTGTTTCATGATAGTCTGTATATCTGGTTTGGGTGTAACTGTGGAAGATGAAAAGCTTCCGAATGTGGATACTCCCCGAGCAGCATTCTTTCCTCTGGCCCAATCTATTCTTAACGCACGACCAGATAAAATATATCCTGTCATTGTTTGCATTGCTAAATCTGCGTCCTTTTTTTCCCGAAAAGAAACAAAACCGTATCCAGCTGGAAGCCCTGTTTCTACATCTTTCGATATTTTTGCTCCAGCGACAGATGAAAATGAAGAAAAAGCTTTCATCAGCTTTTCTTCGTCCACATCTGGACCCAAGTTTCCAACGAATATCGTATGCATATTGGCCAAATCCTCATCCTGCAAGATTCTACCTGCGGCTCCTGCGCCTGCATGTGCCCAGTCTATCCTTATTTCTTGACCATAAACGCGTCTTCCGTGCATCAGTTCCATAGCACGGATTGCTGTTGGACGGTCATAAAAATCCACAAAACCAAATCCTAAGCTTCTCCCAGTATTTCTGTCTCCTACCACTTTAGCTAGCTTTACAGGACCAATCTTGCAAACAACAATTTATCAAAGATACAAAGAATATTGTCTGTAAAACCTACCAACTCAAAAATCTCTTGTAAGAGCTCCGTACAAACTCTAGGGTCCAAGTTGCCTACATAGAGACTCATACCACTAGGTTGATATATTCCACTTCCTCCTGACATAGTCGTTCTTTGGACAACGAGCACACAATCCTATTCGAAATGACGTGTAATCAAGGATTAATCCCAATTCAATCCATACTCGAAATTCATTCTTGAAAATATTCATGGCTTTTGTGTTTCATCAAGCTGTGTTGAAATCTTGCCTTCATTGTTTCTTAAAAAGGAGAAGAACAGATATTCTAAACTGGCATCCCGACAGAGTTTCTTTCTGTACAGCCTCGCAGCTCTGGAAGTTTTCTTCCCCTGTTTGCAGAACAAGACTGTTCTGTTGCAGCCTTCAGGAAACAAAGCAGGACAAGGAACGAGGCCAGCTTCAAGCGTCGGAAGCAATGAAGTGTTCAAGGAGTGAGAATAGTTTGAATGTACACAAGTTGTTTGAGACGCAACTGACACAGTTTTACAAACTGGTTCAAGTCTTGAAAAAGCCAATGGGCGCAATTTTACTTAGCTTGCTTCTTATGTTATCCTCTTTGGACCCTACCTTCGCTGCAAGGTCGAGTGGAAGAATCGGAGGGAGTCAGTTTTCTGCTCCAAGAATGACTCCATCTCCTCGTTCTTATGAATATAGAGGTGGAGGTAGCGGAATGGGTTCTTTCTATTCTCCTTTTCCTGCAACCCCTATTATCCCTTTTGGAGGATTTTATTCTTCACCTCTCATTGCACCTTTTGGCTTAGGTACCTTTATGATGTTTCTCATTATGGCAGGAACTGTTCTTCCTCTTCTTCGTAAAAATACGTTGGAAAGTGGAGAATCAGAGGAAGACGTATTCAATGCACCTGTTACAATTTGTGAGTTGAAGATTGGTTTGTTGTCTTCTGCAAGATACCTACAGGAAGAGTTGGAAAATCTAGCAGAAAGTGCAGATACCAGTTCCAAGGATGGATTGTTTTACGTATTAAATGAAACAATATTGGCGTTGCTTAGACATCCAGAGTATTGGTGTTATGCTGCCATCAATACGAAAGTAACCAAATGGACCCATGCAACAGCAGAGTTTAATCGAAAGAGTGTCGAATCGCGCTCCCATACCAAATCAGAGACCCTGAGCAACTATAACAATCGAAGAATGAGAAGAGAGAAGTTTTCTGGTGACGATTCTTCCAGTCTTCCCGGAGAATACATTCTAATACATGTTATCGTAGCAACTGAAGGGAAACTCTCACAATTACCGTCAGAGTTAAACTCTGAATCTGATGTTAAGGAAGCATTAAAGGTTCTTTCAAGTACTTGGAGTGACAAGCTTCAGGGTCTTGAAGTCATTTGGGTGCCACAGTCTGTCGATGATGTCTTGACTGGAAACGAAATGCTTTTACAGCATCCCGAATTGCGTCGTATTTCATGACATGGATTGATTCTAAATAGCTATTTTGTGTTGGGAACATAGAAAGTGATCAACTTTATAGATATGATATGTGGTTTAAGGGTTATTGGGCATATAGGTAGCATTGTAAAGAGGGAACTTTCAGCAGGAAGTCTTCAACTAGTTCGTTCTTTTAAAGCGCCGTTCCTATTACAACGCAATCGAACAGTCTGCACACAGCAGGTTGGCCATCCCGTACAAAGTCATGCTACTTGCAATTTGTCTTTACGTCCAGACAATAATGGTTTGGGGCCAAAAAGATTTTATGAACAAGTATACACCGTGGAGAGAATACCTGGTGTGTATTGTGTGTCTCTAGATGGAAAGCTGCTTCGAACAAGAACGGGAAAGTTTCTGGAAAGCCGTTGTCGAGAGCTTTCATTGGTGGTAGCAAGTGAATGGGAAGCTCAACACTCGCGAATTCTTCCAAGTTCTATGCCTGTTACTTCTTTGTTAACTACCAGCATTGACCTAACCAAGGAGCACAGACAACAATTTCTTAAGACTCTATCGGAATTTTTTAATACGGACACAATTTGTATTCGTGCTTCATATCCAGAAGGCCTTGTTTTTCGTCAAAAAGTCCTGTGGGATCCTCTAATTGTATTTTTAAGTGGTATTGTGATCTTGTTTTCTTTTGTTGTATTTAACTAAATACTGTATTTTAGAGAATTGGAATATCCAGATACGAACAAGTGAAGATCTCTTCGGTGTTTCTCAAGAGAGAGAAAGTCTGGAAAAAATTCGTCAATATTTGGAGAATCAGTCTTCCCTATTCATAACTGCGCTACACTCTGCTACTAGCACAACTAAATCACTCATTATTGGTTTAGCCTTGTCTGAAAAGGCTATTAGTACAAGACAAGCCATGGAAGCTTGTCGTTGTGAAGAAGACTTTCAAATTCAATACTGGGGTGACGTGGAAGGTTGTCATGATATTGACCGTGCAGATACTTTCGTCCGTTTGGCCTCTGCTTCTCTTGTATTTTCGTTGTTGCGAACCTTTCCCGAGTGTTTCCATTCTCAGAATTGAGTTTCATCATTTTTGATGTGCAACAGTTTTGATGAGGAAATGATGATGGACTATGCTCAGAAGGAAAAGCAAAGAATAATTCAAGAAAAGGTACTCAGATTTTCCTCTCGGGAAAATAAAAGCCAATAGATTGATTGCCTTAGAATTGGGTTAGTTTTCCGATTTGTGCAGATTGCGACGGTTCAAGACTGATATACAAAAATGGAACACTGGAGTCAATACAAAGATGAACTGATAGCCACTGCAAAGGCACTAGTGACTCCTGGAAAAGGGTAAATGGTTATTTATGTATATATGTTCTTTGTGTTTCTGATTCCGTTGTCCGTTTGCAGAATCCTAGCTGGAGATGAGTCTACTGGCACCATAGGAAAGCGTTTTGCTTCCATTCAAGTAGAAAATAATGAAGAGAACCGAAGAAGTTATCGGGAGCTGTTGTTTACTGCTCCTAACTTTGGTCATTATATTTCTGGTGTGATTACTTTTGAGGAAACTCTATATCACAAGGTATTTTGGTATCCTTTTTTGTTGGTCTTAATACAAGAGCAAGAATAACTTTGTTGTAATAGACTAGCCAAGGGAAGCCTTTTGTGGATGTGATGAAGGAGGCGGGTGTGATTCCTGGTATTAAAGTGGACAAAGGAGTTACTCCCATTCCTGGTACCAAGGATGAAACTTCTACTCAGGGTCTGGATTCTCTTCTGAGTCGTTGTCAGAAATACTATGAGACAGGTGCAAGGTTTGCCAAATGGAGAGCGGTCATAAAGATATCCATAGCAGATGGTTGTCCTAGTGATGTGGCGATCAAGGAAAATGCTTGGGGATTGGCTCGTTATGCAGCAATATGTCAACAAGCTGGTCTGGTTCCAATAGTAGAGCCGGAAGTTCTTATGGATGGAGATCACACTATTGAAGACTCTCAACGAGTGACAGAGAAAGTTTTATATGAGGTGTATTATGCACTGCATCAACAACATGTTTTATTAGAAGGTGAATACTTGTATACCAACTGTATTATTTTTTAACGTGTTCATAGGAACACTTTTGAAGCCTAATATGGTTCTTCCTGGAACTGATTGCAAGGATAAGGCTTTTCCAAAGAAAATTGCAGAATGTACCGTTCGTACTTTACAGCGTACTGTCCCTGCTGCAGTTCCTGGTATTGTCTTTCTATCAGGTGGTCAATCAGAGGAGGAAGCTTCAGTTAATTTGAATGCCATGAATCAGGTGGAGGTGAGTAGTGTAGTACTTACAGAGTTGCTCAAATATCTAACAGATATGCGCTAGATGGTGAAGCCTTGGAAACTTTCCTTTTCTTATGGACGTGCTTTACAATCTTCTTGTCTTAAAGCATGGCAAGGAAAGGCAGAGAACGTTCGAGCAGCACAAGAAGCCTTTTTGGCTCGTGCCAAAGCAAACGGTGAAGCAACTTTGGGTAAATATGCTGGTGGTACCGGTAATAATGAGTCTTTATTTGTAAAAGATTACAAATATTAAGAAAGTTTGTGGTGACCTATCTATCAGCAGTATTTCTTTTGTGCTGGCATGAAACTCTGAATAAAAGTTGGTTTTCAAAGTTACTTTCCATGTACATTTCTTATATATTATACTTATGAAGTGATATACCTTTCATAGTTGGAGGTAGCGATACAGTAATGATTCTTCCTGTTTTCTTACTGATATGTTGGAAATGTTCCAGACGGGAGATGGTAGTCGACAAAATATACTTCTTCTCTAATCGAAACTGAATAGCAAGTTGAAGCTTCGTCGAAAGTTGGTCTTTGTTTTTCAAAAGTTGTTCGTCTTCTTCGACGCTAGTCTTCATATCTTTTAGCAAATGCTTACAGCCACCAATAATGACTTGCCAAACATGAAGTTGATTTTCCAATGATAACGCTTTGTGAAATAATCCCATTGCAAAATTTTCTTGTATTTGTTGCCAATCTGTTTTTGAAGCCATAAATACTCTCAATATTATGTCAATTTCATCGTCATAATGATCATGATAAAGATGAAATGTTTTTCCATTCTCGTAAATATGATATTTTCTTAACAAAGAAAGCTTCTCTTCCAATAAATGAGATGGCTGTGCTTGCCATTCTTCCTGCTCATACATTAAATGAAGCCATTGGAAGATGTCTTTCACTTGAAAGTAATCAGATGGATTGTTCGTTTGTAAGAAACCTGATACCGATATAAATGTGAAAAATACGTATGAAAGAATCAACTTACCATAAAAATGCAATAAATGGTCGTTATCCAAAGGTCCATAAGATATATAAATATCCGTGCCTGGAGATAACTTTGAATATGTTTTCATTTCATATTGATTCGCTATTGAGTCATAAAGAAAATGTGTTTGACTATTCACTCGATGATTCAACATATCCATCATTGGCAATAATGCATATGTCTTATTTCCAACGTCGGGTATACCAAATGCACGACTTTGCACCATATCCAAAGCCCAAAAGAATACATTTTCCTTTTCATTTTGTAACCAGACTCTCACTGGTGAAGAAAGCGACTCAAACACCCGTGTATATAGAGCCTCCCTATAGTATTGATTTATTTTCACTTCTTCAATCAATGGCCTGTATTGTAGTTGCGCTAATTCACTGGAAGACCAGTAAACCAAACCAGTATTTAGAGCATGAGGTAATATATCTATGTAAGGCTTCCATAGTGAGAGTTTTCCAAGATATTTTTCTTTCAACAATTTGAGAGACAACTTTACATACCAATTCTCCTGAGACCATAACTCAGGGTCAACAAATTCACTCATTGTGCACTCTTCATGCTCAGTGACTTGTAAACTCAAGTCTCGCGGAACTTTCAAAAAACTTTCATCGCATTCAATACCTTCAACAGCAACTACACCTCTCAAGCCATCCTTGTTCTGGTCCAATTTTATTTTTGGCATATAAACGTTTTCTCTTGTTAACCAGTGATAAAATAGATCTAGTCTCCCACTGGAACAAACGAGAAATAACCTTGACGGCTTACATAAACGTGAACTTGGACGCAACGTTGGCACATTCAATATAGGTTTGTGAAAGCAACGTCGAACAAGCACCAGTTCTATTTGCAAGTCCAAAATAGTCGGGTTAATTGAAAAACTTGCAACAAACTTCCATACTGCAAATAGGAATAACGTTTACGAAACATCCCATATGACTGCTGTTTCTTGGCTGAACAACAAGTCGTGGTACACTTGGAAACTCTTGCACCGTCCAAGGCATTTAAAACAGTTCACTTCTTTCAGTAGAACATTCCCTTTAGTTCATCTCTTACAATAAACAGTTGGAACAACGGATGAAAAATACAATTCCTTGGATCAACCAAGTCCACATTCTTCTGTTTGAGTTTCTATTCTTGGAGAAATGGTTCTTTCACTGATTCCAAAACAACTAAGAAGCCTTCACAAGACAAGTTTTAGAATACATTTGGCATTATTTCCTAATAGAAACCATATTTTCATTAGAAATTGTTCTAATCAAAGTCAAGATGGTCCTCTCAAAGGTGTCAGAGTACTTGACTGTATGTAGTCTTGATTTCTTCTTATCTTTGAAAATAAACTGTTCTAGTGTCAAGAGTATTAGCAGGCCCTTTCTGTACTATGCAATTAGGAGACTTAGGTGCAGAAGTTATCAAGGTACGCAAGCTATCCTTAAAAATTGCACCAACATAAGATGTTTGATGACAAAATCTTTCTTAGATTGAAAGACCAAAAACAGGAGACGATACGAGAAGTTGGGGTCCTCCATTTGCTCCTGGAGGTGAATCCGCGTATTTGTTGTGTGTGAATAGAAACAAACGAAGCGTAGCAATAGATTTTTCGAAACCATCTGGAGCTGAATTGATTAAAAAGTTGGCAGCTCAATCGGATGTACTTGTGGAGAATTTTTTGCCGGGAAAGTTAGCACAATATGGTTTGGGATATGAAGACTTACAAAAAATCAATCCTCGGCTTATTTACTGCTCATTAACTGGCTTTGGTCAAACGGGACCATATGCTCAACGTGCTGGTTATGATGTTATCGTTTCTGCCATAGGAGGTTTGATGGGTATTACAGGTCCTGAAAACGGAGAGCCTTGTAAGGTACTGTAGTCAGTGACCAACTAAGAATGTATATATATATATATTCCTGACGACTGCTGCACTCAGGTTGGAGTAGCCATAACAGATTTAGCTACTGGAATGTTTGCTTGTACGTCAATTGTTTCTGCTTTGTTGGCAAGAGAGAGAATTGGCATAGGACAGCATGTAGAAACTTCTCTACTAGAAGCTCAAGTTGCTCTCCTTGCGAATATTGCGAGTAACTATTTAATTGGTGGAAAGACTGGTAAACGTTGGGGTACAGCACACGAGTCCATAGTCCCCTATCAAGGTAACTGGAATGGAACAACTTGGAGTTGGTACTTATATGTATCTCCAAGGTTTTCGTACAAAAGATGGTTATCTGATTATTGGAGCACTCAATAACTCCCAGTTTCAAACGCTCTGTAAAACACTCGGTTTAGAGAATTTGATACGAGACGATAAATTTGCAAAGAATGCCAAAAGAGTTGAAAATCGACAGCAGCTTATAGAAATATTACAAGAAACGTGAGTTATTCAGAAAGTTCAGGATATCATGAAAGTAATATTTTATGTAGGTTTCAGAAAAAGACTACTGATGAGTGGTTAAAAGAACTTGATGGAGTTAATCTGCCTTATGGGCCTATCAATACCATTGATCAAGTCTTTCGTGATCCACAAGTCATTCATCGTGAAATGATTCAACAAATACAGTAAGTATTGTCTTATTGGGACCATTCTTGTTCTGATCATAAACTACTTTACAACAGTCATCCTTCAGCAGGTGATATCCGACTAACTGGTTTTGCAGCAAAATATAGCCGCACGAAGCCTTCTATTCGATTGCCGCCTCCTCTCTTAGGTCAACATACTCAAGAAGTTTTGAAGAATTGGTTAACAATCGAAGAATTGAATCAATTAGAAAAAGAAGGAATTATTCAAAGTAAAAGTTGATGTTGTCTCGTTGTTGGAAATATGTTTGTAGAAGAGAGAGCGCTAGTTTAGTTCACTCCGTTTTGGTTCCTGCTGTAAAACATACGTTAGAACAACCTCACCATGTGGTTTCTTCTTTGTTTACCTGTCTTCCCAACAAGTTACTACAAGGCAAGGCTGGTAACTGGATTCAATTCACTGACCATACCATACAGAAACAACAATATAAGAATCACAAGAGATTGTTTGTTGGTACTTTATTTGTATTTGGCATACCAACGTTATGGCTCAAGTTCTTTTCTCGTTCGGAGTGTCTTGGTCTGCAGTTAAACGGCAATCCTGAAGAAATAAGTCTGCAAACACTGGAGGATTCACGAAATGAGTCTTTTAGTATTTCCTCGGAAGAAAGCGTTGCTTGTGATGAGTTCTTACCAACAAAGGATGATAATTTCTTTGAGAGAAATGAAAAAGAAGTGACAGGCTTCAACACAATTCATTTAAAAGGCCGACTTTTGGAAGCTATCTTTCTCACACGAGCACAAGTATTTATGTTACATGATCTTGTAAGTCAAGAACTCTTTCGTTTTGTTGCAATAGGGAGGTCATCATCTCCCAGTATATTCCACTTCCCTGCTATTACGTTTATGGTTATTGTTGGTAGTATAGTTCATTGGTGTTATTTTTCTTTTTGTGGAAAAGAATTGTTTTCCTTGTTAGCTTCGATTGGCGTCGACAACTTGTCCAAACTTAAGTTTGCTGGTAGTCTTTTTGGTCATTATTTTTTATTATTTGTAATGAGCAATATGATAGCAACAACGGTTTTCTTTATATTATATCATTTCAGCCATAATCAAAACAGTCATACTCTTAAAGAAGTTGGTTTTCTCTTGACTCAAATTAGAGTCATTTTGAATGATTTGACTTTGAACGATAGAAAGTCGTTGGTAATGATATCTCGAGACTGTGGAGATGAATGGAATGAAGAATTTCACAGAATGCAAACACAAGTATTCCTTACCTTGCATTCCTGTACTTTGTTATTGAGAGAACAAATCAAAAGATTTCAGGATTGTATACGGACACAATCCAAAGATTCTAAGGATAACATATTCAGCATGGTAACTCTGACAAGTGCGATTGGTTCCAGTATATTATTTTCCCGTATACTATTACAATGGAAGACATTTTTATATTTTACAACTTGGATAGATGATGAAAGTTATTCAAATGTATTGTCTTGCACATGGTATGCTATCATCAGTGGATTGTATGCTTGGTACACTTCTGAATTGTTAAGTGACAAATATCTGCATTTTCTTCACAAAGATTCTGAGAATTATCTTGAAACAGTGAGAGAACAGTATAACTTTATATTTACTTTATGGAGCCAACTTGAGAATGAAGCAAAAAAACAACTATTCAACGAGGATTCTAATAACCAGTCTTATTAGGAGGAAATGTCAGGACAAACCTATTTATTATTTTAAGAGAAACAAATTCATTCATTTCTAAAAGATGAATTAGAAAAAGTATTCTAAGCAGCTTCTTTCTTATTATTCATGAGAGAGACTCTAATTTGGATCAATTCTTCAATTACTTGAGGGTCTGCTAGTGTCGATATATCTCCAAGTTCTCCTCTGGATGGTGAAAGAGTATGACCTTTCTCTGCTATAATTCTCAATATTCTTCTCACAATCTTTCCACTCCTCGTTTTGGGTAATGCTGGCGACCATTGAATCATTTCTGGAATGGCATGTGCACCAATCTTTTCGCGTACTACTTGCCGTAACTCCAAATGCAAATTTTCACTGCTTTCAACATTTGCTCGAAGTGTCACAAAAGCATAGACAGCTTGGCCTTTTATTTCATGAGGAATGGGAACAACTGCAGCTTCAGCTACATGTGGATGAGAGACAAGTGCTGATTCTACTTCTGTTGTTCCTATTCGACGACCACTTACTCCAATCACATCATCGATTCTACCGCTCAACCAATAACAACCATCTTCGTCTCTTATACAACCATCACCAGTATAATAATAACCAGGAAAAGGGTGAAAATAGGTTTCCTCAAAACGTTGATGATTATTCAATAATGTTCTTACAATTCCAGGCCAAGGACGAGCAATACATAATGTGCCATGATTGGACTCTTCTATATTTCCATTTTCAGTTTGTGCAAAAATCTTTGGCAAAATACCAAAAAATGGAACTCCAGCACTTCCAGGCTTTTGAATGAACCCTTCAATTGGAGGAGGCAATAACATGACACCTGAAGTTTCCGTTTGCCACCAAGTATCCACCACTGGACATCGACTATCGCCTACAGTCTCATAATACCTTTTTCACCTTTAGTAACACATTCAAGTCTCAAACAGATAACATACCATTTCCAAACGTGAGGATTGATAGGTTCTCCTGCTGTACATAGTAGTTTGAGAGATTGTCGGGAATACTTCTTCACATGCGCATTTCCTTCCCTCAATAAGGAACGAATGAGAGTGGGTGCCCCTAAGAATTGATCAACTTGATATTTATCAACAATAGCCCATGTCCTTCCAGGATCAGGATAGGTTGGTAAGCCTGCATAGATAACATGAGTGGCACCATTGGCTAATGATCCATAAACCATGAAGCTATGACCTAACATCCAGCCACAATCCGCACTGGCAAAAAATACATCTCCCAAATGATAATTCATAGAATATAAAAAAGTAGATGCCGCATGTAATTGATAACCTGCTGTAGCTTGGACTACTCCTTTTGGTTTGCCGGTAGATCCTGAAGTGTACAATACCAGTATAGGATGTTCAGCATCAACCCATTCTACTGGACAATGAGGAGAACTTGAGGATAAAGCTTCATGCCAATAAATATCTCTAGGATGATGCATTGAATATTCACTTTTATCACTTTTCAAGTGTTGGAGAACAATTTGATGCTTTACATGAAAGTGATGATGATTAGCAGCATTTTTGACAATTTCCAAAGCTTCATCTGCAACACGCTTCAAATGAACAGTTTTACTTCCTCTTTGGAAACCATCACAAGTAATCAAAACACTGGCTTTACAGTCCATAATTCTCTCAGCGAGTGCTTGTGCAGAGAAACCTGCAAAAACAACAGAATGAATAGCTCCAATACGACAGGATGCTAACATGCTGATGGGAAGTTCTGGAATGTTTGGAAGATAAATTGCTACGGTGTCTCCTTTTCGAATATGACAAGTTTGCTTGAGAAAACTGGATAAGCGTTGAACTTGTTCTAATAGGGACGAATACGTGAATACTCTACTTGAATCACTGGGTAGGTTTGGTTCTTCATAATAGGCTATTCGATCACCTTGTCCAGACTCCACCCATCTGTCCAAAGCGTTATAGCAAGCGTTGGTAAGACCTCCTTTGAACCACTCAGCATAAATTTTTCCCTTGTTGACGTCAAAGTTAAAATCCAATGCTCTGTTCCAAGGCTTTTTCCAATAAAGAAGTTTTTTGGCTTGAGAAGACCAGAATACGTCAGGTTCTTTTATAGAAGAGTGATATATCTCCTTATATTTTTCAAAGTTCTGAATATGATGTGGTGCTGCATTTACTAAAAATGACTCGGGAATAGGATAACCTTTTTCAATACTGGAAGAACAAAATCTACGACTGAACAACACTAAAGACAAATTAAGCTTTTCTTCTACAAAGAGCTATCACATATTTTACCTGCTTTGAGAAAACTATCGTGTCGTAACATATTCTCTATGGAAATTGCACATACGATTGAAAAAAATCTCCAGAAGTGAGTGGGAGAAATAGCTGCAAGTCTATAATTTCTATCCTTTCCGAACGAGGGTAAAATGAAACTCAAATGGGATATTCCGTGATGAAATGCTTCATATCAAATACAAAAAATGACATGAAAAAAACAAGCGATCTTTTAAAATTAAAAATTATGACTGATGAAAAAAAAAGTACGCCAGGACAATAAAGTAAGGCGTGGAGTTGCATTGACTATTGGATGCATAATTCATATTCAGTCAACCGAATCAGTTAAAGATGAATGTTGCATAACTTCTGCAAACGACGGTTTCGATCCCTGTTGTGCTCTATATGAATATCCATTGGATACAATAGGAAGTCCATCGGGAAAATCTTCTCTGTCTTCTACGATGACATTATCAGAATCGCTCTTTGGCAATAGAGTAGATAAATCCTCCTCTTCTGTTGCTTCCAAATCAACCTATCACAGTAACCAAAGCTATTAAGTATTATTGAAGAAATAGGTACCAGTATCTACGAACCTTCTCTGGAGCATTTTCATAGTAACTCTTCCTTTCCTTTAACAGTTCAATTGTGCCAAGAATATCTTTCACATATACTGGAGGGACTACATTTAACTTTTGAAAAGCCAAAAAATATTCCATATTATGTGGCGGAAGTTTTTCCGAATCAACAGCCTTCGAAAAAGTTGAATCTTTCGCAGCTCCCTTCCTCTTTGTTTTTCTGCCTTTACTGACATTCGTGTTCGGTTCGGCCTCAAAGAAACTGGCGTTCTTTCCAATAAGCTTCGCTCCATTAAGCTCAATATTTTGAACATCTTTCTTAGTTTTCTTGTTTTCATCCACGTCAATCTTGCTCAAACGCTGAAGATATTGAATAAGATTGTCACACATAGCCTTTTCCTCCTCATAAGGATCAGGCGTCCCATATTCTGCCAATTCCTATGCAATATTTTAGAGTTTCCATGAAAAAAGTATCTCATGAATGAATATTAACCTTTTCCTTTTCGACTCGTTTCAAGTCACGCTGATATTGACGATACTGAAAGCGAAGATGGCGGTTCAGTCGATCTAACTCCGAACTTCTCTTCTTATAGTTGTACCACTTATTGAGCTTTTGGTTAAAATCTTGACGAAGACGACGTATCTCTTCGTTTGCGGCGTCTATCCGCTTTTGAATATCATCTAGATTCACTTCTGAAAGCTTTCCATAAACAAGTTTTTCATTCGTAGGCTTTAAAGAATCAGCAAGTACAAGTTACCTCTTCGGAGATTTTGGCTATTGAAATTTCCTGCTTCGTTCGAATGTCATCTTTCGACTGTTTTAGTCTCTCCAGCTCTTTGCTCGTTTCATTGATTTTGGTTTCTAGAGACTTCTTCTCCTCAAATAACTTTTCGAGTTCTTTCTTTCTTTCTTCTTGACTCGACTTTCTTTCCGCTTCTAACTTTTGCATATTTTCCAAGAATGCTCGACCTACAATGCATTCAATACATTTTCCTTAATTGTGCTAAGGAACATACCTTTGTTCTTCAGCAACGAGATTTCCGATACCAACTTCTTTTCTTCCGTCAAAGAAAGACTCTCAGTGGCTTGTCGTCGTTCTAGACTGGAAATATGCTTGTCTAACTGTTCTAGATTCTTAAAGTTTTTTAGTTTCTCATCAAGTGCTGCATTTCCTGTAGAGATGTTATTACTCTTATTCTGATCCTGGGCATCATTCATTAGTTTCCTCGTTTCTTGTATCTTGCCCATGAGCTGTTTCCTCTCCTCTCTGAGCTTTCGTAATAGGGTCACTTGCTCCTCATACGCAGCCTTTGCAGCCAAGAATTCTGGTTTTGTCTCTTCCATTTTTTGGTACTTTTGTCTTTGCAAAAGACGTTTCTGTTCTTTCTGAGACAGTGCAGACTCTATGATGGCACGTTGGGCAGCAACAGCTGTTTCCAACTCATCTTTGCTAGGTTGCTGAACGACAACAATTTGTTGTATAAGCTCCTGTTTCTTCTGTTCCAGTTTTCGAATCTCTTCTTGACGCTCTTCCGGCGTCAACAACTTCTGTTCTACAGCCATCGCTTGACTTTGTGTTGTTGGCCCTTGGGAAGTTGTATTAGCCATTCGAGCCAAAAGGGAATAAATCAATCCAAATGTATTATTATTCAAAAACAGATTGAAATAAATAGCTGACGGACGGCGGCTTTTTGTCTAGTTGCTATTTTTGGAAGTTTAAGAGACCAGCAAAGAAAGAGATATAGGTGACCTTTCTAGAAATAGAACTCGTTGCAATATGCTTTCATGATGCAAGACTCTCTTATCACACATGATGAAGCTATTGGTTGAAGACATTTTGTGAGAAAATTTAATATTCGTGTAGTCCATTTTCTCATGTTGAATCATTTTACGTATTGGAATAAACTGTAGCTGAGATTATGTGAACAACTTTATCTGAATACTTTGTTTAAACGTGGTCCTCAACAGCGAGCAGTTGCTTCCAAACCAAAGTTTATTCGTTTCAACTCTGCACTCCTCTTTGTAGCACGCAGTGCCACAAGTAAGAAAGTAAGCCGTTCTCTCCGCATTCCAACCTGGGAATTTTGTTCCAGAGGGAGTTTCTAACAAAGCAAAACAGTTGATGCAGGTCTTCTAGATTCCTGACGACGTTGTCCTCATTTTAGACAACTTTCACCAAGTTGCGTCTTTTGCCTTTGTGTCTTCAAGTCTTGTGAACTCACCAGAGGTGGCACGTTCTAAGGCAAACAAGAATAGAGAAAGTTTGGTTGATTCACGGCTCTCTTGTTTTCTTCAGTTCATTTTAACTGGCCTTTTTATTGTATAAAGTGAAGTAGTATTCTTCAAGCGTTCTCTTTCAGTAGCAAACGTGACTGACGAAGTTGCAAGGACCTCGTGCATTACATTCTTTCTAATGGAGACTGTTCAAAGTTATGAGAAGAAGAATACTTTTCCATTGTCGCTACCGTATTGGTTCAAAGAAGACACTCGGACATTCAACAGAGGCATTCTCAGTTTTATCAAAATGGATATAATGAAGTTGAATATTTGGAATGTTATTCCTGGAAATTGTATCAAGGCACTCTTTCCTTGAATGAAATACAAGGGAACACTTTTGAAGCGTTTGGTTTTCAAGGGACTATTCATTTGAAGAAACCTTAAATCCTTTCTAAATTCTTTAAGTGCATGGTAACTTTTCTTCTGCAGTATTATATAAAATTCACATACAATAGATGTGCAAGTTAGATGTTAAAAAGTTTCAAACATACAAAAAAGTCTTAAAAATAAATCACAAAGTTAAGGATTGAGTTGAGAATCGAGAGTCTATTGCCAACTCAAGAAACTGTTACGGACTCTATGAAGCAGTTTGAGTCCGAAGTTCCAAAAAGTAGGATTATTAGAAACATCAAATGCTTTTTCAAGTCCATTCAATATTTCTTCGTCAATCAGCATTTGGACATCTCTTTCACAAAGAATAACAAGTTCACAATTATCAGGCACTTTGAAAGAATCATTTCCAATAAACATTCCACTGGAGTAACAACGACTCTGATTACCCAACTCATTAGAAACATTCAATGATAACTTTGTACTAACGATAATAAGCATACAATGATGATAATCCATTGCACTGGATAAGACTTGATCATAAACAGGATCTAAAAATTTCTTGGCTTCATCTATAATATCTGACCAGCCAATTCCTTCCGACTTCCAGCGTCCTTTACAAGCAACTCCAACAGTAAGAACTTTGGGTTCCACAGGAGATTGTAATTTGAATATAATATCAGGACTATGAGAAGTAGCGTCCAAAGGAATGTAAATAGTCTCTAAATAAAGTGTCTCTCGAATAATCTTATTCCATTCGGTATTGGCAAAAGTTCTTCGACTCTTGTTCGATTCACTTCTTGTTTCTCTAGAACTAACAACAGACTTGATATAGTGAATAGGTGATATTGTATTGATTGGAAGTTTCATTTGTTTCCATATCGGAGACAATTGACATAACAATTCCCTCAACTCATTTCGATTCTTTGAAGACAACATCAAAACTAGTCGTAAAGCAACAATTCCTTCAAATACACGACACTTTGAATAGAAGAAACAATCTACTGGTTCTAAATCAAGTGATCCAAGAAGTATCTTTTCCAAAGAAGATATGGAAGGGTCGTTCTTGAAGATTCCAACAAATACTTTTGGAATTAGGACTTGAAAAGTATTCTGGTCAATAGGATATCGATATAGTCCCATTTCAGTTACTGCATCATATAAAAAGGACTCCGAGGTCAATCTGTCATCTACTTTAGACGGTATACGATAAAGTGCCATCATCAATAGTATATCAAAAACACTTTTTCTATCTTCGTCCAAATTCAATATTCGTTCCACAAATGGTTCAGCACAAATTCTTCGGAAATTGTCGTCGTTCATACAAGTCAAACATTCTTCTTTCGATATGAAAGGCTGGTTTCTTGCTATTATATAATTCAAAAGCATATTCACTGCACGAGTCAACAAACCAGGAACTCCACCTGTACATTCCAATAATGAGTCTGCCAATTCATTTACTGAAAATGAAGAACTACATAAGACATTACAAACTGGTTCTTGAGTAGGTGTCTTTAGAAGACTTTTTTCAAGGAATTCAACGATACTGGAAGCGTCCAAAGGTGATAAAGAAATAAAATGTAGTATGACTTTTGATAGCCCAGAAGCGACATCATTCTTAATACTTAAACCTTTTCTTTTTCCAACAACTATAAAAAACAAGTCGGGTTCTTTGCACAATTGACTAATGATACCGAAAAAGTCGTTGTATGGTCGAACTCTACCGTCATGGGTTCTCTTGAAATGAAATTCGTCGAGACTTTCGTCTAGAACACCAACTTCATCAAATGCTACCAAAAGATATTGATCGGAAGGAGTGTCCAAAGTCTTCCGTAGCTCCGGAACTAGAAACTTTGGATAGGGAGGAATGTGTCTGTAGGTTTCATCAGGCTTCATAAACGGTAGACCCATCTGATCCTAAGCCGATTGGTACAATAAAAAGCACAAGGCCCACTTCAGGTTTCATTTTTCCTCGATGGGTCGATTAGGCTCCAACTTCCTTAGATCAACATAAAGCAACGAAGAGTTTCTGAGCTTCTCCAAAAACCCGTTCGATTGGTCTTCTCAGACTCACCAACGTGATATAGACCTATAAGTGCACTTTCACCCGTGTTATTCAACAGTTTCAAGTAACTTTGTACAAAACTTGTCTTTCTTCCGAAGAGGTGAGGGCCAAAAGGTATGACTGGTTTGAAAGGGCAACCAAGTTTACGAAGTTGTATAGCCTAAATAACTGCTTTGTTACTACACGAACATCTTGTTCTCAGTCTACTACAACTATGTAATACACGCTTTCTGCGTCAAGCTCACTGGACATATCGCAAGCTGTGAACTGAACTAAAGGACAGTAAAATACAACAGTGATCGATCAATCTTAAAATGTTCATTGCTCAAAATTTCTAACGGTTGATAATTGAAGAAAGAGTGCTCCTTGAGCCTTTTATTTGTATGACAAGTTAACAGAGTTGCTCCGCGTTGAAATTGAACAGTGACCATCTCGCACTTTCAAGTTGACCTTACAAAGCATCCGAATTGGACTGATCACTGCACACAACATGAGAACAAATCAAAACTAATTGCAATCGAACTGAGATTTTCTTTGCAAAGCTAGTTTCGGTCAAACTCAACTTTGTTGAAAGGCTTAAGCGTCGCTAGGGAGTTGACGGAAGTTCCTTACGACGCTATCTTTCTCCCGTCGCAATATTACTATGGTATGAAGATAAATTCTATCTATACCAGTTATTATACCAATAGCTTTTTATATCTCTTTTAGTGGAATATTTTCTTGAATAAAACTCACTAAACATAAAAGACTCCATATCTCCTGTGAAAGCATTTGCTCAAAATCGAGTAAAGCAGGTTAACATCTTCAATGTTCGATAATAGAATAATAGAAAATTTTGTATTTATGAGTTGCAACTACAACGAATGAAACATATTGAAAAAATGACAAAACTCTCAAATACATTCATCGTTCGTTAGCGAGATATGACCTTATAGAAGATCTTATCTTCAACCTCAACGCAGGTTTATCTATACCCAAGTCCCTTAAAATTTCTTTGGTCACCGCTGGAAGCTCGTCCATATCAATATCTTCCACTTTCGGAAGACAATAAGCAACATCTTCTTCAGAAAGACCACAATATTCTCTTAGGAAAGTATTCCAATCAAATGACGAAGACAAAGAACTGGATGCTGCAACCCTTTGTTCGCCTCGTGTATTTCCTTCTTCCATTTGCATAGCAGTTTGAAAACCTTCCATTTGCATCCTATTCTCCTCATTGGTTCTCGGTCTTATATTTCGAGCTACTCTTAAAGTAACATTGAATGGCTTAGCTTCCAAAGGCGAAACATATTCATCGGACATCGACTCAAAGACAGTTTTACACCATACTGAAAAGTCTTTTCTGAACTCTTCTCGGCTTGCTTTCCCAATTTTCCTCAAAATATCGAAATTTTCTCTTCCCAAAAATCGTTCAAGGTTCCTTTGGGAAACAATTACCAATTGCAGACATGATCGACGACTTTCATTCAAAGTTGACCCTGCAGAATGTTCAGTAACCAAATAACTTGCATCCTCAACAATATTCTGTTCTTCACTAGAGAAAACTACAGATCGATCATATCTAGTACAAACTACCACAAACTGAAAACAAAGTTGAACAGATGAAGGAGATCCGTCATTCAAAACGGAAATAACTTCTTGGAAAAATTGTTCTGCTTCCTTCTCAATATCTCTCTTCGAAAATTCAGTTTTGTGATAAAATGTAAATGAAAATGCAACAACATAACGTGTCTGTCCATTATGGAATACAACATATGCATCAGGACCACTCGAATCGCCATCTTTTGGAACAAAAATACCACAATGTTGTAAATATTTTCCATAATGGTCAGAAAATGAATCAGAGACATTTCTCAAGATGGGTATATCATTAGATTTTGTTGATTCCATAGAATACGAAACATTGTCCTGTTCAATAAAAGAACCCTGGAAAATTCCTGGAATAGCAGAATGCACAATAGGCGAGGAATTAGAATGAAGAAAAGTTAATAAGCGAAAGCGAAAGATCTTCATAAATACAAATTCAAAGAAGACTCCTTTTGCTGTTGCAGTGTCGGGAATATAACTAAACGGAGATAAAGGAAAGAGTTCAGTAGCCTCACGGAAAAAGTTATAGTTGCTATGAGCTCTCAATATAAATTCACAACAACCAATCTTGAATTTAGTGCCCAAATCAATCCCGTCAGTTTCACAAATTTCAGAATAAAACCCAAAAGTTGCAACCAAGTCCATCAAATAAGTTCTCGTTCCACATAGAGTAATTGCAAATCCGATTGGGAAAACTGTTCCGAGTTGATAATTCAAAAGGACAAATTGATATCGAAGAAGGGTTGCGGAATCTAGTATCTCTGGAATAATAAACGTTACTGACTGTAGTAGTAAAGAGCTGAAGACACTATCTAACAAAAGTTCCATATTTTCGTTGTTGATAGCAGGTTGCGATAAGTTTGCAACTTTCTGTACTAGGGCTAGTAAAGTATTCCTTACAATCAACGGGATACCTCCTGTCTTCTTTTTCAACAATTCTACGAATCGATGTCGTATATCATCTGAGGGTAATAACCAGTCCTTCAAGGACTTTCCATCATAAGTTGCCAGCTCAATATATTCGTTAATATCATGGAGGTTAAAGGGGTTCAACCGCAACATATGGAGACTCACTCTACTGGAGCGAGTATCAGACAGGGGGGCTGAGATTTCAGCAGTCCGACCTGCCAAATAGACAATTAACTTCCCTGTAATCAACAAATCACGTAAAATACGGAAGAAATTCCGGAAAGGTACATATTTTGGGTCAGACTCGACGAACTGTTTCGTGGTAAGTTCACTATAGTATTTGGTGAGGTAACTCAGGTGGCTAAGTTCGTCTATCATCAAAAATAAATATCGTTTCTGAAACTGTTCGAGAAGATAATCTATGGCATCGTCCAAGTTGAGTTCTCTGATTATCATTGAAGCAACGTGAGCGGCATCTTTTCTTCTTCCATTTTGTCGATAAGCGTTCAAAATTATATTATATAACAAAGCCTGTAGAAACCTTGGAAAAGGAGCATCAGAAAAACCGTCTTCTAGTTCTAAGACAACTGACAAAGTGTTTTCCGCAAAGTGTTTCCAAGAAAAAATCTTCAAATCTACTTTTCCCGATGAGCTTTTGTTGAAAACCTCTGTCTTCGTCTGCTCTTCTTCTTCGTCGGCGAATTTTTTTAGAAACTCTAAAAAATTTTCACCAACACAACTCTTGCCAGCTCCAAAGACCTGAGGGGAAAAGCAAGCTGCAGGACGTGGAGTATTCAAGTTTCCCCCAACTCGAGGAAACTGGTAGTAATAAGTTCGAAGAATAGAGTAAATATCTTCTTTTCTATCTATCAACGGTTCGTTCAAACTCATCTTACACGCCGCGCCAATCCGAAATCAATTCACAACAAAACAGCGAATAAATGAATGACCGAAATACTTTCAAAGGAGACGAAAGGAGTGTATGTTTATTGTTGGAGCTGTTGCTTTATTTGGTGATTGGTAGAACTGATCTCGTTGACACTTCTAGACTTACATTGACAATAGAGAGAAATCAGGAATATTTTCTTGCTTGTCATAACTAGAAACTTTCTTTTACAATAGACAAGAAATAGGTTTCTATGAGTTTTTGTGGTGAATTAGATTGATGGGTACTCTTTCTATGGCTTGTATACTGTAAGAGAGTTTTTCTACTATCTTCCACACTATCTTACACGCAAACTCCTATATACAAGTCTAATAAGATACAAGCTTTTTGTAAGTTACAAACGAAATACAGTGGGAAACAGAGAATTGCAATGAATGGGAAGTCTGTTAGTTTGTAACCGTTCGTAGCACAGTTTATAAATACAAAAATATCTAATTGAATTTGGAGAAGAGTATGATGAAGATTGTCATACTGACTTATCATTAAATACAAGCCATTATTGATGTAATAGCTACACAAGTTGTCTATCCTTTGTTTGACTTTTACCAAGTTGTGAATATGTCTTATATAAAAATATCAATTAAGGCTTCAAATATAGTAACTATAACCGTTCATTTTCTGCACATCGACGCTGAAAAAAGAGTAAAAGATTGAGCCAAAAAAATAATTTTGCTAAAGAAGAAGCCTTTTATACTTGATTCAAGGTCGAGTAGTGTACCAACTTGAAAGCTTCAGCAATTCTCCAACTGAAAGCCACTCCATATTGAAGAACTTTTACCCAACATGACTCTTGGCTGAAAGACGTTGTAGTTCCTAAGTTATCTGTCAAGTGATTGTTGTGGAATGACAATACTTCAAGATTGGATATGGTTTCCTTTGACTAATTAGAAACAATTCTGTTCCACTCTCAAAGTTGTCCTTTGCAATGCAATATAAATAGAACTCCTGTGTAAATAGTAATTGTCTGAAATAGAAACTTTTTTCTCTGTTTGTCACATAGATAGATTCATTTAAGATGTCTCTTGTTCTATTAATAGTCAAACGAAATTTTTTTAGATCGCAACAGGGTTACTTTCCCTATCTAAGAGTCGGTGAGTTTTCAGTCTAATTCACTAAAACAGAGTTTGGATATATAGTGTTGTTAGTACTTTTGAGATAGAGTTTGAATTGCAAACCAAAATACTTTTTTTAGTATTTCTTCTTACCTTTGCTATATTTACTCTTAGTTCCAACAAGTTTCATATTTGTAGAAGCCATTCATTGAATTCCAAGGCTAGAAATGCAGTTTGAAAAAAACTTATTAAAAACGAAAGGAATCTAAACTTTTATCGAATTTCAACAAGCTAAAACTCTTTTTAAGACCGCAGTGTAGGTCCTCAAGCTAGAGAAAGCCTCAAGTTTTTGCTGCCATTCCCTTCGTTTGGTCTAAAACCGAGGAAAACTCTCTTCTATTCAGTTAACAAAAGACAGGAAGGACAGTCCAAGTGAAATCTACAAACAACTTTTTCTGTCTCAGTCTTTGAGAATTATAGTAAAAGGAGTTACTAGTCTTTTTTCAACAGACTAGAAAGACAACATAGCAGACACTTGAAGAATGTTTTGAGATATTCTTCGGTAACCACTTTACTAAGTATTTGGACAAGAAAGGATATTTTTCATTCTAGTTGTATCAACATGTATGTATGTATAGTCTATTCATTTTGAATCATTGTTACAACTCTGCAATATTGCAAAATTGACATGAAACGATTATAAGCCAGCCTTGAAAGCCAGCTAATAAACTCTTTTCAAGGAAGACTGTATGGTGTCCAAAAGACAAGCAAGTAAGATGTAACCGAGTTTCAAACATACAAAAAAAAAAGTTTATTTGCTCTTCAAAACAAAGGGAAGGACTGAGTTAGAATCTATTGCCAACTTAAGAAACTGTTACGGATTCTATGAAGTAAATCTAATCCAAAATCCCAAAAAGTAGGATTATCAGAAACATGAAATGCTCTTTCAAGTCCATTCAATATTTCTTCGTCAATCAGCATTTGGACATCTCTTTCACAAAGAATAACAAGTTCACAATTATCAGGTACTTTGAACAAATCACCTCCAATAAACATTCCACTGGAGTAACAACGACTCTGATTACCCAGCTCATTAGAAGCATTCAATGATAACTTTGTACTAACGATAATAAGCATACAATGATGATAATCCATTGCACTGGATAAGACTTGATCATAAACAGGATCTAAAAATTTCTTGGCTTCATCTATAATATCTGACCAGCCAATTCCTTCCGACTTCCAACGTCCTTTACATGCAACTCCAACAGTAAGAACTTTGGGTTCCACAGGAGATTGTAATTTGAATATAATATCAGGACTATGAGAAGTAGCGTCCAAAGGAATGTAAATAGTCTCTAAATAAAGTGTCTCTCGAATAATCTTATTCCATTCAGTATTGGCAAAAGTTCGTCGACTCTTGTTCGATTCACTTTTTGTTTCTCTAGAACTAACAACAGACTTGATATAGTGAATAGGTGATATTGTACTGATTGGAAGTTTCATTTGTTTCCATATCGGAGACAATTGACACAACAATTCCCTCAACTCATTTCGATTCTTTGAAGACAACATCAAAACTAGTCGTAAAGCGACAATTCCTTCAAATACACGACACTTTGAATAGACGAAACAATCTACTGGTTCTACATCAAGTGATTCGAGAAGTATCTTTTCCAAAGAAGAGATGGAAGGGTCGTTCTTGAAGATTCCAACAAATACTTTTGGAATAAGAATTTGGAAAGTATTCTGGTCAATAGGATATCGATATAGTCCCATTTCAGTGACTGCATCAAATAGATAAGACTCCGAGGACAATCTATCATCTACTTTAGACGGTATACGATAAAGAGCCATCATTAAAAGTATATCAAAAACACTTTTTCTATCTTCGTCCAAATTCAATATTCGTTCCACAAATGGTTCAGCGCAAATTCTTCGGAAATCGTAGTCGTTCATACATGTCAAACATTCTTCTTTCGATATAAAAGGCTTATTTCTCATTTCCACATAATTCAAAAGCATATTCACTAAACGCGTCAACAAACCAGGAACTCCACCTGTACATTCCAACAATGAATCTGCCAATTCATTTACTGAAAATGAAGAACTACATAAGACATTACAAACCGGTTGTTGAGTAGGTGTCTTTAGAAGACTTCTTTCAAGGAATTCAACGATACTGGAAGCGTCCAAAGGTGATAAAGGGATAAAATGTAGTATAACTCTCGATAGCCCAAAAGCTACATCATTCTTAATACTTAAACCCTTGTTTTTCCCAACAACTATAAAAAACAAGTCGGGTTCTTTGCACAATTGACTAATGATACCGAAAAAGTCGTTGTAAGGTCGAACTCTACCGTCATGGGTTCTCTTGAAATGAAATTCGTCGAGACTTTCGTCTAGGACACCAACTTCGTCAAATGCCACAAGGAGATATTGATCGGAAGGAATGTTTAAGATTGAACGGATTTTCTGAACCAAAGCATCACTCCTAAGTTTCAGTTCCTTGAAACATTCGTCCGGGTCTGGTTGCGGAAGACCTGATTGCAAACAAGCAGCCTTGATTAACAAATAGTACACTGCCCACTTCAGGTTTCGTTTTTCCTCGATGGGTCGAGTTGGCTCCAACTCCTTTAAATCCACATAAAGCAACGAAGCCCTTTTCAGCTTCTCCAAAAAGGTTCTGCTCAAAGGGTCTGAAGCAAACGTCGACAGGGAAGTTTCACCAAACCTTTGCACCAACTCCAAAGAGGTTCGGGCAAAGGTCGTTTTGCCCGAGCCAAAGAGATGGGGGCAAATGGTATCGTCAAGCGATAGTTGCAACTACTTGTTACACCCCTGAATTGTTCTCTGTTGCTATGAAGATCATACAGTTCTTCTGTCACTCGAACAACATCTCTTTCACGATCTACCACAACAGACTCAAAGTTGTCCACAGCTTTCCACTTTTCATCCAAACTCGCCATCGCCAAAGTGAAATTAAACAATCTTCTGTTTATTTCGGAGTACAAATATAAATAAATGAATGATTGTCTGTTTGTTTGTCGGTCACAACAGCAACGAGGAAAACAGTAAAGGATACCAATCCAACTTCTTCTCTTTATCAACTGATGACTATGTCATACCCTTTATGGCTTGGACTGAGATGATTTGAACTATGGCAAGAACGATCAATATGGCTTTTTCAACTATCGATATTTTTATTCTCGTATGCTAATATAATGGTAACTCTCATAGGGTACAAGGAGGATTGGAAGGAAGCCAATGTTTATTTCACAAGTTTTTTATGCTCTTTGAGAGTATAAAGCTATTAAACATGGCCCATTCTCACATAGATAAGAAAGTTTCTTTCAGAATTTTCGAGAGTAGTCATGAGAGTTCCGAGCAATATAGATTGTTCATGAAGAATTTGTTCCATAGACGTCTCTCTCTAGATTTTCTGTATTTTATGGAATAGTTTTTACGTCACTTTTGCTTCATTTCGAAACACGGAACTAGTGTATGAACCAAGTCATTCTCTTGTGTGGTCTATTCAAAAGCTCCAGTTGAAATATATTATTTAGTAGAAATGCAGAAACCCGCAAGCACAGCACTGCTTTATTCTCAGCAATCATCAAATTCCTTTCTTACGATATCATGACAAGTAGCAGTTTATCACTAAAGCTACAAAAGTTGATGATAGCAAAAGACAAACCAAAACAAATGTGCTAAGAAGGATCCAAAATATCTCGTGGTTTTATCAAATCTCAGAAACAACATTGACTCAAGTGTATCGTCAATACTCAATTTCTGTAAGAGTCAATAACTCCTGTTTCTTTCTCCTCTGAAAATAGTGGCATTTGATACTATGGATTCTGTTAAGAGGAGAAAATATATTTTTCAAGAAAAATTGAATTCAGTCGAATTGAGTCTATTCTATCGATTCTTTTCTCGTTTCTCACGTTTGAATCATAGTTGAATTCTTTCTCCTCAATAGTCGACTATACATTTGAGGTGTTTTTGAAGGTAAACATGACTGTTTAGGTTTAAAGGCTTTTGTTGCATCCTCTTGTACGATAAACTTTGTAAAAACCACAACTTTTAAAGATATACAAGAAAGCAAATTATAAAAAGTACAAAGCTGCTTTAAAACGATATAACTCCAAGAGGGCTATTATTTCTTCCAATATAAAAAAAAGGGAAAACTTTTAAAAGCTCTGCAAATTCAAAGAACGATTTGTCCAGTTGAGTCCTATTCTTCTTCCATTCTCAACCATCAGCTCATTGAATAAGTGAGTCACTATACAAAAGTTCCTTGCGTTAGGCACTTGTAAGAAGACTCTTGC